GCGAGGAGTCTGCGCCGCGCGAGCGAGGAGTCTGCGCCGCGCGAGCGAGGAGTCTGCGCCGCGCGAGCGAGTAGCCGGCGCCGCGCGGGCGAGTCTGCGCTGCGCAAGCGACTTTGCTTTGCGTCGCGCGAGCGCGAGCGCGTTGGCTTTGCGTTGCGCGAGCGAGTCTGCACTGCGCGGGTGGATGTGCGCTGCGCGAGCGAGTCAGTCTGCGCGCGCCCGCCGCGCGAGCGAGTCTGCGCCGCGGGCGCGAGCGAGTCTCCGCCGCGGGCGCGGGTGAGTCTGCGCCGCGCGAGCGAGTCTGGCCTGCGCTGTGAGAGAGTGCGAGTCGGCGCCGCGCGGGTGAGTCTGCGCCGCGCAGGCGGGTTTGCTTTGCGTTGTGTGAGCGCGTTGGCCTTGCGTTGCGTGGGTGAGTCAGCGCTGCGCGGGTGGGTGTGCGCTGCGCCAGCGAGTCTCCGCTGCGCGATTGAGTCTGTGCCGCGGGAGCGCGTCGCTCCGCGCTGCGCGATCGAGTCTGCGCCGCGAGAGGGGGCGAGTCTGCGCTGCGAGGGGGGGCGAGTCTGCGCTGCGCGAGGGGGCGAGTAAGTTTGCGCTCCTGCGCTGCGCGGTCAAGTCTGCGCTGGTTGCGCGGGCGAGTCTGCGCTGCGCGGGTGAGTCTGCGCGGCGTGGGAGGGGGGCTCCGCGTTGCGCGCGGGGTTGGGTCTGCGCTGCATGAGGGTGGAGGGTGGGTCTGCGTTGTTTGTGTGAGGGAGTGGGTCTGCGTTGCACGGGGGGTGAGTCTGCCTGACGTGAGGGGGTCAGCCAAGTCTGCGCGGCGTGGGTGAGGGAGTCTGCACTGCGCGGGTGATTCTGCGCCGCGTGGGTGAGAAGGTATGCGCCAGAGGGTCGGCACTGCGCGGGCGAGCATGCGCAGCGCGGGCGGGTCTGCGCTGCGCGGGTGAGTCTCAGACTGTCTGTGGCTGTGCTGCGCGGGGGGCTTGGGTGTGTCTGCGTTGTTTGTGTGAGGGAGTGAGTCTGCATTGTGTGAGGGGGTGAGTCTGCGTGGCGTGAGGGCGTCTGCGCCGCGCGAGCGAGTCTGCGCTGCCTGCGTTGGGCTGGGTGAGAGGGTCTGCACTGCGCGGGCGAGCATGCGCAGCGGGGGCGGGTCTGCGCTGCGCTGTGCGAGCGGGTCTCGTCTGCGTTGCGCGAGTGAGTCTGCGCAGCGCGGGGGGCCTGCGCTGCGTTGTGTGAGCGGTTCTCATGTGTCAGTCTGTGTTGCGCGGGCGTGTCTCTCGTGTCTGCGCTGCGCGGGCGAGTCTGCGCCCCGCGAGCCCGGGCGGGTCTGTGCTGCGCGAGTGCAGCTACGTTGCGTGCGTGCGTGAGCGAGCCTGCATTCGTTGCGTGGGTGAGTCTGCGTGGCCTGGTGAGTATGAGAGTGAGAGCCTGCGCCGCGTGAGCGAGTCTGCGTTGTCGTGTGGGCGAGTGTGAGTCTGCGCCGCGCGAGTGAGAGAGTCCGCCTCATACTGCGCGGCGCGAGTGGGTGAGCCTGGCTGCGCGGCGCGGGCAGGTCTGTGCGTGTGTGTGTGGCTTTCTGTAGAAGTGCGCGACTGCGAGCGAGTCGGCACTGCGCGAGCGAATGCCAGTCTGCGCGGCGCGTGCGGGTCTGCGTGACGCATGGAAGCGCCCCTGCGCTGCGCGAGCTTGTCTGCGCTGGGTGGTGCGTGAGTGAGTCTGCGCTATGCGGATGCGTCTGCACTGCGTGGGGGAGTGGGTCTGCTCCGTGCGGGCGAGTCCGCGCTGTGCGAGCGGGTCTGAGTCGTGCGAGTGGGTCTGCGCCGTGCGAGTGGGCTTGCGCTGCGTGAGTGAGTCTGCGCCGCGTGGGTGTGTGCGTCTCTGTGCGTTATGCGGGCGGGTCTTGTTTGCGCTGCGCGAGCGAGTCTGGCCTCTGTGCTGCGTGGGTGAGTCTGCTCCGCGTGAGTGGGTCTGCGCTGCGTGTGGGAGCGCGTCGGCGTTGTGTGAGTGGGTCGGCGTTGCGTGGGTGGGTCTGCATTGTGGGGGCTCTGAGTCTTTCCGCGCTGCGTGGGTCGCTCGGTGGATGGGCTGCGCTGCTTGAGTCAGTCACCGACCACCGCGCGAGCGGGCTTAGCCTTGGTCTTGGCGCGCTGGGTGGGTGGGTCGGTCTGCTACTGCTTTGCCTGCGTGTGCCCGCGCCGCGTTAGGGAGTCTGCGCTGTGTGGGTGAGTCTCGCCTGTGTGGCTGGCGGGGGTAGTGGCATTATAGAAATAGGGTCGGTGGCACTGGGCGGAGGGAGCGGTGGCGGGGCTCCTTACAAAATTTGTAAAGTTTGTAATTACAAACGATTTTTGCCATCGATTTAATTCCGATTTATTTTCGATTTTTACAAAATCGAGGCAGAAAATCGAACGCCTACAAAGTCTTACAAACTATTACAAATTCTCTACAAACTTTTACAAACTCTTGCCAGGGTGTCTCCAGTTTGTTTCTTTTTTCCCGTATAGTTCGACTTTGCTACAAACTTTGGAAATTACAAACTTTTTGTAATTAATCTCGATTTTTTGAGTTCTTTACGATATTTCGCGACACTTCCGTAACGACGAGAAAGAGAAGAAGACTGATGAGGATGAGTATTCACTAGTACTACACCTTCTCGAGGGAGAGAGAACAAGAGTTGTTGTTGGAGAAATAAACGTCGTTCTACTTCTTAAAAATGTAGTTCATACGGCAGTGGTACACAAAGATCTTCATCAAGAAAGAAGAGCTAGAGGCAAAACTTGACACGATCGGTTTGTACTCTTCTCAAGAACCAGGACCAGCATGCTATCGGTAACCAAGATGCAAATGAGAAGTTTATTTCTCGACTTTTTTGTAGTCGGGGCTGCATCCGTCCTGCTTGCCACGTTGGACGGCGGAAGCGCATCTCCGACAATCTTGCCGCACTACTCTTGCTCCTCTTCAGACAACTTTTTCCAGCATGGCTCGAAGGGCGTGGAACAAAAAGTTGGCCTGCTTAAAAGCTTATTGGAGGACAGGGAGCACAGCGGACGCGGCGTCGGTGAAGACGTTCTTGAGCAGCACCAAGAAAAGCAGCAAAAAAAACTGCTTCTCCAGCATAATATCCTGGTGGAAGTCCTCTCTCAGGCACACGACTGCTACTTGAAAATGGGTGAATTCGTCGAAAAGCTAGTAACCTGGGATCATCGAAGTACGAAAAGTACAGCAGATCTTCCGAGGATTCTGAAACGGTTTGTCAAATCTTCATCATCATCATCATCTGCATCATCATCTGCATCATCATCATCATCATCATCATCGCCTTCTCTAGGAGGACAGGAAAAACATCTTCAAGATGAAGAAGAACGCGCAGTGGATGATTCCTTCTGCCTTTACGGTTGTGCCGAACTACTTCTTTTACTGACGACGCAGTTGGACTCAGATACGATCATCACGCTGGCAGACAAGTTGACGACGTTCAGGAGAGATCTGAAAGTTCTTAAGGGTACTAGGTTGATAAAGGTCGTGCTTTTGTTACCGTTTGTTAGGGCTCTCTCCCTTAGGTGGGGACACCCATAACAAGCGGGAGAACCCACGAACAGGAACCCCAAAACCTACCTCGTCTAAGAAAGGCGAAGGCGAAGCTCATGTCAGCAGCAATATAATCGTCCCAGAATTCCCCTTACACGACCAAAACTTCCGTTATGCGATTAGGCAGTTGGTCGGCGGTGCCTTTGGTCGGTTCGGAGAATACGATTTCACACAAGAGAGTGGCGGAAAGTGGCGAAATTTGTTTTCCGACTTTTTTCTCCCGGAACGAGTACCATCCGAAACGAACTTGCCTCCGATGTGGGAAGAGATCCAAGCGAGGACTCAATGGAAAATGGATGCGGTATATGGAGAAGGGAAAGACGGAGACTATGACATGGTCGAGCGGAATGAACATGGAGCGGTTGGAGCTGGTTATGGAAGGACTCGTGGTTGCATGTAGTTGGTCCTCCGAATATTCTGAAAAAGCTTTTTTCCAGATGAATAATTTTTTTTTTCTGATTCAGACCATCTGCATAAATGCTTTCACTCAAAAAAAAAGCATCCTGAAAATGTAGCAGGCATGCAACGATACGTGTTGCGTATTGTTCCTGATTCCTGCAATGGAAGTCGCGAACTTCTTCTAAACCTGCAATCCTTCAGAAACAGTAGTAAACATCAAGAACCACACCTCCTCCTGTGGCAGTCCGTTTAGCAACAGCGACTACTGTCGATGCATTTTCCTGAAGATCACAAGTAGTACTACAGGCAAGGCTGGAAGACGACGACGACGAGCTGCAAGAGCAGCTCTCCGCAGAGATGAGCGTTACAACGCCATCTGTGCTCAGCAGGATGCAAGGAGTCAAAGTCTTTTTCAACAGACGTCGGTCAAGATCCTGGAGAATCATGCGGTGGGAGGAACTACTTCAACATCCCGTGACGACGAAGAACTGGACGTTTCGACCCTGCCTTTCGTGGTGAATCCCCAGCTTCTGTTGCGTCGAAGGCAAGAGGATGTGGATTCAACATCAAGCACAACAAGTGTTAGAAGAAGTGATGTAAGTGAAGAGCAAGGGCAAGGCCCCTATAGTTTGTCACGCTCATCATCACGAGCAGATTCTACAAACAAGTTCGACGCACTCGCCTACGTTTTACAAGACTGCCATCCCTTAGACCAGACTGGCTGTTGGGATCATGCTTTCGATCCGAAAGTCTCAGACTTTGAACGTAAATGGAGAAGAGAGCAGTTTCTTCTTGCTCAACATCAAGGTGAAGTACGTCGACGGGGTCCGGGTCGTATCTCCTTGTTGCCGTTGAGGCATCTTCTAAAACCTCCAGAAATCATAGACTCCAGTCTGGGAGCGACCTATCGCTCTTTAAGAGAGACGACGAAAACTGCAACATCAAGGTCAACACTTCGTTTTGCAGGTTTTGGCCTTCACACGCCTTTTCTCACATCAGTGGCCAAGACCATGTCTTTAGCAGCTGGGTTTTACTATCCTGGATTGGAGATAGATTGGTCATTGGAAGGAAGTATTTACATGTGTGACACGCTGAAATCGCCGTGGTCGAACAAGGATGAGCGAATGAAGGGAAAGGGCACGACGAGAAATAGGCAAACAAGAATTCGTTTCGGGACAGATAGAAATAAAGGTGCTAGTAGTAGAACCAGAAGTGGCGGAAGAACATCAAGCAGTAGGACAACATCGTCGACGTCAAGCTCAAGCAGCGGATCTTTTTTCTCCAACCTCATAGACAACTACGAATCTGAACTCGTCGAGAAGCGACAGGTGGACTTAGTTAACCCAGCCTGTTTTGGGGGTCGCGAGCAAAGATTATCAAGGATGCAAGCGCTGGTCCATTTCTGGGCAAGAAATTTTGAGAGAGAAGACTTGTTCAACATTAATAGCAGCGGAGAAAATAGCGAGGACATCAAAGCTATCACCCTCTCTCAATTAAGGCCGCCCCTAGTCCATCTTCGGGAGCATCTTCGAGACGTTTTCAAGAGGGGAACGGCCTCGGGATGGATTTCGAGACGGATTAGGGTGAGCGTTAACTCAAGTCGCAGAAGAAGTGAGACAGCATTTCTTTGAAGCGATGGCGATGGATAATGATCATGCGATAGATGAAGGAGAAAACCTGCCAGAGGCCGTGGTCTGTGCGGATTGGGTGATCGGCTGTATCTTCTTGGCAATGGCTTTGGGAGAAGGTGGAATAGGTGCCGGAGTAGGTGAACGAGAGAATGTCAAGGACAGCAACATGATCGGTGGAATAGGTGCAGGAGTAGGTGGACGAGAGAACGTCAAGGACAGCAACATGATCGGCAATTCAGACAAACATGAGTCTTCCAATGAGCAGGAAGACGAGCAAGAAAAGTTCTTCCTTCCAATGCTGCTTATCAATGGCATTCATCTCCTAGAGTTCGTACCAGAAACGTTTCAACTACACGTACTCTACTGGATCCGCTATTTCTCGACACGCCCTAGCACACTACTAGCGGTGGCGCACGAGCATTTGAACCCTTTAGTGCGGTATCAGACTGGTGTGAATTTCCTCTTTGTGCCGTTATTGTCTTTGAGCGTGTTTGAGGAGCTGAGCGCGTTTGAGGAAGAAGGGGAGCCGCAGGAGGGTGATGATGTGGACTACAACTTGCTGGAGCTGGACCGAGCACAAAATCATCGACATCCATTTGAAGCTCTTTTTTCACCAAGCCGACCAGTTTATAAACCTCCTCCAACTAGAAGTTGTGTAGACATCGTTGTTTTACGCGCTCCGTTTTTTCACAGAAAGGAGGGTCACTTCTTCAAGACGCTTTGTGAGGACGTGTTTGGCGACAAGGCTGAGTTTTTGTGGATGAATCCAGAACTAGAGCAAGTGCAACACATCGAAGGAGAAGGCGTGGAAGACAAGCGAGGTGGAGTCAACAAGGAATTCGCTGTTCAATCGGGTTGGACATCATTCTCTCGTATTGCCCGTTCCGATTTGGCCATTTACATGCCATCTGAGCCTAGCTTGATGAAATTCAAGGACGTTTACGCTATGGGCGTTCCTATTGCAGCGCCTGTATGGTGGTGGACGGCGCGAATCATGCTGCCGAATGCAGCACAGATTAGACATACGAAACGGATTGAAGATCATGTTGAACAAGATGGTCTAGATAAAAAGGATAGGAGTTCATCTAGACGTTCAAGAAGTGCACTTCTGTTGGCTTCCAGCGCAGCAGCAGCAGTTCCGTGTTTTGATGCGGAGGGAGAAGCAGATATTACCAGTGCTGAAGCTGAATCTGTTATTTCACAAATAAGAGCTCCTGGAGGTGCTAATATTCTTCCTTCTCTCGTACAATCCTGCTCCTCATTGCCATTCTTCAAGGGTGGAGGGGATAGGTACGATAGATTGCTGTTTTGGAACCGGTTAGGGGACGTAGAGCGGTTCCCGCATATCCTTCGCTTTCAGTCAGTGGCGCATTTGGCTTCTATCGTAGCGAGTGATGTAGACGAAAAACGGAGTGACTTTATGACGGGGGGACTTCTGGTCAACCGTGATAAACGGAATTTTTTTGGAGGAGTAGTAAGTTGGTCTAGGTAGTGCATGTGCATCTTCGTGATAGTACAATAGAAGAAGAACAGTAGATGCTGTATGTGTGTCTCGAACATGGAGAAATCCCGTGTAGTGCCTCCTTCATCATGATGTGTTGTAACTAAGTACTTAACCGCCTTAGTGATCATGGCTTATTGGCTCTCTATAATCATCTCTAAGACACGGCGTCACCACACCTCGCAGCGGATGCGGACGTACTTCTTTGGGCGCGTGGTTCCGAATGCTCTTGCGCTTTATCGAAATATCTTCGCCGTCTTGGCTTCAACCAGCGGAGGCGGTTCTCGTGACCACAGTACTCCTACTAACGGAGGTCGAGCTGGTCCACCCCGTGGCAGTTTTCCAGCACAAAAACCAAGCCATGACGGTTTGCGAGATAGGACCCTTCTCTTCGGTTCACGCGGTCAATCTAGAATCCGCGAAGCATGCGACCAAGCTTCTGATTTTAAGAGAGAATGAAGATGATGGTGAAGGCTCTCCTGTATTAATCGTCGCAACTTGTTCAAGCTCACCTAGGAATCCTGCATGATAAACTATGAAGACGGGTACAACAGCAAGCATTTCTTGATGTTTGCTCGTATCACTTCTAAGAAAGTGTCTCATGCCAAGTAGAAAAATCATCTGCTCTAATCACTGGTCGCGATGCGCTCTGTTGCGCGCAAGGTTGCTGACAGGGAAGTAGAAGTGAGATCGCAACGTATAATTGCTGGACGACGTTGCAAATCCAAGCTGAATCCGTAATGGGTTTGCAACAAGCGATACTAATTGCTAGACAACTTCGCTCCCGGAGCCCGTTAGTGTTATATATTGGTTGATCATGACATTTTTCACATCCCGATGTAAGCGAGCCAATATCGTCGTATTCCTAGAATACCCTGAGAGTCGCGCTCTGTGGTGCAAAGAACATGAAATTGGTGCCATCAAAAAAGCAACTACCATCGCAAACAAGAGACAATAAAAACTATCGCTACGGCATGTCCAGAACCACATAATTGTGTGTCGCGTTCTTGTTCTTCTTCCCTGAGTGGATGCGGAAATGCAAGTGAATAAAAACATAACCACTGAGGAGTGTCCGGAGTGTCGACGACTTCGAGGAAATTTTCATGAGTCGCGAATCACTCATTTTTCAGTGACGTTTGTCACCTTGCTCCAGCGCCACGTGCGGAAGCGATATCACTCCTTGAGCCCGCAAAAGTTCTCTCTGCAAAGCTCCACTTTTCTTACTACACCACGCGCTCCCATGCGCCGCTTCGATTCCTTACCGCTTACAGCCTTTTCTTATTAGGCACGTGCTCCCATGCGCCGCTTCGATTCCTTACCGCTTATGGCCTTTTCATATTAGGCCACTTTTCTTACCGCACCACGTGCTCCCATGCGCCGCTTCGATTCCTTACCGCTTATAACCTTTTCTTATTAGGCACGTGCTGCAACATGCCTATCACCATCTTGTCCGCCGCACATGGCCGCCGCGCGCGACAACTTCCTCCATATATCTCGCTTCCTTCTCTGCCCCCACCCATATCACCCGAGCAACCTCGGATCGAGGAAAAACGCTTGTGCTTGGTACCGCTCTGACTCCAAGTTTCCAAATTTTTTATCAATTTGAGATGAATGAGATTTCTTCCTGTCCCATGACGAAAGACCCGGAGCGTGAGGACTCCGGGAGACATTCCCCCGTAGGTGCACTGCGTTGTCTTCCGCAAATCAGCGCCCCGCTCACGTTTTTACCCCAACACCAAGCCAAGCCAGTGTCGGAGCGATGAACAATGAGGGTACACACGTCTCTGCTCCGCCTTTCTGTGCAAAAAGGCGGATGTCTCCGGCAGCGCGCGAATTGTGGATACACGAGCACAGGGCCGCTTGTCTGGTTCAAGTTTAGCTAGAGAGAGATAATTTGACCATCCACACCATAACATTAATAGCAAATATCCGTCTCGCGAACATCGCTCTTTCCCACCACTCCCGTTCGAAAATCTCGCATCAGTCAGACCGTACTGCAAGGCCGCCCATTCCGTTACTTCCACGTGAGTCATCTCGGAACACGCCTCTCTTGTGTACAGCTGCGCAACAGTCGCACCACTTCACTATGACGCTCTCACTTGTCGAAATACTATTCCACCAAAGCGACGCGCCAGGCCGCACAGGATCATGCACCCTACACACTGCGTCTCATCCAAGACGGCTTCTACAGGATTATGCGTCGACCGGTGACGAAGGATGACTGGTGCCTCCGATTGCCGTTCTTGGCGAGCGACCGCGTCGGACTCTGCGCATCCATCGATCTCCGAGTCCCGGAAGACGCCGATGGCCATCCACGTCGGGCATGTACATCCGTCAAGCTCCAAACCGAACGCACGTTGCCGGCTGGCCCACTTGGCGGATGTCTGCACGGGCCTCTAAATCAGTCGAACGACGAGCCGTATGCCACATGCATGTTGGACATATCCATCTGTGTCCGGTTCGGATGCCGCCCATCTGTATTTTAGCTGGACCTGCACAATCGTTGACTGCAGCGACGACATATCTCACCGGGGCCGAGACGATGCATGTCTGTCGGATACCAAGACGATGCGTGTTTCCGGATGCATCGCGCCTTGGAAGTGTATTTCGAAGATCACAAACGAATAGACCGTCCCGGGTGCTTGCAATGCAACGAACGCTCACCGCTGTCGTTCATGTCCGACGGACAGTCTCCGTCGCCGGTAACCGATCCAAGTCCGACCTGATCGGATTCATAGCATGTCAGGACACAAGGCTTGGTGTGCATACAAGTGCACTTGGGCATCCGCTGATCGACTGAATGGACGATCGCGGAGAGTCATGGATCGTCCAAAGGCCTCGCTCCACATGCTCCCAGACGGAAAACAGCGTCATTTCAATAGATGAGCATCATCTCACAGCGTATAATGTGGTCATTCGCAGTGTCTTGACATAGTATGTCACCGCTGACTCATCACTCATTCACCGACAGAAGCTCGGGTCTGCAATTCTGAAGATATTACAAATTCGACAAATAGGGACCGACTTCAGTGCCATGCATTAGCATTTGCATGTGCTATGCTTACTCTCTTATCAAACTGAACACAACAGACCAGTGCGCACTCGCACGCCGCAACTCATGTGGCTTAGTCTCCACGTCGCGTCTGTGTTCTTTTGCTCTATCTCTTCATCACACGAGGAGCAGTTTTTTTTGAATCTGAGGGGACGCAGCACGCATGGAAGTACCCCACGACATGAGCATCCGCTGGAACAGCATGAGGCACTGCGGCCTCTCTACTGCCCATCCACTTTAGTGGACCTCAGAATTCCACCATATTTATATTTATCTTCAAATCACAAGGGAGCAACTTGACAGATTCTCCAAGAAGGGAAGCCTCTTACTTGGCGAAGCTCTTGACCTTGGCGTAGAGGGCCTTGCCGGCAGCGGTCTTTCCACCGATCGGGCAGAAGCCCTTGATGCCGAGGGCCTTGCGAGCCTTGACGACGGCGGCAGCCCAGGCGAGGATCGTCTTGGCCTGCTTGGACTTCTTGGCGGCGGCGGACTTCTTGGAGGAGACGATCTTGCCGGCCTTGTTCTTCTTCAAGTCGGACTTCTTGAGGCCGCCGGAAGTCTTTTCCTTGGTGCCCTTGAACACGCTGGACTTGGCGCGCTTGCCCTTGGCGATGACGCTCTTCTTCATGGCCATCTTCTTCATGCCCATCTTCATGGCGGACATCATCTTCATCTTCATGGCCATCTTCATGGACGACATCTTCGCCATCATCATCTTCGCCATTTTGTGGAGGTGGTTGTTTGAGCTAAGCCCAATAAGTTGTTCCCTTCTATACCCTTTTTTTGATTGGGTGATGAGGAGGACGATAGTAATGATTATGGTCACATTGCAGCTTTGACAGAAGGTATGGGAAACGTGTCTCAAGACTAATGCAGAAGATGGACGGAGAAATAGTATATGATGCACACAAAATCCACAGAAAAGACGAAAGACAACATGCAAAAGCCAGTCCATGGAGACGAAAGTAAGAAATGCAAAACATCTACTGATAATTGAAGACAAAAGTATAGAAAACAAAAGCATGAGCAAGTGATGCAGGAAAATAACAAAGAAAAGGTTTACAAAGTGTTGAAACAGCGTAATAAATGTCTACAACTCATCTCTCGTGCAATATTTTCCAGCGGCTGGGCCAAAAACTCACTCTCGTCGTTGGCACTTGCACCACAAAAGGCTTTCGCCTTACAAACAGAAGAACACAATCGCACGACTTTCAGAGCAATGCTGTGGTAAGTTAGCCAAAGCCTACCATTTGCGTTATTCACTGATTATAGAATTTAACTTACCACCTATATGTATACTGCAGTAAAGCTTCTTTCATGAGCACCAACTACAAAGAAGCGCGGCCCTCACGATGCCACTCAAACCACTTTCTACAAAATTCGCGACTACGACTACCAGTGCTGCTGTGTTGATCTCTACATCCATGACATGTGACTGACTTTCTGTGCCGCGACTGCTTCATTATGGAGCATATGAGCGTTAGTTCGCTGCAGACCAAGTGCTAGTCACACAATCGAGAGTAGACCTCTACTAGAATCACCCAAGTTCGTCTCGTTCCAGATTGACATGCGCCATCCTTTCCTCATGCTCGTCCCTTCGGTCACTAACAGCGGCTCCGACCGTCGAATCCACATCGAGTATCCTGTCCGACTGCTCCTCTTGTTCGAATACCTTCATCCCACCTCCTCGCCGACTGCTGTTGCTGCCTTTCATTGACTTCTTCATCCTCAGTTTGCCGCTGCCCGCGCTACCTAGCACGAGGTCGCTGTTTTTCCACAAGCACACGCACTGATCGTGGCCGCCCGTGGCCAAAGTCCCTGAAACCGGATGAAAGTCGAAGGCAGCGCACACAGAAACAGCTCCATGTCGTGTCGTTGACAAGACTGTCGTTGTGCCGGCATCTGCTTCATCTCGAGCCCGAACACCAACGCGTTGAAGTCCTCTCTCCTTCACCCTCCTCAAGTCGTACATTGCTATCGAGCCGTCTTCACTGCCGACGCAGATGTACCGCATACAGGGAGAAAACCGGGCCCGGATCGCGTGCCAAGAATGCTTATGTCTGCCGGAATATGACTCCACTGGGTTCATGAGACCGCGTGTTCGAATGTCGTACAGATCGACGAATCCATCAGTGCCCGCTGTGCAAAACAAGTCCAAGTCGGACCCACAGAACGAAGCGCTCGCGCGTGCTATGAGAGGTGACATGCTGTCGATTGTAAAACGAAACCCACCAGGACCCGACTGACGAAGATGTGCTATGTCTTCAATATGTACAGTACACTTCATCGCTTTCCTAGCACCTACTCGAAGTTGAGACAGCCCTTGCAGCTACTCACTGAGGTCTACCCTGATTGCCTACCAGTACCAAATGATACCCACGTCCACCCTCATAATGGGACATGCGAACTGCATACTAGTCAGCTTGCCTCCACCGTGCGCGCCACCTGGACTCCCTGTCAGCGATACCTTCTCTGCTGCTAAGTCGAAGAGCAGCAATCGTTTGTCCCCAGACGAATATGTCAATGCTGCCGTAGAAAGCACGCCGCTAGACGGAGCCGTGATCATTGTCAGCTTCGTTGCACTCATAGCCGAAGTGATTGCTTGCTGTTGCTGCTGTTGTATGCATCCTGCTGCGGGAAGCTGATTCGCCAGCTGCGAACGATTAGCAGCACTTCCGCAAAACCTGGCTTTCGCAACGCGCTGTGGAATGTTGACGTCGTCTACTGGCGCGTACAGGTCGTACCTGAAGATCGCAACGGAAGCCCCACCGCTAACAGCTGCGATTGCACCATCTTGCGCTACGAAGCAAGCGTCCTGCGCCATGAGGCTTCTCGTAGATGTTAGAAGACGAGCAGAACTCTTCGCGAACGATTATGCAAGGAAATGGAGAAGGCATTGCTCTGCAAGATGGATGTAGTACTCAACTACACCAGACAAAACATTACGCAGTACATTAGGTAGACGGACGTAGCGGTAGCCATAACTTCGCTGCTGCGCTATTACCAGCAGGTCCTGTTGAAATCTGGAAATCCTCTGGGCCTAGCAGCTGCTTTCCCACGAAGAGCTTGCTATTGAAATCGCTGCCAATACCGTGTAGAGACACTCCTCTCTCCGTGGTAGCGAGTAATAAGCTCACTGATGTTGGCGGCGGTAGCTTCTTCTTGCTTCCAAAAGTCCCAACTCCGCCATGTCTGCTTGTCCGACCAACTGTGCTCGACGAAGAGTTGCTGCTGCCTTTCGTCCCTCCGCTTGCAGCACTAGGCTCGAATACTGCACAGGTCTTCCGTGTTCGCCCACATGAGATTGATTTCAATTGCTTCATTGCTCCCGTATTTTCTTCCTTTTGCACAGTGAAGGCGACTTTTGTCCGGAAACCAGCATCCACCACGGTAACCACGTTGTCGGATGTGGCTACGCACATCGTCGCTGGCTCCTCCGACGGGCAGAACGCAACGTCGATGACCGCTGCACCTAGCTCAGCTTCGCGTGCGCACATCAAATCTGCAAGATAGTCATGTTCTTGGGCATGCTTTGCAGTTGTTGTATCGGTGTCATCTGCTGAGCTTCTCGAGGTGACCAACCTTGCATTCGACTCCTGCTCATGATCTCCTCCACGACCTGTTGCAAGTTTCTCCGCCCATGCTCCGTCTGCATTTTTCGCGTCGAAATCAGGACGCACGAAACGCTTTTTGGGCTTTTCAGCTGCGGCTTGTCCGTATCCTGCACTACGCACCTTCGTGTGGAAGGTCGTATTACTTGCACTTGCTGCCTGGTTTTTGCCGCTATTGCTAGACAACGCTGCTGCCCGCGTAGTGTATCCAAGTTGCCGGCTCACATGCGTCCGTGAGCCTCCTGCTGTTTTTGACGAGGCTCTATTGCTGCTGGCAGATCCTGTTTGACCTGCTTTTGAGGTTGCGTCAATGATACCCAATGCTCTCCCGATTGCCGTCCGCGGTGGAATCGGAGCTACTGCGACGATTGTTGGCGCAGAAGCTGACACTGCACTGCTCACACTTTCGTCCACTGGCTCCCCAGTCACCATACGCTCGGCGAGGCCATCAGTCACATTGGCACGTCTCGCGTTGACATTGTCTGCGCTTGCGTCATTGTGATGAAGCGTCCTCGGCGCTTCTAGCCCAAAATAAGCTTCGCTGCCGATATCGACCTCGTCGCCCACATACACGTGACCCTGCTCAACTTCTGGAATCTCCTGCAACCAGCCCTCAATGTACACACGCTGCTCGCAGATCGCATCGAAAACAGCATCCATGACCATGCCTTCATTCCCATCAGGAGTATCTGCGGCAACGCCCATCAGATCTCCTGTCAACTCGTTCAATCGTATGAAGAGGACACGGAACTCCGTCTCCTCCACCGCGCAAAGTATCAGTTCTGACGTGGTAGCACATTCTGGTGCAACCCGATGTAGTTCACCAGAAGAACCATCGTCACGTGATGAAGCTCGTGTGCAGCATGTCGCAGCCCCATCTAGTAAACGGAAAGAACGCGCATTACACGCCGACGCTGTACTACTCGAACCGGCTATATTAGATCCCTCACCGGAAACCGTAGACTCCTGCCCATAATACTCGAACAGGCTATCCAGGAGCTGCTCTGCGTGCCACTGATGTACCAGATCCCCTTCCGTGGTAGTGAGCTCGTAAGTGCCACGATCGGGGCAGAAGGACATCAACCGCGTGGGCAAAGCCCTCCCATACTCACCATGCACCAGTTCGTGCGCCCACGCAGACGGAAGAGTCGTCGACATCGTTTTTGTTTCAGTTACCACGACTCAGACTACGTCCAAGGATGAAAAGTACAAACAAAATGGAGGTAGATGAAGTAGTAACTGCAATGTTGTCGCGGAACTTTTATCAACTGTCGCGATGCGGGTCACAAAAAACCTTTGCCTTTCAATACGATCTGGTCACTGATGCTTCACCTTCATCGTGTACTACCCGAGATCTTTCCAATGCCACCGTAAGTACTCCTGCATGCGCCTGTACAAAGGATACACGATCGACAACGTTCAGCATGGCAAAACCCGCATCGAGCTTCCCCCATGCCTCGTTTGCACAGCGATGCAATAGTAATAATTACCTCGCCGTTCCCACATGCTTTGACCCTTCTTTGACGCGCAAAAATGATCAGAGATGAAAAATGTTAGGAGTAAGTAGCAAGCACTGGCAAATAGCCTCCGGTGCGTCGATGTGCTCATTCTTTCACATTGTTTGAATACATACTGTTCAAATCTTCATGGAATAGGAAAATACAGAGAAAAACTGCAACTCAAGAATCTGTCAGAAAAAAACTGTAGCCAAAACTTGCCTACGAAAAATCCAAATGAAGTAGTGCCTGTGCGAGGCACATGTAGATGAAGATGATGATACTACAATCCATTCACTACAAAAAATGCGCTTCTACTGCTAATCCTTGGAACTACAACTTATTTATCATGCATGAAACAAACGGAATGTTCAACTCAAACCCTACACATGCTCCTTTCCTCACGACGCCATGCGCCATTTCCGAAATCTACTCCTTGCCTCGTTGCCCACGCAGATTCTTCACTTCTGCGGACTTGCAGCTTCATTGTCGTAAAGGTGCTCTGCCGAAAATTCCAACCACTTGGATGCATGCTGTGTTGCAAGCTGCCGAATCTGCTGGGCTTTGCCGTAGCACTGAGGACCGTGCATCTCCTCGGTTATCGGCAGAAGGTACATGAAGTTCGCTGTGGCGTAGAACTTCGTAATATTCTCTGTCAGCAAGCCCTTGTGGGAATGCTTCTTGCCTCGCCGATTGACGCCCTTCTCACTGGTCTCGTCCTCATACTCGCTATACTCGCTCTCGCTATTGTTGGACCTAAGGGAAGTCGTGTGTGTCGAATAGATACGTCCTTGGTCAGACAAACAGAAATCGCTAGTACCTAGCTACATCAACAGCTACAACTGGATTTGAAGGTGCGATCATGAAAAACCATTCTTGGTGAATTCTATAACAAGTATTGCTGCTTACAAAAGTACCTACTACATTATAAGTAGTACTGTTCCCACATCTGGCGATACACTTGTAGCATCTTTTGCTTCGTATTGCCCTTATGCTTGCGTCTCTTCGCTGCTTCGCGTCGTTTCGTGTATTCATCCTCGCTATCTCGAGAAAGAAGGCCCGGTCGAGACCGACACGAGAGCTTCTTCTGATCAGATCCCTCCTCATCGGAACTGCTACGCGACACCTGTGACGACGGTCCTGCACCGGTCAGAATCGGTTTGCTCGGAGACGTGGCGGACGTTTGGTCGCTTGGAAGCATTAGATAGGCAGTGGGACAAGTATGGAGGAGCAAGAGTACTTACTTGCTCTTGCTCGAACGAAGCAACTCTTGAGAATAGTTGTGCTTGTGGTGGGGCACCTCTCTAGAAAAAACAAAAACCAGAGACTCGGTCATTGATCTTGAACGTTCCATCTAAGCTGTGAATATCTTCCACACTGACAGTGCGATCTTTATTCGACGATCCGCTTCCGCAGGACAATGATCTTAGAATCTCAAAAGTTTAATGGTAAGCGAGCCTCAGTTCCTTCCATAAGACTTCCTCATGCGTCTTGAGAGTCCCAGGCTCTGCTAGACGCTCTGGCTCGCCTTCAACTGCGCCAACGAGTTGAAAAATTTGCGATATCAGCTTGCCTTTGATAACTCGATCTATATACGTCAACACCGATAGCGAGGGATCGTGGTTTACTTCGAGAAGCCAACATTTCGAGAAATCGGAGTGAAACCTACGGCGTTATTGGTGGAGAGTGAAGAAGAAGATGTGATAGTAAGTAATACTTACCAGATAATGATCACGTGATGTTGCGGTATGCACCAGAAGTACGAATGTCGCAGAATAAAGATGATTTGTGAACCAGAGGACAACATCAGCAGCATCAATGATCTTCCTACAAAGTCGAGAAGTTAACTGTCTTCAACGGGTTCTTGCGGCGTACCAGCAACTGCAATACCAGAGTCGAAAAGCTTCCAATCTCGCATCTGCTATCAACAACTGTCAGAGTCATGGGAGAATTTGTAGTACTTAAGCTCAGTACATGACGTCGAATCCCAAGAGTTGAAAGGAGCGGACGTTTTTCGGGAAATAACGCCGATTTGCCACATCCAACTTCGGAGCTACAGCTAGTAGCGTCTTGGCCACTACATCCGCAATTGGCAGCCATAACCTTGCCACAGGAATACAGTAGGTTCGGGAAATCTGGTGGGATCGATGATTTGTGAGCGCTGCTCTTTTTGAGGAAAAAGATACTTACATGTATGTTTACAAAAAATTCTAATCTTCACTACACCGTGAGATACAAGTCTCTGCAAGCCCCACCGTTGATGCATCCGCCGTGTTATAATTATTACACGGCGACATTGTGATGAAATGATAGTCAACGTAAACGTACAACATGCAATTGTTGTAGGTGGATGAGAATCAAGCACAACTAAGCCAACCACAGTCACATCTTAGTTTATTTTACCCACGATCAAACGCGACATCGTCGTTTTCATCACACACCCAAGTTCTTACAAAAAGAATACCTGCTCCAACACGCACTTCAAACTCCTTTTGCTGCCTGTGTGCGGTTCCCCAGTGTCATCAAAATTGTCGTCCTTCCAGTTGATACTGAAATTCGTCAAATGCTTCTGAAATGTATCCAGATTCCGAGGTCGTGGTTTGCTGTATCCCTGCGTGCACAAACGCGCAAATCCTTCGTCAGAGAATGAAGAAGGAAGAAGTATTGCGTGTCCAGGGAAAGGGGGTGAAGGAGTGTGAAATAGAGTAGTAAGTAGTAAAGTAAAATTCGATCGTTCAGTGTTGATCTGATGGCCATCATGAGCGATTATTTGTTCAACATCAACATCTTCTGTCAACATCAACATCTTCTGTCAACATCAACATCTTCTGTCAATACCAACAATGCTTTTTAACCTCTCGCGCACTTCAAGAAGTGTTGTACCTCTGCCATAAAAACAAATACGCCTTCAACTCTGGCCTTGTGGCCGTGATCAGCACGTAGACTCGGCAGTCCCACTTCACCCCCTCCTCCATTGTAGCGGGTGCTGTGATATACCTCTGCAACAAGAATCGATTGCACTTCTGTCCAGGCACAACCGTGTCCGGCATCTTGGCAGGGGAACGACCTCCAGCAGTAGAACCGCAATGATCATCGTTTGCTCCTCCTGTGCCAGTGCTTCCTGAAAGATTAGAATTGCTTGTTCCTGGTGTAGTACTTGCATTCTTCTTCCCGCTGTTCATCAAACGGTGTTGTGCAAGCGTCCTCTCGCTATGTAAGCCTGGGTGCATGATGGTGTTGGTAGAACGATCCACCACAACTCCTTGGTCATGCATCCACTGGTAGAATTGTTGCTCTGTCATCCCGCGATTTATGGTCGGTGGTGCGACGATGGAGAATGAAGATGTGAGGTCGTGGGACGGCGGGGTGGAAGGGTGATGTGCAACAAGTGTGGAAGCAGATGAACTAGAAATGAAGATGAAAACCTTAATATCATCTGGAACAAATTGAGAATCTCGCTCCACCACAGGCAGCAGTAGGTACAATTTTCCCTAGTAAGTCCGTCGTGATGAACAAAATTAAAACCACCAGAAGGAGTTGTAAGAGAATGAGAGGCCGAAACTTTATCCTCTTGTTACTAGTCAGTGCCGAATATAACGTAAACGAGAATGGAGAGGGTGAGGAGGGTAAGTAGGAGGAAAATGAAAAAAAACTGGTTACCGAATAAAACAACTCTACTACTGTCCCATAAGATCGACTCCACTTTTTTTAGAATGTCTTCTAGCCACACGCCCTGTCGAAAGGCGTCTTGTGAAATCTGCAGCAGACGGATCCCATTTCCCTTTGCCGCGTCCACAGGCTTCAGGATAAACGTGCACCGCTGACTCTTTTTGTCGGTGGCTTTGGGTATGAAAAAGGAGGTGTCGAGGCACAGCAGACGCAGGACAACCCATAATTAATGGCGCGGCTAGTCGCATGCGTATGGATCTTCCGTCATCAACAAGTAAAATTTGACAAACATGAGATGTAGAGAGCTGAAGATACAAACGGTCGATCACTCACCATAACTTGTGCACTATCACTGCTTCCCGCTAGCACGTTTTTCTTCAACAAAGCTAAGGGACTGTTGTCAGCGTCCTCTCTAGGAATTCGCGTCCCACCTGGTGTCATGATCATGCGTCTCAGCGTTAGAGGAGTAGAGCAAGAAAGAAGAGGATAGTTACACGTACAATACGTAGCACGACCAACACCAAGCACCGCAAACATTACGACTCACACTGCTCGCGCAGCAATTCTCTGAAAATTTGATCTATCAAGGATCGTGCACAACGAAGCTCGCTTCCAAAAGACTCAAAAGAAACTTCGTAACTCTCCATCCACATCTCCTCCACCACCGTTGAAAGAGTCTAAGTCTTCGTCTTTCCCACCTGGTGTCTTGGCAGCTAGCCATGGTGGTGCGTCGTCTAGAGCGCTCAAAGGAGAACCCAAAACCGCAGCCAAGTCAGGGTTACTTTTCATCAAGCGTTGGCGAGCGCGCTCCTGACTATATCGGCCACCCATGAGACCGCGAAACCAAGGGGATGAAGGACGAGAGAGGAAGAGGAGATAATCATGAGCGACTACAGAGAAGTTGGATCCACAACATAAAGAACGGTCACATCGTCCACAAACCTTACATTGATCTGCTCCTGGTTACACACAGATCTTGTCTGTACGAGATTCATGGTATTGCATTCTTGTTGCACTTAGACGACCGTGAGCGAAAAACAACTACTACTATCCGATGAACGAATCAGCAAGAACACCCAATTTCCATAACATCCCACTTCCTTTAGCAGCAGCCTCGTCTTCCAGTTGCTCTAGCGCCCCTTCCTTTGTGGGGCTGCCTGCATTCGATCCCGCATCTTCTGCAGCTGCCTTGGTTGGGGATGATGTCAAGGATCCTAGGGTTTTAGAATGCGTTCTTGATCCAGATTTCCCACTACATCGACTCTTCTAAGACAAACAAGTCAAAGTAGCACAGAGATGTCAACAGTGTCATAACCTCCCGCTCTTTATTCGGCGACCCTGCTCCAGCCTGGGGTCCAAGAAGGTTCGGATTGCTCAGGCCTGCAGACCTGATCGACAGCTTCTCCACAGTTTTACTCAAGCCACTCTCGGATTAGAGCTTCCCGGTTTGATGATCCTAGAACCTGTCTCTCTCCATCTAGAGGGGTTCCTCTTAGTAGACCTGTTCCTCTCCCTCTAGAGGGCGACGAGAAGGCCCTCTCCATCTAGACCCGCAGTCGAGACCACTAGAGGAAGGCCTTGGGTGGAAGCTCGAAGATGGACTCCCAACAGATTCATGAAGATGCCTTAATCAGATGAAGTGCCCCCTTGATGTGGATGATCCACGCAGAAATCGCCTTGTTGTACCCTCTGTCCCGCTGGAAGCAGTCTCGCTGCTAGATATTTCGTTAAGTCGCGACGATCGGTTGATAGACAGTAGGTTGGCGGAAAGAAGTGGGATTAGAGTAAGTTATTGAGGTAGTAGGAAGAAGTTGGACAGTAGGTAGGGGATTAGAGAGAAGTGGGATAGGGATTAGAATAAGGTATTGAGTTAGTGGGAAGAAGTTGAGATAAGCTGATCATTTGGAATCCATTCTATCCTCGACATAATTGTAATCGTCCGGTAGGGACTTTCGTAGTCCCTGTAGATTGCGCGCCAGCAAATCCTTCCTCGTTATGTGATACATCTGCGGAAAGCGATTCACGTAGACAAAATCGTCTGGCTGGGATGGCTCTGTTGGATCCGAGGCCGCGTTTTGCTGGTCTTGTTGAGCTCCATGTTGTAGTTGAAGATGTTTATTGGGAGACGTGGACGAAGTAGAAGTAGATGCTGCTGAAGATTGATTTGATGGTCTTCTCTTGCTCGGAGCAGACGAGGAGCTCGAAGAAGATTGATGTTCTGTAGAAGTCGTCTTGGCACTTTGTTCTATTGCTTTGGTAGGAGATGTTCCAGTAGAGGATGAAGTTTTTGCTGAAGATTGTTCCCCTTCTTTTCTTGTAGTATTGGCAATAGTACCGTGGTCTCCGCCATCACCCTTTCTAATCTCACCTCCTCCTTCTGTGCTGCTTTTCTTGTTCATCTTCACTACAGCAGCCTCTTCTACTTGTTCACTCACACTGGCACTATTGCTCACAGCACTTTTTGTATTACCAACAGAATTTGAATTCTTTCTGCCGGAAAAGTCTCGTCCTCCACCTCCCCTAGAGGCACTCTGTTCTTTCGACAGTTTAGACAGCCTTGCTTGCAAGACGCGGAGCCTTGCAGGCGACACTTCGTCTGGAGCATCGCAAGGTGAGCTCTTCCTCGAAGATGAAGAGCTGCTGGTTGAGGATTTTGAGGTGGATCCCTCCACTGCTGGTGGCGGAGGGGCTTTGTCTTCAGCATTGGCGTAGGGAGCATTCTTGGACCTAGAAGGCGTTAATGAAGATGTTGACGCTGTTGTAGTCCCTACAACTGCTCCGCTCCCAGTCTTAGTGGCCAAGGTGTTCTCTAGAGCAGCAGCGCCTGTAGTTGTAGAACTGGTAGAAGGCTTCCGACTCGGTGATGCAGAACTACTTGAGCCTACACCACTACCTCTACCACCAGTAGTGCGATAATTTGCCTTTACTGGCGTCCCAGTCCCACCGACGCCTTCTAGCTCATTCTTCGCCGCATTAGAGGCCATACTAGCGTTTCTCATGTGTGCCTTACTTGGCGGCGAAACACTACTTGCCATTTGCGACGGCGTTGGGGCATTACTCCCACCACCGAGTCCACCAGTGTTGCGTACCGGAGAACCTCGCACAGGGGAACCAGCACCGCCGCTCCTATTAGAGCTAGCACTCACCGCATCCAAGTCACATCCTTGGAGGACACTTCTTTTCCCGCCCTTGAAAAACAGAAGCCAAGGATATGTTGACATTAAGGATCGATTATAAGGATGAACATGCTTCAGGTTGGTCAGCGGTAGCCTTAATCCTAGTACCCTGATGCACGCCTATTTTGTCGCGTAAAGGAGAGAAGCCTGCTCCAGCAGCAAGGGTTCCACCAGATGTCGCAGCTAGCACTTCAACAGGTGAAGGAAGAGAAGGTAGCCCTGAACTCGAAGCTGCCGTCTTAAATGCATTTGCTGCAGTCACTGCGCCTAGGAGACCGCTAATTAGAAGAGGATGGAAGTGTCTTCTTCTTCAGGAGCAAGGTTTTGGCCTATTTATTTCTTGCAGGAAGTACCACGTTACCACGAACTATATTATAAGAGAAGTGCATTTATTGAAATGTTTTCCAGTAGGAAAATGGATTCATCATGTCCCCATTCAATCACAGTGTTGTAATCTTTTTTTTTTTTGTAGTGCGAGCGAGTTCCGATAAATCAGAACCTACCTGCGTATTTTCCGCGTAGCTACCGGCGCACAGTGTTGTAATCAAGCGACAAGGTAGCCTAGTTCTTCCCTAGTACATAGTCCACCTAAAGATTCCGATGACCTCGTCATAACTTCCTTGCCTTCTGGAGCATGGCTATCTTTTCCCGCTGGATAGCCAATAATCGATCCCTTCTCGCATTGACAACTCTCGCTTGCTGCAAGAACCTATCCAGGTCTTCCTTATCCGAGCACCAGACTATCCTCGCTTGATCGGCATTGTCTACTCTAGGGGTTAGAAGATTTGACGATGATGATGATGATGATGACGACAGTGGCAGAACTGTCTTACAGCACTAAGTGCAACCATTGAGACTATGATCATGATGCTGATAGACGCGATGGCACAGTGCTAACATTTCTTGCTTTCACATATGAATTCTCCATCGAGATGAACTCATCGACCACCAACATGGATCATAACTCAATATCCAATTTCTGTGCTATCTTCGCTGCCACGTGCCTGGTCGCTACCATCCTTGGTGGGAAATATATCGTTGTCGGTAATGCAAGGCCGCCACTTGCCGCGCTACTGCTTCCTTCTTTTTCAATCTCTGTAGTCTTAGAGGTACGGCTTTGGTGTTTCCGTTTCCCGTTTCTTGTAGCGCTTTTCTCCACCCTTAGGGCTAGGAGAGGCAAAAAAACGGTAACAGGAACACCTAGTAACGCCGACCCTTAATGGTACTATCTCTATCTTCTATGGTTCCAGCAGCACCACCTGCTCCTCCTTCAATATGACCACTGCTACCACTGCTCCCTCTAGCAGGCAGACTCGCTCCCCCAGTTTGGGCACTACTATTAGAGCTACCGTGGTCGCACTGTCCCTGAACAGAACGCTTGCGTCATACTCACGTAGTTTTCTATGAGAAAAAGAACAAGTGAAGAACCAAGGATCAGGATCATGGGGTTAATAAGAAAGCGGGATACGCTCTTGCTCCGTCCACCAGCAAAGTAGCCTTAATACTAGTCCAAGCTGAAGCGAACTCATCGAATGCGACCCGTCTGTTCTGAGGAACGCCAGCAAAGAAAGCCTTCCAGAGTTGCAACTCATCCTCTTCTCTAACTTTGTCGTCGAGAGAGCTGAAAGCGTACGTACTATAACTCGAAGAGCTCTGCCCGCCTCCGCCAGAGCCGTAGGAATGGCCGAAAGGGCGGGAGGGATTAGAGGTCAAGAACGCTGAAGATGTTCGTGTAGTTCTTTTGGCATTCTTGATTCTTGATTATGATTTTGTGAAGGGAATATACTTAGAATCTCTTGCTCATTTGAATCTCAGCTAGGTAGAAGCAGAGTACTGTACAGCTAGCTGATCAAGATCATCTACATATTTTCCCAAAGCTAAAGTTAGGCTTTAAGCAGAATCATAGGACCCCCCTTCGCACTAGGAGATTGACCTGCTTGAGGTTGTGGTCCTTGTCCCTCATTCCCCGATGCAAAGCCACTTTTCAGGGCTTGGTCGATGTCACTAGGAGCATCACTTTTACTATCCGACGCCGACAAGGCTGATCCTGATGCACCTCCGCGAGCGTAATCAATAGCTCCTGTAGTTCCTGCAATGCCTGCGAAGTAAGATGAGCTAGAACTGCTAGAAGAAGCTGAGCCTGACGCACTCCCAGCAGACGTGGAAGAGGTAGTGGCACTAGAGGACGTAGACCTTCTGTCATGATGCTTTTGTAATAGAGAAGAACTTGAGCTGCCAGAAGCGCTACTTCCGCCTGCCCCGGACGCTGATCCAGTAGGGGTACCTGTCGATGACGTCTGTTGAGACGACGATGTGAGTTAGAAATATCACGAAGGTAGAGGTCCTCTCAGGAAAGTTGCTTAGCGTTCGTCATGTAAACATAAACATGCACAGGGTGTTGTCAGTCTCAGTGTCACCCACACCCTTGGTATAAGTGTCATGTCGTGTTACCTCGTGACCCATCCTATCAAATGGTTGTGAGGTTGCTTCAGCCGACTTGTAGTACCTTCTCAGAAGAACCCAAGTACTTACTTATGCAGTTATCTATTTGTTTCATTCGAATTCGTGTACGTGTACTACGTAGTTCACCAAAATAAAAATTGGTGACATGATCTCCTATTTTCATAAGAGCTACTCGAGCCTGAGCTTGATACAAAGTGCGCTCCACCAGCAGCTCTTTGTTGTAATCTTTTCATCAATCGCGCACGACTTTGAAGTTCTCCAGAGGCTGTCCTAGGACGCTCACTTGAATGCTTCCACTCACTGGGGGAGAGTGTCGATATGGGAATGTCGTTCCCACTTTGCATCCTTACTTGGGAACGACATTCCCATATCTTTGTTCACCTCAATGAGTTGCATCATACATCACTATGAGAAGTATCTCCTTGTTCTTCCGCCACCCCCGCACTATTATGAGCAGGATCGATGTGTTCCAGCAAGTGATGCTTTGTCCTCCGATAATGCATCTTCGAGAAAGAACCTGGTGACACAGCCTCTTCTGCGCCACCGCGTCCAGGTGACGCTACTCCGGCAAGTAATGGTCCAGCATGAAGATTCTGCAATTCCCTTGTGGTGGTGGTAGACATCATTGTACCCGTACCGCGATTACGTGCCATACCCGTAGAAGGCGAGAGCGAATTCCTTGCCAAATTATAATGTGGTGACGCAAGTGCTTTATTGTTCACAGACGGAGAACCAGTTGTTGTACTCGTGGCATTCGCGTCGAGAGAAGGTAATTGATGATGGCTGTTTTTCTCCCCTGGTGACGTGGCGAAGGAACCGACTAAACCGGGTCCCTTGTGAGGCGAGCCGCTCCCTGTGGAGCGGCGCCGATGGAGCTGCTGATACATTCTTCTTTAAGGCTTCTCCAGCCGGTCCCTTGTGCGCCGATGGAGCTGCTGATACATTCTTCTTTAAGGCTTCTGGTGGTGGAGTTCTTCTTCGTGATTACTTAGTACCTATAATTGATCAGTTTCAGCCAGGTACTGGAGGCGCAGTACTTCGCTGCATGTTTATATATAATTTGGATTTGAGGGACGTTCAGTACATACTACCTTTTTTTTGAATATGACGTTTTTTCTCTTCACAATATCAGTGAGTCCAAGTTCCACCAGCTCTCAATTTTCAACTTCAGCAAAAGCTGCGGCCAAAGAGCCAACGCACCAGCTGGGGTGGGCGCAGAGAAGTCTTACATTTCTCGTTTTTTCTCCCTCACTCTATGTTTCCTCTTTCACGACTCATTTCGATGGCTTCACTGTCCCAAGTAAGGAAGCCCGTTATCGCCAGGCAAGACGCATGGCATGGAGTGCATGGATCACATGGAATAGCAAGAAATCTGCTGCATGTGCATCGTCCCCAGTCTATCATATATTATAAGTACTTCATCTTTGGTGACATCACAGAGACAGGACGAAATCCCATCTACTTCTTCTGCAGTGAATTTTGAGTGTGGTGTAGATGAATACAGGAGATTGCAGACGTGGAGTCCTGAGTCTGAGAAGTTGTAGATGAGTCTTGAATTATGGTCAATGAACAATGTGCCTCAAAAATGGAGATCTATTTTGATCCTTAGTACCATGTCGTGTACTAGTATGTGAATTTTACAACAGAGCAGTGAAAACGGCGAGGGATGTTTCATTAAGGGTTGATTGCAAGAAAACGAGGATATCTTGATACCTTGTGATTGGATGTTCGATTTTGATTTTTCTTAGAACCCTTAGAAGCGTCTACTAGTATGTCCTAGTGCAGCAGCTATAAGTACTGTTGAAGTAGGTGAGTGTATAGGATACTATATTGGGCGGAAGGTTTGAAGATGAGGTTGGTTGAAGGTGCAGCATTTTCATTTAATTTTTACACATGAACATGATACATTAATAGCATTAAAAAAGTTAATTGACGAAGATCAGCTGCAAGTACAAGTTCTTGAAGAGCAGACTACTAAATCGAAAAACTTCATTCAACTTCATCTACAACTACGAAGTACCTCTAGCATCCATTTTCATTAAGAATAATCTGAAAGAGAAAAACTAAACCGTGGCTTTCTCACGTAGGAACTGAAAAAGCTCTCTATCACTATTTCCTGGCTTTCTCAAAGTTCTCGACAAACCAATCGCAGCTTTTCTGTAGGCCGTCTTCAAACTTTGTGAATTCGTAATCTGGTAAAAACTTTCGCAGTTTCGCATTGCTCGCTGTCTTCTTGTGTTGTCCGTCTGACTCGGGATTAGAGGGAGGCCATAGGTCCAGGGAATAGGGTTAGGGAACCTATCTTTTATTAATAGTTTCCCACTCAGTGAAGAACGGGACGTGGGAGCAACATATTAATCACCTATCGGCAATCTAAGTTAGTGACGATGTTTTTATCACAGAGCAATCTATAAGGTTTCACAGCTCGCATGGCATGGAGTGCATGGATCATGGATCACATGGAGGAGCATGGAGCTAAAGGGAGAGCTTCCTGCGCCCCTTAAAGCTCTGCGCTCCATGCACTCCATGCGTGCTATAAACTACTCTGTTATCAGGAATTACTGGAAGAAAAAACTTCTTTTGAAAACAGCCTAAGCTAGTGGAGTTAGTGCCTGAAAACAGCCTCCTTTTGCCCCAGCATAGTGATCCCCCACCTGCACCTCCTGCTCAGCATGACTACTGTACAATTACAATCAGTACTAGTATCAAGTACTACCACCTGATAAAACACCTGACGACACAGTAGAAGTTAAATAATATGATCTGTTATACTTTATTTCCTGGTGTGTCAGAAACAGAAGATCGATGGGTTCATCTAACACGATAATTTCGCCATAATTGAAGTGTCAAAGACGACTTCCCCTTCAAACTTCATGGCCTTCGCGACTTTGTAGGCTAGGTCCTTGATCGTTACTTCATCCTTTTCGTCAACCGACAGGACAATGGATTCTGGGGAATGGTACCTTGTTTATTGTGTGGGAAGAAGTACTTACTCCACGAGCATCACCCACACGACGACTAAATCTAGTTGTAAAACAGAAGTCACACAAGTAGTACTCCATCATGACCCAGACAACAAGCTCGGCTAAGTCCTCTGAATAGATAAACTGTCGCAAAGGCGTTCCACTTCCCCAGATCTGGAATGGCGTTCCTTCCTTCTTAGCCGTATAGCACTTGTGAATGAGTCCGGGAATTACGTGTGAACCTGGTGTTACGTGATTTGCATGGAGTTGTTGTGATTTGCATTTAAACTGTAGATGTAGTTGTAGTTCGTTGTTGTTATTTGGCTCTTTAGTAAAGGTGGACTTGGGTCGTGTCAGAATGATCATAGAAAAACGTAACGGTGTCCGTCATTTAATTTGAGACAATGATCCATTCCAAAAAAGTCTATACTTTCCAAGCTGTAGTTGTCGTTTGGGCCATAGATGTTGCAAGGCACGATAGACGTGAAATTGCAGCCGTATTCCTCGTTGTAGCACTTTGAAAGGACGTCGATCATCCGTTTTGCGTAGGAATAGCCGACGTTGCGGAAATTAGAGCCACAAAGGCGCTTGGATCTGTGTCACGATAGAGATTGTTGATCGAGAGGTATTCCAAATGATCACGAGAGCGCTTTTTTTTCTACCTGAAAAATGCGCATTTTCTTCTTGACAAAGGGGCTTTTATCGTCTTCTTGAAAAAAATAGAAAAGGCAAATCGAATGATATTTAATATTTTCTAGGTTAGTACGAGAGGTACTACACAAACACAAGATACACGGTTGCCTTAATATCATGTGGCGCCCCGTTGTGTACCATCGTTTCGTCAATCGGGTAAGACGTTTTATCCGGAAAGATACACGTCGACAGGCAAGAGACTAGTTTCTTGACAAGAGCTTAGATGAAACAGGAGTCGACAGGACCTCGAACAAGAAGGTGTTGATTTACGAATCTTATATAAATATTATAATGCTGATGACATATCTTATAATGCTGATCCTGATGATGCTGTTAGTCGATTGGAGCATGAATCTTCATCCTATTCTTGTTTCACTTGTTTCATGAACCTTAAAAAGTGCGAACATGACAAAGGAACAAAGCGGAAAGTACTTGATAACTTCGCTATAAATAATAAGATCACAAACGAAAGTCCCGCCATAACCGTAGATCCTGCAGCACTCCATCACGTTGTCGTTCAGCAGAATGTTTTCTCTGTAGAACTCGACTTTATACTTCATATTGGCAAACAAGCCTCCAACTTTGGCTGCCAGATGGATGACATGAGTTGGCCTGTGCTTCTCAAAAATGGCTTCGCATGCAGCTCGGTCCACTAGGTTGCCGTGAGACTTAGAAGAGGAGAGTGAGTGGAGACGAGGAGGTAGAACGTTCTTAGGGTCAGAGGAGAGTGGAGACGAGGAGGTAGAAAACGTTCTGAGGGTTACTGGAGGAGAGTGGAGAGGAGAAGGAGATAAAAGGTCCAAAGAGTGTAAGAAACTTCTGTTTTGCACGTCGTTCATGGACAAGGAATAAGCATAGGGTAGGACTTAGCTCTCTTGCGCAGTCGAAGATGTTGTTATCTCTCCTTCAAGGTAGAATGAAAAAATTGGAGGCTCTTTCATGCGAACAATTCTATACCTCTAGAACTGCTTTGGTTCTAAAAACTTATAGCTCAAGAAGCAGAATGCAGCATCTTCATCCATAACTTTCGAACTCAAGTATACCCACTTTTGTTTTGCCAGTTTTTCTCCCGTCAACTTCGATAACGCATTCGAACTGGCACTATCTCCTTGCTCTGTCGCTCTTGCTACCACCTTCTGTAAAGCATACCCTATCAAACCGGTATTAGAGCTACTACCTAGGAGAAATCCATCTTTCTAGTTGTGGAGCATGATCCCACCTGTGGCTGAGCATGATCCCACGTTTGGTTGTGCCTTCTTCTTCAGCATCCCACTGGCAGTGCTGCCCGTTTTCATCCCTTCATAAAAATAACAAATCGAAGGCTCTAAATAGAAGGTTGTTGATGTGCCCGTACTATATTGAAACGGTTTTCATCATCCCTTCTTTCAAATAGAAGAAGGCTCTTAACAAACAAATGCGCCCAGCCCTTGTTAACAAACAAGAAATACGCCCAGCCCTGCTTGTTAACTAACAAGAAATACGTCCATCAAGATGATGCTTCTCCAAGCCTTAACGGTGCCTCCGGTCACGAGAACGACCTCTTGCTGGTCTTGCGGCATATCAGCTCCACTTGTGTTGTCAGCCGCGAGAGTGGTTGTAACAGGACTCGTAGAAGAGTGGCTCGAGGAAACCATCTTCTGAGTGAATGACTCCACTTGATGATGATTTGAACCTATTCGGCAGCTTTTTGGAGGGAGGCAATATATTGACAATGATCCTACCAAAATTTACTACGACGTGTGGTAGTGGTTGTCCTTCTCCTATCACTTCTACTCCTAGGCTACTTGAATATTCTTTTGTTTTCTAGTAAGTACTTAAAATGATCGAAGCTTAGCGAGACAGGGAGATGTGCTGCCTTATCTGGTGGTCTTATATGAAATATCGGATCAGGGTAAGGTTAAGGATCTAGTCGAAAGTGTAAATATGATGAGACAAACCACCATGTCCAAATAAATTAGAATGAAGGAAATCTCTCACTCCAGCAACTCTGTCTCTGGTGCATCGGAATTTCATCAACTGCGAAAGAGAACTTTCTCTCAAGACAACAGCCCAGCAGCTGCGTACAGGAGCATGATAGTTGTCTCACTGCTTACAACAGGAGGACCTCCTATCTTTTGTGCTGATGCTTCCATTTGAAATACAAAAATAACACACCAATCCCAATGTTTCACAACGGCACACCAATTTTTCACAACGACACCGTGTCCGATCCACAAGTCGATGTGCCTCAGCAATAAAAAGTGTAAACTTTTTATCTTCCTTGTTCTGCATAATCGCGAAGCGAGTATCAACAAGTTTAGCTTTCCACTTTTTCTTTCTTCTTTCCACCACCAGCTTTTCTGCATAATTTACATTTTCGATTATGTTTTTCGCAAAAAGTAGAGGCTTCTAGTCGAACTCCTGTATCCTTGAAGGACGTGAGCATGATGTACCAGCAGTATTTGTCTTGCTGTGGTCAAAGTTTTCTGTGCACGATGTCGGGTTTCAGTACTTTTTTTGTCACATAAAAGATAACCTCCTTGTGTGCAGCCATAGCTCTTGCTGTAGTTTCTGTTCATCTTTTTACACAGAAGATGCATTCCTCGATGCCAAAGTAGCAAATTAGCAAAACAAGATTGGTGTATAAGTGCAGCCACTATTAGTGTATTTCTTGTCAAAAACGGAACAAAAATCGAACACAAAGCCTTTCTACTCACTTCTACAGCATACGATCATGCCCACAAAATTTGCTCACCCACGACCTGATCCAACTTCTTCTTCCCAACTTGATCTACTCGACCTGTGCCACCACTGCGACTACCACCACCACCATGACCACTACCACCACCGTCATCAATGCCACCACCACCACCACCACCAATGCCACCACCACCACCTGAACCTTGGTCGCCTTTCATTTCAACACCACCCCCCTCTCCTATTTCAACTGCAAAGGTTCTCAGCTCCCACCGTCTCAGCGTCGTCTTCCAGTCTCCTCTGATCGGCAACCTTTCTGGCTTCCTCCCCAGCCATGCTGGCATCGAAGCGCGAAGTTGATTCGCGCTAATGGACAGTTCGTGAACGTTTTTGATCTTCATGTCTGACTTGGTGTTCGAATTCCTTCTATTCAACATGACACCAGTGGTACGTTGAAAGAAAGCCGCTAGGTCGACCTCAACGTCATCTGAAGTGAGACCATTGTGAGCAATGCGGAGAAGGAAAGTAGTGGTCCGAGAGGAGGAGGTATGCTCATTGTCTGCGCCAGCTCGTTGTTGAGGTTCAGATGAGATCATAGAAGATGTTGACCAAGGAGAGAAAAGAAGATCTTGATGATCATGACGATCTTGAAGATCATGACGATCTTGAAGATCATCAAGAAAAAGCGCCTTTGTCCTTTCCGCTAATTGACTCGAATTCTTCAACACTAGGTCGAGGTAACTGAAGGGCTCGAACGATAGAAGCTGAAGAGACGGAGGCCATTCTAAATCTTCTGGTGTTGGTAGTTCTTTCCGACGTGTTATTTCTGTGGAAGATGCGGCCGATGCTTTTACTCTTGATCTTGACGCATCCTTCAAGCTATGCATCGGCCCTTCTCCCGCCAGCTTGTTCACATCACCACCACTATCTCCAGCCGGAAACAACACAATCGGCGATCCATACAACTCATCTTGCAATCGTCTCCATGGTTCTGCTTCATGTTGATGTCCTGCTCGTAATATGGCACGCTCTACTTCATGTCGTCCTTGTTCTGGTTGCGTTTTAGACCTTCCGGGAATCCATTTTCTTCAGTGTCTTCATCTTGGGTCTCTTTTTCCCTTAGAGAGTGCCCCAAGATGATGCTTCATTCCGAAGATGGATTGAGGGAAGCCTTAAGTATGGTATTTTCTTCATGATGTTGTTCTTCCTCTACTTGTATTGCACCGAACCAAACCCAGTGTTGTCCCGTCGCTAACAGTTTCGGTCCGTAGTGTACGCCGCGATCCTCGGGTTTTGGCACCTCTTTAGGGTCGTAACTGGTGACATACTGCGTTTCGTTCAAGGGCTCTCCCGCTCCACGCGCGTCGTCGAAAAGGCAATCTCGGTTGACCATTAGCTCCAAATTTAGAGCTTACTATTCTCTGAATGCATCTCCGAATGCATCTCCGAATGCATCTCCGAATGCATCTTTGTGGTGTTTGCCCCTCAAGAGCACGTTCAAGATGCCGTTAAAGATGAGTTAATAATGTAAGCCTTAATAGGTGACCAGGATAGAGACTAGTCCCACCCTGAGCTGCGTCGGTCAGCACTGTGAAGGAATGTTGTACTTGTACGTCCTTAGGATTTTTCGAGGGAGTCGTCCCTGTAGAAGAAGTACTTTTTCCTCTGTCCTCTTCATCCTGTACAAATTTGTTTCCACGAATCTCAATCGCAGCTACTACAGGATAGTAATTCCCCGCAATAGGTTCGGTCTGGACAAAATGCGGCCAATCCCGACCTCCGTCGGTCTCGCGCCGCATCATCTGTCTCCCATTGCTGTCTGTGTAGAAGACGTTTTTCTTTGTCATCTTTGTGGAGTTCATGCCATCTTCTCGTCTATCCTCCTTTTCTATTAAATCCGTAACCCACTCCGTCGAAATTTCAAGTCCATCAGGTATCGGACCTGTCGTATGCTGAATCTCCAAATGGTCCCTTACAAGCCTAACGCGTTGCCTGATGTAGTCTCCCTCATAGATTTGCCTCACTTCGAGGCCTTCCCAGAAAGTGACAGGGTATGAGAGCAGCGGGTAACAAGAACGTTGAGGACGAGAACGTATAAATATTCCTGATCGATGAGATTAACGTATGATGAGATGACCCTAAAGAGAGATTAACGTATAGGTTGTATAATGGTGAAGATGAAATATTATACATACAGATGACTATATCTAGTTCTAGTTACTTATAGTAGATACGTTACAGAACAAACATCAGCATCATGATGACAGTGAGTGGGGCGATGGTGTCTACGTTGTGGGGAAAACAAAAGAGCATCTCGTCCTGCCAATCATCGCCATACAGACTTCGTCTTCAGTATTTTGTAAGGCACTTTCGTATCATTCCGCGGACGAAAGATGTATGCGCCAGTGTTCTGTTCGTCGTTGTTGCCAATTCCGTAGTACGCTTTCCACCGTTGTCTTGCTTTTATCGTCTGCTTAGTTTCCTTGTTGAAGATCGAATCGATCTCGCCACTATCTGGATCGAAGGATACGCGAAGGAAATGGTTCTCGAGTGTCATGGAGGACGAAGTCGGAGGTTGTTGTATTGTTGGCCTGGTTGTTGAGCTTGAAACTGCTGGACGAGGATGTTGTTGTGAAGATAGTTGCTGTACTAGTTTTTGTTGCTCTACTAGAGCTCTAGTACTTGGTCTACGACTTATAGCACTTAGGAGGTGCTCATCGGGTGAGACATCTTGATGGTCGTCAACATCCTCGTTCTTCAGAGTACGAACAAAAGCGGTACTATTACTCTTCAGACTACCACGACCAGATCCCTCTGCCTCTATTCTTGTCTTATTCTTCAAACTACCACCAGATCCCTCTGCCTCTATTCTTGTCGTACTCTTGGACGCCTCCAAGACGCAAACCCTATACCCCAAGCCAGGCAATTGCACTTCGAAGTTCAGCATGTAAGGCATTTGCGTCTCCGATGACCACTCCTTGTAGTTTCCAGGTGCAAAGCCAAATATGGGAACAACATCTTGTGGCCAGTCAATGTTCTTCTTCATCGGTTTACTCTTTTTGAGAGACTTACTAGTTGTACTTGCACTAGGGTCCTCCGATCTTGCACCGTCCTGACGTCGTTTTGATTCCTCCTTTGATGTCAGGGACGCCGTGTGCGTAGGCTTCACCTTCTCCTTGTTACGCGTAGTTGGATGACACGAGACATCCACTCCATCTCCTACAGGAACCGGAATTTCGATTCTTGTCCATCTGGTACGTGGCAGAGGGTTCCAGACGAGGAAAGATACTCTAGAAGATGAAGAAGAAGAAGAAGAAGAGGAAGAAGACGATGATGACGAAGTCTGGTTTTGCTTTTCTTGCTTTTCCTTCTCCGTTTTCTCTGTTTCTGTTGCTGACATTGACACCAACCGCGACGTCGCGTCACATTTGGACTCGTTGCGAAAAAGACAGTTCTGAAGGAAGTCCTCAGTGTTATTGCCTTGTGCAGCTACGTCTAAATTGGCCTCAAACATCTCGTCAACGTGATCCAAAGCAATCAGTTCTCTCCACGTTTCCTTTCCAAACGCGATGTTAGCAGCACTCTCGTAGCCCGCATGAAGTCGTTTTTGATAGTCGAAGGTGACGTGTTGCTTCTCCGTGCCAGGCATAGCGTCATGGTGCTGGCAAATTCCTAAAGCATCTGCGAAATTCAGTAATTTCGGATTCGGGACTCCAGATAGGGCACTCCAAGTTGCTGATTAGAGGTGGAGAAACTGCAGGACGTCGACGTGTGTGAGAACTGCGACAACGGGTTGTACTCCACAAGCACAATCACTAACTGTTACATTGTCCGCATTCATCCAGCTATGATGTCGTGAAAGAGAGCTCCTGCAGCGTCCGAAAGAAGTAAGTAGCACCTCCAATTTATCAGGATCTTGGACTGGTGTCACGACAAAGCCAACAACTACTGTTGAGGAGCATACATCTTCATCTTTGAGATAATTTGAATTTTAATAGGTCATGATGTGCCATAATTAAAAGCCTGAAACAGATTGCTGAATTGCCGGACCATCCGTTTGAAGGTAGGCCTAGAGGTAAAATAGCCCGTCCAAAATCCATGCGCTCGATCCGCATACGGAAAGAAATCAGTACCAGTTTGCTTGTACGGAAAGAGCTGTGATGAAGTTGTTGCTGTCGGAGAACCAGTACGACCTGTAGTACTAGACATAGTACTACCGAGTCCGAGTAACGTCGTTGCGCGTCTAAGATGGTGTTGTCTCGGGGCAGGCAAAGTGCTGCGGTCATCCTCAAGAACAGTCCGCTTCTGCTCTCTCTCCAGTACCAGTTTTGCTTGGCCTGCCTTGGCGCTCACATAGTTTTCCATTGTCGAGTAGAAGATGCTGACTTTGTCGAAATGGCTCTGGTGGTCCTTGTGGTTGTCGAAATTATCGCTCTGGTCCACCTTATTCAAGTGCCCATCTACTTCATCGGCGGTGCCCATCTTCGCATTGATCCTTCGCATGAGTTCTTCCGTGTTGACGAAGATGCGGGTGGCATTCGAATACCAAAAATCCGATCCCCATGTCATCAATATATGGGTCTCGCCGTCCAATCCCCGCTTAGACCTGGACCTCACTTATATTCTATCTTCATCTAGATTCTTTAAGTTTATTAAGAAAGTGCATCTTTAGCGCGTTCTCCCCTTAAAAAGGGGGCCAAAGTGCATCTTTGCCGTGTTCTCCTTCCCTTAAGCATTTGCTGCACAAGGGGAACAAAGAAGATGCTTCTTAAGGTGAATTGTTGTGTTGAGCCGTAACACGTGTCTCTTCTTAGGGGTTGAAAGTTGACCGATCTAGCTCGCATATTTTCATTACCTGTCAACTTGAAAAGGTATAACACGTATGATCGTAGAGAGGTCAAGTTCCAACCCTTAATCTTCTGCTTGCTGCATGCTCACATTCAGAAAATGCGCAAATTAAAGCCAGGTCTGGAGTTTGAAGATTGACATTTCTGAGTGGATTCCTCCGCTTCCTTAACCTAATAAATGCCTAAATCCCCTTGACACACCAAATGATAGTTGTGATCATGATAAAGTGATATTCTGGGGACCATAATCCACGATCATCTCATTCTGGGTCTCGTTGGAGGCGTTAAATATCGGATTTGGGTCTACCTGGCCTTCCGGAACTGCACACAACTGATCCCACCAAAATCCGCTAGGTATTAGAGCTTTCCCCAATGCATCCCTCAGCTAGGGATCATCCCGCAAGGGCAAGTAGATCCCTGTACTACGTAAGAATATGCATCACAACGAAGTAGCTAGGGCTCATCCCGCAAGAACCATATGCATCACAACTACTACCTTCCTTGGGAACTACTTACATCAATGTGCATTTTTACTACCTCCCTTGTGCTTTGAGTATGCATTTTCATTACCTGCTCCCTTGAGAACAATGTGCATTGTTTTTACTACCTCCCTTGAATGTTGAAATATGCATTCTTACTACGCATTACTACCTCCCTTGTATTGTGGTGCATACTGATACTTTTGAGTTGAGGGATGTCTAGAATAGGTCCACTTTTTTTTGAATTATAGAAAAAGCCTCAAAGGTGGCCCGTAGTTGCCACTGTAGCTGCCAGGATTAGCGTGCGCTAGAATGCATCTCCATCTCGGCCCCGTCATCTTGGCCCCTTTCGTTGCCTTGTATCTGATGAATACAACAGGGCAAAAGGGCACCAAAATGCCGAGAAAGATGGAAAAAAGCTGACCATAACAGTAAGTCCGGTGAAAGTTTCCGTCTTGTCCTCCTCAGATGTCCAAATGAACTCTGCGCTTCGGGTTAAGATTCGATGTGCTAGATCCTGGTAGTCTAGACGTCCGAAAAAAAGCGAGTCGAAGCCAGCTTCTGCGGAGAGAAGGGAGGCGTGGACAAGCGAGTGGCCGGAGATTAGAGGATGAACAAGGACGATCATGAGGTTTGTGGAGAGTCAATATTCTAACAACTTGATGTTGAGGTAGTGGTCGAATTCTTTGAACTACAAGTAAAAGTATCCCTTCGTCCATCAGCGAAAAGCAACGTCATACCTAGAAAAAACCGATAAGAATATAAGTACGCCATAAGAAGGGATCCAATTGCCATCCAACGCGTGGCCTCTTCCCGAACTCCTTCAAGAGAAAAAAGTGGCCCAAAGCTGTCTGATCTATCATGTCAACGAAATGGGCAGCCGCCTCATCGTGCATGGACCAGCCACCGTTTAAGAACTGAAATCGATCCTCTGCCACTAGTTTCAGTAGGCTTTTCCGTTTTGCTGTACCCTGATTCGCCCACCATCTCTGGAAAAATGCCTGTTCCACGTACTGGAAAGTCCGGGTCTGGGATAAGGGATTTTTTTCCTCTGCGTCGTGCATGGATAGAGCATCCTTTATTTCCTCGTCCTCAACATTGAATAAAGCACCCATTCTTTTCCCGTTTTCGTCCTGCTCACGCTTAGAAGATGTAGTTACTGTCCTCCTCCATGCGGCCTGTGCAATAGCACTGTCTGCTTTTGCCTTTACTCTCATTTCCTCAGCAGCTTCGACGTAGCTTTTGACGGGTGAAGAAGATGTCCTCTTCGCATCATCTCTAAAAAAGTCATCCTTCGAAAAGTCTCCTGATGATGATGCTACTCGGTTCGGATTCGGCGCAGATGTCCTCTCAGCATCATCTCGAAAGCCTTGTTCGTCTTTCTTCGACAATTCCCCTAAGACACTATCCAATATATCGCTGACGCCAGCGTCTTGGATGGTGTTGTTTTCGTGCAGGAAGTACTCGGAGACCGTCTTGAGCCAGCCCACGTCATCATGCGTGTGCGGAACAATATGGATGAACAGCTTGCGGAGTGATGGACGCATCTTTTTGCTCTTTTGATCATGCCTTTGACAGTGAAAAGCACCTCACATGATGGGTAACATGATGAACTAGGTGGTGATCTACTCCTTCTCTTGTGGAACAGACAAGTTCTACACGTAGGACCGTCGTTTCTTGCAAATAGGATCGTGGTGGGATCTCTTTGTCTCTCTATCTCTGTGTCTACTTCTTCATGCCCGGTCGTGACCTTTCATCACGGTATGAGACCACAATGCATTCTTCATGTTCTCAACGGTGAAACAGATCACCAAGAACGATTTCGGTGGAAAGAAATCACAGATTTCATCACCGTCTTGCTCAACGGTGAAAGACCACAATGGAAACCTATCGCCAAGATGAACGACTTCGGTTTACCGAACACAGATTTCATCACCGTCTTGCTGTGAAAGACCACAATGGAAACATAGTACCACCAACAACGACTTCGGTTTTCCGAGTACAGATTTCATCACCGCAGAGATTCACTCACAGTCATCCATCCACGATGAAGCTGACAGCCTTGCTTCCTACCCGTTTCGGACGGATGAGTCCGTGGAAGATTCGGAAAGGGTCAGATTGACATGATATCTTTCAAAATTTTCTAAATTGCAGTAGCTAGTGTGGAACACCGTCCATATCTTTCTATATCATGAGATAAGCGAAACATCTATCTATACATCACTGGTGTGGTCGGTCGTAGATGTATTGAGGGAAAGGATGATATTGTTGAGCGACTTGATCGCATCACCGAATCGTTGTAAGCAAGTTTCCTGGTCTCATTAAGTTTACAAAATGATCCCTAACAGAATTCCTAGATATTTAGATTTGTAGATCTATTTTCAACCACGATTTCGGACAAGCCTATAATTTTCATGTTGAGCCATTTATGCGTCTTTAGGACATCAATGTTTTTTGAAAGATGACTTAGTTCTATCCTGATGGTGACGAAGTATAATAATTTTTTCATTAGAAATCGTAATGGAACATGAAATTACGACTTCTCTATGAAGATATAGATTAACTCAAAACATCTATCTATCACGTATATCATTCATCGAGATGCGATTGAAATGTTAATTTGATTCTCCTTCCATTTCAGGTGCAGGCGAGAACAGCTTTTCCAGGGTCTCTGTGAGACTCGATGTTGCTAATCTGTCTGCGGTAGACGTGAAATATTCTTCAAAGTCGAGACGGCCCTCGCCTTCAGTTCGGGGCTCGAAGACACGAAGCGGCCGTGGAATGTCCTTGGCCTTAATCTGTACCCATTCTCGACTGAAAGTCTGCGAGAACAACTTCAACAGCGCCAGCACATTTTTATTGGCACGCTCCTGCGTCAGCGCCCTGTGAGTTGAATCACAAACTTAGGTAGAGAATCAGAATGAGCTTCAATATTAATATACAGAACTACACATTCATATCTATCATCATCATGCTAGTAAGTAGATAAACGACTCGTTGTAGTGTACGTGCTTTCCATTGTCAAGAGCGTCAACACAGTTGAAGAGTACATGTTTTCATGCTTCCATCGCTTTACTGCATCCAGAATAAGGTTCTCGATGTTCCCCGTTGACAGCGTGAGTCTCGTCATCCCCACGGTGTTGCTGTGGGTCTCGAGGTCAACTGGTGTTGCATCATTGGGGAGACCACACTTCTGCAGAGCGGCATTGTCACACGGACCAAGCTTTTGACTATCATCAACGAATCCGGTTGCTTGCGCAGAAATGATAATCACGTAGTCGCAAAAATCTTGCTCCAGGTCTCCCATCGCCGCCTTCGCCTGTAGTTTGAGGAGATCTCGCAAAAACATATCACAGTCAATCAAGCTGGTGATGGAAACTGAGATCGCTGAGGTCGGTAGCTGTGAACATTGCGAACCGGCTAAGATTGCAAAAAGAAGATTAGCAACGCACTTGATCGGGACATTTTCTACGGGCGACTTTAGTTATCACATTGCGAATACGGAGTACCAGATCTTCTGCTGCTTCCGTGATTTGGCGGAACGCGTGAGCCCCAAGTGGAACAAGGCAGTTTGGAGAAGCAGAGAGTAGAAACTGTCGCATTCGTCTCACCCGCTGTTCCACAACGGCACGTACATTCTCCTTTAACCTATCCACGGAATTTTTCAGGGTTGGCGTCACGGCATCCCAAAATTTAAAGACTTCCCCTTCGATGGGTGGCATAATAAGATCTAAAACAGCCTCAGCAGTGTCCTGTGGAACGTGAAAAGAGGATGACTGACTGGCGCTTTGCCGCCCTTTGAAATAAAGAAATAAGAAAGTAGCCGCTTCATGATCCGGGCTGATCTAGTTCCCCTTTTCCGCGAATGTTAAAAGTAGGAAGATGAGTACGGTCATCCCAATACTATCACGAGCATGAAGGCCATCAACGTCGTGAAGGTGATGGAGATCATTGCGGCACCATGATGATAATGCTCACAGCACTGAGCGCCTACGCGTTCTATGTAGATCCTTAAGAGAAAGGCAAAACCTTAATATTTTCGTGATGCATTTGGAAATTCAAAGAGGAAAAGAAAATACGCAACATATGGATTATCAATCTGGAAAGTGAAATGCCATGTTGTTCGTTTATATACCCTCGGCTGCAGTGCTTTTTCTGCGAACTCCATGAGACTAGTCGTGTCATGGAACACCTCTAGAAAGGCGTTCTTCGGGTCAGAGTCCTTTCCATCAGACGGCTGGGCGGATGGATGGATGGATCGATAGGTGGATGGTCGACGGCCACTGTTTTTGCGTTGAAACATATGTGGCCGCCCTGCCTCTTGTTCATCAGCCTCGATATGGATTGCACGGACTCGCTCGGCCTCGGCCAATGAGCCCGCGAGGACGAGTGCGCGAAATTTGCGATTATTGACCATCTTTTTGTTGTACTTAATAAGTGCTTCTACTTGGTTCTTTTACACTGCAGTAGTGAGGAGTCCTAGACACAATGCAACTACCTTGTTGCACGTGAACTTGTCCTGCTCCCACTATGGACTGTTTTTTCTTCGATTAGTGACAGTGGTCTCAGGTGCTAGAAAAGGTAATGCTGCTACTAATGCTAGATTCAATTAGGCTATGCTGCTACTTTTTCCTAGTAGTAGCAACCTCAGGAATGTCGTTGGTTTGCTCCGTCTTCAGATAAGCGAGGTAGGGCATGTCTTTTGCTTTTCTCCTTGTTCTTCACTGGCCTCAGAAGCCGTCAACAGTGTTCAACTTTGATCCATCCTCTTTGTTGTAAATAAGTGTACTAGAATAGATGCTCTGACAGCCGAGAATCATGCTACAAGGAGTAAGGAAACTTTGAGGATGGCTCATTGGAACAGTCCGTAAGAGTGTGAGTGGTATCTTTGGAAGAAGATTTGCACGACGCCAGGCAGGTGTATCTCGCATGCATCAGCTTCTAGGAGCTTTTCCCAAACGTTGCTTTTTTGGAGTTTGCCTTCCGCTTCGACGATCCTGATGAAAGCACTTCTGCTCATCCAGCCAATCTTGAATTTTGTGGGGCCATTGCTTTGCAGGCCTCGTCCCGGACTTCTTTTTAGAGGACGATGGCCATATCTATTTGATCGTTTTCAATACCGGTCGTAGATCCCTTTCCTCTCGGAGATCCCGATCCTCCTTCTCTCAATACAACTCCAGAGGCAGTATAAACCGATGTGTTGCAGCGGCAGGAATCGATCGATTTAGATTTCACAAGGTCCGCAGCTACAGAACAAGAACACCACACGGCGATTAGCCTGGTCGCAAGTCGGCTAAATACTGCGACTGGTGCGCGTGGACTCCCACGCTGGTGGAATACCAGCATCTGTCGGCAATGGTCATGGAGTCTGTCTTTTACTTTTTCACTTGAGAATCACAATTCTCGATAGTGAAGCTCCCGCGTCAGCAAGCGTCACTGACCGGCATTGATGCTGGCTATTGTCCTCGGGGGTTAACTTCATCGAGGGTCTCAATAAAACAAGATCTCCATTTTAACGAGCTCCTTGAACATCATATCATTGAACGGATATGACTGGACGTAAAATCCTTGACAAATGCTGGTACTCTTTTAGATTTAGAATTAGAATCCTTCTTTTTGATACCAATCTAAATAATCTAAATTATCTAAATCTAGCAAAAGCAAAGTTGAGTTGTCAATACTGAAGCAGAAATAAGAAATCTAAAACTTCTAAATAACCTGATGAATTGGAACTAGTATTCCCCTCTTCTCTAAGCAGAAATCTAAAATATCTAAATTAATGCTTTGACTCCAGAGTCCTACCATGCAGAGCAAGAGCCCTCCTATCGCAGACATCTAAACAAGAGCTAAAGCATTGTTGTGAGTGTGCGAAAAAAGTTGAATCCAGACAAAAGTCTTACACTCGTACAACTAGGAGGATCATTTATCTCTGAATCTTGGGAACTGAATGATTGATACTTGACTAGTACTACAAGTAGAACTAGTACCAGATTCTGAGAACTAGAAATAGAATAAGTCTTCATGTGCTAAGAAAGATAATACCTCTCTTACGTTTCTTTCCCTTCTCTTCGCATTCCTCGCCGTTCGATCTGTGTGCTGAACTACAGTGTTGCTTTTACTGGTGCTCACTAGTATTCTTATCTTCATCCTTCGTGCTCCTACTACTCTCATGCAGTCACGAAGAGTAGTGCTCATTTTCCTTGTGCTTGGGTTCTACTTCCTTCATACAAATAATTCCTTGTGCTCCTTTATTAGGATCTGATCTCGCTGACCTCAACCTCGTTTCCCCTTGGGGGAAGAGTGCTCAAGTGCACGGATAGGCTTCTAGCTCTTGGAAGTGTAGTAGTAGTAGAAGTGGTAGTAGTATGTCGTGGAGTATCAAGAGTAACTCATAAACACTACCAATATACATAGTAAGATGAGAAATTGCAGTCTAATATCTTTACGCATGTATTGAATCCTCCTCCAAGAAGTCATGATGGACATGACTTCTTAGACCTATTTAATTATGACTTGAGGTTATCTACTTCATGACCTCCTATGATCATAGTATAATCCCTAAGACGCATTCGTGGAGAAAGACTTAACTTCAATTGCGGAGAGCGAGAGGCGATGCTGTCCCAAAACTGACGTGCTTCGCATTCAGCAGGCTGTGCGGTCCAGGCGTATGGCGATGACGCGCTGTGAGCGATGTTGAGTTGCTCTGTAGAGGTAGAAGTAAGTAGTTCTACAACACCTAGTTGTAGTTGTTTTTCATCATAGGGGTAGAGGCTGACAAGTTCAACTTCATTCATTCAGTCAGAGGGCCTGCACGAGAGTTTTTTTTTGTAGGCCAAGACCTCCAAAAGGGTGATCCCAGTGATATCCGGTATACCTGACGACGACGGGTGGAGTCTATTAGGATTAGCCTCCTTCTATTACCATGCACTTCTAATTGCCTACGAGCCCGCCGGTTCTAATCGGATGAAACCTAGAGGGAAGTTTCGGAATTACGGGCTCGCGGCTGCAGTGACTGCACCACCACGTCCTGAGACGATACGTGGGAACAGCGTGCCTCAAATCTTCATCTCGCCTTTATCTCACCATGTGCGTGGTGGGGAAGGAAAGCGGATATTCCCAGTAAAAAACCAATATAGTCGACGCCGACATCAACATATAATCATAGAAGAAGAGAAGGCGGAGCACAAGTGCAAAAAATTCTCAATGATCAGAGACATCCAGATCAAGACATTTTTTCTTCATTCGCCATAAGATTGGCCTCTGCACTTTGAAGACTGTGACAGCAGGCGATTTCTGGTGCCGCACAGAGAGGACGAAATCCAGTTTATCAGAGCTGCGTAGAAGGCCACAACCAGGATCCCGGGATTCAAATAATCTTCACAGGTCATGATATGAACATCTCCAATATTAATCTGCATATTCTTCAAAAAGGAATCACCCCACATCAGTCGCGCTTGCGATACCGATAGTATATTCATAATATACTTCTGGAAGAGTAGATCGCTCCATTCCACAACTTCTTCAGCCAACCACTTCCACTGACGCGACATCCATTTATCACTTAAGTAGCCTAACATAACATAAGGCTTCGCTTCTTCCTGCTCTCTTCCCAAAAGGGCCTCGAGGTGCCGGTGTCAATCTGTGGTCTGACAAAAGACAAAGCAAGGAGATGAAAATCTGAATAGATCTAGATGATCACCTCGTCTCGAGGAGTGTGCGTCTGAAATGTTGGGGAATGATAGAAGTGATTGAGAAGATATAACTAGTAGTACTAAATTTTTGTAAAAAAATCGAACTTCCATAAAAATCAACATATGTATCGTTATTTGTAAATAACAGGTCTGATGATAACCCTGAATAACGACGTGACTATAACCCTGATCGTAGAAGTAATACTTCTAGCAGTAGACTAGAGAAAGTCATGTCAACATCACAACATTCATGAAGCCGTCGCCGTGTACAACTTATTCAGATGGAAATATTTATGCTTACCCTGAATAAGTCGTAGATCCACTGCTCATGCTCTTCATCCTCACATTAGCTCTATAATAGGCGCCTCACTCTTCACCGTTACTTGGGCTTTCTAATATCTTCCGAACGTCGAACCGACAATCCACTTCGGCGCGCTTACTTGGAGATCGCAATATCGTTATAGCACCATTGTGCGACACAAGCTACATCACCAATTGTTGTAGTCCGCATGTGTACAAGTACAGCTGTTCTTGAATCAGGAAAAAAGCTTCAATGTACAAGTACAAACGTTGTATCAACGATGTGCAAGTTGAAGACTCGTCGTCTTCAATGCCTTTACCTCAACCTCTATCTTTTTCGATTTCAAAAAACAAATGCATGGCCCTCCAATTCGATGATTACAAATACAAGAATGTTCTTCAACACTCTAATAATGGATCCAATTCCAAAAATGCCAATTCAGTCAATATGATTGTTCTTTTTCTCAGATTCAAATTGTTTCTGCAAATGATCTATGAAAACTTGTTAAGATTTCCTTTTCCCCAAACCAAAAAAACAATGATGAGTTACGCCTATCTCGATGTTGTAGATTACAGTCAATTCGTTATCGTTCACAAGCATCAAATATGACAAAAAAAAACTTGAGCATCTTTATTGATGTCCTCGTCCACCTAAAGAACCCCTGCAATTTAATTTCCAATTCACAACATCTACTTCTACATTAACATCAAGGTCAACAAGTACAACTAGAACGACATCTACATCAACATCAAGATGACCAGCTCAAGATGATCAGCGACAACAGCCTTACAACCTAGGCCATCGTGATCCTTCTTTCACATCACGTAGATGACTAGCTACAGCCTTACCACCTAGGCCATCGTGATCCTTCGTTTATTCCTGGGCTTCGGAGCGACGCGGTTTGGCTCTGCCACTGTGCCTGATGTTGGAAAATGCGCTTCCTCTGCAGCGTGCTCTTCCTCGGTTTTTTAGAGGAGGACTAGTACGACTTCTTGTGCTTGAGAAGTAAGAGAAGTTTCAAGATGAGGAGAGAACGATTCTCCTGACCAATCATAATACTACGACACTGCGTCTTCAACAATTTATTAATATAAGATCGATCCGCACTAAAAAACAAACAGACCACAGTGACAGAACCTCATCAAAGCTGCATAACTTTCATGCAAAACCGAAAGTATCCGTGGTGCGGGTTTGTCTCGGAGCATCTTTTCCCGTACCAGCTCCAAAGCGGTGTAGGGATCTTCGGAGGGGCTGATGTTGGACGACGGAGAGATGATGAGATTGGGGGCTCGGGATTCAAGTGATCAACATAACTGCAAGCAGAGGCAGACAAGCTACTATCGATTGTACTATCTTCTACAACCCGAAGAAGCTTCCATCAACATCCATGTCCATCCATCAGAAATACACTTTTTTATCTTCATGACATCTTTTTTAAGAACATGAGACGTATTTGTACTAGTACTCATTGCGCATCTTTTCGTCTTCCGACGTCGATATCGGAGACATCGAGTAGAATTGAATGCATTCCCTTTCTGCTTGACGTTCCTCCTCTGTTTGTCTTGATCGCGTTGGCCTTCGAGGTGGTGGGCTGCGAGAATTACGTCGATCCCTGGTAGAACTAAAGCTCGACGTACGACCACGACTGTTGCCAAAACTTCCTTAGAGCTTACAACTGATGATACGAATCTACTCGGCAATCTGCCTAAGATTACTAATAGAGCTTACAACTACCCAAAAAGTAATTCATCTCCGACGGCGCATCTCTAGGATAGGAAGATAGGATCATATTTGTAGTCGTCTTTATTTCACACATCAGAAGAGTAATACTAGTACACGTTTTTGATGATGATGTGAGAAGTAGGGATGAATTAAGTAAAAGTATCTAGTATAAGGTAAACCCCCTTCCAAGAGAGGTATTAAGCCGTAACAAGTGAGAGAGCTATTGCTATTGTACATTTCAAGAAAGAGGAGTACTAAGCCGAACCATATGTCATAACTTCCTTCATCATCACTCAACCTGTGCTCATCAGTTGGCGGCAGATGTAGAACTTGCCTTTCAGGCTCTTCAAGAGAGGGCGACGCAGACGGCGCATAGGTTTTTTCCGCGATTTCAACTGTTTGCATCTCTTAGAGGTTGCAGAAATCCACCTTATAATTAATATGAAGCATTCATCTGGTGCTCGTTTGTCCCTATACTGTAGGTGGATTTGAGATGAATGACTTGTATTCATCTATAATTAATCCTTATAAGAAATGGCACCAAGAAGAGGATGCTAGAAGGAGCTAAGATGGATTTATGCAACTACTCTTAACTCTCTGAAAAAGCCACTGGTCCATCTTCAAACGTCGCCAGTGGTGCATCGACGCGCTCACTCGTGGCGGCTGGAACTGCTTCTAACAGAGCAGGAAGGGCTTCAACTGCATCTTCCCCCGTTGTACTAGACGAGGTTGAAGTACTAGATAGAGATGATACCTTGATGTTATCGTTATTTGCAGAAGGAGACGCACGACTAGAAGGACGATAGATTTCACCATCATTTTCAGTGTCTTCGGAGGGATCTACGCTTGTCTCCTTTCTAGTTTTTTTTGTTGATGATGGGGGACTGACATTACTACTGCTACTTTCAGAAGATTCTCCTTCTTTCTGTTTACAAGTTCTTACAATGCTGCTAGATGAAGGAGGAGTTGCACCACTAGTTGTACCACTACCACAGTTCTTCCAGCGGTTCTTGTAAAACAGAAAAGAAAACAGAACTAACAGCGAAGCTACAACTACTCCAATGGCCGCAAAACTAGTAGACGACTCCGTGTCCGACTTCTGCTTGTTCTGGCTAGTACCTTCCTCTATTATAGGAGCCAACATTGTGCTGTTTTTAACACTGTTGTTCACACCAGTAGTTGTATCTTCGTCGAAAACACTCCTACTACTAGAAGAGAACTTCTCCAACGTTTTCTCGTGTTCCTCGTGTCGTAGAAACGCTTCCCTTTCTAATTCTTCTCGTATTGCTGTCATTGCTGCTGCATCCTCTAGGAGTTCTGGGCTACTTGACGTCGTGGCACTACTCGTACCTCCTCCGATCCCAAGATCCGCTACGGGAGCTGGAAACAGCCTCCGAGCTTTCTGTTGGTAAATTCGAGCTCGCCCTAATCCATCTCGGGTTGCATCCTGGGTCCCTTTTCCCGCTGAAAAAGAGACTCTCCAGGATGTTTTTCCAAAAGATGGACCAGGGGAAGCCTTAAATAGAATAGCTTCCGCGTTGCTGCATCAAACTGATAAGTCCATGACTCCAGTAGTGGGAGAGGTCTCTCCATCTGCCAACATAGGTCTCGCAACACGTAGAAATTGTAAGAACTGGTACTTGACGATGCGCTATTGGCACTAGGAGAACTTGTACCAGTATGCTTGGTACTCGAGCTCGGCGAAGATGAACTGCTCGTGCTCGTCCCACCACGACTCGTAGTACTACCAGTAGCACTACTACTAGTACTACCAGTATCACCACCAGCACTGCTAACAACACCATTTGCCGTTCGAATCTGTGTAGTCCATCCTTCTGGTAGAGGTGTGCTGTCTGGCGCAGCCCTAACTGGTGACTCCCACTGCGTTTCCTTCGTACCTGGCCTCCAATAGTAGTTTTTGCCGGTCTTGGCATCTACAGCCGATCGCCATGGATGACACCTACGACGACCGCTGGAGGATGCTGAGGTGCTAGTGCTAGATGACAACAAGGTAGTAGATGTGCTAGTGCTAGATGACAGCGAAGTAGATATAGTTGTTGATGTCGATGATGAATTAGATGTCGATGATGATTTAGAACTACTAGAAGTTCTAGAAGTTGCTGGTAGTACTATATGTTGGCTATCAGTCGAGGTGGTGTGATCAGAAGGCAAGCCGGTCGTGCCGGTCGTTGTCGAGTTCCAAGCTGGGCTGCTGCCAGTCGAGTTTCGAATCTCAGCAAGCGGTGCCGGATGTTCGATACTGGCGATTCGCTTTGGATTGGAAGCAATTATATCACTACAATCTTGATCTTCACGTGTTCATCCGTATTTACCGTAGTTCATCTTCACGAAAATCAGCACATAAACGCTGATCATGATCTAGCATCTTTCCTAGTCCAATAATATTCGGTCACTTCCAGAGTATAAGTACTTCTCATAACATAGAAAACCGCCTTTTGCACTGCATCCCAATGATATCGCCATCCCTGTTCTAGAGCAAAGGGCCGCTCTCTTTGCCAGCATGAGTCGTGCAGGACATACAGCGGTCGTTTTGCGAGAAAGCGACTACTTGAAATAGAACTTGATGCTAGTACATCCCGACTACCAGCATCATGTACAACCTGATCAACTACAGCTAGATCGCGATCACCAGCCAACTCGTCTTCTAGTGCATGCCCACGACTAACTACAGCGAAATCTTGTCGCCATCCATCTGGAAGTGGCAGTTCTCGAGGAGCACCTCTGATGGCAGACCAGCTCGTTTCGTTAGTCCTTCGATTCCAGAAATAGGATCTAGTAGACGGCGGGCGAGAAGAGCCAGTGGAGGCACTAGTAGAGCTCCTAGAGGTAGAACTGGTAGACCTTGTCGTAGCACTAGCTTTTCCTACGCCGTCTACAGCTACAGCACTAGTGGTAGCAGCTGTTGATGTAGTTTCTGTTCCGCCTGCTTCTCGCCAATCATGACAACATGGCAAAGCTTTAGCAGAAGAAGAATTAAAGCTCACGACCCTAATCCCTCTCGAGAGGCATCCTAGCGAAGTGCCTTTTCCCCTACTTGAAAAGCCACTTTGTATGCTTGTGGTATTGGGTAGCCTGAGTTTGATCGTAAGGGAGAACAAGAAGAGAACCCTTGTGATCAAATTCAGGCTACCAATACCAGAGCCATTCACTCGTACTTGGGGATGCTTCCGAAGGTGGATTAGGAGAAGCCTTAAAAGAAGTATCACTCACAACACTAGATGAACCAGCGTAATCACCTCCACGTCGATCATCTCCTAGCAACGACCCTTCTAGAAAACGCAAAGTTGTTGTTCCTGCTTCATGGAGAAGCAGTTGCCTTATCGCGTCCTCTCGTTGCAAAACAGCTTCAATCATCGAGGAAGTATCGTTTTTGCTCATTGCCGATCCCCCAGAGACCTCGCCGTCACCGCCTGGCGAGGTGCCCATTGTTGTGCTTATGTTGGAGTAGATGCAGCAACTTAGTTTCGTAGCTTGTTGGGCTTGTTTTGTTACTTACAAACAATCCCGAAGAGGAGGAGAACATCAGTGGATTAATGGGTGAGAGATGCAGATGATGAATTTTTGTTGAGTTTTAGTCTTAGAATAGTATTCTCAGTTTTGCTTGAAGTAGACTAAAAGGCAAACAAGAGGTCGTCATTTGGGGCAGTCGTGAATGGAAAAATAAGAAACACATCTAGGATTTCTAGTGAATGAACGAAGGTTATAAGACAATAATCCCGATTCCTCTTGACTCGACCCAGGTACAGGTTAACCGAATTCACGGAGCCGTTGACCTTGACAACGACATCCCGTATTATGTTGATGTGCAGGACACCCGACACGACTACATCACGATTCAGAATCTGAAGATGAGCGAAACATCTTCTGTGACATTCTACAACAGAGATCGAGACCGAGCGACAACTTCGAAACCGAACGACATCTTCAAAACCGACTTGCTACTTCTTGAGACCGACTGACAGGATGGCTACACTTTTCATCAATTTCTTCACCTATGAAAAAGGTAGAAAGAACGATAGCAGATTTACCGAACTGAAGTCCAATTTTTTCACGCCCGTTGCAATCTGAATCTGAAGGAAGAAATGGAGCGAACACCAGTGATTTAGTTCGTCGAGACGGGTGTTGCCTCTTCGTCTTGATGGACACTCTCAACGGATCGATCAAAAGGAATACCTGAAACTTCTACATTCAGCTTCAAATTGGTGTTTCGTCCAACAAAGTAGATGCATTCCACTCGGGTTTTCTAGAAGTATTAAAGCATAGCTCGGATCCTTGTATTCGCCTTCTCATCCTGTACTCTGCTGCGCGTCTTCTTGCAGCCTCCACAGCAAGTGGGATCGCTAAATCTTCATCGAGGATGGATATCAATTTTTCCTGCTGATGAGAGGAAGAATAAGAATTACAGTCCTGTTCCTCCTGGAGGTGGTGTTTTTCTAGGCTTGAACTTGAAGATACTGTATTTTCGATCCCTGAAAGGGCTGCCTGACTTCTTTCTTGTCCTCCCTGTCCCTGACCCTGAGGCACTACAAACGTATCCGAAGAATTTGTTCGGCTCCTCCGGCTCTCCTGATTTGAAGCTACCACCACTTCTACTCCTTGCAAAACAAGGCCACGCCGCGCTCCTATTCTGTTGCCGTGTGAGCCCTGTCCTCGTATTGGCTTCCCTGCTGTCGCCTGACGGGTCACAGACGTCTCTAATTGAGTCGAAGAAGATGCGAAAGATGCGACAAATGAAGCTGGCTGTTGTACTGGCTGCCTGCCCCGCCGTTTAATTGAAGATATTGATGTCCCATCAGCGCAAATTCCGCTACATGAGTTCGCTTGCGCGTGGACAAAAGCAGAAGACTCTTCAGTACTATTGCGACTTTCAGCAATCTCCTCGTAACCTAGAGCACCAGCAAATTGGACCGCGACTGGGCCTTCTACACCGTGACCACCAACCTCCTGCTCATCATCGTGAAGATCCACAACCAACTCCACTGACTGTGGAGGACAAAGGGCCCACTTTGACACTTTGTCATAGTCATTGACAGGAGAGAGCGGAGGTGCAGCTCGATCATCTGGGGGAGATTGATCTGGTGGAGCTTGATCTGGTGGGGCTTGATCTGGTGCTATTGCCTTGCTGGTGTCAATACTTTTATGCTTGTCCGTCGTTGCTGGAGGCACCGATGACGAGTTCTCCTGCCCCTTCGTCCCTTGTTCTTGTGACCAGACTCGCACTTGTTTTATTCGTAGTGAGGACGTTTGTTCCAATATGAAGTTATGAAGAGATGAATCTTCGACCACTTGCACTTGAGAGGTAGATGAAGAACTATGGCATGGCCGTGAATTGATCGTTTGTGCGATACTTGGTTCGTCGTAGTCGTTCTTCCTCTCAAAAATGGCTTCTTGTGCTGCTTCAGATTGTTCGTTCATTGCTTCCAAAATGGGCCTCTCAACAGTAGCTTCTGCAGGTGCCCTACTTCTAGATGAACAAGCTTCATCTGTACTAGTAGTTGTGCTTACTACTTTCTCTTCTTCTCTTCTTTCTGCTCCCATCGTCGTTCTTTCTGCTGTCACTTCCTGCACCAGCTCAGATCGGAAGGCTCTAATTCCGCAACTGCTAGTGCCATCGTCATCCTCTTTGTGACGCTTCGTCTCTTCAAACTTCTGCTCCTCCTTCTTCATCTCCGTTTTCAAGGACGCCAAGAATGAGGATAGTGAGAAATCGTCCATAGTTCTATAAGTCGAAGTGGTTCTTGTTGTTCTTGAAGAAGAAGATCGTCGTTCCAGTTCTAGTTCATCTGCATCACCTGATAGAAGTATTAGAGCTACCAACGTGCATCCCTGAGACCATCCGTGGACGATCCATTTCCCTCTTGAAAATGAGGCAGGGATCATGCTGTAGGGGGATGCTCGCTTGGTAGCCTTAATAGTAGTTTACCAGTATTTAAGTTTTAGAGGTAGGTTTTTGGTGCTCGCCTACCCCGCTTTTTATGCCTTTCCCCCTTAGGAGAGGCATAAAAAGCGGTAAGAAAAGCACCTTTAACCTACCCTTAAAAGTTCTTCAAGTGCCTCTTTCTGCGTAGTTCCGGTTGAAGATCGGACAGGAGAAACGAAACTTTTGAAGAGACGTCGATGTTTCTAGCTCTTGTGAAATTTGGAAGCGTAGAGGAACTAGGAGTTCTCGAGGTCATGTGAGGAAGGAATCGAGTGCTGCTTGTCGAAGATGAGGAATCTCGATTTTCGAAAATGTGTGTGGAAGATGTGCCGCCTTCCACCTTCCTTCTCGTGCTAGTCGTGTTGAACATATCAGTTTTAATAGGTTCTTGGAGGGGGTCCGTCAACGAGTTCTTGTACGTTTCTGGCATGTGATCATGGCTACACGACCCCTCTTGATCTGTAGCTGCATCAAGTTCATCTACATCTTGCCGTATGACACGACTTTCCGCGATGCCGAGCGCAACTTCTCGTGTTTCCACACCCCTGCTCCTCTGGTCTCCATTGGAGTCCTCGAGAATGGTTTTCGTATTGTCTGGTCTGCCTCTTCTATGATCCGTCTTTCGCTCAGTTGTCGTTGTTACTATAGCCAGTAAGTCGTCTAAGAACCTGACATCCTCGTCCTGCTCGACAGATGTTGATGTCGTGCTTCCTCCATGATGCCAAGAGGGCTTTGTCTCTGAAAAAGTATCTAGATGATAGGGTCCCAGTTTTTCTTCCTCAGGAGAGCTCCTTCTAGCACTACGTGGCGCCACTTCCACATCTTGCATTTCCACATCGTCGTAGTCTTCCTCAATAAGATGATCTCGATCTTCTACTTCAGAAAATGTGGAAATACTATTCAGAATGATACTTTGTTGCCCTTGCCCTTCTAAAAAGGGACCCCTTGCTGATGACGGCGGATGAAGTTTGTTGTGAAGGAGGCCTCGTGGTCGCGCAGCTGCTCGTGATGATGCTAGATCTACTTTTGCTCGACGATCTTGCGTAGCAGGACGAAAGTGTGATGTTACATGCGTTCCAAAGTCTGATGTTCTATCATGCGTTATTTGATCTACTACTACTTGTTCGTGTAGTTCGGACTCAAGATTATACAGTAGTTCTTCGTGTTGTTCATGTTCGCGTTCGGACTCAGAAGAGTAGCTCAGAAGAGAGGAGGATGAGGGACCTAGAAGAACCCGTGATGTGCGTGTGCCACTTGATGTAGTTCTAAGGAAATGAATATTTGTCCTCGTGGTGGGAGATAGCCGATAAAACTGCTGTGCTTGTTCTTCTGCTGGTTCAGTCTCGTCCATCTTCATTGATCCGACTACGACCGGGTCTGGTCCTACTTGAAGATGAAGAATCGAGGTTGAGTATTCGAGGTCATCCTCCACATAATCATGTCGTGAAGATGTTGACGAGTGCGCTTCTTCTAGTGGCAAAAAATGCGCGTCTACTGACGCATGGGAGTAGGAGTACTCAAGATCATCGCTCTCTACGACTGGCCCTGCTTTGCCCTTCTCCACTCTCGGAGGTTCTGCCACAGCATTACGATACTCAGGATCATCCTGCTCGCATTCGGCAGCGAACAGAGCTTCCTCTTCGTTCTGTCTGGTAACTTCTTCTTCGAGCAAGATGTCCATCCGTTTTTCTGAAAAGAATCCATCGATCAACGAAGTTTTCGGAGAAACAACGGTTTTTGGCTCATCTATTTCTGTGCGCGTTTCTACTAGAGCCGCACCAACTGGTTTCGACACCTCGACGTCGTCGACTCTTGAGGCAACTTCGACTATAGCTGTTGTAGTTTTATTCAGTGCTCTTGGACGAGTTGTTGTTCCTTGTAGTTCACCACCTTCTACTTCTAAGTCAGTGCCCCGCGTCGGTATTGTCGTCGTTTTTGATGCTTGAGTGGAAGGACCAGAAAATACTGTCGTCTTCGATATTCCGACCATTCTAGAGTCGCTCGTTTTTGAGCAAGATGAGGAACCCTCCTCATCCCACGATGTAGATTTATCGGAATCTGCCTCCGAAAGCTGCACCTGCTCTCGTGGCTTTTTATTGTTCGTCGCTTCTTGTTCTTGCACTTGCTTGATGTGTTGTATTAAAGGAAATGAGAAGAAGGACAGGTCCCTGTCATCTATTCTCTTAGAATAGCTGACATTGTTACCTAAAAGATGGCGGAAGTGGACATTTAGTTTACTGCTAGTAATATTTCATATCTGAGTCGTCTTAAAAATTCCGCAGCCATCGTCCTCGTCTTTTTGGCGACAAGCAGGTCAGCATCATTTCCAATTTCAGTTGCTTTTGCGGGTGTGTCAGCAGCAAAGAACGACGTGTCCACCTGTCCTCTGTGCCTGCCTTCTCCGGTTTCGTGGTCGTCATGTCCAGGCAAGAAAATAACCTCTCTTGCAGCTGTGGTGCTAGAAGTAGGTGGAGACGGAGTAGACTCCTTCCTTTGGAGCTCCCTTGTTGCAATTGCAGCACTTTCGATTTGCTCGTTCCTCAGCATCAATCTCCCTGCGCCGTCACCAAACGCCATCACGCTCTCTCTTGCGCCGTCCTCCTGGGTGCTCTTCGAAGAGTGCGCTCTAGCACTGTCACTTTGCCTTTCTACTTGCGACACATCTTCGAGTAGAAGTAAGTCCTTCATCGTGGTCGAGTCTTGACCATCCCGCGCAGCGTCTTGACCATCCTCTACCGTCAACAGACAGCACGACGAACCCCACAAGATACCAATTTTTTCCGCCTCTTCGTGTCTTCCCTGTATTGGAGCGCAAAGCAATTCATTTCTACGCGATATTTCTTCAGAATCCAAAGTAGGAAACAGAAGAAAACCACCGTTGGAAATGAATTGTATCGAGCCTTAACTGCACTGCCAAGAGGTTCTTGAGAACGTTGCTGGCTGTTTCCGCTGAGTCAAAGCCAAATGCATCCTGAATGATATTTGCCGCGCTCGGGGTAGGAGTAGTGTTTTTCGGAATGTATTAGATGGAATGGGTATTGAATGGGGCTTCGCTTCTAGTACGGGTCATAATTGTTCTTCATCTACTTGGTTATGGCCAAAGTACTGATAGATTCTGGTAAACGTCGTTTAGAGATGTGCTGGCATAATTTTTGTTTTTGTGTGAATCCTAATAGACGTCAGCTATTTTGTTCCTAATCATCTTCAACATGTTACCTGACACTGACTACACGAGGTTTATCCTCCTGTTTCTATCCAATTCCAACATGTTATGGAGAGTTGTCAACATTCTCCAACTCCGCACCTCTAGCACCATATACACCTTTCGATTGAACAGAAGAACTCCCATCTCTAAGTACATCGAACATCATTATAACTCCCATCTCTAAGTACATCGAACATCATTATATATAACTCCCATCTCTAAGTACATCGAACATACCTCCTATCCCTAAGCCGCCTAAGTGGAATATACACCACCTTGAAATTAATTGAACATAACTGCCATCCGTAATTGCGGTTGCGGTTCGTGGTGTTCCCAGAATGTTCAGTATGAAACGCCACGTCTCACCATCGACACCCGGAAGAAACAGGTCGATCATGCTTTGTGATGTTCTTGAACTGCTCGAACTAGTTGGAGAGGATGGTCTTGGTCTTAGAAATACACTACTAGAAGAAATACACTACTAGAAGAAGTAAAAGTGAATCAAAAATATCCTATAACTTTAAAGCCAAAGTAGAGTGTAAGGCATTGATGATTTTCACATTTTCAGGACTGCATCTTCAGAATATCCTATAAATATCCGATCAATTAAATAGAAAGATGTCACCATAAAGAACTCTGCGAAGGCAGCAATGGAGCGAGTTTGTGCGCATAGGAAGCGAAATATCGAAGACAGGCGTCGGAAATGATGAACTTTGTTGTGTTCTCGGTCTTGTAATCTGCTCTAGGATGGTCATGCTGCTGTTGACCAAGAACATTAGCCTCCCAAAATGAAGAAGAACCGTGCTCCTTCCGGAGCTGCAAGGGAACCATCTTTACGTTTGACTGTAGTTAGGATAGGATAGGATTTGACTCGCCGTCCACAGTTTGACATCGGATTTTCCTCGAGCGAATGTGATACTTTGTCCACGAGGTGGATGCCGCGTCGCAGCAAAAAACGAAAAAAACTGAACTTTCTGCATAATTTCTAACATAGTTTTTACATAATTTTCGACCGTTCTGCGATCACATTTGTTTGTTCCTAAGAAACTATAACTAAGACTGTCAAACAATACAGCACGTCCAGGAAAGACATGATACTGCACTAACTATACTTCAGAAGTAATTCTAGCCCTCGCCGAAGAAAGACTTTATTTAGCTCTATCTTTTTCTTTCGGATTGGCATTTCTAAAGCAATACCGGATTCCAATTTTCAGGTTTGTTTTTTTGTCCACGAGGTGGATGCCGCGTCGCATATTCTTCCAAGAATATGGACATTTGATGAAATTACCAAGCAAAGTGGGCATCTTTATATACATCAATCGTAGTCGTGAGTGAAAAAATCATCCACATATTTTTTGTACATAATTGTTTTGGGATCCACCTCGGTAGAGAAGATGTATAGCTTCTCTTCGGATAACAAAACCGCAAGACTCAACATGTACATTAATCTGGGATGAAAATCAAGAGCAGGAATTTCAAGGTTGAAGATCGTCAAAACTTCAACTTTCAGGGAGATGCGCTGTTTGGGAAGTTGCGGAGTGATGGGTCGTGAGAATCGGTGAGGAGCGAATTTGTACTTTTTAGACTTAATAGAGCAGAGCTACTAGGGTAGTACAAGTCAGCAACATAGTTAGCTTTATCAGATGGGTTAGGGTAGGGGTACTGGTAGTAGTAGTTGACGTCAGATGAAGACTTAGACAGAAGCATTTTCCTGAACATATTCATTTTCATTATATGACTTTGACCGTGGTGGTGTTTGTGGTGATTGAATCGATGTCAAAAGTAATTCTGTTATATACTGAGTTTGCGAGGACAGCGACAGAACAAAAAAAGCTGTGCATCTGATCAAAAACTGTGCATCTAATGCTATTCAAATGCTTCTGATTTCAGTCTAGTACTCCTACTTCTCCTTTGTTGATGTTTTCGTTGATGACATCTTCTGGTGGTACTCTGCATGATGTTTGTTCACTATAGATACTTCGCATGATGATGGTGAACATCTTCTCGTGGTACTCTGCATGATGTTCAATATAGATACTTCGCATGATGGTGATGGTCGTGATGATGATAAACAATTCGAGACGGAGATGACTGTTCATGTTGTTCCTGTCCATTTATTGTTCTTGGTTTACCTTTACACTGTTGTATTAATTCTTTACCTTTACATTTAGGTGCATGGTGTTGGTGAAAGACGCGACAACCTGTCGCGCATTAATTATTGATATTGTTCTATGATCAGTAGCGAAAAGTACAAGTAGTTTCTTTGTTAGTTTGTGAAGATGAGGTTGAGCGGTCTTATATCAAGAAGTTGCAGATGTAGATGTAGTCTGAACGTATGACATTCTTTCGAAAATAGAATGTTGACTCCCATTTAGTTTTGATGATTTCGATGGTGTAGGAATGATCTCGAGGGTGGCGTCAACATGAACCAACTATATCTATTGAAAATATTATTGCGAAAGTCAATGTTTCAGTGGCTTCTTATCCTTTTCCTATAACAAGCGAAGTAAATAAACTATCCAACAATAAATCCAAGAATGACATCAATCTTCTTCTCTTAAAAATCTTGATTCGTCCCTGACATTAGACATGCTGGCAATAATTCATCTCTCGCGATACTTGGTTTCAAGGATGCTGACCTCAAAGTGTCTGGCACAAATGAAATATCGACACAGATGAACTATCGCGAGCCATAACTACAAGATCGCAACGTCTGTTGACGTTCAGTTACCACGCGCCCCATGGTAAGATAGCAACGCCTCTCGACGTTGCACTAGTTCCATCTCCTAGCTACTGGTTTTCACTTTTGTCCTGCTCCAGGAGGAAAAAAGTGAAGATCTCCTCTTCATCTGCGGCGACCTCCGCATCCCCTGTGGTCGGTGCAGTTGTTGAACATGAGTTTCAATCTTTTTAAAAAATACTGCAGTGTTGTCCTCGGAACAATTATAACAATGTCGTGTGAGGGCTAGGACGAATGACATAAAGATTTTGGCTGAATGTGTACTTAAGTAGTACACTTTTGGACCTGACCCCAGGTGTTGAACAGGTATGAAGTGAAAATGTTTTCATGGTACTTCTTCTATGGTTGAGAAGTTGAAGAATTTTTCGAAATCATTCTCAGAATTAAGATTTGTAAAACAGCTACATACAATAACATAATTTCATTTTTTGAGTTTCTGGAATCATGCACAGGGACCAGAGAGTACTAGCTATGTCAAGAATGAAATACCAGCTGTTTTTGCTTTCCACAATGGCAATGGGTGACAGTCCAGAGACTGTTGACGGAGGACGCGGAGTCTTTGCCCGACCTTCTTCAGATACTCCTTGTCCTCGTCCGTTTTCATGATCTCCTCCCATACTTGTGTCCATGGGTCAGTAGTTGGAGACGTTGGATCCATCGCAAGAGTCTTCATGTACTAAAAAACATACAACATGCTCTACTTGATGTTACAGAGGGTTACAAGTGGTCTTCTGTGTGAACTCTCCGACGGCGGTAGAAGATCCACGACCCACCGTATACGAGGATAAGTAGTGAGACTATGATTATGAATTTCCACATCCGCTACGACTTCTTACAGAAGTGAAAGGCTACTTGGGCTTAGCCTTGGCAAGCCGTTGACAATATCTTACTATGTATGAGATAGTGCAGCGCCGCTGCTGACAAAGAAGTTGGTTTTGTTTACTTAGCTACTCGGGTAGACCGAAGTGTGCAGATCGCGGAGGCCCCGCAAACTATGTAAACCCTAGGTGCAATCGAAGAATAAGCCTAGATAGCCCTGACCTTCCTAAATCCTAGTCTAACATCAGATAGTGAAAGCAACGCTTTCGCGGCGAGCACATGAGTTCTGAGAGAGCGTGCGCGCGAGTCGTTGGAGTTATGCTAGACTTCAACATGCTAGACCGCCTGGATTGAATCAGAAGCATACAACTTCTGCCTTCCGTATTCATTCTGCTTGTATACTCTATATAAAATAGGAGTAGTAGTCACTTAGAAAACATAAACTTTCGCGAGTGTTCGATCACTAGACGAGGTGAAGAGAAAAAAAAATGTGTCCATAAGATCCCAGCGCTCATTTTCTTCCAGAACTCGTCCGACGACGACTTCGTAGTTGCATCTGAGAGGAAAACAAGGGAAGCAGAGACACATGATACTTCAGTCAGGTTCCGGCCGTGTCATCTCGATCATTACTAAACGAATGTTGTCGTGAAGCTCAAAGAAGAGTCAACAATTTCTATGAAGTGCTCTATTGCTCTTGCACGACGAGATTGGGAGTCTAGTCATAGGACATTTTTACTGGGATTCGCCTCAGCGCGAGTGGTCATGTCCTAGTTTATCTCAATATCGTTGTCAACAGCAAAGCAGACGAAGAAAAATTATACACGATCAGCTCAATAAGTATAAGATTAACAATAGTCATAAGTACTTAAAGAACAGGTGTCATTGATGAATACCAGCCAATTTCAGTGCGTGGTCGAAGTCTTTTTTCCATGCCCCCTGCGTGCTCTTCTGATGAAAGGGTCAGCTATGGGGTCTATATGGGCCATAGTTTATCAGTGAAAGTAGAAGATTATGGAGAAAGGGAAGATTGCGAAACGTCGATATCAATAATTTGTACTATGATAAATGCCAATAATAACGACAGATATATTGTTTCAGTAGACCCAGGAGCAGGAGCACAACTCCTCTGAGATGATTCATGTTCTGTTCTCAAATCGCTAGCAGAGTGGTTTTTTATGTTTCTAATTTGTGATTGCTAGTTTTTACAGCACTCGGCAAGTCAGCGTGTTGCATAAAAATGACACTAGTCATAAACGTCAGGCTTGTTATTCGCATCGCTGTCCCGACTGTCCTTGAGCTCTGTGCCAAGCTCCGACACTGGGGCTAGAATCCGCATGAGAAACGTGACAAGGCCAGTATCGTCCCGCACAGCTGAGTCTCTGGCTGGACCTTTCAGGGCTGCTCGTTTTCGGCAAATTTTAGAAAAAAAGCACTGTGAGAGACATTACGAGTACATCAACATCATTTTCATTTCCATTCGGGGAAAAATAAAAAGTTCACGTTCGACTATGTGGGAAAAGTTCAGAGCTGTAGGGAAAGCTTCGACATACCACTGCTGCGCTTCTCGATTTCAGCAATGCCATGCTGGGTTTGATGTTTCTGGGAAACATATGAACATAAATTCCGGGATTTTGTTTCTCGGGGAGGCCGCGCCGGCAACTTTTAGAGGTTTTCGCTTTAGGAATACATTATATTCTTGCCCTTTATGTATCATGTTGATTCTACCTCTCCAGGAAAAAGACACCAACGAATTAAAAGCTCGTCTACCTCTTCTATTCCTGTACTCAAGTTGCAGATGCTGCATAATCATGGTAATGACGCTAATGATCCTACAATATATTATAAGAATAAGTAATTTTTATTGCCTCTGAGTATCATGACTTTTTCCTTGAGATGAAAGATAGATGGTTGATGCAAGTGTCATCTAAGTAGAAGCTCTTCATATTGGCTTCATGATCCCGCTTCCTAGATTTTCTTTACCATCTCCATGGCCCTCGCCGTCTTCGTCTTTCACTTTCCGTATCAACGCGGATAGAAAACTTCGACCTGGCGATTGGATCATGTTCTCTTGGCTGGTCGTCAGCATTGTCACGGCAGGCCGATAAAGTTCGTTCCACAGACCTGTAGTTCATGGTAGAGAAAACGAAATCTGAACTGGAGAACTACAAGCGTAGGTGTAATTTGTACAAAGAATACTCGTCGTCGTCCGGCATTAATACGAACAGGTAGCTTGTGCCGGCTTATTTTCTCTGGGGCACCGGTTTACCACATAAGCCAACTGCCAGTGGCAGGGACTATGAGCGACCCTACCTCCTTCAATGCTAGCCCGCTCCCCGCTCAGCATGCGAGCTGCAAGGTAAGAATTGGGACGAAGTGAAAGACGAATGGAGGCACAGCGGAATGGGCACGGCAGTCACCAGACTGATGTAGGCCATCGCGATCGCCGTGTTCACTCTCGAGATCAGATGGTCAGCAAAGTGCGCTCGAACACACCACAAGAGGGTCCACAGATCGCTTCCGCACACACACGACATCACGAAACACATGGATGGCATACAGCCGCATACCATAGTGACGATGACACCAGTCAACAAGAAGCCAAGAATCGAAAGAAAAGAGCGCCGCTGCGACAGACTTGATCTGGAGGGGCTGCGGCGTTCTATTGGGATACGCCTTTGGGTGGGCCTCTGTGTTCGTTGACCATGCGGGGGCGGTGGCAATGTGGTGCGGGCGGTATTGTGCTGTGGACCAAAGCCGGGAGGCAATCACTTTGAGACTGAAGTGAGAAGAGGGAGGCCCCGTCCCGTGGTCTCGCTCAGAGAGCGCATAGCCATGAAGAAAGACGGGCATGAGCAGTGACTATCCCACCAGAGCCACACCCCACCAGAACCAGACTCATGCCTTTAGTTCGTGTGTTTCCCGAAAAAGATGTGAGTGCCTTTCTTTTTTACTTGTAGCAAACTCAAGTTAGAAAAGTTAATACTTAAAAGCGGACGAGCATAGATTTTGAGAGTGTACTGCACTTCTGGCGTCATGATCCCTAGCTACATTGTTTGAAAAGAAAAATTATAAATACCTGCTCTCTGCTTCACAAGGTCGTCAAAAACCACGAGCGCCTCACTCGTTTGCTTCTGGATGAGCTCCTTATTGTTTTTGTTCGTCTCCCCCGTAGCGCAAATCTTTGCATACCGCAATGAACGTGAAGAGGATAGCAAGAGCCACTAAACTTCAAGGGGACGGGGTAGACATGTGGGAAGTATGTAGGTAGCTATGTATTACTAGCGTGGCATAATGGGGCCCGAATCTTAGAGAGACCAGAACAAAAAAAACGTGAGTCAGAACATGAAGACTGGCGCAGCGATAGAACAAAGGGTAACAGGCGATAACGCATTGCACTCAAGATGACAGCGAGAACACACTGATGGGACACAAATGCCCGCTATCAGCTTGTTTCTGTTTTTAACAGCCGTCGGCGCAAAGCATCGGAGTCAAGCCGATCCCAGAATGGAGCTAATTTCTATTCACGGAAGATCACTTTCCACCGGTCGCACTTGAAAGTCAAAATGTTGAAAGTGAAGCAGGAGGATTTGTAGACAACTCCTCGGTAACATGACAGAAGTAGACCCACATTAGGAGATCTTCATCTTCTTCTAGTATAGTACGCACCCCCTTGTCAACATTCTACCCTTTCAGAAGCGGGCCCATACCTGTACTCATAACAACGTTGACTAATCGGTATACAAATATCCATGGATCATCAAGTATCGATGACCGAAATAATCAATATGAATGAATAATCATATAAAAAAATTCCATAAGAGAGTCATCGCAGTTGCTGGCATCTTGTTCAACCCGAGTTCCTCCGCGTAGCTACTCCATTCGTCTGCGGAGAGGTAAAAATATTCCATGCCTTTTGGTTGTGGATACATATTAGATTCTCATGCATGTAAGAACTCACTCATTCAGTCACTCATTAATGAACCACGTGACAACCGAAGCTGCCGATTCCGTTGCGACCCTAAAATTAGATACTGAACAACGTCAAGAACGAAAACAAAGAAAAGAAGAGAAACAAGGTGACAAAAACAGAGAAGGGATTGATCTTATTATAGAGCGCCTTAGTTTATACTAGAGGTACTTGGTTGAGGATGGGACGGATCGGATGGAACGGATGGACTTCCGAGGTCCGCTAGTCGTTTCAAGTAGGGCCCGAAGATTATTTAGGGGGGCCCATCCGATCCATCCAAGTCCATCCTACATCCGTTGTTCTATGTATATTATAAGTTATTCTATTACTATGTGGCAGTCTTAAAGCATTATTTTAGCAAAACGTTAAAAGTTGACTTCTTGGGAATCTAGTCGGCTATTTTAAAAAATCAACTTTTAACGTTTTGCTAAAATAACGTTTTAAGGTTGCCATATACTAAGCAAATTGTCTTTGGTTACGCAAGGTCGACCATCTTGTCCTGTGTCGTGTGAAAATCAAAATACAACTTATGTTACAAGTAGTAGTTATCCTGGATACCAGTGACTTCCTAAAAATTATGGTACAGCGTCTCTGCAAGGACAGAGCTTGCAGCAGTTATCTAGGAACCTGTAAACGTCATAGTCATTGTTATTGCTTTTTTATTCTTAACGATGGCTCCTCCCCCGGGCTTCTCCATAGCGTTGCTTCCACATCGATTAGAAGTCGTTTCTTCTGCAATTCTCTAATCCCAAGAAGTTGGTCGTATTCCAGCTAGGGTTTATACTGAGAAGTAGGAAAGTGGTCACTCACTCGGCAGTAGGTGACGACTGCAGTCCACATCCATGCAGAGCAACTAGGCCACATAGCAAGACCACTGCAGGTCGTGGGGTAATATGTTTCTCTGTCTGTTTCGGCGAATTGTGTAAATACGGAAATTCGATTTCGGTATTGAAATATCACTAAAATATGGGAGTCAGTGTATTACTGGATTATGAAGCGAAACCTAAGACCAAGTAGACTACGAGACTAAAGTGAAACGAAATAAAAGGTGGCGGTAATCATTTTCTTCTCTTTTCTATAGCCAGCGACGAAATATTATCTTCATTTCTTGCTATCATTTTGGTCTCTTTCTGATAAACGAAAATGCTGATGCCTTCAAAATCAATCTTCACGTTGGTCTTAATTAAAACAAAGCTGAAAATTTTTTGCGCTTCGTCTTGGGATATGAGGTTTCTTCCACGCACCCACACTAGATCCTCGAGTAGCTCCTTTCCTCTTTCGTCAGCGCATTCTCCCGGTGGATTTTTTGCAGCAAAGCATGAAAAAGGTTCCTATAATCAATGTCACGGTCATGAGCAAAGAATGAAAAGTGCTACTTAGGTCAACATGATCACGACTGTGCCGCAGCTACATCTATTCGTAAGTTTGAACACAGCTGGAGGACTGTCACATTCTTAACATAGTTGACATCATCTACTTCAACTATGCGGAAATCTTTAACATCTGATGAGAGAGATCAATGGTCATACCGTAGAGTACTTATTTTTCTTTAGGTCTAGATTAATGGTTATAGTCTAGATTAGTAATGGCTGTTTTCATGTATAAAGTACTCCTGCTTTTACTTTTTAGGTCCACATTATAATGGTTACAGAGTGCCACTCCTCTAGAAGACCTCTGGAGAACAATTTGAGATACGTATTCACAGGAGCACCATGAGTAGACGTAGACGAGACCCGAGAAATTTCTCTTTAATCAGATGTTGTTCTACTTGTATTTGATGCTGTTATTCTTGGACTCGTGTTTGAAGATCTTGATGTTGATGTTGCTATTGTGCATGTACTTCTGGTTCCGGTCCATCTCCGGTCCTGTCATGTTTTGTCTAATGTAATTGTCCTTGACAGAGACTTGTTGACGGAGGCCCGTCTATTGAACATATTTGCACAATTCTCTGTCGCTGTCCCTCGTCGGTTAAATTTAACAAAGTTTTTATCGGATAAAAACGCAAAACACATACTCAAAACTAAGTATCTATATAGATGTTGTGATCGACATAAATCTGGCGTTGGTGCAGAAGGTTCTTGAGCTTTGGGGCCTCCAGCTGCCTCCTCTTCAGGTGTTGGAGCTTCTGCTGCAGCTGCTTCAGTTGCCTGTCCAGCTCCACTTTGCGCCCCTTTCCGCTGTGCTTGCTGGTTGTTTGAATCTGCACGGAAGCCATCAGCATCATTTCCGCTTGCTGTTGTAAGGTCTGCATGTTTTCCGCCTGATGGACTTTGGTCAGCTCCCGCTTCCTCTTGAGAAGGTGGTGCTGGAGTTCCAGGACTAGAAGGTGGAGGGGCTTCATCCTCTACATGATCTGGTGCTCCTTGGTTTTGTCCATCGCTCCCTCCTCCTTCCGGTTCTCCAACTGCTTCTCCACCAACTGCAGTTGATGTTGAAGACGTGGCCGCTTCCTCTTTCAGTCGAGGACCTGAGTTTGACTTTCGTGAAATATACATTGACTATTTTGTTCATGAGATTAATTATTTTGTGCGTGTTGTTCTTATTCTAGTTCTTGTACATTTCCATTCTTCTTGGACCTGATTGTTGAATTAGTGAGTGCTACCCTTTTGGACATCAGCACAGGAGTGTTGAATAGGTATCAACTAGTTTTCACTTTTTTTCCTGCTCCACAAAGTCAAATGCGTGAAACGTGGCCATCTTCTCTTCTGCGGCGGCGGCGCCTCTGCGGTTGCCTTCCCATCTCCTGTCGGTGCAGTTGTAGTTCTTGAAACTGACTTTCAATCTTTTTAAAAATACTGCAATATTATCCTGAGAAGTGAGAGGGCTATAAGGAATGACATAAAGATTTTGGTTGAATGTGTGGTACTCTTTTGGACCTGACCACGGGTGTTGAACAGGTAAGAAGTGAAAATGTTTTCATGATACTTCTTCTACTATGGTTGAAAAGTCGAAGAATTTCTCGAAATCATTCTCAGGATTAGGATTTGTAAAACAACTACATACAGTCTGGAATCATGCACAGGGACGAGAGAGTGATACCTATGTCAAGAATGAACTACCAGTTTTGTCTTTCCACAATATGTGTGCTGGATCGTCACAGTCCAAGCTGAAAGACTTCTCACCGAAGAACCTTTGCCGGACCTTCTCGAGATACTCCTTGTCCGTGGTTTGCAACACGGGTTCCCAGGTCCACGTATCCTTTGTTGCTGGCTCTGTAGTTGCGCTGCATCATGAAGAAAGGACGTTACTTTACGACGACAAACAAATGACATCAACGTGTCGACTTACTGGATCTAGTGACAGGAGACGTTGGATCCATCGCAAGAGTCTTCATCCGTAGTCCTCTTATATGTACTAATCATACATGCTCTACTTGATGTTATACAGAGGGTTACAAGTGGTCTTCTGTTTTGGTTTACTTCGCTACTCGGGTAGACCAAAGTGTGCGGATCGCGGAGGCCCCGCACCCTATCTAAATTTTAGGTGCGATCGAAGAATAATCCTAGATCATAGACCTAACCTTCCTAAATCCTAGTCTAACATCAGATAGTGAAAGCACTAGTGCCATGCCTTATACACTCTGCCTGTATCTACTTAGAAAGTAATAAATTAGTTGTCACTGTAACTGTCTGCATATGACTTAGAAAACATAAACTTTCGCGAGTCTTCGATCACTAGACGAGGTGAAGAGAAAAAAAAATGTGTCCATAATTTCTTAGCTAGCTTCTTCTCTCGGTCTAGTGCGCTCTTTATTGCATCTGAGAGGAAAACAAGGGAAGCAGAGACGCATGATACTCCAGCCAGGTTCCGGCCGTGTCATGTCGATCATTACTAAACGAATGTTGTCGTGAAGCTCAAAGAAGAGTTAACAATTTCTATGAAGTGCACCTTTGTCGCACCTCTAGTATTGTTCTTGCACGACGAGATTGGGAATCTAGTTGTAATAGGACATTTTTACTGGTGGGATTCGCCTCAGCGCGAGCCATGACCTAGTTTATCTTATCGTTGTCAACACCAAAAGAAAACTGTACACGATTAGCTCAATTATAGTCATGAACAGGTGTCATTGATGAATACCAGCCAATTTCATTGCATCGTCGAAGTCTTTTTTCCATGCCGCCTGCGTGCTCTTCTGATGAAAGGGTCACCTATGGGGTCTATATGGGCCATGGTTTATCAGTGAAAGTAGAAGGTTAATATGGACAAAGGGAAGACTGGGCAACGTCGATATCAATAATCAGCATGAAAAATGCCAATGATACCGGCAGATATATTGCCTCAGCTGTTGCTCCTCTGAAATGATTCATGTTCTGTTCCCCAATTGCTAGCAGAGTTGTGGTCTTTACTTTTTAGTGTATATAATCTATAATTGCTTGCTACTCCTATTATATCACTCAAGTCAGCGTATTGCGTAAAACTAACACTAGTCATAAGCGTCAGGCATCTTGTCCTTTTTGTCATTGCGATTACGACTGTCCTTGAGCTCTGTGCCAGGCTTCGACACTGGGGCTAGAATCCGCGTGAGAAATGACGGGACTAGTATTTTCTGATCACCTTGAACTTTTTTTTTTTTAGCAGGCTCATCCCCATCAGCCTTTTTGTAAGACGGGCATTCTGCCATCAGCATCAGGATAGGCTTGCCGAGCGAATCCCCTTGAAGACTTTTAGAAGAACGACTATTATTAGCATTACAGCATTTCTATCAAATCAGGGAGCCGTTCAGAGACTTTGCATTCAACTATTTCTCTGGTAGGAGAAAGTCAGAGCTTTAGGGAAAGGCACGAAACTGTACGGCTTCGGTTCTTCTCGACCACAGCAATTCTAATTCAACTTGTACTGGGAAAAATATTCGTGTATGATCATAACTCTCGTGGGTAGGACTTCGTCTGCGTGCTCGGAGGCAATTCTGCCGTTTAGAGGTTTTCGAGTCACAAATGCACTTTCATTTTATTTGGTGCTTACGTATAATGATTCTTCCCATACGCATATTTCATGATCATGAGAAATAGGATTGACATGCCCATGCGGCTAATGTTAAAAAGCTAAAAGTCTCATGCTAACGATAAACGTGCTTCATCTGATCGCGCAGTTGATTGGCCCTGTGTCACCTCTTCCCTACCCCTGGAGATGAGAGGCATAACGAAGATCGCCCGGACCACCTTACCCCATGCGTAGCAAAGGAGGATAAGCTCAAAAAATATATGCGCGACTTTTATAAATATAAGCTCTATCGGCCTTGGGCGCTAGCCTAAACCTGCGAAAGCAGACCTATCAATATGCGGCCGAATTACAACCCTTGAGCCACATATATTGATACTCCTGCTGCAGTTGCAGGTGGAATCTAGAGGGTCTTAATGCTTTGTTGAGCTCCTCTAAGCGTTCGCCTACTTTCGTGCCAAAAGTACCAGCTTCCGTGAGGCGGCCCTCTCTATCATCCCAATCCCATCGCTTCATCAGCGCGCTCAGAAAGCCTACTGGCGATCGAGTTTGTTTGCGACTGTTGTCCATGCTTGTCGTTGTCCCCACTGCGTTGAACGCCTTGTCGAGTTTCTTGTGAAGACCTGCAGTTCATGGGAGTAGAGAAAACGACAGTGGAGATAATTGAAGACGATTCTATTGTTTGAGTCTAGGTCGAGGAGGCGCAGCTCCAATTTGATAAGTGTACAGGTCAACGCCTAAACCACTAAGCCTGTACACTTATCACAATTTTTCTGAAGATTACTCTAATTAGAGAGAGACCGTGAATGACAATAAGCCTCACAGTATATTATACTTACAAAAATCGAAATTACTCAATATCGGTTCGTCGTTATAATATAGTTCAGCCACAAGTAGATTTTCGTAAACATAATGAAGTAGAAGTGGCGGGAATAGACACTAGTTGTTCTTACGTCGTTGACCCTAGGTAAAATTGTAGTGTGCCGGAGAGTGGTAGCCGATGGAAAAACCAGATTCGAAGACGCAGTTTTTAACAACTCTGGGTCTGGTAGAGCCTACGCCTAGCCCTAAGTAGTGCGAAGACAGAAAAAAATGAAGCCACAAAAGTGAACAGATTGATAGGGCAATCCGAGTTGGTGGTAGAAGTAAAGCCTCGAAGTGCGCAAGGTATTGCGTTGCAATGCCCTGCATGTGTGACGCAATGCGCCGGGGCGTGTTCCCGCTGGTCGTGTGCCAGACTAGACAGAGGTCTCCGGCGGCGTCGCTGAGCTGTTGCCGACCCTCTGCAGCGCCTCGGTTCGGCGTGAGTACTCTCTGCTCCGAATGTTTGGGACAGCTTATTTGCCTCAAGGCAGCGGCTCACTACAGAGCCAAGCTGCCTGGTTTGGTGCGGGCTGCAACTGACGGCGGCGCCAGGCAACCCCCCGAGCACGCAGGCTAGTGTAATAAGTGCGCGCGCCTTGCTCACTCAGAGTGGCCTGGCCCGGGAAAGTGCGGGCCCATGCGTCATCCGTGCCGACGAAGAACACAGCGCGCGGCAGCTGGAAATGTTTTCCCTTGCGCTTCGTCGCGTCTCTCTTTTCGGTGCGCAGGGCCTGACACCGCACCAAGCATCCACCCCGCGCCGCCGTCGGCACATTCGCAGGCATACGGGAGCTGGCGTTTACGGTAGACGGACCGCTGCGAAGGCGAAGTGGCTTTAGCGATCCCCCCGTGCCTCACTACAGTACAGAAAGCTCAGGAGCAGCCGGCGGCGGTGATAAAATGCGAAGTCAACGGCTAGTTGATGCCCTGGGCAAAAAGCGATGATGTGGAAGCGCAGTGCGATGGCCGCATGGGAGGCGGGGGTGAACAGATGAGGCAGAAAAACTGAACAGGTGGGGCAGAAGAAGTGAAGAAGGTGGGCGAGAGCGTAGGAGGGCGCTCTTGGACAAATCGTCAACACATGTCGTGGTAACACGGGGATTCATTGCGCATACCTTCTTCTAGACAAATGTGACCCGCCAGTAAGTGCTCTTGCTCAGGCACTCACCCGGCTCATGCGCCAGCGCTGTTGTGCACAGTCTTGCAAATCCCTGATAAGTCACGACCTCGCCACGAGAAGAAAAAGGGACATTGCGGCGTCGCTGACCCTATAAAAAGGTGATGGAGACGAGGGAGAAGCGGGAGAAAAGATGGCGACAGCAGCGGCGACAGTGATCAGTATGGTGTAGGGCACAAGCTCCACAGAATAAGCAATGAAGTATACAGGCAACCGTGGCCCTGTACATAGTTCTCAGGTGTCTTGTATCTACAAAAAATCTCTATCAAGAATTATTCATCTGCAGCATCTGTCTCCTTCCACTTTCTTGTCCATTAGTAAGAAGAGTTAAGGTTTATACTCTTTCTCCCGGTCGCAAGCTCCCTTAGAGTTTCAACCGCAGCGTTGAAGATAGCCAGACGTTGGCTCCTGTTCTGTTTCATCTCGGCGGGCGTCTTGTTCGTCCGTGTCCCACAAAGAAGCCCACGCCATGATGAAGGGGGATAGGGTATTACAGGGCAGAGGAAATAATAAGGATCTCAGATTCGTGAAACTTTTTCTTTACGAGAGGAGCACAGCCACAGACTGTCCCCGGAGATGTTCACCGTCTTTGTCCACAATCAATAACCAAAAAAAAAACTACTCACCCTCAGCAACTTCAAAACTTCTCTTCCTGTTTAACTAGGCGCTCCAAATATTAGCTGGCTAATTGATGGCCAACGACTCTCGTCTGCGTCTCCGAGGCCCATCCCTGTTGCTGCCAGTTGCAGAGATCCTCCGTCTACTATTTAACGAACTAGTCAGTAAACCTGCAAGGCATTTCAAAGTGAAGAAAAGTTTTGAAGTAGCTGAGGAGGAGCTAAAGGAAGAACTGATGTCGACGAGCAAAGGAAGACACCTATCAACCATAACAGAGTTTTAACACCGTTGGGGTCGTCGGGCTCTTTGAAGTTGTCGTCAAGTTGCTCATGATATGCCTTGGCGTCGGCCTTCGAAAGGTAAATGTGCGATAAGCCGTAGGGTGAGGGTCTCTTAGAATCTCATTTGTTTTTTTCTATCACATGAGAGTGGCTGCGTGTCTTCATGCCACTGCAGTATGTGACTTCCAGACTTCACATGGCTCTATTAGCCATAAATTCTTCTTCTTCATCTTACTTCGTCTGACTGCGAACAGTCAAGCTATAAACAACGCTCTGCACGACTCGGTCTCCTAGGACTCGAAATTTTGGTGACTAACTGTCGTAGTCTTATTCTACGAAGTACTAGCTAAGCAGTAGCCACCATGTGATTAGTAACTAACTTGTCAAAGACACTCCATTGTGGTTACATAATCTTGTCGTCTTCTGTTGCTTGATCGGCGCTTTTTTCTGTGTGCTTTCGCATTTGCCATAAATTAGAAGCAGCCTCGACAATAGAGGAGCATCATATCCACGACGTCTGGATGAGCATGATAATCTTATGTGTGAGAAAATTCAGCTAAGATATGTTTTCGGCTCGAAGGAGGTGCATTGCCTTCATGATGCGCTCCAACTATCACTCATTCGGATGTAGTAGATAGTGATTGACACCGAAGTGGACCAAAATCTTTACAACACTTTCAGAAGTAGATGAAGGAGATCAAGATTTTGTTGTTGACGATTTTTCTCAGTACTTACTTTAAATTGCAGCCAGAATTAGTAGAGTTCTTAAATGTACTGAGAAAGATTTGTACACAATGAATATTAACTGAGGTTAGAACACAATGAAGGGAGATGTGGGCAATACGAATACTAGTCCTTGCGTGAGTATTTGCATGTTGTCGAGATTTATTGGGTCTCTAAGTAAGTGCTTGCCTTCGATTAAACAATAACACCATCCTTAAAGATCGCAATGCTGAGCACGTCTCCTGCTTCGTTTTCGTATATCTGACCTCCGTCACGAAGCTTTTTGAGCTCCGCCAGTGCCTTTCCTTCGTCAGTCCTGGCTCCGCAATCGGGAGGAGTTGTCTGTTGCTGCATTGTTTCTGCCGCTGGTCCGCCTTAATATGAAGGAAATCTTCATGAAACAAGAATTATTTCGATCTCGATCATATCAGTCCCTCCACAGTGATTCAGCAGCATTCGTTGAAGTTGCTATCAAAAATAAAAAGGTGACCTTCTTCTATTCGCATTAACTTTTAGTTTTAATATCTACTTCGTGTACAAAAATTATAATCGGATGACACCAAACGACAGATGCTAACGTATTTAAATGTTGTTATATATTTCCATCATAAAAAAGATGAAGCTGACGCTGTAGATGCTCCAAGAGCTGGATCTCCTCCTGTAGCTTCTGTGGCTGCTGGAGTTTGTCCGTTGGTTGCTAGATGAAGTATATCTCTAGCTGGTGAACCTGGAGCTGCTGCGGCATCGCCCTTGTTTGCATTCGCACCATCCGCAGCATGCGTGGCTGCTTCATCATGTTCTTCTGCGATTGCAGTTAGACCTGAGATTGTTTCCTTCGATCTTTTAAAAAAACTCTAAAAATAATATTCCCGGAACATACAAATGAAAGTGTTTCCATGGTAGTTGTTGTTCTATGGCTCCTGAAAAGTCGAAGAATTTCTCGACGAAGTCATTGTTCTCAGGATTTGTAAAACTACTACTACATACAGCTACAACATAATTTGTTGAATTTCTGGAATCATGCAAATAAGGGACGAGAGAGTGCAGCTAGAAATGTCGAGAATGAAATACCAGTTTTTTCTTTCCACAATGTGTTTGCTGGATCCTTACAGTCCAAAGAATTCTCATCGAGGAGTCTTTGCTGGACCTTCTTCAGATACTCCTTGTCCGTGGTGTCCAATACGGGTTTCCAGGTCGTCCATGGATCCTCTGTTGCTGAGTCAGTAGTTGCGCCGCATCATGAAAAAGGGAGGTTATCTTACGGTTACGACGACAGACACCTGGATCTAGTAACAGGAGACGTTGGATCCATCGCAAGAGTCTTCCCTAGTCCTCTTACATGTCCTAATCATACATGCCCTACTTGATGTTACAGAGGGTTACAAGTGGTCTTCTGTGTGAACTCGCCGACGGCGGTAGAAGATCCACGACCCGCCGTATACGAGGATAAGTAGTGAGCAGACTATGATTATGATTATCTACATCCGCTACGACTTCTTACAGGAGTGAAAGGCTACTTAGGCTTAGCCTTGGCAAGCCGTTGACAATATCTTACTATTTATGAGATAGTGCAGCGCTGCTGCTTACGAAGAAGTTGGTTTTGGTTTACTTAGCTACTCGTGTAGACCGAAGTGTGCAGATCCCGGAGGCCCCACACCATATGTAAACCCTAGGTGCGATCGAAGAATAAGCCTAGATAGCCCTAACCTCCCCATATCCTAGTCTAACATCAGATAGCGAAAGCAACGCTTTCGCGGCGAGCTGATAAGTTCTGAGAGAGCGTACGCGCTAGTCGTTGGAGTCATTCTAGACTTCAACATGCGAGACCGCCTGGGGAATCAATCAGAAGCATACAACTTCTATTTGTAGTAATATCATCCCGTGTCCACGACTCACACTCTGCTTGCATTCATCGATCAAAGTAGCTAATTTCAACTGTCTACGCATCAAACAACAGCCTTATGAAACTTTCTCGGGTGTTCCGGTGAAGATCATGAGAGGGGGTTATACATAAAGGCGTGAACAGAAACAAAAGTGTGCCCATAATGTCTTGGCGTTCTTCTTTTTCTTCTTCAGCGCGCTCTTTATTGCATCTGAGGAGAAAATAAGGGAAGAAGAGAAGCATGGCACTCCAGTCAGGTTCCGGTCCTGCCATGTTCGATCGTTACTGAACGAATCATTGTGAAGCCAAAAAGAAGAGTCAACATTTTCTATCAAGTGGATAATTGACGCACCTCTTGTGTTCTTGCACGAGCACGACGATATCAGGAATCTAGTACTAGGACACCGTTACCGGGATCCGCATGAGCGCGAGTCACGACATGGTTTGTCTTTGTCTTATCATTTCCAACACGAAACAAGAGAGAACATGATATAGATATTACACGAAATAAAAAGCTTAAGAATTTTTATAAACGAGCGTCATTGATTTTGAATACCTGCCAATTTCATTGCATGACCGAAGTCTTTACTCCATGCTCCCAGCGTGCTCTTCTAATGAAAGGGTGAGCCATGGGGTCTACGTCTATATTTGCCAGAGTTCGGCACCGAAAGTTCGAAGCAGTAGATGATAAAGAAAGGGAAAATTGTTTTTGACCATAGACAAACCTGGAATCTAATCATTTTGAAAAATGCCGATAGCGATAACGCAACTAAGTCTGTTGTTCTAGCCCTGCGGCAACATTTCTGGTCATAAGCATCATATTTTCCACCGAATGTTGCAGGCCTAATTTTCTGCCACCGATTACGACTGTCCACAAGCTCCTGACCAGGATCCGACACCGGGGCTAGAATACGCGTGAGAAACGGGACGGGTGCAGTTTGAGCTGTGATCGCATTATTGTTGAGATATTTTTCGGTTGCTCCTCCGTAAGAGCCTCCGCATGGGGCCACTTCTGTTGATGATGTGCCCTCGATTAAGGCATCAATCGATTTTTTAGAACAGGCGCACTGACATTACAACGTTTCCGTTAGGGCGGCAATCGAAATTTAACGTTCGAGTATGTACGAAAAGTGCAGAGCCTTAGGGAAAGCTTCGACACTTAACTACTTCCACCTAGTTGGGTTGCGTGCTGGGAAGAAGAGTACATTCATAAATGTGGCTTGTTTAGCGTTCTCTGCGGCCGAGGAGGTCGCGCCGTTCAGTTTTAGAGGCGCTTGCTTCGGAAATACTTTTTATCGCCTACGCACTATGCATCAATTTGATCCGTCTTCTCTATGAGAAAGGCAATAATTATATATCAAAAACTCGTCTACCAGTAACACTATCTCTAGCACCATTCTTGTACCCATTATGAAGTATTATGTATAATGCTCCATATAGTCATCCACCTACATTCTTTTATTGCCTCTGCATCATGACTTTTTCCTTGAGATGAAGGATAGATGGTTCATGCAGGTGTCATCTAGAAGGAGCTCTTAATGGTGTGTTCGCGGCGCGATCATTTTCTTGTCGTGCTAGGTTGTCGGCAAACGTTTTCCTCCTCTCTTGTACTTGTATGTCATCTTCTCCAAGTGGTTTTTGAGCCAACGCGACTAGGAAACTTTTTAGCGATTGGAGGAGCTTTGTGTCCACGACGGATTGGAAGGCAGTGTGAAGTTTCTTCTGAAGACCTGTAGTTCATGGTAGAGAAGACGAAATCTGAACTGGAGAACTACAAGCGTAGGTGTAAGTTGTACAAAGATCACTGAGCACAAAGAGAAAGAGTAATACTCGTCCGTCAAGTATTTATAATAGTACTAATGGGTAGCGGTTGTAGCCGTAGAAGCTTGTCCCGGCTTATTTGCTCTAGGGCAACTGTTTACCACGACACAAGCCATTTGCCTGTGGCAAGGACTATGAGCGACCCTACCTCCTTCAATGCTGGCCTGCTCCCCGCTCAGCATGCGAGCTGCAAGGTAAGTATTGGGACGAAGTGAAAGACGAATGGAGAGACAGCGGCATGGGGACGGCGGTCACCAGACTGATGCAAGCCATCGCGATCGCCATGTTCATTCTTAAGAGCAGATGGTCAGCGCAGTGCGGTCCAGCACACCACAAGGGCGTACACAGATTCCTTCGACACACACACGACATCACGAAACACATGGAAGGCATACAGCGGCGCACCATAGTGACGATGACAGCAGTGAGAAAGAAGCCAGAATGAAGCTGATAAATAAAAGAGCGCCGCGGCGACAGGCTTGATCTGAAGGGGCTGCGGCGTTCTATTGGGATAAGTACGCCGTTGGGTGGGCCTCTGTGTTCGTTCACCATGCGGGGGGGCGGCAATGTGGCGCGGGCGGTATTGTGCGGGGAACCAAAGCCAGGCGGCAATCACTATGAGATTGAAGTGAGAAGAGAGAGGCCCCGTCCCGTGGTCTCGCTCCGAGAGCGCATAGCCATAGAGAAAGACGGGGATGAGCGGCATGAGCAGTGGTTATCCCACTAGAGCCAGGCTCATGCCTCTATTTCGTTTGTAGTTTCCCGAAAAAGGTGTGAGCGCCTTCGTACTTGTAACAAACTGAAGTTACTACTTAAAAGCGGACGAGCATAGATTTTGAGAGTGTACTGCACTTCTGGCGTCATGATCCCTAGCTACAACATTGTTTGAAAAGAAAAATTATAAATACCTGCTCTCTGCTTCACAAGGTCCTGGAAAACCACGAGCGCCTCGCTCGTTTGCTTCTGGATGAGCTCCTTATTGTTTTTGTTCGTCTCCCCCGTTGCGCAAATATTTTCATACCAGAATGAACGTGAAGAGGATAGCAAGAGCCACTATTAAACTTCAAGGGGGCGGGGTAGACATGTGGGGGGTATGGAGGTAGATACGTATGAATAGCACGGCATAATGCATAATGGGGCCCGAATCTTAGAGAGACCAGAATAAACAAAATGTGAGCCAGAACATGAAGACTGACGCAGCGATAAAACAAAGGGTAACAGGCGGTAACACATTGCACTCAAGATGAAGACAGCGAGGACCCACTGATAAGACACAAATGCTCGCTATCAGCTTGTTTCTGTTTTTAACAGCCGTCGACGCAAAGCATTTGAGTCAAGCCGATCCTAGGAGAATGGGGCTAATGTATATTTATGGAAGATCACTTTCCACCGGTCGCACTTGAAGGTCAAAATGTTGAAAGTGAAGCAGGAGGATTTGTAGACAACTCCTTGGTAACATTACAGAAGTAGACCCACATTAAAAGAGATCTTCATCTTCTTCTAGTATCTATAGTACGCACCCCCTTGTCAACATTCTACCCTTTCAGAAGCGGGCCCATACCTGTACTTATAATAACGTTGACTAATCGGTATACAAATATTCATGGATCATCAAGTATTGCTGGACCACAAGAGCACAGGCCTCCGTGCCTTGGTTCGTTTCTCAGTGGAAACACAAAGTCAGAATCTTGAATGCAAGCAGATCTTGATAATCCTGCCTGAGACTTGCGATCTCTGGCTGGTGTAATCCCTGTTTGGTTCATTGGGTAAGATGAATCATACATCATCAACATAAGCATGTCAGAAGGGATCGGACTGAACATGCATCATACGACTAGGATCAGTATAACCGTGCCTAGTCTGTACCTTGTTCATTATGATTATGCATTGAATGTGCATTGAGTGTGCATTGGAAGTAGCATTCATGATCATTGACATTCATGTCTTGTGAGATCATCCCGATGACAGTCGAGCACGAGGCTTTGCGTGAGCCACTGAGAACAGAACACCACGACATCCGAGAGGCTTGAACCATACATGACCAACAAGTATCGATGACCGAAATAATCAATATGAATGAATAATCATATAAAAAAATTCCATAAGAGAGTCATCGCAGTTGCTGGCATCTTGTTCACCCCGAGTTTCTTCTCATAGCTACTCCTTTCGTCGGTGGAGAGGTAAAAATATTCCATGCCATTTGGATTTGGTTGTGGATATATATTAGATTCTCATGCATGTAAGAACTCACTCGGCAGTAGCACTACCACTCGCATTTCACTGATTTCATCATTCACGAGAAACAACGTCAACGAAAACAAAGACAGGAAGAGAAACAAGGTGACAAAAACAGAGAAGGGCTTGATCATATTATAGAACAGCCTATAGGGGTGCCCGGTTCAGGATGGGATGGATCGGATGGACTTCCGAGGTCCGCTAGTCATTTCAAGTACTAGGGCCCGAAGATTTAGGACCAGGGGGGTCCATGCGATCCATCCAAGTCCATCCTAGTCCTACATCCGTTCTATAAGTTATTTTATCATCAAGCAACTTGTGTTTCTTGGTTACGCAAGGTCGACCATCTTGTTCTGTGGTAAATTCAATCAATCGTATGAAAATCAAAATACAACTTATGTTACAAGTTAGTAGTAGTTATCCTGAATACCAGTTACTTCCTAAAAATTATGGTACAGCGTCTCTGCAAGGACAGAGCTTGCAGCAGTTATCTAGGAACCTGTAAACGTCATTGTTATTGCTTTTGTATTCTTAACGCTGGTTCCTCCAACGGGCTTCTCCATAGCGTTGCTTCGACATTGATTAGAAGTCGTTTCTTCTGCAATTCTCTAATCCCAAGAAGTTGGTCGTATTCCAGCTAGGGTTTACACTGAGAAGTAGGAAAGTGGTCACTCACTCGGCAGCAGGTGATGACTGCAGTCCACATCCATGCAGAGCAACTAGGCCACATAGCAAGACGACTGCAGGTCGTGGGGTATTATGTTTCTCTGTCTGTTTCGGCTAATTGTGTAAATACGGAAATTCGATTTCTGTATTGAAATATCACTAAAAGATGGGAGTCAGTGTGTCAGTTTATTACTGGATTATGAAGCGAAACCTAAGACCAAGTAGACTACGAGACTAAAGTGAAACGAAAAAGGTCGCGGTAATCATTTTCTTCTCTTTTCTATAGTCATCGCGGAAATATTATCTTCATTTCTTGCTATCATTTTGGTCTCTTTCTGATAAACGAAAAGGCTGATGCCTTCAAAATCAATCTTCACGTCGGTCTTAATCAAAACCAAGCTGAGAATTTTTTGCGCTTCGTTTTGGTATATGAGGTTTTTTCCACGCACCTCCACTAGCTGCTTGAGTAGCTTCCTTCCTGTTTTGTCAGCGCAATCTGCCAGCTGAGGTGCTGCAAAGCATGAAAAGGGTCCCTATAATCAATGTCACGGTCATGAGCAAAGCATGAGAAGTGTTAGGTCAACATGAGCACGACTGTGCCGCAGCTACATCTATTCGTAAGTTTGAACACAGCTGGAGGACTGTCACCTTCTTAACATAGTTGACATCTACTTCAACTATGCGGGAATCTTTAACATCTGACGAGAAAGACTAATGGTTATACCGTAGAGTACTTCTTTTTCTTTAGGTGTAGATTAATGGTTGTAGTCTAGATAATTTTTAATGGTTATTTTTATAGAGTACTCGTGCAGGGATTTGATGCTGTTGCTCTTGGACTCGTGCTTGAGGACCTTGATAGGACCTTGATGTTGCTATCGCTTCTATTGTACATACTACATGTACAGCGCTCCTCTGTTGCTGCCCCTCGTAGGTCGCATTCAACTACAAAGAAAGTGGGAACTGGAAAAAAATGATAGAAACACAATAGATTATACACGACGCACGAGGACATACCAAAATGTATCGTATCTGTAAATGTAAATGTATTATAGATTTTGATCGCCATAGATCTTCCGTGGTAACAGGAGCTTCATCTGAAGGTTTTTCAGCTGCTGGGGCTGCTGCTGCTGCTATCTCTGCAGGTGGATTGCCCTGTGGACTAGGATTGCTTCCTGGAGGCGTTGTAGGTGCCACAGCTTTGCGGCTCTGGGTAAGTTTTTGTTTAGGGGTTGCGCCAGGAGTAGGAGGCGTGCTGCCTTCACGATCACGACTAGATATTTCATTTTTCAGTACATCTTCTTTTCGAGGTTCCTCCCCTTCTGGCGGTCCGTGTGGATCTGAAGCTTCTGGAGCTGGAGATGTATTTCCGACTTCACCCTGTAGGCCTGCACCAACAGGAGCCCCTGGCTTTCCATTTGTTGCACTAGCTTGATTATGTGGCTTTGAAGATTCTGATGATGTATTCGGGTTTGGTGGTTGTTCTTGGTCAGGTTTCTCCCGTTCCCCATCGCCATCGTCGTGTTTAGTCGGTGTCTGACCTTCAGGTTTTTGTTGTTCTGCAGACGGTGGTGTTCGGCTTTCCTCCTGATCTTCTTCTTCTTTTCTTGGAGTGTCTTGTTCATGACCCTGCCCTCCTGTATCTTCATCTGTGGTCCTTTTTACCCCATTTGATTTTGATCGATGTAGTTCAGGATTCTCTCTTCTATCCTCGTCCCCTGCTCCTGCTTGGTCGTCGTTCTCGTCGGCATCTCCAGCACCTGCAGCAGTTGGTGGCGTTTCCGATTCCGTTTGTCGTGGTGGCGTTTGTGATGAAGCGTCTAGATGATCTAGTCGTTCCTGCTTCGCTTTTACTTTTCCCTCTTCTGGATTTTCCTCTGCTGGATGAGACTTCTCAACGCCTAGTTAGATGATGATGATGATGATGATGATTATGTTGAGAATGTTGATTATGTTGATTATGTTGAGAATGTTGATTATGTTGATTATGTTGAGAATGTTGATTATGTTGATTATGTTGAGAATGTTGATTATGTTGAGAATGTTGATTATGTTGAGAATGTTGATTATGTTGATAATGATGAGTTAAAGTTAATCAAAGAACCAGCATAAAGAGGAGGCTTGTCTCCACCGCACGAAGAGCCGCTTCCCTCGAGAAAAGAAAAAGCATTCCAAAACTTTCTTTTTCCACAGTCATTCTCTTAGACGGCATAGGCTGTATAAGTCTGTGGCCAGTATGTGTAAAGTATGGATAAGTCTGTGGCCAGTATGTATAAGTCTGTGGTACATTTGGATGTGTACAGTACGCATTCCTACTGGATGAAACCATAGACACAAATATAGAGAAGATTCCAATTGTTCACCTAGCTAGGCAAAATTTTCACCAGAATCCTTAATCTTGTTCCAAAAAGGCACCACCGCCCGCTTTTCCGTTAGGGGCTTCTTCTGAAGTTGTTAGACGATGCACAAGGGTAATATTTATAATTAATACTCATTCATCTCTTCGAGTATCGTGAGATCGTGGAGGCTATATCTATTGTTGCAAACCTGAGCGGACTCATCGTCATCACTTCCATTTCCAACGTTTAGGTTTTTGGTTTTGAGGATTATACATAGATTGACACTAGTACGAAGGAAGACCTTCGAGAGCTAGAGTTCCAACGTACTGATCGAGTGGATCGTGAGACACCAAGGAAATTATCTCAAGAACAAGAACAGGAGCTTACTCACGTTGTACTTGTAGCCTTTTTTTTTTCCGTCAGACTGGAGGCTAGTACAACAAAGCTGAAGCTGATTACAGAAAGGTTAGCATTATTAGGCATAACGGAGTCGGCGACTGGGTCCACCATCGTTTACTTCCACGAAGGTTCCCATATTTTACGCGTGTGCCCGTTTCGGTTTCGTCACTCGATCCTAATACAGGTAGATGTCTTAGATGGTCCAAAGTCAGATAGAGCCAACTTCAGCTAGGACATGCAGATATGCTGCTAGACAGATCGATATCAACATTCAAGTCTTAGATACTAGAGTAATAGAACAAATTATTTCTGCTGCAAGAATAGAGCAACTTCAAAGTCAAAGAGTATCCAGAGCTTCAAAGTCAAAGAGCGGTTAGGTTAGGTTGTGTGAAACAAAGATGAGCAAAGCTCCGTTTATAGAACAAAGAAATCAATAGAGCAAAAATATCAACAATATTAATCCAACATCTGGATGAAGAAAGTAGGAGTACATAGTACAACAACATCACAAGAAGATTTTTTAGAACTACGCTATTACATCTACATCTTCAACATAGTGGATTGGTCGTGGTTGAATTTGACGCTCTCGTGAGTAAAAAATGATGAAAATAATAATCAAGAGTAGCTGCTAGCGCGCTGATAGAAAGTACATACTAGATAGGTAGCTAGTAAGTTGAAATGAGAAATAAGGGTAGCGAGGGATGAGGAGCCAGCGCTAGTTGTGACATAGGGATGTTTATGTTACTTGATCATGAACTAAGACTAGTGTTGAATAGTTGTGAAATAGATGAGATGTCACGTGATCTTGTTCATAAAGACACCAGGAAGCACAGCAGCGTACAGATGCGCGATCGCAATATCGAAAATCTGCTCGATTTGTGTTGAAGACCTCGCTTGAAAACCACAGCAGCCGATGTTTAGAGATGATGCTGGGAAACAAAGATCATATCTACTGTCTGTTACAAGAATAGCTCTATCTGCTAGTATAAAGTAGCTCAAGATTGCCAGTGCAGTGGCTTTTCTATCACTGCTAGTCGTGCTAGTAGCTCTACCTGCTAGTAGAGCAGCTCAAGAATGCGAAATATAAGAAGAAGAGGGAATAAAGAGTGTCACACACATCAAGCTGAAACACCGTGGCCCCTCCGAGTAGCAGTAGCAGTGCGTCAAGTTCTTGGAATATCAATCATCAGATAAAGACTCCAGACGTCCTTTACTCGAGTTGTCTTCTAGGAGCCTAGTATCTCCTGAAAGCTTCTCACAACCACACGTTTCCTGTGTACTTTGACAGTACTCCCTCAGAGAGTCTTCCTGTCTTTGATTGAGATGATTTGACAGTACTCCTTCAGAGAGTCTTCCTGCCTTTGATTGAGATGATTTTTCTTCATAATTTTTTCGCTGCTCTTCCATCGATGCCCAACAGCGCTCGAGACAAAGACGCGGGTGCAAGACGCAAGAACAGCTTTCTCGCAGACTTCGCAAAAAGCGGTAGTACGGAGCCCACTTGTATGAACAGAAGTGTAACAGAAAGCGTCAAACTGATTAACCTACTCACTTCACTTCTACGTATGACCAAGGGTAGAAGAACAGGCACTGGAGGATCACCTAAGTTGTACTGGAAAACTACCGATCGTACGAATGAATGGCTCCGGTAATTGGTAACCTGAATTTGATCACAAGGGTTCTCTTCTTGTTTTCCCTTATGATCAAATTCAGGTTACCAAATACCGGAAGCATCCAACGAAAAGAGTGACAATATGAATATTCGAAAAACTGAAGTAAGCAAGTAACTGATCAGAATAACCGAGAGACTGATGAGAAAGAAGAGTAGCCTTGAAGCTATAAGCTAGTGCCTCCCTTATTTCCGTCAGTAACTCGGTTATTTTCAGTTTTCGAGTAGTTAGTATCTACTACAGGATCGTATATTTTCGGTTCCATAACTTTTGGTTCCGCTTTCGACGTCTCTGACCATCCCTAACTGCCTTCTTTCTTTCGGATTCAGAGACCAAAATGTCACCCTTGTTCGGATTCAAAATTTAGAAGAAAGTGATGAAAGAACATCGACTTCTACAACTACATCTACATCTACGTTGAAGTAGTTCTTGTGCGATACAGGAACATCTAGTACGTTCTTGCAGTAGTTCTTGTGCGGACAAATACATAGAGGTAGACGAAACAGCAAAGAGCATACGTGATCTTGATCTTCTTTTGTCGAAGTTGTAAGTAGTCTTCACTAGCATTCATCATATGCATAATTGGCATCTACTGTACTCGCTCTTGCGTCAAAAACAGCGCCTTCGCGACATTCGGATATTATTGATTCGCACATCATCGCAGAGGGTGGACACTGACTCGCACAGGAGCGATAAAGAGGACCAACATCACGAATTGACTCGATCGATGAAGGTGGAGAGGAGGAGGAGGACGTTGAAACTTGCATTGTAGTTGCGTCGGACGACTCGGACGAGAAGAGAGAGGAGGAGGATGAGGAGGGAGTAGACGGGGTCGAAAATGGGTAAAAGCTAAATCGCGACCCGATCGGCCTGCGCAACCCGATCGGACTGCGCGACCCTTCGGAGGGGTCCGACATGATTTCGTGTACTATGCCTTCTTTGGCAACTACATTTTTCGCAACATTCGTCGTACATAGGGATAGAGATTCCTTAATTTATCATAAATTAATGGATGCCTATTAGGAAAATGTAGCAAGGAGAAGAGTTACGACATGTTGCTCCATATTTTCATTATAGTTGTTGGCAGAGTTTTTTGCATCTGGCACATTTGTCTTGTTCCTTCTTTATCTTTTGTGCTCTCGTGTAAAAAAATATGTGGAACAAGAAGATCTCCAACGCTGTCCTTTACTGATTTGATATTCGTGCAAGAGGAGGACGTTGAGCAAGGAGGAAGGGAACCTAAGACGCTGCGCTCACGCTCAGCACTCGTATGAGTGCTAGTCAGGGAAAAACAAAGCCGACCTCGAGTAGAAAAACTATTTTGTAAGTACAGTTAAATATTTATAATGAATATAAAATACTAAATAAACCCAAACCCGAGTAGATGCTACTGCCCTTGGCGTCCCACCCCCCAGGTTCCCCAACCCCAGCATCCCTGATCGACCAAGAGACGATCGGGAAGAAAGACCAAACCAGAGAAGACGAAGGTAAGTAACTATCGACTCCCTGAGAAAAGACGAATCCCTGAGAAAACGAATCCCTGAGAGAAGACGAAGGTAACTATCTTCTCTATCGACGAAAGCGAAAATCAAAATTTAAAAAAAGACTCCAAGGAAGAAGAACAAGTACTAGTACTCTCAACCCGAAATCACTCTCAGCCGCAACACTCCGACAAAGACAACATTAGCTCTCGTCTCGACAACATTAGCTCTCGGTTCGTTCTAATGCCTTTTTTAGGGGGAACCAGCAGCGACGTCAAAAGTCTCTGTCAATAAGCAAACTTCCCGTCCTCCGCTCATCATTTCGGCAACAGCAATGTTCATGCAAAAACTCATGCTTGTACTGATAATCAGTGAAGAAGTGTTGTGGACACGTTTCACTGCGAACTGTGAAGAAGTGTTGTGTTGACTACAGCGTTTCCATTCTCCCGAAAAGTTGCCAACAGAACTCGATCTAGCGCGCACTGCATCGTTTCCATTCTCCAACAAAGTTGCCTGATTCCTCGACAAAGAGGCTCTCGTACTGATGACAGGCAGCACAAGAATGGAAAGGTGCGATCTCAAGGCTAAAAAAAAAAGTGATGAGAAGGAAAAACGCGATGACGATCTCGATTTCCTTAGGTAAGTTCTAACTCTGCCACAGTATTAGAGGTTTTGCCGTTGCATTCTTCAGAACATCCCTGACTTCTTTCTTAGACGGAAAGGCTCAGGAGCGACGCTAGTGCAGGGTCGTGCAATGTCATGTCATGATACCTCGTGATACATTAATCAAACGTGATCGAGGCCGTTCAGTTGTCCCCTTGTACCCCTTAATAGTACTGACAACTATCTTCGACCGTCGTCCGCCAGTTTGCAGAAATGCTCCTTCCCACGTTTTGTGGGTCTTTACGTGAGGCCTGAAAGACAAGCCCAAAGTCTTGCACGTGCCCAAAATCTGTCCGCGTTTCTTTTCGCTACGTCAAGTTTGACGATGCAAACTGGAGTTGAAGCATAGCGATCCGCAACAGAGAGAGAGAGAGCAGACTTGGGTGGATAGTGGCTGCGTCATTCTTTTGTAATATCTACTATGTGCTCTTCTTGATACTAGTCGATAAAGAGAATAAATCCGAATCCTAATTCTAAAAAAGCAATGTAATTGATGTAGTCCACCTAGACATGGAAAAGAAAGGGTACAATGGGAGTAAAGGGGACAATGGAGTTAAAGGTGAATTGCCGATGCAACCGAATAATTGAGACAGAATCTACTTCTCGGGATCTCACGTTACATCTGCTATATTTGCAGCTAGAAGTAGCCTCCTTGTCCTCGCTCGCCTCAACCAGTTCGTGATCTCTACGTGATCAATGACCTTGTTGCCACTCCTACTTTCCTTTCCTTCCTATGCAAGACAGTGTCTTCAAGGTTTCTCGCAACCCGATCTTTCATCCTCGTTCGCTTGTTTTCTTTAGTAGTTGAGTCGTGTAACTGTAACAGAAGCTCCTCAACGAGTACTAGAAGAGAGACCGGAATGAAGATAACAACATCAAACCAGACTTTTCGTGCCTTCTTGGTTGTAATCGTTATTGTCTTGATGCTTGTTCAGGGTCAAAACGTTGGGAATGGGTAGTTCAATGATATACTCGAGTCAAACTTTTGATTATTCTCTATGTGTGTAAGGTGCTTATCCTTCATCTTTGGGTCCTCGTGTGTGATCATAAGAACTATCTCTGCTACAACCTGATTTTTGTCCTCGTGATCTCATCAGAGGTCGGGAATATTAAGTCATCAAACTCATGTCTACGTACCCCTAACGCCAGCTTCACAATGAGGACAAGGTAAAATAAAGTACGACCTCATTTTCTCTAGTACGTGGGAATCGAACACGTAGATTATTTTGCTCGTCTTCAAGAACTCTGCTACAACCTGATTTTTGTCCCCGCGATCTCATCGGAGGTCTCAAACTCATTTCGACATGTTATCACAATGAGTACGTGGGAATCGAACACGTAGATTATAGAATATATTCATATTGCTCGTACGTACTTAGAGTATCATTAATATAGAATATATTCATATTGCTCGTCTTCAAGAAGTCTCCAAGAACATGTTACGTTCGAATCCCATAGATATTCCTGCCCACGTGTTTGCAGGCACGGACGACGTCAGCTGCGCGAACCGTGTGTCTCTGCCGATGCACACAGTAGATGTAAGACGTCTCCACTAACTTCTCTCCTCGTTAGCGGAGCTAAAGGAAAAGGTTGTAGTGGACAATGGGTAAAAGTGTTCAAGTCGGGCTCGTCGGGTAATGTTCAAGTTCAAGATAATTGGATGGTTCTGGTATTTGGTAGCCTGAGTTTGATCCTAAGGGAAAACAAGAAGAGAACCCTTAGGATCAAATTCAGGTTACCAAATACCAGAACCATACAATAATAAGAGGTGGTGAAGGAATTTTGTACAGCACTGCTGCGAAATATATGTTGGACTGCTGGAAGCTGCAGCCTCTGTAATACGTATACACTATTACTATGTACTATAAATATTGCCTCATCTATAGTACACTATTACTATGATCATGTATTTAAAAATGTTGGACTTGTTGGAGCTGCCTTTGCCATAAAAAAATAGCTGAAACGAGTATCGAGCTTCTGCGTAGATGCGTGATGACAGTCGTTTCACGCCGCCACGTCTAGCTAGACGTCGTATCGCTCCCTTACACAGATTATCACTCACTACAGGTTGAATCGCACACCCACACTGCATTTGGTTTCGATGATGTCCGTGTTGAAGTATTAGAGCTGTCCGTAGTTCATTTTTCAAGTGCATCCTTGAAAAGTACTATGGGAGAGCATTATTCCCTTAGGTGGATACTCCTCCATACGTCTCAAGGATGCGTCCAAAGATGTATTACGTACAGCCTTAAAAGTAGATTGTGGTTGTCAGCAGCAGCACGACCTCCTTGTTGTGCTAAAAATTGTCTCCCGGAGGACCGCGGTAATTGGCTTTGCTGTTGCTGGTAGGTCATGTGGTTCTGCGTGTCGAAGGACCTGTCATCACGATTTCGTGAGGTTGTTATCCATGATCCTCGAACATTAGTATGTTGCTTCATTTGTTGCACGGGGTGTGCACCAGCTCGATACAAATCGTTCTCATTACTGAAGTTGTGTTAGAGGGAGGGCTTGTTCGGAGGTGTTTGTTAGCCTTCCCCGTTAGTTATGTTGCTCAGCTTCAGTTCATCCTGAAGAATAAGAGGGAACTGCTCCGGCATTTGGTGGCCTGAATCTGAGCACAAGGATAATTCTCTTCTTGTTTCCCCTATGATCATTCAAAAGGAGGCTACCGAATACCAGAAGAATCCAAAGAGAGGCAAACTAACGGCAGCAGGAAAACGAACCTAAGACCCAGCACACTTAATTTTGCAACGTGTTGCGTATTAACAGCCAGTCTGCCTCAGACCGAATGGGTGCGCCACTCGGGTCACACATGTTGGGGCACCAAGACTTCCGACCTATCGTTGGCCATTGCTTCACAACGTAGGCTGTGCAATCAAACGGCGTAGTCGCAGGCGGAGCTGGCGTGCTGCTGTGATCCATCGCATCTCCATCCATTGCAGGAGTTAAGAAGCCACACGAAGCCGAGCTTAGACCTCAGCGAAATCCATCTTGAGACGCACCCTAGAACCTTTTTCCCCTTGGGAACGGTCTCACAATGCCTGTGAAGATGGATTTCGTGTAGTAGCCCTAACGAACAAGCACTACCTGGAGTCTCCTCGAACTGACTGCGCTTTGCTCCACCTAAGTCGTTACTTGAGAGAGCCGGACTTTGCTGGGCTGTGGATGTTGGGTGATCGCTGGAATTAGAAAAAGTGAGATTCTTGTCGAATGCGGTTCCAGCTTGTCGAATGGTGGATCCAAAGTAAAAACAAACTCGAACTTACTGTTACATATAAATCAAAGAACGAGATGAACTGGATGTAGTTGGTCATCCAGGATATACTGCTAAATAAAACGAGAACTGAATGCACCGGGTCTTCGTTTCTACAATGCATCTCTGAATCCACTTTTGACTTGTACTAGTGAGTGGTAGAGTCAAAATTATGGGCAAAATCTTGATCTTTTAGAAACTACCACTACTTCTAAAAACACATTATGTTGAGGCCTTAACAACCAAAGCACCAACACGCTCCAATCGATGTGTTAACATTCTTCCAAATTTGGCAAGGCAAACCATCCGATAGGCAAAAGAATGCGCTGGTGTAGTTAGACCTCACGACATATATTCATCTTTAAGCGCACCATCGTCCTCGTGTTTACAACCCGTAGAAAAGGGGCCAAAGATGCTGCTAAAAATGAATCATGGTGAGTCTTAATGTAGGTAGAAAGAGCCTGATCATGTCCGCTGGTGCTGGGTCTTGGTCAGTTCCTGTCGCTGATGTGCGGCCCTTGTTATCGGTATTACAGCCATGATCAAGTACCTTGTTGCTCTTCGTCGAGCTCGCGGTAGAAGTTGTAGTCGTACTACTCGTCGTAGTTGTAGTTTTACTATTGGAAAAAGTAGAACCTGTAGTTGTACTACTGGAGGCAGCGGTACCAGAAGAAGAGCCTCCACAAGAAGAGCCTCCTCCCCCTCCTAGCAGTAGTTTGATCGCTTCTAATGCTGAGTTATACGGGAAAACTACAGGTGGTAACTCGACCCTTGATGTCCACTCGACATGACTTTTTATTGGGGAACTGGACGTTGTCATGGAACTGGACGAGGCAGTGGCAGAAGTTGTTTTTCTATGAAGGGGAATGGGCATGGGCGAAAGAGAGAGTGGGGCCTTACTAGTTGGCTCAACAAGAACCATGATAAGTAGTCACAATTATCGCCAAACCTACACCAGCCAAGATAATAAACCTCGATCTCACTTGTCTTCTCTTCATTGCGAACACGGCCTAACCGGCCAGCCAAGACGATCTCCGATCATAAACGTTGCTTTTTCTTTTAAGCAGACAACCTTGTTTCAATGCATTGTTGTCCAGAGTTTCTTTCTTCTAAAAGGATCTTGTATTGGGATCCAAAGACAAGATCTTAGACCAACATATCGAGGGATGTGATTGGGTAGGAGAAAAGCAAAAGGTATAGACCTCTAAAACCCATAACGATATATCAAGATCATTGACCGAGCATTGGCGATGCCCGGCCAAAAAGGTAGTAGTACCACGGACATGTATAATGGGAAAAAGGAGAAAGTGTCGTGAGCCTACCAGTGGATTGTTTTAAGGACATTTTCGTAGGTCCCTTAGGGCCTACTAGGGTATCTGCATGAATGAGAGGGCTTAAACCCTTGTGGAAACTGAAGAGAATGAGTCTAAAAAAAGAGAAGAGGATGTGTATTTGCATGGGGATGTTTGCGGAAGCGATAAAGCCCCACAGTTTAGGGTTCTGAGTCAGATAGGATTCGTCTACTTGGATTACCATTGCTTTGGCGAAAAATTCTTTAAGAATAGCTTCTCTTTCTTCTCTCGTGAGGGGATCAGATATGTTTCTCCTAGTACAAATCCAAGTCACGTAGCAGTCTAAATTATTCTGCTGCGAGAAGCGGTGGAAAGAGTGGCTAATCGCTTGCGTTCTGCTGCATTTGCAGCTATTGGCTGCGACTCCATAGACGTCCCCCAAATTATCCAGGTGTAAAATGAGTTGCTTGTCCTGTATCAAATGAAGCCACAGCTTTTGGGCCACGTTTGCTGCTAACGCTTCGAGGATGCCTATGTGGATCTTTTCATTCTTGAAGAAAGCCGGTAACTTGGAAATTGCTATTGAAGAGCGAAAGTGCCCCGTTGGACAAGCCAAGTATCCTCCTATTTTGAGCCTATGCTCCTCTAGATTTTCCAATTCTCCCCTTTGCAACTTCTCGTTTAACAACGGGAAGTTCTCGCCAGCCGCGTCCGTGTAGCCGTGCACTATGTCGCGGTCCATTCTGCCAGTTGTGATTTGAAAGGGACGAATGTGGTCCAGGGCCCAGACCATGATCTGGACCCCGCTGAAAGCTCTTCTTCTGCCGGGGCGGCTCGTCTTCTGATTGTCGAAATCGCTCGCGAAGGAGTCAATAGAACGGGCATAGAAGAGTTTGACCCGGTCCAGCTGAGTGACATGGCGATATAAGCCTCGAAAAGTCAACAAGAGCGCCAGTTCAACTCGCAGCTCCACAAACTGCTCAATTAGGCGATAGCCGTCCTTTTTGCACTTTAGGATCTTATCCTTGTCTGGGATAACAAGGAGCTTTTGCTCCTGAGATATGTCGTACGCCAGGCCAAGTAGGACAATGGTCTTTTGAAAACGATGATGCTGATCTTTCTTCTCGTCGGCCTGTTCCCACCCTGCGAGGCTAAAGAAGAGATCCAGGAGGGCCATTTGCGGTGGCAATGCCTTGGGCTTAGACTGGACGTGGGTGTCGTCGATGTAGACGCATGCTGCGATGAACAGGATTGCGTGGGTGATGAGTTGGATGACTTCACTCGACATCACACATTCATGCACGCTGGCCAGACTTCCGAAAAGCGCCACCCAGCTTTTGTCTAGCTGCCACCTTCGTTTCGACGGGTCCCTGCAGGATGAGAAGGTTCCTGGCGCGAGATCCTTGCTCGGAACATTCTCCGGGACCGCGATGAAGATAGCGTTTTCTTCTGGTACTTGTGCGGCGTGTTGGTAATAGTAGCCACTTTGGTCTCGTTTAGCTGACCAGGGGATGAAAGCGAAATCAGAGGCAAAAGCCCCTGGATGGTCAGATGCTTTTTGGCGATTTTGTTGGCAAAATTCGTCCCCCAAGGTTGCCGAGTCGGCGATGATTGTGTCCCGAATCTGTTTTTCAGTCTGAACATCTGCCTTGGCGTCCTCCTTTGTTTGCAAGAGGAGCGGACGGCTGCGCCAATGTAGCCTGTCGCTAGCGAAAGCACAAGACATCTCCATGGACGCTTTGGCGCCTAGGATTCTCATCTTCTCTTTCACGATGAGGCGCCTGTTCGCCGAACGAAAATCGATGCAACAGCGCGTCTTCGTCGCTTGTTCCACTGGAAAACTCTTTGCAGCGCCCAGCGAAGTCAATTCGGAGATTTGCATTGGATGCCAAAGCCCCTTTTCGTGCATCTTCGTGCGCTGGCGCCATAGCTCCTTTACTTGTTCCTCTGATGCCCAATGGTCCCCTTTTGGGACATCCTTCTCCCTGCTTTCGAGGGCTTGAAGCGCGTCCTTTTTGGCCCGGGGAATCTCTGCATCGAGCAACTTCCAGAAACCACAGGGCGATAGGTCGCCTCCGATGGGGACACCGAAGGAGAAACGTTTTGTCCACGATAGGATGTTGTCTTTGTTTGCCCGAGTCATCGGGTCAGACTTGCTGGCCCGCTCCACTGCTTTCTTGAGCAGAACGTCCATGAAGATGATGCTCTTTTTCTTGTACACTTCTTTGCAGTGCGGTGGTAAAGTCGCGAGGAACTTCTTATTTTCTTCTTGAGAGTCCCTCGCCACTTGTAGAAGAAAATTCGCGATCAGCTTGGATTCTTCCGCGATGTCCTCTGCTTCGGTCCTTTTGATGTAATTTATTGTATTCACGAAGTATTCTGGCAAGAGTGAGAAGACACCATACTGCCTCATCTCCTCAACCAGAAGCATGTGATCGTAGTCTACTTCTCCGTCTTTGCTTGCTAGGATCCCCATGCTCCTGCCAGTTTGTTGCGGTTCCCTGTGATTCAAACGCGATAGCAGTGCCTTCGCTTTCATGCCGGCGACTTTAGGAGCCGGCTGCTTGTTTCTTCTATGTCGTTCTAGTTGTTCCCACGGCGAGCCGCTTGATGTAAGCAAACTAGGGAGAGTCGTCTCCTGTTGAAATTCGAGGTCACTGCTCTGACCACGTGGGACTGACCGCTTTTTGAACAGTCTCTGTTCATCATCGTCCACAGCCTGTCTTTTTCTTGAGGATTGTGGAACTGGAGGGCTCAGCCCCTCGTTCCCGCTTTGTTGTCGAGGGTGAGCCGGTCTTGAGGAGGTGGCCGACGAAGCGTTGAAGACACTGTAGCCCGTGCTGGGCAGGGAACTGCTGTTTGATGCCTTGGATCTTCTTTGACTACTGCCCGCGAGGTTATTGTTTGTAGACGAGAAGACGGAGTAGTCTGTACTGGGGAGTGGCAGGTCTCCCAGTAGCTGATTTGTCTGACGCGCCTGGTTGTTCTCACTGTCAGACGCATCAGACAGCTCCGGGTCGGACTGCAAAAGGGTGAGCGGCTTCTCGATTGGGGAGATGTGATCTCCCATCATCAAGTACTTTGCCGTGGGGCAGTCTGCGAAGACCTCTTCTGGATGTCTGGGCGCATTGTCCCAGGATTCCTCGTCGGACGAATCGCCCGCCCACGTCAAGGTGCCGCTGTCCTTGGCCCAGAAGATTTCACTCCAGATTGGCGCTTCTTTGCGGCGTTGTGCCTCTACGGCCTCCTCGGCTACATGGATGTCATGGTCCATCAGCCGATCGTCGTGTCGGCGAGCACGGCGCTCGAATCTCGACTCGACTTCGCCATACACCATTTTTATTTATGTTCTTTTAAGAAGGAAAGACCCGAAAGAGATATCTATTGAGCTTTTGTCGCCTCACTTTCTTACTGCGATGGACTTGCCGCCGTTCGTTGTCGTATGTCTCCAAATCTGGGTGGTTACGTCGACTATCTTGGTTTTGACGAAGAGGCTGGGCCAACCTCTTCGTGATTGTAACGAACGTAAAGCAGCAATGGTTCTATTGTTAACTACGTGGTAAACACCTTTATAGAGATATGCTTCGACAGTAATATTATGGTCTTCTAGTTGGCCCCTTCTTGTGATTTCGTTGAAGGCTGTGAAAATGCTCTTTCCTTTATTTGGGCCCGCACCAAAAGTCGACTTGATATTGTTTTGGGAGAAGCGCAAGTCGGAAATTTTCAAATAAATATACGAGGAGTTGGAAGGAGAGTTACTCTTTAGCGACATCTTGGTCGTCGACCTACAGCACAAAGAAGCTTGAGAAAAAGTGTTATCCTCCAAAGGAGAAAATGCGTCTCTTTATCCTGTTCGGGAAAAGAGCGAGGGATGGATTTTAAGGACCGGCTTTTGTCAAGAAAAGCTGGCTCATGCCACCCAGTAGGCTTTTAGTGATGAGATTTTAAGGTCCCAGACAGGTGGTCTTATGTGCCAGACTGCCACGTCTGTTTTGATCTTTTACTTGGCGATTTGATCCAGCCAGCGAGCAAAAGCTCGTTTGTGTGAGTCTTCGTTTCGGACACCAAACCTTTTCTGCAATTTGGCAGCGATGGCGCTTGTAGCACCAATGTTGATTTTGGGGCACATTTTTTCAAAAACTTGGGCAAAAATTGCATGTGGGAGTGTCGTTAGTCTCCGGGGTAGAGGGGAGACGACGCTCAATAAGGAAAAGGGGAGGTGGGGAGACGTAAGTCGAGTGACACGTCTCCAAGTGCACATAATGTATGAGTGTAGACTTTGTAGGAAGGTATGTCACGAGATGCAAGGTTAAGGACACGCCAATCAATCTATTATTTACACGCGAAAGCAATTATATGGATGGGGTGAAATAGTTAAACAGGACTTTATAGGGCGTGGGACAATTAGAAGGAAGCAAACACTAGTAAGCCTTAATGGGGGTAAACCTCTTACCGAAAGGGGGGGAGAGAGCGCCTATGATGCTATGCGTTTGAGCTGTTCTTGTGTGACTTTTCCCCCTAAATAACTTTTATTGAGGAATTCCAGCTTCTTCAATTCTCCTCTGTGGGAATTCCCGTTTGGACAGGTGGATCCCGTACACTTCCCTTCGATCCAACTCAAGCAGACGAGATCGCTCGGCGGCTTCCATGCTCCTTTTCCGCCCTTCTTGTTATCTCCTTTTCTGCTTGGAGATCGCCGGGGAGACCTGGCCCTCTGAGCTCTCAAGTTCCTGATCTCTTGCTCCATCTGTTTGATTTTTCCCCCAAATTTTTCATTAAAGTGCTTCTCGACAGCCATTGTTACCGCTTTAGCGGCTGACTCCTCCATCTCGAGTCTCCGTTTTTCAATCGACAATTGCGCCACAAAATCTGGTAAGAAGTTAGATATTAAAGAGTTGCTCAGCTGTCGTTGGTGGAAGGTCTCTGGTGGGTCTGCTGCCACTGGCGGCAGATTCTGCAAATTTGTTTTTAAAGAAGTCATGAAGATGTCGTAAACCGCCTCCATGCTGAGGCGTTTCTCCTCGGATTTTGGGTCAAAGGACCCTGTGACCGCTTTAGAAACCGCATCCATGAGCGAGTTCGCTTGTGCATCGTTCAAGGTGTCGGCACAACGGAAAGTCGCCACTAAGGCCATCGGGTGCAAGTTCAAGTTTGCGGGTGGCTTGGTCACCCGGTCATATGTCCTAGCGTTCAGCTGTCGTAGGATGAAAAGGTATTGTTGTGGTGTGCACTTCGTCCTCAAGTTTGCGCAACGGTCAGCCACATGGGTGATCTGCGCTTCGGTCGCCACCCCAAGACCTTCGCTTTCATGCACAGCTGCGTTGCGCTGAAAATTCAAGTTCACATCTTGCATTGCTTGCAGAGCTGCGACCTGCTGTGCCGCGTCCAGTTGGGCAGCCATTTTGTTGATCGAAAGAAAGAAAGAGAGATAAAAAGAAAATGCGAAAGAGAGATAAAAGAAAGAGAGATGAGTCCTGTTTAATTTAGACACGAAAGGAAGAAACGTCGAATTAATACAGCAACCGAAAGTCTGTCTATACGGGTTAGTAAGGGGTTGGATGGGGATGATGTGTTTGTTGCAGAGGCGTCATCTGTCCCACTGCATAGCTTGACCCTGGTCCAAAAAGTGTTGGTCTTCTAAGTGGCCACACGATAGCAGCTGTGTCGGGCATTGCGCGGGCGTCACCAACGTACCTTGTCACACTTTGTAGAGAGCCCCACCGACCGACAACGCGGATATCCTCGTCGGAGAGTCCTCCGTCCGCAGCGGACTTTGCCCCTCCAATCCTCAGCGAATGCAACATAAACTCACGCTTAGTCGAAGTTGAACTGTTGGTAGTGGATGAAGATGACGATCCTACCCCATCTGGTCCCTGAAACTGGTGACCTTTCTGGATAATGTGTCCGAAAGCAAGCATTTCTTCCAGAAGGACCGCTAACACAACTGGGCTTGTATTCGCAAAGAGGACGAAGGTTTCATCACTGCAGCAGCATCTAGGGCAGATTTTAACTCTGCTTCTCAACAGCGTGGGGGCAGTGCTGCAGCAACACTGTAGATCCACCGTCTGTGGTGTGTTGCCAAAGTTGTTGCTCTTCGCTGATTTTACTGTCAGCCTAATCCAGTTGTTGTAGCGCTGTCTAGTTGAGGTAGAAGTCTCATCAAGCCTCATCATGAAGAACCAGCAAAAAACGCAAAACTGCATAAAGCGCTCCAGTGAATAGCTTTTCCCGTGGGCAACCACTCTCTTCATCGGGTCTTCCAACAAGTGCAACATGAGGATCAACAGGTGGCTAAGGCGCACCCCTCTTCGCTGGTCCGTCGGCGGCTTCGTCTTCCAGAAGATCTTAAGTGCCTGCGCAAAGGTTCTTCTAACTGAAGCCGACAGTGGCGCCACTAGATCCCCAAAACATTTCACATTCTCCAAGTACTGCGCTTTAGATTTCTGAAAACTGGCCGCCTTGATGAATACTTGCGCAAGAAGTTGGACCATTCTCGGAGTCAAGAAACGAGGATGAGCGTCTCTATCTAACGCCCAAGCCAGCTCCACATATTTCTTGTAGGCAAATTTGTATGATCGAAGAGTCGAGCCGGCAAGTCTGACCTTGATGTCAAAATCGGCCACATGTTCTAGAAGTCTGTCCACCATTGAATCGATTCCCGCTGCCGATTGTGCAGGAGGCTTCACCGGGTGGTCCTCGACGGCCGGTAGTAAATGCGGCTTTTGTTCACATTCTTGCACTATCAGTGCAAGTGCCTGAGTCCATGACACGAGTTGGCCAAGGCCCGTTCGTCTTGCCGCCTCTGGCAGCCCTGCTCCTGGAGCCTGCTGCAGGTTTCTGCCGGGTCTTGTATATGTCCGCGCACTTCCTGTGGAAGTTCCCACCGATGAGCTGCTGGTCGCTACTAGCGCCTCTCCGAAATTTTGAGGCTGAGATGTCACCGGGTGCTCCTGCAAGCCATCTTCTTGCAATAGAGCCTGTAAGGGAGTTTCTTGTTGATTGAGAGAGTCTTCCACTGCATTATAGGTGGCATCTATAATTGGGCTATTCTCCACTCCGGTGACATAAGAGTCTGCAGTCTCAGTGTCTTCTCCTTGGAGCGGTTGAAACAAGTGCTGCGAGTCCATTCCGTCGGCCTGTGGTCCGGTAGAGAAAAGGCTTAAGTCTACCTCTTGCGAAACCGTTGGCGCCATGGAAGGGACTTGAGCTGCCACATTAGACTGCGAAGAAGAGAGAGAGGCTGCGGACGAGCGCCACGTTCTTACCTGCTCCTGTAAAGGTAAGCGATGAGGTACGTCGAACGTTTCGCCAAAGGTTGATAACCGCTCCCAGCGTCCCGGCATGATGAGACTACTAGGGAGGAGGGGGGGAAAAAAAAACGCAAGTAAGTCAAGAGACACGCACTTCAAAAAGGTTCCTTACCCATAGATCTTACAATTACAAATTTCAGAACTTCCTAATTGTGAGAACTCCTTCGCGCGATCGAGTTTCCATTATCGCCAAACCTACACCAGCCAAGATAATAAACCTCGATCTCACTTGTCTTCTCTTCATTGCGAACACGGCCTAACCGGCCAGCCAAGACGATCTCCGATCATAAACGTTTCTTTTTCTTTTAAGCAGACAACCTTGCTTCAATGCATTGTTGTCCAGAGTTTCTTTCTTCTAAAAGGGTCTTGTATTGGGATCCAAAGACAAGATCTTAGACCAACATATCGAGGGATGTGATTGGGTAGGAGAAAAGCAAAAGGTATAGACCTCTAAAACCCATAACGATATACCAAGATCATTGACCTCGTGTGGCCTCGTCTCTGTGATCAACTTTCTGTTCCAATTCACCCGCGTAAAGGATTATAATTCATCATTATATTTCCATTTAACGCCAAGGGAGTGGATCTCACGAGACGAGGCTTAAGCCCTAATCATAGCTAACTGCGAACAAATTCGCTAGAGCTAAAAAGAAAGGCCTGACAGGGGAGGGCCTGGCTGTCAACCCAGTCACCTCTGAAATGCAAGTAAGTCAAGAGACACGCACTTCAAAAAGGTTCCTTACCCATAGATCTTACAATTACAAATTTCAGAACTTCCTAATTGTGAGAACTCCTTCGCACGATCGAGTTTTCATAACTTTTAGAGGGTGAAGTAGTACTAGCAGTACCTGGCATCTCTTATTCCAACAATGTTTTCTGGAAAAAGAGCGTCTTGCAATCTTTTTGTCTTCTTCAATCAATCCGAACACCGTCAACATTATCATAAGCGAAGCAACTCTTGCTCACCACCGCATCGGCATCACACAATTCTTTCTGGGGTTCTACCAACTTGTAATACCGCACTCCGGTTCTGCTATCTATCGTAGAGATGCAATCCGCATGTCTGAAACCGGCGTTCGGATAGGTTATATCGTCGTTGTAACGAGAACTACTATAGAACGTAGAGGCGTTACCCAATCGTCCCAAACCCATCCTATTACTATTTAGCATTTGCGTGGACCTCGACCTTCCATTACTGTTGTTCTTGGGCCACGCTGCTAAGGGATTTTCTGATGCATGTACAGGTTCGAAGCCAGGGGTCTGCATACCATTATCATCAAAAGCAGGAGTCATTCCACCAATGCCAGGCGTCATCCCGTCATCCTGTGCAGGTTGGATTAGAGGTTTTGTGCATAATCATGTGAGTTGATTTCCATTTCTGAAAGGACTTCTTGCCTCTAAGAAAGACTGAGAAAGACTGAATCATAAAGTCATTCCAGCAGGAGTTAACAATAACATGCTAATCAAGCTCAGCCTCTAAGAAAGACTGAAAACGAGGATTCGAACATAGGGAGAAAAAACTTGAGCAACCTTCCTTCTTCAGCGAGGAAATCAAACAACAATCCTCATAAGGTGATGCAGCTATCTCCGGTCATTCCAGGAGTTAACATGCTAATCAAGCCAGGAGTTTGAGCACCTGGCGTAATCGAACCAGGTAACGCAAAGGAGACGGCACTCGAAGCGGAGGAAACTGCCGTTGCCCCAGCATCGTCTTGGGCGGGAATTAGAATGAGAACCTTCGTCGAAGTGAAATGATGATCGTCATGATGATGGTGATGATGATCCTCACGATGATCTTCATGATGATCCTCATGGTGATGATCTTCATGATGATCCTCATGATGATCCCCATGATGATGATCCCCATGATAATCTTCATGATGATCCTCATGATGATCCCCATCATGATGCTCATCATCATCATCACCACGTCCTCCCGAGTAGTCATGAGCATGAGGCTAAGGTGGAAGAAGCTGTATTAAACAAGCAGCTCTGTGCCTGTGGATCTAATGTAAGCTCCATCACCACCTCAAATCATGGATCCCAAGTCGAAAGAACATTATTTTATCTTCACGGATTTCACTACGTCAAATCTTGGATATTCTGTCGAAAGAACATTATTTTATCTTCACGGATTTCACTTGTAGTCATAACTGCGCCTCGTAGCGTGCGGCATCAGCCTGCCGTTCAAGAGAATTGATGACCGAAGCGCGCAGCTCACCAGGATCCGCGAATGTAGCGTCAGGATGAAGTGGGTCTGTGCTTACGGTAGCCCTAGAAGTAGTAAGGGGCCCAGGAAAGGTAGTGCTACTGGGTGCACTCGAAATGAAGGCGGATGATGGCATTCTGTTCGTTTGTGATTGTGTGTTAGTCCTCTACTTTGAGTCTTTACTGGTATTGAAGATGTCGACGTTGCTGATCTTGATAAAGATGTTGTTCACAAGTAGAAGTAGACAGACAAAAAGTCTAGAAGATAGGAAGATTTCATGCAGTTCGTGACAGGAAGATGTAGGGGTTTGGTCTTGTTCTCGTCTATGTAATGAAAAGCTCCTATGTAAAAATCAGAAACAACTACCCTGTATCGATATGATTGACGAAGAGATCCTCATGGTTGATCCAGGCATCACGTGATGATAAAAGGACGCATTTTTTACGCCAGATCGAGAACCGCAGAGACACGCAAAAGCAAATGATCATTGTACTAAATCATGTACGGACCACCTATGAGAGCCAGTGCGTCAGAACGTCCAGAGGGACCTCCAAATAGATAGGATCGGATCTAGCACTAGCTGGCAAGGACTTTTCGAGCTTTTCTTGCCAGGGGCACGCTGCAGCACAATCCCATACTACGTGCTTCATGCTCATATCTATGTTACTCCTCATCGGGGTTTGCGTCGCTTTTCAACGAGTTTGTTCTCTGTCCTCTGAGATACAATCAACTTCTTGTTCTCTATTTATTAGTGGGTATTCTTGTCTTCCTCTCATCTATCTGCAGGATGGAGGACAGTCATTCACGTTTTGTTGCTGAATGTTGTGGTTCATTCATGATGAAAAAAGACCACAACAGATTTCTTCTATCAGAGAGACTGTTGAAAATCCTGTAAAATGACCCAAAGATAGTTGGCAACTACTTTCACATTCGCTGAGGGAGAGGGCCGGTCAACATTAGTAATTAGAACTGTACATGACCACAAGGAGGCCCTTTCCTCGATGCTGCAGAAATTATTTACGATATATGCGAAAAAACCCAAAGACATAATATGACATTGAGAAGATGCACAATTGAGACAAAGACTATGACTTTGCCTTGCTAGCATACTAGGAGCATGCGAGGACTGAGAGCAGGCAGACGAGGAAAGATATGCAGCAATGGTATGCCATGAAGTTGCCTCCTTTATCTACTTCATGTAAGTACTTATGTTCTAGTGCTCATTGTCTGTGCATATCTACAATTACAACATTCAAAACGAAGGATCACGATACTGTTAAAAAGACTTCGAAACTACGCAATTATGTCAATTCGAAACATGTCTCTTGGAGAGCACCTTTTTCTAGATTGATAGTGGCCGATAATCATAATGATACTCACAATATTTTGATTCTTGCTCTTGATGTTGATGTAACGAACCTGCGTAATGGTCTTGATGTTGATGCAGAGTAGTGTTAAGACTTTTGATACAACGAGGTCTTCAATTCTCGACCTCAAGAATTGTAAGCTCTTTTGTTTTGATGGTCTACGAGTAATTACAGTAAGGACTACGACTAACGAAACATACTAGGGAAACATCATATTACTTTATTCTTCAAGTAGGACTTTCACTTTGAATTTCTTTGAATTGCAATAACGAAAAAAGGAAGGAGAGATGGATAGGTTAAGCGAATCAAACATCTTGATGAGGACTACTGCTTTCTTATACCTAATACCGGTGGAGCTGTGTAAAACTAAAAGCAAAAGTATACTAAGGAACACTACAGCCTGTGTCTTTCTCAGCGGCTTGAATGCAATGTGCTGTCTTGTAGGTCCTCGTGGTAGACCTTGGTTAACAACTCTTACGTGAATAGACTACTACGTGAGGACTAGGCAAGTAGTAGTCTCTTGTGTTGCGTGAAACTAGATGTGATTACTCTTGTCTAAACTGTAACTGTAAGATGTGAAAAGCGAAGTTGTTAGTGACAGATTGGAGTTTCATTCTCTTGCTCAAAAAATGTCTAAAAAAGTGTAAGAGTTCTTCTTCTTGTACTAAGTGTAGCTGTAAGTAGAGAGTTATTTCTTGAACACCTCGAGTGAAATGAATACAATCCGTCGAGTGAAATGAATACAATTGGAAGGCGTCACTTGTTTTCTTACCTAAAAAAATCTTTATCTGATCATTCGACCATGTCTAATTGTTCCACCTGCAGTACAACATCTACAACAGCTCCTCTATTACTGATACCTGTCCTACAGAGTCTACAATCTTCCTCACTGTACTTCCTGACCTCCTCCAGTGAGTTTGCAGACATCAAGCTTCACTGTACTTCCTCCCCTGCAGTGAGTTTCCCCCCCTGCAGTGAGTTTTACTGTACTTCCTCACCTCCAGTGAGTTGCAGTTGGCGTCGTAGGTTCGACGCCATGGTCGCTAGGATGTCGTTCTGCCTCTGCAGCGTTTCCACTGTCCGCGCTTGCTTTACCAGCATACAAGCTTAGAAGTACATTGCCTGTCCAACTACTAGAGGAGAAAGATGCGAATGTGGAATAAGTAGGTAGGCATACGAATTATGTGAAATAGGTGGGTAAGTAAATTGCGTGTCCCCGTAGTTTTATTTAAACGAGAAAGATGCGAATTATGTGGAATAGGTGGCTAAGTACATTGCCTGTCCAACTACTATTACTATTTGGGCTTCCTTGTGCAGCTGTTGCTGTAGTATGACTTCGTCACTTACATTTTCTTCAATCAAAGCTTAGACCTATGTATAATCGTGTAGTACTAACGCGGTGCTAAATAATTGCAATTTGTTGAATCGCTTGCCATGTTCATGATCATACTCACGTCTGTTTGTCAGGCTATTTCAACAAGTTAGTTGTTCCATCGTAATTCGTGCTTCCTGCATTGGATGGACTTGGGCGAACGTTCTCAGTGCCTGGTGGCAGGTCCGCTATCCCTTGTGACAGATTACTAGTAGACGACTTTTCTGTAGTATCAGTATCGATTTCGTCGATCTCCTCCTCTTCCTGAGGTGGTAGGCGTACGGCGGTCGCTTGGTTCTTAGAAGGTGGGACATGATAGTAGATTTGCTCTATCATGTCCTGATCTATCACTTGCGCTTGAGTGTGTGGTTTGGTTAGGTTAGGTTGTGAATCCTGCACATCAAAGCCGCCCGGCACCTGGCTTGACTCCGAGGATGTATCCGCGACCTGAGTAAATCACGTCTATGTTGTCTTATTGTTTTGTTTTTGCCTTAATTTTCACTGGATTCTGTCCTAGCGCCTGTCTCTCTTCGACACTAGCTGCGCCTGTCTCATCAGACGCGAAATCGGCGAGCTCCTGAAACGTTGATATTGTTTCATCTAGGATCGGCGTCCCTCCAGTGTCTCCTGTTGTAGTTTTTGCTGCCTGTGCTTTCTTACTGGGAAGTATGGATGCCTTATTTGCCGCGGCAACATTCGCCGCCTTTCTCTGAGCACGTCTAATGGCACTATCGTCTTCGTAGGTCTCGCTAACTACAGCCCTCAAGTCTGCGAGAGAGTCAATCGCACTAGTTGATGAAGAACTGGAATCTTGATCAGCTCTCCCGCGTTCAGCTAGGTTCACATCGATATTATCGTCAAGTTTTGCTGTATCGGCATACTGCTTCAGGAGGCGCAAGGTCCGGACATCGTCTTTAGCTCCTTTTTCATCTCGGCGATTGGTAATATTGGAGGAGTGCAGAGCTGATCAACATGATGATGGACTACAGATACAGTCTAGCTGTAAGAACTTCGATAATTTCCTCTATATTTTTATTTACAGGTAAATAGTGTAAAAACTGTAACTTCGATTTCCTCGATATTTTGTCAACGCAAGAGGTGGAGGGAGACTAAATCTCAATCAACAAGTACATGTAAATGAAGAACAACTACAAAAGGAACAAGAGCACCAGTAGACCTACACCTACGCGAAAACACAAATTATGAGAGAGAGAGGACAGCAATTGGAATTGCGATCATGGCCTCCTTGAGAACAAGACTACTACAACTGAATACTTGATGTTTCGATATACTTACAACGATAGCCTTAAAACCAACACTATTACTGGACACTTCATCGACTAGCTCTACTTCCTTCCTGCTCGTCGTTGAAGAAGACGAGGACAGTAGTTTTTGCAACTCTGCTTGGCTAGGGACCTTAAGCTGGTCTTTTACGTCTTGGTTCTCCTGCTGTTGTCCGTCGCTTTGTGCTTGATGTCCATCTCCAGAATCAGAGAGGAAGTTGTTTTTAGAGGTCTTCTCCTCTTCGTCTTGGGATGAGCTTTTCCTTCTAGAAGTCGAAGCAGCTTCAGGTGATCCTCTGTCCTTGTGTACTATCGGCACTTCTTGATCTTCCGAGTCTGGCGTTGACATTGACGATGTACTTTTGGCGTTTTGCTGTCGTTCTCGTGGTTGTGCTGCTACTGGGGAGTTGTGGTTGTTGTTGTTGTAGTTCATGATCTTCTTGGACGAACTGGACCTGGATGACGGATCATTTTTAGCATCAGCAAGATCTCGGTACGTTTCAACTGTTTCGCTGTCACTAGCCGTATCTACTTGCTGTCCATCTAAGTTTCCCTCTGCTAGAAAGGTCGTTCCTCCACCTCCTCCAGCTGTTGTGGTCGCAGCAGTAGCAGTCGTTTTGGCTGCATCAGGAACTCCAGCAGCTGGGGTTGCGCTGCTAGGCATACTGTTGATTTTCGTCACCACGTGGGCGACGAAAGCCTCAAATTAGCGCTTAATAGAAGTCTAGATGTAGATGAACGACTCATCTTGTATATTTAAGAAGTAGTGTGTAAAACTCATGTTATGCCATGATGCCTCGTTTTGCGTCCTGACTAACGTTCTTGAGGGCTTCCAGCCTCCCTGTACCTTCTAAATTAGAAGAGTAAGGAAGCTGAGTGATAGACTAGCAAGAATCTAAGTACAGGAAAACGCAGAAGATTAGGAACTGTGAAGATGAGTACTCTCTTGTGAGAAGCCTTAATCAACCAGATCTTGCAGTGCCTGCTGGTTCCCCATGTCCACGTTTGCTGGATTATTGCCGTTCGACACTACCTGCAATACTGCAGTGGCTTAGAGCTCGAAGCAATCCATTTCTTCAGTTCGCTTCTTCTGATTCCCGGGAAGGAAACAGAGGAAAATATTGTTCACGACCCTTGCAAGTGAATTAAGTACTTATGACCCTTGGGATGGGAAGATGGGAATTTGCTCGCCTCCAGGAGGTGAGCATTCACGACTATGAAAACGCCGAAACTGATTTTACCTTACTAGACCGAGCTGTGCTTGAGCTGCACGCGAGGACCCTTGGAAATGAATTACTTTGAGCCTCCTTAATTGGCAAGTGCGTTCGTCTGGGCGTCGTTTTGCAGCTTCTGCACTACCGTCGACAACGCGCTATTCGTCGTTGCCAGTTGACTTGCGGCACGGCGAAAGTAACTAGCACTCAATGCTGGCAAGGCAGAAGTGGCGTTGGGGAGATTAGACGGAATGTGAATGATTCAGTAGACACTAAAAATTAGATGGAATGATCCTTCATCTTTATACAGAAGACGCTAAAGACCATTCATTTTAGATCGAATGATCCCCAAAATTTAAGAAATGAAGTCTGTCCGTTTGAGAGCAGTGCATCTGCATCATGGTCAAATCAAGGAGACACGACGAGGTAGCTCTTCTACTTCACAACTTGATGTGGACCTTCACACTGTCAGACCAAAAACCCATTCATAATAACAGCATCCGCAATTTTTTCTGACACTCCCGATCTCCAAGAAGCGCCACTCGCCTCAGCTGCTTTCATTTGAGCCTGGAGGACCTTAGCTAATGCTCCAGTCTGATAGTTGAAGAAAGCGCCAAGTCTTTGCGTCTGGTTAACTTAGCGCGGGGGCTAAAGCAAGTTTGATTTCACTATCTTCCTCGTAATAAATATCCATGGTTGATGAGTGGTTGAGGTTGAGTGGGTTCTTGCCCTATTTCGCTTTCTCCCCTTAGTTGTAAGTTTCTTTCCCCTTTAAGAAATCTTCAAAGGAAGGGACTCCACTCACACTGAGTATCTATTATATTCCCACAGCCAAATCCTCCATGGGACGACGGCGATAGTGAAAAAATGGCCTTAATTAACGTTTCCGGCAACGAGAGCGCGCTGGACGGCTCTCTGTAAGGCGCCCTCCAGTCGAGCCTGCGTAGCGAGATCAAGAGTCCCGATCTTGCTCGGGTCCAAAGACTTAGAGAGTGGAGCACAGATGAGTATGGTCCGATGAGTCTGTCTAAGTACAACAATACAACTGCAGTGCACTAAAATATAACATTTTAGTTCTGACCATAATCCTTGCTGAAAGTTGTCTTGCAGCACCTGCCGAGGACGCTGCCGTTTTCGCCTGCGTTGCAGCTGAGGATGAGGCCACGGCTGCCTTCGTTAACGCTAGTTTTTCACTATCCTTTGTTGAGTTTTTTTTCCTTTTTTCGTCCCTTCTTTTCTCATTAAATCAAGGAGCACCTCACTTAGCATACATAGTCCACATGTTGGGATAGTGAAAAACTAGCCTTAACTTCATACTCATGGCAGCTGCTTTCTGCGAGTTTGCTAGATTCATCCTGGCGAAGAGGTTCTGCTGTCTCTGGTTCCTCAACAGAGCTGCCACTGCCTTGACGAGACTATGAGTTGCGTTGGTTTAGAGCTTTGTGCCTACTAGTTCTTATCTAAAGAGTCTCAAACTCTTATCTAGACAGTCCTCCCACGCTCATCTTTGAGTTTGATGTGCTTTCTCTCCTGAGCTGAGTGAAACGATCAAAGTACTAGTCGAAGATGTTTGTGTTTCTTCAAATTTTTAAAGGCTTCCTACTCCACACGACTCATCGTCAGAATACTAGTCTTGCTTCTTGAAAATTTCTAAAGAACAACAACTACAACAACTATTGTCCTTATTGCAACAAGAGCAACAAGATTTCTGATGAACAACGAACAACTGTCATCCTTATCCCAACATCAAGACCAAGCCTTAATCTATTTGAGCCCTCTCGTGTGGATCGATCCTGTCTTGGAACATGTATTCATGTGCGCGCAATGTCTTGCCGACGGTTTTAGAGTCAGCTTTCATTCATCACCTCATCCCCCTGATCTACACCCCCTCTCTTCCCATGAAAAGAATAGTACAACGGAAACAAAAGGATGCAAGGGAAGCAAAAGGATACAAGGGAAAGAAATAAAGGGTACAAGAGAATAAACAAAAGGGTACAAGGGAAACCGAAACAATGTGGATACTATATCAGAAGACCAACATGATGAGGGACCATAACCGTTGCTCCGATCCTGGCAAGGTTGGCTGGCTTCGTGGTCACCTCCTCTACTACCTCCTCTACCTGTTTCGGTACGTTTTCGAGAATGGACGTTTCGACCATTTGCGGCACCGAAGCGGTGAGGTTTTGCAAGATTTGATCCTTGCTGTCGGAAACCATCTTGAACAGCTGCTGCTGACCAGTTTGGAGTCGTCGTAAGGCCATACGGTTGGCAGCGTTGCTTGAGGGGTTAGAAGTCGTTGCTGTAGGGGACGAAATAAGATAGAATCAACATCTGGAATGATTCCTGGTACTACTATTACTGTGTACGAACGATGATGATGTTGGTCACTTCGGATCATTGGACCTCTATCTATATGCACTTATGCAAGACGAGAGCGATAAATTCATAGATTTACTACATTCGTCCTCGGAGGTGCCCAGGATCCCTGACAACTCGATTTTAGGTCTGAAAAGTAGACACGACACGACCGCAATCGATCTGAAGACCTCAAAAACAAAAGCAAAAGGAGCTGCTTTCTCTACTTTTTGTCTCCTCTCTAGCCATACCCAAGTTGCCGCTCACAGGTGGTCCAGTCGAATTCGTGCGATTTCTCTTGGCCGCGAGCTTTTGCTTCAATTGTTCCACCTTGTCAGACAAGGCTTTCCACAGTGCGTTCTGCTTCGCGGCTCTCGTGCTCTTCTTAGAAGATCTTTTTTTACTATCTAGTCTAAAGTAAGGTGCTATTGTTCTTAGATCTTCCCTGGAAAGTGGTCTGAGAAGTTGTCTTTTGTTTTTCCACACAAGCAAGAGAGTAAACAAAGTGTAAGTGTCCCAACAAGTAATATGTCTATTTTTTTCCACCCTTAGAGAGTGAGGTGCTCCAAGATGCTTGTTCTGAAGATGGATTTATCTCTGGAGATGGATCCAAAAATGGACTCATCCCAGACCACTGAAGATGGATTCCTGAAGATGGATTTATCTCTGTAGATGCTTTTCGTTTTCTAGATAGACGCTTCTGAAGATGGATATATCTCTGAAGATGGCCATAATGTTCCTATTTTTCGCTGCTTTGGCTTTGAGCGACGCCACTTCTGAGATGATCTTGTAAGCCCAAGGGGGAAACGCGCTCGGATCCTGCTGATAGGCGGAAGTAGGATTAGAGTTCCTTAGCACGTAGAGCGTTACTTAGGGGATTAGTAGCTGGAGGTAGGGCTAGGAGGACAGGTAGGGCTAGGAGGACCGGTAGGGTTAGGAGGAGAGGTAGGGCTAGGAGGAAGCGAGGTAAGGTTCGAGAAAGTGGGTAGTTTGCGTTCTTGGTAACTAGATTTTTAGAGCGTCCATTCTGCCGTCATAAAGGGACCCGGAGGCATCACAACCACCGGTGGCGAGCCCATTCTTAGAGCTCTCCCCTATTCATCCCTGTGGAAATCCCTCAAGCATATGCGTCAGTATCTCCCTTGTATTGGGACGCATATGTTTGAGGGATGTCTACAGGGATGGATTAGGGGAAGCCTTAACATTCCTGGCATGTATCCCGGGACGGCGCCGCTCTTGTAGTACATATTGGATTAGAGGACCTTACTACCGTACATGTTCTTCATGTTCATCTTGATGAAAATGAAAAGCATCTTTGAAGACTTGTTGTGGATGTTGTGCCCTTGATTGTGGGTTCTCTCTTCTATCAATAATAATTTTCATTCATTCACTCATTCATTCATTCGAACCACGTAGCAACTATAAACAGCTGCCTGGTTCCGTTGTGACCCGAGTAGAGACACGGCAGCTACCTAAGACCGACTGCTACAGATAAATACAAGAAATAGGGGCGCCACTTCTGCCCTTTTGTTCGTGAAGTCGTGACGTTCTTCAACAGGAAGATCATCAGTGTTTTACCAAAGAAAAAGATTCAAAAGGTGCTTCTTCAGATGATCACGTTGTCAGAGTCAAGCCTTAATTGGAATAAGGATCTTGCTGCGCAGCCATCGGATAGGTAGCGCCATAAGGAGAATACGCAGGAATCATGTACATAGGCGTTGCTTTCCGAGCAGATGGCTTGGACGCAGGCTGACAGAAGTTGATGAAGTTGGTTTACTAGTTTGTTAAAATAAAAAAACAACACTTCTTACACCAACTACATGATTAGATAGATGACCCAGCACCATCTTTCAACAGCATCTTTGAAAGAAACTACACGATTAAGAATAGATGAGAGACCATGTTGTACAAATCGATCCTAGGATGTCTAGAAGTTCTTCATGAACATGAACTTCATGAAATATATTTATCATGTAGTAGTAGAATTAAAACAAGTTGTACCTTCTTCACCAAAGAAATTCTGGTGAGTCCACTCCTCAGCATGTTGGCTTGCATCAGTTTTACGAGTAGATCGTAACCTTCTCCAGTCGTTTCTCCCGATTGCGGTAACGCCTTATCCACTTCCCTGATCAAGGACGGACCCACGTCGAGTTTCACAGTCGCCATCACAGGAACATTAGAGCTGGCTTACGATCCTAATCGTGATCCATCCATCCTCAGAAGAGATCCATCCTAGGCGCCTTCTCTTGTTGGCAACCCCTATGGAGGAAGATGGCGCTGAAGATGGATTATGGGAAGGCGCCTTAAGAATAGTGCCCACAGGCGGGGTCTGTTTGGTTCGGTACTGTTCCAAGAAGTGGATGTTTGGAGGAGCGGAGGCATGATTCGCCAAAACTAATTGCTGCTGCTGGTGCTGAGCAGCCACTGCTTGATGTCCTTGTTGCTCGAAGTACCCTAGCTGTTGTGCTCCTGATTGTTGTTGGACTAATATTGGGGCAACTCCCTGAATATGCTGTTCCTGTTGAACTATTGGCGCTCCCTCATTGTACGAAGCCATCACGTTCTCCTGAAGTTGCATCAGATTGACCTTGTTTATTTGTTCATGTTCTCGCTCTCCGTGCTGTAGTTGGTCTTCGACTTCTTGAGATTGATGACCTTTTCCTTTCTTCAGTTGATGATGGGGATCCTTCAACTTCTTCCTTTGAACAGGCTTCATTGGATGCGTTTGCAACAATGTAGGGCCTGCTGAAGTGGCCGCTGGGTTTGAAACCCCAGCGCCTAGAATTAGAGGTAGGGTCTTGGTGCTCGTGGACCCCGCTTTTTCTGCCTTTCTCCTCCTAAGGGAGAGAGGCATAAAAAGCGGGAACAAAAGCACCTTTACCCTACCCTTAATAGAATACTCGATATGTTGTTGGCTCCTGCTCCTGCAGTACTACCAGTATCATTACTAGAAGTACTACCAGTATCATTACTAGGAGCAAGAGTCGAAGCCTGTGGTTGCAAGACTCCACCACCAGCGTTACTGCTAGGAGGGGCTGCAGTCGAAGAAGCAGCACCATCTGGTTGCTGTTCTTGTTGTTGACCAGCAACACTGCTACCACCACCACCACCACCACCGCCCAAAGCATTCACACCACCTCCAAGCACTTTGAGGTCGACATCGACAACGTTGGCTATGGAGATGCCTGGATTGCCCATTTTTTGGACTAGATATGAATGGTTCCGGTATTTGGTAACCTGAATTTGATCATAAGGGAAAACAAGAAGAGAACCCTTATGATCAAATTCAGGTTACCAAATACCAGAACCATACAAGATAATCCGCCATGGCCTGTGACATACTGGAGTAAAACTTCCCACCTGTCTCCCCACTCAGCATTTCTTGGATGGCAGCGGCAGGTGTGAGGTTACTCAGGCGGATCTTAGAGGACTCTCACTCGTCGTGCTGTCCTCTTCAGATATTATTATTACTTAATAACTATGATGTTCTATTACTTAACTAACTTAACTATGTTCTACTTCTAGTAAGTCTAAGATAGATAACTGTCTTGTTCCAAGATGATAGCTACATGTTCCGAGATCATGGTTACTATGTTCATGTTGTCAGGTAACTATGCCCCAAGACGGTGATTTCATCATGGTGAGTTTCTAACGAAATATAAGGACGATGCTGAAATTTGATGAAGATCAAAAACAACAAGACGACTCTAATACGCAATGGGTGTCACAATCTTTTCTCATAACGCTACTGCTTCCAGTCACTCCTGCAGGCGGCTTCATATAGAGCGTGATCACGCGCGTCAGCGTGCCAGCAGTAGTGTTGAGGTTGTCCTCTGCTGCTGCAGCTAAGCCAAGCTCTTTGACACGAGTTTCTTGCATCGAGGAATGAAAGGCGCAAGGCGAAACAAACCACTTTTGAATGGCTATGTAAATGGTACAGAGTTGTAAATGTGGAACAATTATGATTAGGATTACATCTTCACGCACGTTCATTTTACGTCTACAAAAACAAATGTGGTCCACCTCCACCTCGAGGAAAACGTTCATAAAACTTCTTCCGAATCTCCTCTTTCCTCTTCTCCAACCTGGCGGCCTCCAAGTCCTTGGCGTTGTCCAGTGGGTTTTTCTCGTTCTGTTCAGAGGTTCGCTTCATTTGGTCCTCTATTAGAGGCACCCTATTAATCCATCTTGACATACACCCTGAGTATCGTTTTCCCATTTCATCCTCCTTAAGTAGAGCATTATCCTTGGAGGGTTCTATTTCAAGTTGAAAAAGAAGAACCAAGCATCATGGTGCTAGGGAGGACATGGATGATCTTCCAAGCAAGGACGATATGGTGTTGACTACCTTTTCGTCCCATTGAGAACCCACTGAGGTGGACGCCTCTCAAGATGGATTAGCGGCAGCCTTAACTCTAGCTCCTTCTCCAATTTGGCCCTCATCAACTGCTGCGTCTCCTTGAAATCGTTCTCGCGAGCTGCGCAATGAAAGGCCCTTGGGATGAAGTTACAAATCAAGTGTAATACGCTTGTTTTGCTTGCGCTTGCGGTTGCACTTGCTGTTCTACTTAAGGAGTACTATACATCAAGAGATTGATTTTGTTTTTGATAGCAAGTACAAGTTGTCCGACCACTTAGAGGATAACTATAGTATTACGAAGTCACTATGCAGCATACCTATGTATAGCTTCTACAACAAGTACTAGTACCTACAAGAAGAAGAAATACTACTTTTAGTTAGTTGTAACTCTTGTTCAGGAGCCATACTTCTTCACTACCTACAAGAAATACTACTTTTTAGTTCTCTCGTGGTTCAGCCATGGTAGTACCACTATTATAGTACGGGAGATTGATAGAAGAAACATGCACTTCCCCTTGTACTTCTTGCTTATACAATTTAAATCTGGAAAGTAACACGTTCTCTTGTTCAGCCATACTTCTTCACTTTAATTTCCGTCTGCCAGACAGCGGCTTTCGAGACTTGTTCCTGCTGCATCTTATTGCGGGTTTCCAGTGGCAACCTCGGATCAATAGGCAAAACAGTAGTTAAAGGCAGTTTCCCACTATCCCGAGTCGAGTGGGTTGCCCTCTTTGCCCCCTAGCTTCCCCTTTATGTATGTATGTATTATTAGTTGTAGTTGCCAAAACCCCTAATCTTGACCTTGTTCAGCATGTTGACCAAGAGAGACCACAACTAGCTCACTCGCATCTCTCATCTTTAAATCAAGGAGGACTCCACTCAGCATAGTCCACATAGGATAGTGATGAACGACCCTTAAAGTAGGCAAATGCATTTGTGCAGTGATGTTCCGCATGCCTGCGCCGACACTCATTTGCTGCGTTTGATTAGCCGGTTGCGCGCCGGTGAGCATGGGAGAGTTAGAGCAGAACTTTCCTACGTCTATTTCTTGAGTGAGGAAATGCATCACGAACAAATTAAGGTTTGTCTCAAAGTCAACTTCAAAAGCAAAACCGGTGATATAACAACATAGAGGACGTTTATTGATAGGTTTACCATCTTGTTGTTGTTTCGTAGACTTTTTTTTCTGTCCGCAGGAGGGGCCAGAAAGAGAAAATCGATGGAAGAGCATGCACTAACGACCCTCAATCAACATCTAAATAGTTGTTCATGAACATGAACATGAAAATAGGTAAAAAATAAAAACAACAACCACCACCTCCAGCCATAATATTATTACTTTGTCCGACTCCCATCATTTGGGAGACATTTGACGGACCAACGGCCGTAGAAATCGAGGCAGATTGAGGCACAAAGGTAGACGATGGCTGGCGCAGCAAGCGATGGGTCAGCTCCGCAAGAGCGATTTGAGAGGCGGAAGCATTCGTGAGGTTCACATTGCCGTTACCTGGAGGACAACAAGTTCTTGCCAAAAGATACTGGTGGTCACTAGCAATAATTTGCCTAGAGCTAGACTATCTCTAAAAATTCATATAATGCTGGCCAAATAAAAAACTACTATCTATAATATTCTATTTTTATCTAGTTTAGTCTAAGTAGTACCCATCTTCGCCTGACTTTCTGCCAGCAACTGGGCATACTGTTCGGCGCTCTGTTGAGACTGTGCTGTTTGGCTGGACTGCAACTGCTGAGCGGTCTCTTTGGTTGCTTGCTCCTCTTGCTGCTTTTTGATGATCTCCTCATGAATAGCCTTGGCTGCATTCACACTAGACTCGGAAGAAGCCTGGGAAAGTTTTGGATGGGTCCGGAGGTGGAGAAAAGACTGAGAACTCATCAATACTGGACTTCTACAAGATGAGGAGATGAGCGGAGCTACAGGAGATGAGCGGAGCTCGAGGAGATGAGAGGAGCTAGAGAAGCACCATGCTCAACAGAGAGCATAGCGATACTAAGACCAACTACATTTCTACAACTTCTAAAGATTTTCAAACATTCTGAAGAACATGCATCATGAGCATTCTAAAGAAGATGTACAGAGCAGGAGTACCGTCTTCACATTTTGCTCTGCCTCCTTTGCGCGTACCTCGAGGGAGCCCTTGTCCTCTTGCTTTTGACTCATCTCTGCGGAAGTTGTATTCATCTTCTCTGCTGTCTCGAGTTCCTGTAGAGTGAGTGATAAGATCATAGAAGTAAAAAGTTCAGACAAAAGATAGAACCTCTATCATAGAAGTCTACTTCTAGTACAACTAGTCTAGTACTTGTTCTTGTCTCATCTTTGCAGCAGCTACTTGTTGTGCAGTCGCAAGTTGCTGGCTCTCATTCCTCATCATCCACTCCAAATTTCGCGTTGCTTCCGTCACTTGCTTATCTTGTTGCTTCTTAGCTTCTTGTTCTTAGAGAAAAAAAGGGGACTGACTACAGGGAGATGGTGGAGGCACAGGAGGAGAAGAACAAATGCTACTGCTTTTCCAGCTTTGAGGATGATGATGAATCAAATGCAGACCCTTTCAGCAACACCTGCAACCGTGAATAGCAACACCTTTATTTAACAACACCGTGAATCAATATTAAGGGAGTCAACTTCTTTTCATTTTTTCGAGCAACACCTTGATTTTGTAAGAGAGCCGGCTGTAGAAGTCAGTCTTCTCTGAAAGAGATTGAGATCTTTGCGTAAGTACAAAGAAAGGCAAGGACACATTCTCTCGAGTAATTAAAAGGAAAAGCAACACTTCTACACTTCTCAACATCCAAGTCATAATCTTGGCCACGAATCGCTGTTTTCAAGCCACTCTCCGCGTTGATTTGGTCTTTTGATTTTAGACATGCCAAATCGTGGCGGATCGTGGTGTAGAAGGCAAAGGCGTGGCAATCCCAATCCATGTCATCCAACGCTGTTTTCCTCACCAATTTTTCCTCACCTGATTCATGATCTTCCGACCACGACCTTGATATAATTCATGTATTTTTCTGATAATCAATCATGTAAGTATAATACGGGTGGAGCCAAGCTAACTAGGAAAAAAGTAAGGTTAGGTAAAGGGTATATAAGTACAGAATTATATTAGTAATGGCCAAGCTAAGTAGGATCCGTCTATTCTAGGCGCCGCGTGTCGTCCAACAGCCCTGGAGGTCTTCTCATCATATAAGTATAATGAAAATGATGCACCATCTTCAGTCTCAAACTCAATTTCGATGGAGCATTAGGGCAACGATGAAGCCGTAAAATTTCTTCATTGGCTTTCTGCAGCATTATCTTTTGGTCCTCCTCGTCTCTCTTCGCAGCAACAGCTTTGGATCCAGCGACAGCGGCTTTTCCGTGCCACTCCGCTTCGATGGCCTTGTACTTTGCGATTCTAGCGTCGAGGTCTACTGAGATGTTAGAGGAGGAAGAAGAGGATACTTAACTACGTATATGTTTACTTGTTCTCGTTGATGAATGACTTATATTTCAGGAGGAAGTCTCTAATTTATAAGGTTTGCGTGCCAGCTCGCATGCCACGGAGATCATGGAGCTGCCCGGAGCTAAAGGGCGCGCTTCTTGCGTCCCTTAGAGATCTGCGCGCCAAATGTACTCCATGCTACTCCATGCACCATGCGTGCTATAAGCTGCTCTCCTATATGTTCACTTGTGAATGACTTTTACCTCAGGAGCAAATCTCTAATGAAGTAGACACTCTATCAAAACTCGACTTCATCAAGCACAACTCATGTTCTTAACTGTAGTATTCGCGCTGGCTTCCAAAGCGGCATTGTGCTCGCCCTTGTGCGTTTCTTCAGCCCTTTTCAGATCGTTTTTCGCCTCCTCTTCTTGCGTGGAATGAAGGGTATTTTGTTTTTTTTGGCAGGAGAAGAAGCTAGCTTGTTGTCATTCTAAAACTAAATGTAGAAGAAGCTAGCTCTTGCGTCCTCATCTTCATCTTCTCAAGAAACTGAAACTGCGTAGTAATTACTTCAAGCACTTCTATTTATGATCTGGTATCACAATCACGCGCATGACACTTCTTGGGAACCTGAAGTGGGGCACGATCAGGCATCAAGATCATCTATAATCTCCACTGACTATGCCTATGCAGAAAGTAAGTAAGTATCAAACGACAACCGTTATCATAAGTCTTCAATTGCACTTTCGCATCTTCCTCTTCCCTCTTCATAGCCTGTGTCTCGTTGGCTATCTTTTCTTTCTGCAGTGCGATGCTGACCTGTGCTTGTACTTGGCCGTTTATCACCTTGGGGGAGTTAGAAAAAGTAAAGAAAAAGGACCAGAAGGAGAAAACCAGGTGGAATAAGTAAGATAATAATTACGTGCATCATTACTAACCCTATTCTTGATGTGGATGTACAGGTTGAGCAGCGTCACGTGGAGGAGCTAATTGAGGTTAGATCTGCGGCAGTTTCGGCGGATGGATCCTCTATAATTACTTTGAACCAACAGCATGTAACCGAGTGTTGATCTTAGCACATTTAGGAAACCATTTTTGTGATTGTGTGATCCAAAGGTTTGTGTCTCGGTTTGGCGTTTTTAAGCAAACAAAAAGACAAGGAATCAGGAAAACAAAGGTACAGCAAGTAAAGGAAGACGAGAAAGAAAAAACCAAGCCAATGCATGAAAAAAGAAGAGTCAAAAAACATCAAAGATGAAATAAAAATATGGATCCAGTTTTAATCCTAAGTTAGTCTTGTTGCAGCCTACGAGGTCCCCCGGTAGGATCACAATGCCAAGGAGGGGGGTGCTCGCGAGCGCCTTGGATAGGGATGTTACTGAGGTCTCGTAGGTGCTAGCTCACACCTAAGTAAGATAAAAAAGGGAGGACGTCGGGGACTACTTGCTTACACTCACATTTCTTGCATTTTTTACGTTTACCTACATCTATGGCACTAAATAGTCATACATTTTTGCAAGTAGCCAGAGACAAATAAATCCCAGATATATATTTACAAGTATGAAAGTAATAGTAGCCAAGCATAACTTTCTCGGCAATTTCCGCTTCCTGAATCTTCTTCGTCTCGTTCTTTTTCAGCTCTATGGACGCCAAAGCTTCTGCTTGTTGGCGGTCCATCTTCTTGGTGGCTGACTCCTGTTCTTGTTGCAGTGTATCCTTGGCTGCTAACTCCTCTCTTAGAGGGGTAGGGAATGCATCTTCTACTTCCCTGGACGATGGTGATGAATCATCTGGATATTATATATAAAAGTACTTTTTTGTTCTTTCTTTCTTCTCTCACTCTCTGTCAGAAGTTGGCTTTGTTGAAGATGCATTTGATTTCCCACACCCTGGCTTAACTCTAAGCGCAATGCCTCCGTCTCGTTCCGGGCTTGTTTCGTCTCGATTTCGTTCTGTCTCTGTAGTTCAGCAGTGCGGATCTTCACGGCCTCCTCTTGGCTTAATTTAGAGGCGAGAAACGCGCAGAACGCAACATTTAAATGTATTCTTTTATCCATCAAAGAGTGAGAGTTTAAGACTAAGACGGTGACTTTCGCGATCTTGCTCTTGAGAAGCCCAAGACCATAGCTTTCAACTGCGACTGCTTCAAGGTCCACTCTTCCTTGCGTCTTTCTTCCAGCTTCTTCGCCGCCAACGTCTTCATCGCAACCATTCTTAGCGATCACGCTAATCCCCCATTTTAAGATAGTGGATGTGCATCCTGTTCTTAGTTCCTCTTACTTTCTACTTAATAAGATAGTGCACCCTGTTCTCAGGTTCTCTTACTTTTCGACTTGCAAAAAAGCGCAGGAGGATGGTGTTGAGACTCATCCTGACCTCCTTTTCAATTTGAAGAGCCTCTCTCCGTGTCCGTCCTAGGATGACTAACTTGTCTGAAGTAAGATGGATCATTATGACCACTCTTCGGAAGAGTTCAGGATGCTTCGAAAGATGGATCACCTACGATGACTAACTTCTCTGAAGTACGATGGATCATTAGGCGGAGAAGCCTTAACATTGCCGTTTTCTCGTTCAGTTCTAGTTGTTGTTGCTTCAAGTCTTGCTCAGCCATGGCTACTCGGCTGTTCTGCTGTAGCGTAGCGTTGTCGACTATGATGGGGTCGCCTGTGTAATTGCTCCCGTTCGTGCTGGGGGTTAGAGATGATCGTGGCAAAGTGCGAGGCCATCAAGGTGGATCAATGCATGTCAGCCTGCGCGATTTTCGAGAGCAAGCTGTGTATGGATAAAGAGATTTATGCAGACACCTTCCCGACCCTCGGAGCCGACACTTTTTTAAATGATAGCACATTCACATTTTTTTACAATTACAATTACTATTACTATTACGTCTAACAACATCGCTCAGATTAGCTACCCTACATCCTGTTCCTGAACCTTCCTTCGTCATAAATTTGGCACCGCTGTGGTCGGCACCTCTGGGGCCAGGGTAGTGGTGTTGACCTCGGGAACCGGTGTGGTAGTAGTTGTGGTTGTATTCATCATGGTTCTAAACTGTCCCAGCACACTTTTAAAGCCAGCCAGTAACTGAGCGATCGCGCTGGAGGCGGGAGCTGCGGTCTCGGCAGCGCAGATTAGAGGTCGTGGAAGGGGAACCCAGACGTTGTGGAGCGAGAGTCTAGAGGTTGTGGGTGGGGAATCAACTTGCTCGAGAGAGTTTAGGTTTACTTGCCTCCTGTACAACTACACCCTCGGCAAGAAGTAGTCAAAGTCCAAGTTGAAGTTCTAAGTCAAGAACTGCTTGAAAGAAGTTCTAGTTGTAGTTCTAATGATGATGATGTTTGTGTTTGTTGATGATGATGTTTCTGTTTCACTATAATCATTAGCCCTAAGTCAACCGCTGTCGTCGCAGCTGCAGTAGTATTGACGACCGGAGCCGTGGTGGAGACACTCGGATCAGGAACGTTTAGCATCGTGATTTGTGGTAAAACCACAGAGCCAAAGCTAGTCTGGGTAGCTACTTTCGCACTCAGGCTTGCAGCGAATGTCGACGCGGCAGTGCCATTGAGCCCACCAGTGTAAGGCCAGACAGTGTTGGCTGTCTGTGTTTGAGTTAGAAAAGGTTACATGTTGATAAAGTCGCGGCACCTACCTAGGAAAGACATAGAAAGGTGGAGAACCTTGCACAAAAGTTTGAAGAATATACATTCTTAGATGGCCTTTTACCCACCTGTTCCTGTTCTTTACCCGCCTTTGATGTGAATGTGAAAAGTCCATCAAATCAGATGCAACAAGGAAGTCCTCCTAGAGTGGAGCAATATCGTGAATCCCTTAACTGAGCTGGTGACATTGCTACAGCGACTGAGGCGGCCACGCTGGCAGCTGTGCCACGACTAGAGGACGCAGCAGTCCTCGTTTGGAGTAAGGCTAAAGCTTGGTTTGCAGCTTGACTTGCAGCTTGGTTTGCAGCTTGGTTTCCTCCACTTCCAATATACTCCTGAAAAAAGTTTTTCATCATCAATTGCAGCACACCTCCAGCTTGTTCTTGTTCGACTCCAGCACCTCCCCTGCCGCCTGCATTACCACCTGGTGCATTACCGCTATCCATACTAGCCACGACCACGGGCAAACTTAGACTTAACGCTGACTGTAGTAGATACTATTACGCATATTTTATTGTGTTTCTGATTATGTTGATCTCCAACTACGTAAAAATACTACCTTCAGATCCAGTAGTGGATAGATCACGAGTAAGTAGTATCAAACTAAGCGGCCTTAACATCGGTTGTGACTGTCCGTATAACAAGGAAGCCGCACCACTGACACCTTGGACAGCTGTCTTTAGAGTCGGCTTCTATTGTTCTTCTGAGAAAATATCGGTCCCTTTTTTATCTGGATCCCTTTACAACTGGTACTACCTCTACACTTACCCTTGTGATCATAATCTTGGAGAATTATACGGCTCCAAAATCGTCAACATCAAGAAGTGATCGGGAGCACTCGTATTAACTCCAAGCTCTTTAGTACACAAAGGGGACAAAAAAAGGCACCCAGATCCAGAAGCAAGATGCTCAGAAAGACAAAGATGGATGCTACAGCAGGCTCCTGGCCATAACGTCAACACCACTTTGGTAACGTTGTCTTTACTCAGACCCTGTACGCCCATCTGCGCGAACGATTCGACCACAGCTGAACCAATAGCACCTTGGACTGCGGGGTCAGCGGTGAAGTTGGTGGCTGGAAATTAGAGGGTCGTGGGAGGAAATGTTGGACGTTGGTCTGGGCTAACGTGGCAGTGCATTTTTCAATTGCTCATCATCATCATGGAGTCTACCACTGGTTAGCATACCAGCTCCTAGACTATACGATGCTTCGAATATTAACCCTCAGAAAAGAAGATGACAAGCCCAACGCTGGAAATAAGTCTACCAATGAATATAAGTGAACCAACATCAACATGATGATACTTACAATTACATTTACATCATCATCATGATCTCAATAGTGTAAGTAAGTACTCTCACAGAATCTTCGCTATCACTCAGAGTGAAAGCCATAAGATTGAGCGTCACCCAGATTCAGAGACAAGACGAAGGCCACTTCCTTCTGCGGGCCCAGAGGAGCGGTTGTAGTTGAGGGAGGGGGTGCCGTGGACGTTGTACTATCTGGGATCGTGGTCGCGTTTTCTACTTGGATCTTGTACGTATTGACCGAAGCCGCCACTTTCGCCGTAGTTCCGTTTAGAGCTAGTCGACCAGGTTCTAGACGAGGTACTACAAGTACAAGACAGGTAGTTCTTGCCGAAAAGGCAGGTTGCCGAAAATTACATTGCTCCTGCATGATATATTCGTATTCCTAATACCAATACCTTCGCTATCGCTGAGTAAGTTGATCGTATTCCTAATAGTACCATCGCTATCGAATTCCTAATATCTTCGTTCTATTGACAAAAAAATGCCAAAAAAGACCAAAAATCTTCGTAAATTCTTCTCGTCCTTTGACGTTCGCGTCGAGACGCTTTTGCCTTTCGCCGCAGAAGCAGAGCCCTTTAGGCGTCTAGAGGTGGCAGAGGCTGAGCCAGAAACCTTACCAGTGCCAGCCGTGGCCGTTGCCTTCACATTAGTCCCTAAAGGAGCGCTTCGTCCTGCTGAGCCCTCTTGCTCTTCGCTCCTGCTTGCTGTTGATGTTAGACCTTGTGTTTGTGACTTCTATTCATCTTTAAAAGCATCTTTCTTATCATTTTTGACGCATTCTCCTGTGAGAAAAGAGTCAGAGATGATGCTTCTTGAGATGTTGAAACACTGGGAGCCTTAATGATAGCAAGGGGGATTTGTCCTCTTCGGAATTGTTGTTATGATTGGTATCCTCCGCCACCGCCTCTTGCTCTTCTTGATCGCGTACTACGGCTTCCTGCTCCTGCCCCTGCTCGTTACTGTCAGCCTGACCGTAAGCATTATCTTTTGATGCAGTAGGCTCTTCCTGCACTACACTTTGTCTCTCGTCTACAGAAGAACCTTGTGTCTGTCCATACTCCTGTTCATCTTGATGTTGTGTTTGAGGAGGTTCATCTCTGTGCTGTAGGTGATGTTGTTGATGAGCTAAGGTAGAAAGTCTGGAGTTGGTACTAGTTCTAGTACTAGAGTCCATATCATCTACTACAGTTGCAGGATCATCGAACATTTTGTCGTCGGACGCTGTAGTTGTCAGCAACAACGATGACCCACCTCCTAGCAGCCTACTTCTCTCCTTTTCTTAGAGCTCACCCTTAATCCATCTTCTTGAGAACGAAGCATCCTGCTGCCATTTTCCTCTCGAAGGGAAAGCCTCTGTAAGTGAAGAAAGGCCTATCCCCTTTAAGAGCATCTTTACCTCGTCTAATAAGTCTTTGGGAGGCTTCATATCACAAGATGGATCAACATCACTTCAAACTCAAAGTAGTAACTAAGCCTTAATTTTTGGGATCATTGATCGCGATCGGAGAGATGGGGGTGACCTTGCTTCGAGCTCAAAACATTTCATTTCTTGCGTTCATTTCTTCAGATTCCCAGGATGAAGAAAATTGCGAGAAACGACTTGTAGAAATGAAATATTTTGAGCCTTAACTTGCCCTTTATCTTCTTCCTGGTTGCGGTTGTACTAGTTTTGAGCTGTCTTCCATAGGCGGCGCCAGAGATGACTGGGGGGGTCTCGAGACCGACCACGGTATACGGAGGACTCGACCCGTAGCCTGCGCGGCTGGCTAGAGCCGGGAGGATGAAAGAGGAAGGAGAGAGCATTTTCAGGTAGTAGAATCATCTTTAGACTCATTTCCATTTAGTTGGATCTTCATAACAATTCCCTGCGCCAAACCCGATTGCAGGTGCAAGATAGCTGCTGGGGAAAGCCCCTCTTTTTCCGGCCACGCGATCTCCACAGCAGCTAGTTCTGCCTCAGATTGAAGTTTCATGACTACCGTAATTCTCAACGATATGGGCATTCTTTTCTGCGCCTCCGACCCTGCCTCTCCTTTGTTCTGCAATGATATTACTCCGCCACTTGTTCCATCTTGTTCTTGTTTTCCATCTTGTTCTTGTTTTCCATCTTGTTCTTGTTTTCCATCTTGTTCTTGTTTTCCATCTTGTTCTTGTTTTCCATCTTGTTCTTGCTGTTCTTGCACTTCATCTTGCTCTTCTGCCTCGTCTTCTTTTCCACTAACGCTAGAAGATGCGACCCCCAGAAGGGCATCGATGTGTTCTCTAATGCTTCTAATCGGATCAACGCCACTGGCCTTTCTTAACGCCGGTTTTTCACTATCGATCCCTACATGAGTGAGCAAGTGAGCAGATGCCGCGCGCCCCCTTTGAGTTGATTTCCCCTTTCAAAAAGGTACTAGATTGTAGGCTGTATCCATGTCACTACCCTGCACTTAGATACTTAGTCTAACTGTAGACGCACACACTACTAGAATAGGGGGAAAGGGGAAGAGGATTTTTCGGTATCACAATGTAATGTAAACACCGAGAAAGTTGAGGGGAACTGACGCTGGTCAGGCGCATACTCCACACGTGGGGATAGTGAAAATCTAGTAGCCTTAACTTTCGTTTTGGCCGACTTTGTTGGAGCATTTTGAGCAATTCTAGCTGTTTTTGCATAGCTTCCCATGAGTCAACATCAGCACTGGCGGTCTGAAGAAAAGAGAAAGCGGTTTGGTCCACGACCTCATCATCCTCATGATCTATTAGAGCTCCTTACCTTGGTTCAGCATCATGATCTTTCTTGGAGAGCATCTGTAAAGTAACTAAAACTAACGTATTCTTGTAGTTCTCCCCTTAAGTAGAAAAGCGAAAGCGTGTCAAATTAATATGCGTCTCCAGATGAACATGAATTCCGGGAAACAAGCCTTAAATCTACCAGTGGATCGTAATGATCCGCTTCTGCCGCCTCATCCAACATGGAATGCCACAGATGGATCGCAGTGTCCTCAAAAGCCGTGGTGGGGGATCTATGCTGGTGGATGAGATGATCAGGTACTATTAGCGCTCGTGGTCCTAATACTAATCATCACTAATACTAATCATCACGACTAATACTAATCATCACTAAAAATACTAATCATCACTAGATGTATCAATCCTGGTGGGTGCTTTAGCTTTTTTCCCTTTGAAATATAGCAGACTCTTCAGGATGTCTTTCAAAAAGATGGATTCATTTTTAGGGGAAGCAGCCTTAAATGTAGTTCTTGATTCTTGTGCTGCTTGTGCATCCAAGTGCTAGAGCTTTCTTGTTGGTGCTGCATGAACATCGAGATCAGTGGCGTGATGTCCACGAAGGACATATCAGAGATCGACAAGGCTCGAGCGCCTGGAGCTTTTCAACATTAGAAGATGTTGAGCACGCGCGATGTAGTCAACAAGAGAGTATGCAGCTCTGCAATACCGAGCTTTTGCAGAGCTGCATTACAAAAACTTCCCAAAGTCTCAGCATCTTCTCTAGCTTCATCATGAAGAAAAACTAAAAATTCCAGCTCCTGCAGCCTTAAGGTTGATTGTTAAAAAACGATACGATAGCGTTCGCAACGATGTCTCGCACCTCAGGGTCAGCTGCGAATGCCACTACCCCATTAGCCCCACCTGCGGATTTGAAGTCTACCGATAAAGTTAGAGGACCTTACTACTTAAAAATAATGACAAATGGACTAGACGGCGTTTAAGAAGAGGACCAGCATACTATTTTAGCAGGTTCTTATCATTCAAAAACGCATACAGGAGGGGATTTTTTGTTGGGGTATCTACTTGAACTAGAGACTACTTGAAGAGCATGTTTGACCCATTTTTTCCCTTAGCACACCACTTAAAGGGGTCAAAGACCTTCGAGATGGAAGATTCATTATCAATCATTGACTCGACGTGGTTTCGTTCTGCTTGAGAATATTCTTGAGAATGCATCATGATATTGTTAAGAGAAAGAGATTTTGGCTCATCCCTAATAGACGGAGCTGTCTTCTGGCAACTGGCTTGGCGTACGGCGGTGGTGGTGTTGTTGTGGTTGGTACTGTAGTCGTTGGCGGTTCTGTTGTAGTCGGCAGTGTTGTTGTAGTCGTAGTCGGCTTTGGAGTTGTGGTAGGAGTTGCTGTTGTGCTTGGCGCTGGTGTTGGTATTAGAGGTGGCGTTCGTTTGGTGTTTCTGTTTCCCGTCTGTTCTGCCTTTCTCCCTTAGGACGAAGGGCAAAGCAAACGGTAGCAGGAGGAAACCAATTTATCCTACAACTCCTTAATGGTGGTCCTGTAGCAGCTGGAGTGGTTGGTGGGACTGTAGTCGCAGGAGTCGCAGCAGGAGCCGCTGTAGTCGCAGGAGTCGCAGCAGGAGCCGCTGTAGTCGCAGGAGTCGCAGCAGGAGCCGCTGTAGTCGCAGCAGGAGCCGCTGTAGTCGCAGCAGGAGTAGCAAGAGCGGCTGTAGTCGCAGCAGGCGTCGCAGTGGCAGGAACTGCCGGAACAGCCACGGGAGGCATTTGTGGAGGGAGAGCGCCAGGAGGACCGATGTAGCCAACCATATTTCCCACCGTCACTGGTACCATACCCACGACCGGTTGTTGAGGGCTTGCTGGGATTTGAATTATTAGAATTTTTCTTTCTATTTCTACCTATTTCTTTCTTTCTTTGAGCTGAGTTGTCAACCGATAAGGCGAAGTTACTTACTTATACTGTTACTTTTTCTTTGACATGAGGTCAGCGTCAGCGTCAACAAGTTGAGCCTTACTAAAGGAGCAGGCGGCGGAGGCGCCGCAGTAGTGCTGTTAGCTTGACTCTGGGTGGCTTGTGGACAGTTTTGACATGCGGATGCTTTGGCATCCGCAAGTTTCTGTTCGAGCTCAGCTTTCTGTTGCTTCCTCATCAATTCCTTCTGCGTCTGTTCAGCGTCCTTCGCTATCTGCTGTTGCTCTTTGCTCATTTTCTCCGACTCTTGCTTTGCCTTCTCTTCACGAAACTTCAAGATTTTCTGCACAGGGAAAGCGCAAATGAGGCCGTTGGTGAGATGGGAGCCTAGTTGGCCAAAGATGGAAGGTGTCAGTGGAGGATCGTTGTAGAAGATCAGCTTGTCCTTCTTGCCAGGTGGCGTCACGTAGCGAAGATTAGAAAAAGTAGGCGACGACGAGACCTCTACTTTCAATTTATTAATGACAGTACGAAGATCAGGTGAGACAAGCACTTGCGAAAATGAAGCAACATGCGGATGAAAAAGAGACGAGTTGCTTGCTTTCATTCACTCAATACAACTACGTCGAGCCAACTCGATACAACGTCAAGCCAACTCAATACAACGTCAGCCATAACACACCCTTCCGGAAAGGAGCTTAGACTTACTGCACCTTCCCAAGAAACTGGCTCCCCTTGAACTTCTCTCAAGTTTCTGCAATCGTCCAATCCTGGCGATTTGCTCACAGTACCGCAAGCAGCTGAGCCTTCTGGCGCGAAAAATTAGAAAATCCAAACAAAAGAAAACTCAGACTAGCTCAATATGAGGAGCGCTACCGCTCCTTAGCCGTAGACTCTACCAGAGGGGGATCCTTGGCGAACTTCTGTGCTATACTACATTTAAATGAATAAACGAAGATCTTTTTACATCACCATGATCATCCTCTCAAGTCTTTCTCTTTCAGAGACTTGAGATGATGATCATGATGATGGCAAACTGCAAAGTTTGCCATAAAAGAACATCACCTCGTTCGGATAGCCTTTTGCGAATCGTTGTAGAGGTCTGCCGAATAACATGTCAAAGATCTGCTGCTCCGTGCTCGTGCCATTAGTAGCCGAAGATTTGTTGACTCCTGCCACTTGCTGTTGGCCTTGTTGCCCTCCTGTTGCTGGTGTCGCAGAAATGTTGGCTATTCCTGCTACTGGGGATGGGATATTAGAAGAGGAAGCTGCATTGATCGATGGAAGAAAAAAATCAAACTTTCTTCTACTCCTGGTGTCTCCTGTTGTATTCAAGAACAAGATCCTGGGATAGGACGATGATAAATTATAGTCAAAAATATTACAACTTACTGTTAGACTAGAAGTAGAAGCACTTCTACTACCAATTGAAGCCATATCTGTAGTCGACACCCCAGTGGATGGTGGAAAATTCATTTTGCCAATAGAACAAGGGGGTAGAGTGCTCGGATCAGGAACGCTGAGGATAGCGATCTGAGGGCTCACCGCTTTGCCAAACTTTGTCTTTGCAGCAACGTGGGTTTAGAGATGAAGGACCCCGTGTCTGAGCAGGGAGACCGTGAGCAGGGTAGGAGGATCATAGAAGATGTTATCGTTCTTCATCGTCGCACTGATCTAGATCAATCTCTCTTATTCTACTTCAGCAACTGCAACTCTACAATAATAAGCCCTTTGAATTTCAGCTTAAGACAGTCACACTTCCAACAAGCCTGTTGACACCAGATCAAATTCAACTTCAAAATTCCAGCCAATTTTAATTGCCGTAATTGTTCTGTACCGCGGAAGCAAAATTTTTCAGAGGGGTGGCAGGTAAAGCTCCGCTGCTTGGCCATGCCTGGTTGGCTTTCGCCAATTGTGTTGGTGTCATCGCCAATTTGACGCTCACGGCAACTTTAGCTGGTGCACGACGTAGTAGCCCGCGTTAGAGCTCACCCTTGTCCATCCTGAGACGCATCCTGAGACCGATTCCTCTTGAAAGCGTCTCTCCTGGGATGACTTCTCTGAAGACGGACCATTAGGGGAAGCCTTAACATTGTTGTTGTTGTTGTAGTTGTTGTCCTGCTAATTTGCGCTCTCCTTGTACGAGAGAAATAGATTTTGCCAACGTGTCCATCTTGGAGATGGCCTCCGAATCGGAGTCGCCAGCAGAGAAGATCGCAGACTGAGATGACTCTTGCTGTGTAAGCAGCAAAGTGTCGTTGACTGGAGTCAGTGCAACGTCCTTTACATTTGCGTCGCTGAGTCCTCCTTAGAGCTCTCGTTCTTTCAACTACTGCAGCTCCGCGTAGTTCCTGAAGAGTATCACTAATATCACAGTGAAGATATCATATTATAACAGAAATACTCTCTGCTCATAGATACTTTTCAAGGATACAGTCTCAGTCAGAGTCACATGAAGATGCATTATGATAATTAAAATTAGTGATTAATGAGACGAGCCTTAACCTTCTACACCTAGGTTATAATGACTAGTGAGAGCCTTAACCTTCCACACCTAGGTTCGCGAGCGTGTCAACTACTGCGTCGTCGATGGCATCCTTTACAGCTGGATCCCTGGCAAATGCCTCCACTGAATCGCCGTCTGCAAGGTCAAGACTCAGCACAAAGGATGTCTCTTTGTCCGGTACAGAGTTGTCTTCGCCACTGGAGGAGTCGGAGGAGGAAGTACTAGGGTTTTCGCCCTCATCTGAGGTTCCAGAAGAAGATTCTCGTGAAGATGTTCCCTTGCTGGGACTACCCTCCGACGAGTAGTTTCCACCTTGTTGTCCACCACCTATTGATTCAGAAGTCTCATTTTTACTTCCAGTTGCAGTTGGTTCTCTTGGTATCATGCCCTCTGAAGAAGATCCACCTTCACGACCTCGACCTCCTGTGACGTTGACGCGAGGAGCCTTTGTCCTGTTGCCTGTGACGTTGGCGGGAGCCGATGCATTTTGTTGCTGTTCATCCCTTCTTGTTGGAGTGCTGTTGTCGCTTTCAGCTTCTTCTTGTGGTCCTGCCGGTTCTCCTGTCCTGTTGGTATCAGCTGCTCTATTAGCTGCATCTTCAGGCGCTGGTGATTTCCCCTTTATTAGTGCCTGCGCTATTTTTACATCCTTCGGAGAACTTGTTCTGTAAAATTTACATTACTTCATTTTTCCTATCGCAAAACAAGTCCGAAACTGTAGTCCAGGATGCAAGGTAGAAGCCCTTAACTTCACGGTGATCTGAGCCGATGCGGATGCCGAGTCTCCCGCTACACCCATGCCACCTCTCCTGGCCTGACCAGTGACCTTGGCGGTCGCCGAAGCTGTTTGGCCTGTTACGTTCACCCCGACTGCGCCATTCTTCGTCGTAGAATTTACGTCCGGCGAGGCAGATTTTAGACGTTTAGATTTACCTTCCCGAAGTCCATCAGTCATGAGTCACTTCTGTCACAGTCACCTTACTGTGTCTGTGAGTGTCACTGCCTCACAACTTCTAGAGGACAATAAATGCTCCTTCTGAGAAGTGGATAAAGATAACGAACGTAAAGATCATCGGCACTTACTCTTACAACTAGCGAAGCGCGTGTAAAGCGCTACGACCAGATTCCCTTACCATTACTAGTTTAGTGGTCTTAAAGCTGGAGTCGATGTATCGGCAGGAGGCGCTGAGGTTCCCGTTGGGCCATTGGACGTCGGAGACAGAGTCGTGACGACCATAGGCGTTTCATCAGACGTGGTTTCGCCTGGTGCAGTAGTCGCAGCCGTCGTAGTAGCTCCTGCATCTGGAGGTGTTTGTGTTGTCGTCGCTCCAGCTACAGCCTGAGTTGTGGTCGCCGCTCCAGTTGTTGTTTCTGCTGCGGTAGCATCTGGCGTTGTTGCTGCTGCAGTTGCCGCCTTGGTAGTCGCCGCTGCGGTTGCAGCACTGGTAGTCGCTGCTGCGGTTGCGGCCTTGGTAGTCGCCGCTGCAGTTGCAGGATCGGTTGTCGCCGCTGCGGTTGCCGCCTTGGTAGTGGCCGCAGCGGTTGCCGCCTTGGTAGTGGCCGCTGCGGTTGCTGCCTTGGTAGTCGCCGCTGCGGTTGCCGCCTTGGTCGTCGCCGCTGCGGTTGCCGCCTTGGTAGTGGCCGCAGCGGTTGCCGCCTTGGTGGTGGCCGCTGCGGTTGCTGCCTTGGTAGTCGCCGCTGCGGTTTCCGCCTTGGTAGTGGCCGCAGCGGTTGCCGCCTTGGTAGTGGCCGCTGCGGTTGCTGCCTTGGTAGTCGCCGCTGCGGTTGCCGCCTTGGTAGTCGCCGCTGCGGTTGCTGCCTTGGTAGTCGCCGTTGCGGTTGCCGCCTTGGTAGCCGCCGCTGCCGTTGCGCCCTTGGCAGTCGCCGCTGCCGTTGCAGCATCGGTAGTCACCGCTGCGGTTGCGCCCTTGGTCGTCGCCGCTGCAGTTGCAGCATCGGTAGTCGCTGCTGCGGTTGCGCCCTTGGTAGTCGCCGCTGCAGTTGCAGCATCGGTAGTCGCTGCTGCGGTTGCGCCCTTGGTAGTCGCCGCTGCAGTTGCAGCATCGGTAGTCGCCGCTGCGGTTGCCGCCTTGGTAGTTGCCGCTACTGTGGCGCCGGTGGTCGTTGCTGCAGCTGTTGCAGCCTTGGTGGTCGCTGCTGCAGTGGTGCCCGCCGCTGTAGCACCTGCAGTTGTTGCTGCTGCAGTCGTGCCTGTTTTTTTTGTCGCACCTGCAGTCGTTGCTGCTCGGTTCGTGCCCGCAGCAGTCGTGCCTGCTTTCGTTGTCGCACCACTTGCAGCCGTTTTGCTATTTGCAGTCGCTGCTGCGATCATCGTCGTTGCAACTGCTGCTGGCGACCACGTCGATGTGGCCGCGTTGACACTAGGCGCCTTAGTAGTACTATTCAACGCCCCTAGCAAAGTTTTTGCAATGGAGGCTACAGAAATTGGATTACTAGATGAAGCGTCTCCATCATCTTCAGTGGTACTGGTTGCAGCTCGGCTTTCCTCTTGATCTTCTTTCTTGCTGGTACTAGTTGAACGTGTCTGGTGGGACAAGGAACTCAAACTCAAAGAGTCAGAAGATAAAGAAGTAGACGCTGCACTTGTGGTCTTCTCCGTCTCGCTATGAGGATCCTCCTGATCGGGAGTCGGTCTCTCTCCACCGAAGAGCCTCTCCATGAGCCATCTTCTCACTTTCTCGTCTTTCTGACCGTCAGCGGAAGCAAAAGCAGCGCTCGAGATTGCCGATTTCGCTATCGCAGAATCCTGGAGGGCGCCCTCCGTAGTCTGAAGCAGCGACAAAAGCCTTTGCGTAGAGCGCTGAACTTCCTCACGATGTTGCTTCATCTGGGCAGCATCAGCTTTTTCAGCTTTTTTCGCGAAGATGTCGTTCAAACGTCGCACGCGATCATCGAATCCGTTGGAGACCTTTGGCTTGTGGTGGAAGTACCTCCGACGCTCAACTCTACGTTGATGGCGTAGCGCCTCTAGTTTCGCGGTTGTCTGATCCATCTCTAGGCTGAGACGTTCCTCAGGACTGAGCTGCAGCTCTAGATTTATTTGATGAGAATTATCTTCTTGCTGTTGCTCCCCAGAAGATGCTGAAGTAGATGATGAGGCCCCAAGCAGAAGTGCTTGTTGTTCCTGTATAATCAAAGAAGCTCTTTCAGCAGGACTGAGGCGATGATAGTCCTCCGGAGTTTCGCCTACAGCGCCAGCAGCTTGACCAGAAGTTCCTATTACACTTCCACTTCCACTACTCCCTCCAACGCCAACGGGATCTATTGTTTTTGCACCAGTGCGCATGAGACTAGTCGCGGTGCCTTCTACTTTTGCCTTGTTTTGGTCCATGATTTTCGCGTACTGCTTGACCCGATCCCATGCCACCTGGTAATCCGAGCCCGCCACTGGTTCTGAACTGTCATCAGAGACTACTATACCGCTGAGCGCAGCACCACTTCCACCACTTGATGCTAGTCTTTGCTCTTCAGCTTTTGCTTCTTGCTGATTCTCAACAGCGATTTTGTTCTGAAGTTCTTGTTCTCCCTTGGACTCTTGAGCTTGCTCTTCCTGGTTGGTGGTTGCTGATGATTCTTCTTCGTTCAACTTGATACTGTTGTTCGACTCAGGAGCCTCAGCAGCTTGTTCTAGTACCTCCTCAGAAGTGCTCTCAGACTCAGAAGAAGACACTTCCTGGTTCATCTCTTCTTTTTGCCCCTCGTTGTTCTGTTCGTCTTCTACAGGTCGCGCTGCTCCTTCTTCACTCTCGCTGGCGTCTTCTTTTGAGGACGCGGACGCTTCCTCGATGCTTTCCCTGCTCTCACCAGACGTAGGCGAACCTTCTGCCACAGTCGTTTCCTCCGCCAATAGACTCACCTCCTTGGGACTGCTCTGTGAAGAAGATTCTACCTCTTTCATCACACTTTTCTTCACCTCATCTTCAGCAAGACCATCTGAATCTACTACTTTCTCATCTTCATCAGCCTTTTGCTCACCTTCTTCTCCCTCAGCGGCTTGCTCATTAGCAGCATGACCTTCTTCTACTTCATCACTCGCACCGCTACCAACAGCTCCCAAAGGTGCTAGCCCTAACGCGTGCCGTTCTAGATTCGCACGGACTAGAGGGTCTAAGCGGCTGTGCTGCAAGGGAGCAGGAAAACTTCCACGTTTCTCCAGTTGCTCTCGTTCTTCGTCAAATTTAGATAGAGCTAGCGTGCACCAATCCGAATTCTCTCGAGCACCTCCAATCCTTGAACTTGATCCCTTTTTCTATTTTCGATTAATAACGGAACTATGCGAGCAGTAATTGAAGAGTAGAGTGATCTTCTCAGATCATGCTCGGTTCTTATTGTAAGTATTTCTATTTGTTACTCGTTCATTACTTATTTTGTTAAGCTTACTATTTTCAGTTTTCGAGAAGAAGTACTTGAAATGTAGTGGGGCAAGGAAGACGCTGAGGATCGATGCAGTCTGCGTTGCCTTAACAGAGAAGTATTCGCTTGCGCGACTCCTAAGCTCTGACTCCTCCTCATCTGCCTCACGGTCCTTCAAGGAAGCTATCACTTCCTCTTGGTCCGGACTGTAGCTGTGCATGCTTTGTTGGTCGGCGATTGATGTGGAGGAATGTGCGGGAATGGAAGAAGTTAGAACAAATTTAGTAGTTTTAGGAAGAAGACGAGGAGGAAGAGCATCCTTTGTCGTAGTTGTTTTGCAAGTAATTGTCATACCCCATGATGGATGACGATCATCCGTGGTTGTAAAAATATCCTCTCCTACAGAACCATAGATGACGAAGTAGATGACAACATGAACTTCAACAACTATAAGTAACGAGAACGAACCCCGTCGCAAATTCAGTCGTGGACACAGCCATAACTTGGAAACCTCGTCTACTTGCTTCAATGCAGCCGGCAGATGTTCCTTTTTTAGGTTATCCATATCGCGATGTAGTTGTTCGGATTCAGCGTCAGTGCGATACTGTTTTGGGAGCTCAGCCTTTTGCGCATCCACTTTTTCGCTTTCCCCCACTTCTAGTTCCGCTCCATGCTGATCGCGTGATTTGTGATGTTTTTTGTGGTGGTGTTTCTTTTTCTTGTGGCTACTATGGTGCGCACTGCGATGTGCCTCATCTAATTGTCTGTCGTCAACGCCAGTTCCAGTTGCGTCAGATCGTATTAAGCTGCTCGATGACACTACTTGTTCTTCTTGAACATTGTGTCTCTTTTTCTGATTCAGAACTACTTCGGGGTCCTCTGATTGGGTCCTAGCTTGACCTTGATGCTTTCCTTTCATCTCAGGATAGTGTTTTTGCACTATCTCATCTACGTTGACTACTGCGCCACTCTCGTGGATCACATGTGGGTCGTTTTCCATGGCGCGATGGAGCTTGTTTTCGAGATCCCGCGTCGCCAACAAGTCTCCCTTCACCCGAGCTAGAAGACCACTACCAGTCATTCCCTTAGCTATGTTCGCAAAAGCCTCCCTATGATCAGACGGCTCTCCAGGTACTGACTTTTGAGAAGAAGAAGATTGGCCTGTTGTTCCTGTGCTGAATCTAGTTGAAGACGCAGTCAACAATGGTCCTTCATAGGCATTGCCGTTGCTGTCATCGACACTAGGAGTTCCTGCTTGTTCTCCTGTTGCCTCTTCGTTGAGCACGACTGCGTTTGCAAATCGTAGTGCAGCAGTGCTGAGGAAGAGTCTCCTCAACTTGCGACTTCTACAACTAGAATTCGCATTCGATGAGCTAGTTGTGCAACTCCATGACGAGGAGGACGATGGCGCGAGCAGTCGTGTTCTTCTTTGAAGAAGATTCGCCGTGAGGCTGCTGGAACAAGATGATTCACAAGGTGGGCTAGCACTACAAGCGGAAGGCGAAGTTAGTCCTTCCATTCGACCAGCATCCCTACCAAGGAGCACCCGCCTCCGCCTAGTTGATCGAGTGATCAACGCCGATAATGCGTGGTCGTGACAATCCATTTTGTTACTCCTCGAAGAAGAAGAAGATGAAGTCACAGCCGTGCAGCGACTCCGAAGATCTTCGAAGATTATCTCGTCGGCCTCCATTCTGTTTTTCATTCAGCATTGCATTCTTGCTCTCAACAAACCCATTATCATTTGAGTCAAATAAACTACATGTACATACTGCTATTCTATAGCGTGTTACACATGTCAGTGTCATGTCAGTGCCATCTGGATCAACAACATTTTTGAGTCAAACCTTTTTGCGCAACCTTTTACAGGGTTGTAGTGGTCTAGGGAAATATCGTGGAAGTACTATTGGGTCTCGGTTCATCTTTTCTAGCATTAGGATTAGGATTAGGATTCGATCCGCCATTCACAGTTTTACCTGCATACTCAAGCGGATATGCGCTTTTCTCTCGGAGTCTGAGTCACTCGCATAAAAGTTGCCATCTTCAATGGGGCATCTGGTTAGTATGGATGTGTGGCACCGCCGCCGTATGGATGAGGATATCGCTCCTGAGAATCCTATTTGTCAAAATGACAAATGACATATATCTTTACATCATACCAATCACGTGGTACTAACTGTGCATACTTATGGTGCATTTTTTTACTGTGGTGTAAAGTTAATGGAGGTACTGCAGTGACAAAAATCCAATTTCTCAAAAAGATGACTCAGAGCTCCACGAAACGAAAACTTAAGTTAAATGCCTATAATTCGTAATAAATAAGGATGAATTTTTAATCTGAAACAGAAAATAGGAAGCTTCAATGAACAACAACAAAAATTTTGTGTAAGAAACCGAGTACGACTACTATGGAACAAGTGGTGGATAGTGAAAATGAAGTACAAGAAACAACATCGTGAGAAAGTGAAAGAAAATACAAATACATTTTAGTTATGAAGATCAAGATGAAAGAATGCGGCGCATTCAATGCGCGACATACAGCTTACTACAAAGTGTAGATCTCATGGTTCCTTGGGAAAACGAATTGGGGTGGACATTATGATTATGAAGCCCTTGTTGTTGTTGACTGAAGATAGGGATAGCACTCATAGAAAATGTCATCTCTTGTATGGATGTTCATTCTCTTGCTTTGTTGTGAACTAGAAAGAGTATCGTTGCTTTTGCTGAACTACAACTAGGAGTCTAACAAGTCTTCTACAGGCTTAGAGAATCGTAATAGTAATTTCTGCTTGCTAGTAACCGTAACGACAGTCATTGAACTTTTGTTGATTCAGTAACAGTATCAGTAACATTATCATTAGCTGCTATTTTTGATTCTAGTTTAGCAAACTCATCACTCGTTGGACTCACTTGGCAAAATAACTACTTGTGACTTCTGTGCCAATCACGACCAGGGGTACAAAAATCTACTTATACTTTGTTCTTCTTATCGTTATATTTTTCTACCAACCCTAAAAGTAAAAAATATTAATATCTGTATATAGGAGTGCATTATGAAGACTCCTCATCTCGCTCATCCTCCTTTAGATCCTTGATATCTTGCAACAACGTCGATACCCATTCCGGCATACCGTAGGCTTGTTGCGCATATCCACCGCTCCGCTCTATGAGAAACGGCGAAGCATTCGCCCGTCCTCCTCTTGCTGCGGCCGGTGCGCCTCTTGCTGGTGAAGGTGCCGGTGGCGCGCCTCTTCCACCTGCTGCCGGTGCAGGTGCCGGACCTACTGCTGACGCTGCAGATGCAGACGCTGCAGGAACGCTCGTCGTGTCAACATTAGAGTTCACGCTACCATCGCTCCCCTCTTCCGGTCGTGTCAGTGAGACGCCATCATAGTTCGTATTGTATCCCACGTTGTACACCACATTTGGCCCACCCGATGACCCTCCTACACCAATAGGAGATGCTCCGTTTACTGACACTGGAAGCTGCGGGCCTCCGGAAGTTCCGGTAAAGCGAATCTTAGAGTGAGAAGCCGGTATTGATCTCTTCCATTGGTACTAAGTGAATGGTGGTCCTAAGGCTAGCCTTAGGACCATCATTCACTTTGTACTAGCTCCTGCTGCCCGCGTCCACCTCTACTAACTCATTTGGTGTACTACTAGAAGTGCTTTAACACGACCAGAGCAGTCATGTAGCTTACAACCTGAGTAGAGGACCCGTAGTACTTTATTAAGTAGATCGAGAGGTAGTCGTCATGGCGAGCACAGTTGTATATTTCTACGTACTTCAAGAATCTTCCAGCTGATCAAGATCAAACTCATCCGTCATCCCACCAGTCATAACACCCAACATGTCCTGGCCAATCGTGATGTTGATAGCTGGACTCGGTGCCGATCGGCCGTTCGCTGCCCTCATAATCGTTTTCAGCAGCATAGCCATGATGACCGGGTCAAAATACTTCGTGATCAGGTCCGAGCCACCGCCTCCGAGGATTAGACGAGTGGTAGAGATCAATAGCAATATCAACTATGACGGATAAGCTTAAGCAGTTGTAAGCAGGATACTTCTGTAAAAACAAGTCTAACTTATAATAGCCTTCAAGTTTCTCTACCCAAGAAAGCCATAACCCTCCGGCAATTATTTGCGGACGATTTGTGGCCGCAACCAAACCTGCAAGCGTCTTATCTAGCATCTCCCTCAGCAGCTTGATGACATCCTTCTCTTAGAACAACTAACATAAATACAGCTGCGCGAGCATCTTGATGCATCTTGGTTTCTTCCCGAAACTACATTTAGATTCTCGAGTGAAGAAGAAGATGCATCTACAATCAACAAATTGTAGTCTTAATTTTCACTCCCGGTTGCTCCCGTCGCACTGCCGGGCGACGAGGGTGGTGTCATTACCACTCCAGTGAGAGCGATCTGGGCTGCTTGCGCGAGCTTGTTTGACAGCGCAGCCATTCTGATTAGCGGTTTTTTTTTTTTTGAAATTTTTTTCAGTTCTCCTGAACACTTAGCACTTTATTCTTCAGAAAATCTAGCACAATGTACACCATCCTGCATCTTCTGTCTGAAGTGTTCAACAGCACTATATTCTTCAAGAAGTCAAAGTACTTGTGTCAGCAGAAGCAGGCAAATTGATACCACCCGAACTTCGAGGTAGGTTTTTGGTGTTCGTTTATCCCGCTTGTTATGGCTGTCCCCCTTGGGAGAGCCATAACAAACGGTAACAAAAGCACCTTTAACCTACCCTTAACTAACCTTTCAATTTCGAGGATAGGAATACTTGTGCTCGCACTACAACAACTATAGACTAAGAATCTATTACAACAACATTGACAGTTCTAAAGTTGTGATCTAAAGAATCTATTACTACGTTCTAAAGTTATCGTCAACAGCCCATAAGAGTGCTGGCGGAGCGGATCCATCCTTTGGGATAGACGCGTCTACTTGTGCGGCTTTACTCTGTGGAATTCCGAAGGACACAGACACCTTGATCATCTGAAAGCGGCCAGCTGGTGGCGTCTGCCGTAGCACCGAGCCTGATCCTACACCAAGAGCGCTTGCAGCGTTTGTTCTCGCTTTTTAGAGCTAGAAGGTAATGTTGATCCGGATTCTTCATTTCTGTGCTTCAAGTGTGAATGCATAGGTATTCCTCAAGCTTTGCTCTGTCATAATTAAGTGAAAGCTTGAGCCGGGATCATTGCGTCCTCATAATATCAGGAAAGTATCAGGAGATGAAACAAATAGAAATACATAGTGCAAAGGCCTTACCTTCCATGATTGCCCTGCTCCGTTTTCCCTGATGACAACAGCATGTTTATCATCGACTTAGCGTCGGCGCTAGCTGCAAGGCTAGCCTCATTTGCAGCCATCTTGGACGCGAGACTTGACGATGATGATGCTTTTCTATATTAGAGTCTGCTAGATTGCACCTCGGCCCCCCTTTTCTTGGGGTCCCTTTTACCTTGTATTTCATGAGAATACAAGGGAAAAGGGTACCGAGATGCCGAGAAAGATGGACACTAAATGTTGACCTTAACTATAGAGGCCACTAGATGTTCGAGATGCCGCGTTGTTGAGTAGATTCGTATCTTCTACAGAGGAGCTGCTCTTTCTTCTACCAGTGGACAGTGATAGTTCCGGATTCGTCCATATTCGCGACATAGTTCTAGCCTTTTTCCTTCTAGTAGCACTGTGGCTGTGCTGGTTCTTTGAAGATCTACGATTAGCGGCTGCAAGTTGTTTGACCGATCTAGCCCGCATATCTAAATGACTTTCCTCCTAAAAACTTGATGAAGAAGCAAAAGCAATAGATCTACTTGGATCATATGCTCATAGATCGGCCAACTTACAACCCTTAATAGTACTAGTACCACTTAATCCTCGACGATGCTGTCCACCACGACCTCTTCCTCCACGTCGGCTACCACCTCTGGATGTTTCTTGGAAATTGTGAAGATGTCTTCTACTTGTTCTGCTAGTCGTGCCTTTATTCTTATTGCCTGCTGGCAACAAATAATTGGCAACAAAATGCTTATTCGCTTTCCTCATCGCCCGACTCAGCGTCCGTCTCCTAAGGCGTTCGCCACTTGGGTCGAGCTGCTCCTCTGACGAAATTGAAGCACTTCTAGACTTGTTCTGCTCGGACACGGTAGAGGATTGCGACTGTGACTGGACGAGCTGCAAGAACGAAGTAGACTCCTCTCCCTCTCGTCCCTCTTCAGAAGGACTGGCTTCAGAGGGACTGGCGTATGTAATCTCTTCAACGGTTGTAGAAAACAGTGCATGCTCCCCTTCTTTCCCCGTTGCGTGAGGGTCCCTGATGCGATGGATGTGGATGTGTGGGATATTTTTACTTGTTGAGGAGGATGTATTAGAGCTCAGCACTCAATGGTCACTGATGCTGAACGACTGATGCTGAGCCCTCCAAAGCTCTCCCCTTTCCCTTCCTTTTCCCCTGTTCCCTAAGCAAGCGGTCGCTTCTTCGATCTCAGTGACCCCAATCTCACTGGTGACCATTGAAAGCTGAGCCTTAAATGTAGTTGTTCTACCCCTACGTAGCTCCTCCTCTAGCTCTAGTACTCCTTCCCCATCGTCATGATCATTCCTCTCCTCTTGTTCAGTTTTCTTCTCATTGTCTTCATCGTGACGCACCTCCTGCAGAAGGGTTCGCAAGACCTGCACTGGCGACGAAGCCGCTTCTGAAGTAAAGCTCCCATGATGCTGTAAAGCGGTCTTCAGACTCTCAATCTGTCTTTGGGCGTCCTCTGGAGAGGTTAGAGGAGGTTTTGATTGATTGATTGATTGACGTCCCGCCCAGTACTAGTAGTACTTCCTCGAATATTACCAGCGGGACGATACAATTCCACAAGTGCTTCTAGAATAAGATAAATTCCGAGAAGGAGTGGCTAACTGTTAAAAGGATCCTCAACCTTAACTTCGCATCTTGCTTCCCATTTTTTTCGTTGAGGAGGTTGACTAGCCCTCGAAGCAAGTTGTCCACGCTGCTCTGAGTATTCGTTGACGTCTGCGTCCCTTTGCGCTCCAGCAAAAAAGGCAAACCCGTAGTACTCGCTAGCATGCCAGTGGCGTTCCCTATTGCTCCTGAAGGAACATCTTTAGAGGGTCGTGAAGCCCTCCGGACAAGAGAATTGTATCCATATGATGTGTGCATACTTGTTTTCGTCTACAACATAAATGCATTGTTCTGGTATTCGGTAGCCTGATTTTGATCATAAGGGAAAACAAGAAGAGAATCCTTGTGATCGAATTCAGGTTACCAAAAACCGGAACCGTTCACTAAACTTCCTGTTTCTCGTCGATTGCTAATTATTAGTAGAAGCTGGAACCGAAACCGATCCATGAGCATGACATCATCTTGCATCTTTTTTTTTCTCATTGTTTGCTTTCACTCCCATAGCTGCTGAACCTGTAGGTCCCACTGTCGTGTTCGATGTCAAGTCTGCCGCTGCAAGTCCTGCCGCCCCGGCAACTGCGATATTCGGGTCGACGTCGGAAACAACGTCTAGATCCATAGTTAGAGGTGGAAGCAGTTTTTCACTATTTTGACTATGCCTAGTTGGCGTTGAATGAGTCCCCTTTTTTCCCTTCCCCCTTATAGATATAGTGTCTCTCTCCTTTAAGAAATGAAAGGAGGGGACTCGTCCACTCTGTCTCGTCTCAGGATATTAAACTGCCTAGCCTTAACATGTATTCGAGGTTACGCAACAATGCATCTTCTGATTCTCCACTTACTTGACCAAAGTAATCTACAAACCCACTGAGGACAGTTTGTCGGAACAGGGTACTGGAAACCAGATCAGCGGCTGTCATCGTAGCGTTAGGAAGGGAAACAGACAAGATCTGAGATCGCTCGACGTATGCGAGACCTGAGAATGTTCTATAATGAGGCATTTTGGAGGAAGTTTCGACGGATAGACTGACATCACATGAAAAGCAAAAAAAGAATAGAAGCTAGCTGCAATAGGATAAGTCATTTCGATCATCTTCTCCTAGGAAGTAACGTTTCCCAGAGCTAATCACTTATGAGAGCGGGGGACAAGTAAGTAGGAGGTTAAGAATCAACAAGAGTCACGATTTCCTAGTAGAAAACGGAAACAGGAGTTTTATTTGGCTTTACGTTCAGTCACAGTTGTCGTGGTGGTAGTCGTCGTGGTTGTCACGGTCGTTGTTTTTGTGGTGGTCGTTGTGGTCGTGCTCGTCGTAGTCGTGCTCGTCGTAGTCGTCACTGTTGTCGTGGTACTCGTTGTCGTGGTCGTCGTCACCTTGTCCCCACCTGCTGAACCAGGGATAATCTTCAGAAAGTAACTTCCTTTCACACTTGTTGCCAACGTTGTGCCCAAACCCTGAGTGCCACGCAGATTAGAAGAGGCTAGAAATACTTAAGTTGAGGATCTCCTGGGTCGCCTCATGAGAAGGACGGTAAAGTCTAGCTACTCCAGCATAGTGCCACTAAATCAGACATAATTATAGCGTAAAGAACTACTCTCTTTCATGAAAATGAGAATCGATGAGGATGAGGTTTGTAGGCTGCTCCAAAGCCATGATCCTGAAGAGCAACAAATCTTTAGGTACTTCTTGAAGAATATCTCCATAATAGTAGCCAATGGTGCTGAGATTGTGTCCATTTGCGTCTGCATCGTACTTTCGACCATGGTCATGGTTTCCGTTTTGTTCACCAATATCTGAGAGTCTGCGTCCCACACGGAGGTAGTTTTAGAAGTGTAATTGAATTCATTGGAGCTTGAAGAGACGACCTCGATGTCGACGGGCACGGGGAGACGCTCGCCGATAATTGATCATACACAGCACCAGCCATAGAAATTGCATCAATCGCACTCTGGGCAGCTTGGAGCCAAACTTGCGCTAAAACTTCCACTTTCGCGTTAGTATCGTCACAGGGATAGCTAGGCGCACTAGCCAATATCTGTTGCGCTTCTGTAATTGTTAAGAGGATTAGAGAGGGCTATCACGACTGGTTTTCATGGACTTGGACGAGGATGTTGGCTGCATCATATTGCTACAGTTACTATTGCGATGCTTGCTCCTATTCCAACGACAAAAAATCTTTATCTTATACAATGAAAGCACCATCATTCACGCTCTCGCTCCAACATCAACATAAACTACTCGACCCACTGGCGTGCTTGGTTATCGTGGCACCGCGTGCTGCAGTAAAATACAACGTAGTTTCCATGGAGACTACAGGCGATTGGCCTGGTGCTGCTTGCGTGAGTAATTGCTGAACTAATGCAGTAGCGGTGGCATCGGCAGCTGTTTGTAAGGTAGCAAAGTAGGGAGATCCCGCAGGATCTTTACTCCCTAAGGCTTGAGCAACGCTGGTTCCGGAGAGAGAGTTAGAGGGTCCCTCTAACTCTTCTTGAGGATGAGTTCGAAAAACTGAAGTAAGCGAGTAACAGACGAGAATAACCGAGATACTGATGAGAAGGAAGAGTAGCTTCGATGTTACGCTACGCCTCTTATTTCAGTCAGTAACTCGGATATTCTCAGTTTTCGAATAGAACTACTGTGCTTCTCATGATACATTCTTCCTTGTGAGGTGGGCTTGTGAAGATGTACTAGCTTGGTTGTCATTATTACCAAACCAAAAACCGCTTTCGCTTTCAAAAGTCAGAAAATTGCACAGAAGAGACGTCGAGGAAAAGCTTTGCTCTTCCTCTCTATGTTGAGCATGGGCATGCTACTGCTTATTAAATTTCTAAAAGAAACCATGTCCAGCAGGTCTAGCTCCATGCTCGCTATCGATAAAAGATGAGTAGTTCTCCAATTCAAATCTTCCTGTACTAATTTCTCTTTTACGACCAGTTTGTTGTTCATAAGACAAGTTACTGGAGGCGTTGGCGTTTGCGGTGAAGTTGTAAGATCTTCGGCAGACTCCCACCCTTCCTCCTCGTTTCTCGACAAGGACTTTGATGACAAGGATAATAATGATGTCGCTCCGCCGGATGGCGTTGGTCCGTTGTTTGTGCCTTGGGATTAGAATGGAGAAGTGTAATATGTGGCCTTTATTTCTGCTAAAGTAAAAACGAGGACCTGTCTCTTCTTCTCTGGATTATAGAGATTATTTCCATGTTGATGTCTTAAAAAAACGACGTTCTGCTGCTTATTCCCGCAGCATTGCTGGAGGCTAGCATAAGGGCAAATTTGAGTCCCCTGCTCACACTTGGCAGGACTGTGGTTGTGCTTGTACTCGTCGTCGACGTCGTAGTGGTTGTCGTTGTGCTCGTACTCGTCGTGGTAATAACGACGAAACTACCCTGGTCGACTTGGAATTAGATGGCGCTAGAGCCTAGAGGCCACTCACGGAGTATTGAAATTGAAAGCGTTGAGCAGACCCAACTAGAAAAAACAAAAACCGGAAAAAAATAGATCAAGCAAGTACATTATATCTTTATCTGCTGGTGTAAAAATAGTATATGAAAACCTTGATCTTCCGTTTCAAAAACCCCTCATCATAATTCGCAGTCGGGTCATGTTTTTGTACTGCACTAGAGACACTCGAAGCTAACGCTCCGGACGCTACGGATGCGGCCACCGATGCTTTCTTGGCTGCTACTTCTGCAGCTGAGTTCATTACTTGACGAACGGACGCAACCACTGGGATTTCGGCTTCTGAGCGTCCTTCTAGCAAACCCAAATCCATAGGATTTGACGGAGCAAGAGGAGGTGTTGCAGCTTCTCTGTCATGGTCGGCTGCTTCTCTGTCTTCATGGTCGACACTGGTGAGACCCGTTATGTCATCTTCGTGATGATCCTGTGCCAGTTCCTGTGAGCTGCTAGTATGAAGATCCTCTTGATCTTCTTCATGGTCGCTGCTCGTTTCGACGTCAGATGATGACTCCTGTAGTTCTTGTCCTACAATATTACTAGCGCCATCTCCATCATCATCTTCTCCGCCCTCTATAAATGCATCATCTTCTTCATTCGTTTCGACTGCAGAAGTATCTTCACTTCTAGCCGTTTTCACTTGCAAAAGCGAGAAGACTGCACCAGCACTAGAAGAAGTTGTTCTCATCCGCCTCCTTTTTGTCCTCGTCCGTATCCTACTATTATCGGAACTGGACTTCTGTTCTTCTTCTTGTACTGCTCTAGTTTGCGCCAGCTTCTGCTGTACTGCTCTAGTTTGCGCCAGCCCATGCTCACCCTGCTTCTTTGGAGCCACTTCCTTTGACAAAGACACCGAAAACATCCTTCCAGCTACATAGCCTTTGACAACAAGCTCCTTCGTCGTCGATGTAGACTTTGACGATGTTGTACTGGATGACGTGGCTGCAGCTGATGACGTTGAAGCGGACGATCTTGAAGCTGATGACGTTGAAGCGGGCAACCATGTTCTTGCTGCAGTACTTTTACCACCAGTCAATGTTAAGCTTGATGAAAAATCAGCTGCAGTAGTAGTCCTACCATAACTATGCTGACCAGCTTTTTCGATCAAAAGCGTAGAGCCTCCATTACAATCCGTGCCCATATCCACGATGATGTCACCCTTGTCAACAGCCGTTTCGCATTCCGCTAGGGTTTGGATTAGAAAGACTTACTTCGTTAATATTCTACAAGTGCAACTTCTGAGAATTGTTTCTACAACAATTTAATTATACCTTAGTTGTTATACTACAATTTAGAATTTACTTAGTTCGGCTGCAGTTTCCAACCTTCTACTAACTGAGCGTGAGCACAATTTCCTTTTAGAGAAAGCCCTCTAGTTCTACAACTGGACTCCTCCACTTCTATGTCTCTGACTGTGTGCGTTCTATTAGGAGCTCTCCTTAATGGAAAGACCTCAGTGCTCTGGCAGAAGGAGATCAAAAACGTGCGATTCGTGGCCATGGCGCATGGATCTTGCGAGGTATCCATCTGAAATCCGAGTGCGACGTTAAGCGTAGGCACAGTAGTCGTGGTCGTGGAGAGAATATGAAAGAAAAAAAAGGAATTTGTAGTACCCAAAGGCAAAGAGGTTATTGTATGTTCCTTTTTAGTGAGTACTTATGTGGTGTGTAAGAGTCAGTGGAGGTCATCTACTGAAGGTCGTGTTCAAGAAGTATATATTTTAGTGCTTCTTCTAAACCCATCTAATAAGCCTGATATTCGTTCAGAATGACAGGCACACTTTTCTGATTACAAAATTTGTGTCTATGTCAATGTCTGAGTCTGTGATGTCATAAGTTGTCGTCTCTGTGGTCGTGGACGTATCGGTGCCGGTCGTCGTCTCTGTGGTCGTGGACGTATCGGTGACGGTCGTCGTCTCTGTGGTCGTGGACGTATCGGTGATCGTCTCTGTTGTAGACGTGGTAGACGTGGTGGTAAACGTTTCGGTCGTTGTCTCCGTCATTGTACTGGTCACCGTAGTGGTCTCAGTCACGGTGCTGGTTGTGGTGGTAGTCGTGTTTGTACTCGTCATGGTGCTAGTTGTGGTTGAGGTAGCAGAGCTCGTCGTCGTTGTCGCGGTTGTGGTCAGGGTCGTAGTCGTGACCGCCTTTTAGACCTCATTACCTATAAGTATATTGACTGTTATTTATCTTCTACTTGGAAGAGGAAGTTACTCATCTTTGTTTGATCCTGAAAAGGGACACAAAGAAAGAACTTAGATGCTTCTCAAGATGAAAAAGGTCACAAAGGCAATGCCTTCTAGGTGCTCATCAAGATGAACAAAATGAGCTTTGAAGCAGAGAAAACAGTGCTGCAAAAGGACGTAATACTATACTATGTGAGTCAGAGAAGTAAAAATGAGTTAGGCGAAGGAGGGAGCCAGAGGAGCCTTAAGTTTTAGTCGATGTTTGCGTCTCTGTCATGGTCGTGGTGGTTGTAGATGACAGAGTCGTCGTCTGCGTCTCAGTGGTTGTTCCAGTCGTCATCGTTGAGGTACTTGGCAAGGATCCTGCATTAGACAGAGCTCACCCTAAGCCCTAAGAACCCCTAACTTTACCCTTTTTTTTTAAGCATCTCTCCCCCTACTTTTTCCCATTGAAGAAAAGCCTCTTTCCTTTCTCGGGTGTGCTTGCACTCTCAAGTAGGAGTAGCTTAGGAGAAGATTACTTACTTAAGAAAGTACTTAGTACTAACTTAGGAGAAGATCTGGACGAGAAGCCTTAACTGTACTTGTCATTGTTGTTGTCGTCGTCATTGTAGTGGCCGTCGAGGTCACCGTCGTCGTGGTCGTGTTTGTTCCAGTCATGGTAGTGGTAGTGGTTGATGTTGAAGTCCTGGTTACTGTTGACGTCTTGGTACTCGTGAAAGTGTTCGTTGTCGTCTCTGACTTAGACTTCTAATACACGAGCGCACAATAAATAACTCATATCGTGGTCTAGTTACTAGAACTAGACTCTAGTAACATCACCAGCATATTAATTTAATATCATTCATAGTCTCACAAAAATATTAGTAAATAATCGTGATATATTAAGCTGTACAGATTATCTGTAGTCTGTTTCATCATCAGTGCATCTCAAATGATCATGCAGGATCATCTTCGGCGAGACGAAACATTTTCTGCGACGGTACAGGACTAGCCGAGAAAGTGTAAAACCCCATGGGGTGTTGATATCGTGGTCCTCCTGAATCAATTACGTCGTGATCGTGGGCCTTTGCCATAATTGTTGTCGTCACTGTCGACGTGGTAGTCGGAGTGCCCGTCACTGTCACCGTGGTCGTAGACGTGACAGAGGTCGTGCTCGTAGCAGTCGTCGGAATGTCGACATCAAATTCGAACTCGTAAGCTGGCGATGTGGTGGTTGTGGTACTCGTTTCCTCAAGCTCAACATCGAACTCAACATTGGTAGAGGGTGACGTCGTACTAGTGGTGCTAGATACCGTCACTCGTTTTAGAAAAGCTCCTATAACTGAACTTTTTCAATGAAGCAAGTACTCGTAGTTAAGGAACAAGACTTTCCTATAGTATGAGGAGCAAGACTTTCCTATAGAAGAGGAAGACTTTCCTATTTCTTTTGGTATTTGTTTTGAATCAAATACTTATATTTATATTTGAAGGGAGTAGATTTTCGACTGATTATTAAGGACAAGAAAGCATAGCCTTGCCAGTAGCATGCTACCCAAGACCTCCACGAAGGATTTTTAAATATACATCCATTTGAGTCGGTGTCAGCATCTTGAGCTTGTTGGCCCCCCATGGAGTCATGGCGTTTCCCAATTACACTTTCGTCAAAATAAACTTGACCCAGTGCAAGATGTTCGTTGGGATAAAATAAGGTGAATTACTGGTAACTTACTTAGATGTTCTCAAGCGGCCTTAACGTTTGTGACGTCGTTGCTGTCGTACTGGTCGTCGTAGTGGACGTCGTAGTGGAAGTCGAAGTGGACGTCGTTGTAGGCCAGCTCGCTTTAAATTGCAAATCGCCTGTCATGGACCTTGTTATCGCTGTTTTAGAGCTCACGACGTCAACGTAATAGTAAAAGTAATTGCATTTTTGCAAGACCAGGTTGTCCGACAAGAAGAGTAGATGTTACACAGAGCAGTTGGAACAAGCAAGGCAAGAGATGGAGCACCATCTTGGCAGACGAGGACAGAGGTAGAGCTTGCGCAGAACGAGATGTTGACATCTTTCTTTGATGTTGTTGACATGTAAGAAATTGCATCTTGGTTCTCATCTTTCTTTCTTGGAGCTGTTTGCCAACTATACAACAGGGCAGCGGCAAGCCTCTTCATTAGCTACAACTTGCCAATACAAAGTCATGGGGACTTATAACAACAAAACTAATATCGTCTTTGAGCTAGTATAGCCTGACTTAACGGTGAGCCTTAATTGTTGTTGTTGTTGTTGTTGTTGTTGTTCGAGTGCCGGTTATGGTCCGGGTCGCTGTCGTTGTCGTCGTCATTGTCACCGTAGCCGTTGTAGTGTTTGTCGCTGTTCTTGTAGTCGTCCCTGTCGCTGTCGTCGTCATCGTGACAGTTATCGTCGTGGTTTTCGTGAACTTAGAGGAGCTCACATATCCCAGGAACAACAAAAAAATGGATGCTTCTGAGACCGTACCGAAGGAATTACTTAGGTGGAGAGTAGTCTACTAGAAGCCTTAATAAGCGTCGTCGTTAAGGTCGCTGTTGTCGTTCCTGTCGTCGTGGTCGTCAAAGACGCTGTTGTACTACTAGTACTACTGGTAGTTGTTGGAGGCTTAGTTGTACTCAACGTCGTAGACGTTTTTTCACTACTATTCGTCAGATTAGTAAAGATGACTTCGAAGTCGACAGATGTCTTGTTTGACGCACCTCCCACAGAAGTAGTACTATTGGAGGTTCTGTTCAAAATGACAGAATCATTTCTTCCATTGTTTCCACCAGTGTCATCAGTTGTACTACTATCCGTAGAGCCTGATGGCGCTGCTGGTGCAGCTGTAGATTAGCGCTAGTCTACTTTCACTGCTCTTTCACGACTCTTTCCCCTGGTTGAGTGAGATGGCCCGCGCCCCTCTTGAAGATTCCTCTTGTAAACCACGGGGACCGCCTGCCACTCAGCATACTTCACACGGCGGGATAGTCGTGGTAGAGCCACCTTAACTAGGAGAGATATAAAGAGAGATAGATCGAGGAAGACCAAACAAAGGGTTGATATAAAAAATTTTATTAAAAAACTAGCCTTAAGTCGAAGATGAGGTCGTGCTGTCGTTTCTTGTCGCATTTGACCAACCGCTATCTCTATTAGTGCTACGACGAGCAACCACTACACTTGCGCCTCCACTTGCTTCCTTGGTGGAAGTCGACTTTTGCTTCCCATGATCTTGTTCCCCTGAGGTGTTTTGGAAGTTTTTGCTTCTGCCACTACGACGAAAAGCACACAATGTTCAATGAAACTTTCGGCCAAGGAAAGCAGAACTAGATGTTGAAACATGGGATCTTCAAGGAAAAAAAATGAAAAATTCTACTACCACCAGTAGCACCGTTAACCTCATCTGCGGCTTTCCCAATTCTATTTGCGGCATTTTCTAGAGCTTTCACCAAGCTCTCCACTGACGACGGTGACGAGTGAACTGGAATATTTACCGCCTTTACTCCGCATTTATTTAGCAGAAGGAGTACCAGAGAGGCAAGAAGCGCAACTCGTGGCGGTCCTGGTCCTACTCCTCGGACTGTTCGCGGCATCTTGGCGGTCGTTGACAAAAGCCCTTAATATGTCAGGTAGCTCTGCTCCTCTTGCATTTTTCCGCTACTTCGGTCGCCGAGTCAGTTGCATTCTTCAGAACATCCTTGACCTATTTTCCCCTTGAAAAGGAGCCAAGGATGGTAGTGAGGGATGTAATTCGGAAACCCTTAACCTTAATATGTCAGGTAGAAGTGGTACCATCTCTCTTCTTATGCAACATTAACATTTTGTGAAGATCTTCCTGCTTGTGGAGAAGCTCGAGCAGAGTGCTTAGTTACATATTGTTACACGAAATGTCAAAAACAATAATGATAAGCATCTTCAGAGAAAAGCAGGAGGGCATCAACATGATTCCAATTGTTGATCTTCATCGTGGCTTGTTGCTTCTCACTTCCATCAGATATTACAGCGTCTTCTTCTTTGATATCCCGTTTGCTCTTGAAATTTGTATATTTCTTGAAGCCTTGTTTTCTTACAATCTCCATATCCACCACAACCACATTTGGTAGCTGTACTGGTAGAGTACTAGTGACAGCTGTACAAGCATTCATAGATCATACTAGGTCCTCGTTTATCTTGGCGCTTACTGCTCTTTGAGTTTGACTCTCTCAAACATTTTCATCTTCACGACTCTATCGTTGTGGAGACCGATACTTCGGCAACTTTGCAACTAATGTGTTGTCTTCAACACCTATAGGGCAAGAGCAGTGGAGCGCCTCAAACGCTCATCTAGTTCTAGTTTTTTTCTCCCGACAGATGAAACGATAAGACAGATGAAGATTAGGAGGCGTCGCAGTCCTCACTGTCGTCGCGGTCATAGCATATGCATGGTACAAATCGGAGTCTCTGAGTAGTGTCTCCTTACAACATGAACATGTATGTTTTTGAAATTGTATCACACTTTACCTAGCTGTAGCTGCTTTGGATTTTTCGATACGACTACTAGCACCATCTCCAGCAAGAGTAAGAAAAAACTTAATAAGGAAGAACTTCTATCTGTATCAATCTTAACATGTTGACCACCCTGGCGAGGAGCTGAACCCCATTTGGCTCATATCAATTTTGAAAAAATATCAAACAATATCCACGAATATCATACATAATAATCTACTTTTTGATGTTTCCATTCACAGACGAAAGTTGCGATCTCTTCTTCATCGGGTGAATGTGAGGCGGCGCGTCCTCTTTTTCTGGAGTTGGTTTGTCAATGCTCGCTTCCAGTTCCAGTGCCACCAACACCATTCGTTGTATTCGCTCTTTTTAATAGCAAGACTACAACCGACTGCGCCTCGGCGAGTGCTGTCCAAATTGGCCTTGGAGATAGTGTGAGCTGAAATTAGAAGGAAGCGCGACACGATCACCCGCGTAGTTTTATTCATTCCTTCATCCATTTACCTGTTCTGGAGGTATCTTTTGACGCCTGAGCGGCTTTGAGCTGAATTATTGCACTTCTTACGCTATAGTGAGGCCCCCTTATCTAGTACCAAGAAGTACAACGAGCGCAGCATCAACCCTGTGCTACAGCCTTCTGCCAGACCCAGCCTTTTCCCCAACATCATAAACAACTCGTGAAATGACCTAGACCTAGACCTACATCATAATAGAAGACATTGCACTTCTTACCCACATATTGTCTCCTCTCAAATCGCGTTGAAACCAGCTACGAACCTACACCTAGACCTACATTAGAATACGTGAGCCTAGACCTAGACCTACATCATAATAGAAGACGTTTCTCCTCTCAAATCGCGTTGAAACCAGCTACGAACCTGTCTCGGTGTCAATCTGGAACTCCCCAACAGCCATCCCAATTTCACTAGAGCGGCTTCTGGTGTCATATCACCTCCGGAGACCACGCTTATATTAGCGGTAGATCCATAAGTGGCCTACGACATTATAGCTCGCATATCTTCTAGCCTTTTCCCCATTGAAAAGGTCGAAGATACGATCAGGGAGAGGTCAACTTCACCAAGAACATACTATTACTAGAAGTATTAGTAATTGTATAACTATACTCTTAACTATACTCTCCAACGCTGCTCCTGTCGCATAGGACGCACTCTGTGACACCAGCGGCTCTTGTTCGTCTGGTTCTATGGGTGCTGAGCTTAAAGCAAGGACAAGCACCGACCAGCAGCAGGGGGTTTATTAATGATAATCTTATTCTTGTGATATTTGACGTGTACAACTAGTACGTACTTAGGTAAACGTACAAGAGAAAAAGAACCATACTAGATACAGCTAGTAGGTAAACGAAATAGATCCAGCTTAGCTGTAAATAGTTACTCCTGGTAAAGACGTGGTCGTGCGTATTCCTCCTGGTGGATAGAGGAGTCATCCTGGTGAAGATAGTGAGAGTCTTAAAGCTAATCCCTTTGACGGCGCCTGCGTTCGGAGGCACTGCGAGACGTTTACGACAACGCAGCCACGATCAATTGCCTCGCTTGTTAGAGCTCCTCCTCCTGACACAATAGCTCCTCCATGACCTTATTAAAAACAAGATAGTGCGGACGATATAGATACTTTTCATCATCATTGCCACTTAAAAGGTTCTTGCCATCAACAACCACAACTACATCAAGCCTTAATTTGAGAGAGTCTAAAAAGTATCCCTGGTCACTCGGCGCATTCCCTTCGCCAAATGTCTGTAGGACAAGACCGCGTAAACCCATTAAGGTCTCGCGGGTTGTGGTAAATATACCCGGAAAAAAATGAAAAAGAAGTGGAGTGGGTGCGAAAGTTATGATTTGTCCTCTGTCATAGTGGAAGTAGTGGTCAACTACGGTTTTGGGATTACTTTTACTTAGTTGGTTTTAAATTGGACAATTTTGTTAGCAGGAAGAAAGCTGCGCTGTCACTATTTTTTTCAGATATTTCCAGTTATTTCACTCACATCGAAACAGTATAAGCAATAGAGATCTTCTATTCTAATAATTACGGAGCCTAGTACTAGTTCGTCATCATCATCATTGCGTCTCAGGTGATCATGTCGAATCACCGGCAAGACGAGGTCAACTCGCAACGATTGCGTCTTCTCCTGTCAACATAAAAAATGCGAATTATCGATATCCGGTGTTCAAAATGTGCCAATAAACGCATTGAAAACGACGTTGAGGGAGACGAAGAGAACGGCGAAGTCCTTGGTGGAGGGCCAGTGATGGCACGTGATCGTATGCATGAAGACAAAGCATTGTTTTTTTGTGTTGTGTTTTTTTTTGTATACCTGAAGTTAATGGAGATGGGTACTAAACAATGTTGGTGCTGGTCGCGGTGATCGTATTAATGAAGACCTCTTGCCTGTATTTGTTCCACTTGCTTGTTATCATGATCTTCATGGACTTCTAGGGACCCTAAGACGAGCCTCAGCCTTTGCCTTACTCCTGATTGATTCCGCGGAGAGCCTCGTATTCCTTTGGAAAACCGATAATGTATGCCAGCAATGCAAAGTGGTGGACGATTCTTAGAAGAGGTCTTGTCTCTAAGTCTCTTTCTCAGGAAAGCAGTGTTAGAGGTTGAGACAATTCAACTCCGGGAGTTGTAGGACCTTCAAACGGTTGCAAGTTGTACAAGTTTGTAGAATGTGGTCGGAGGACTGTGGTCGTCATGATGAAATTCGGACTATCTTCAAAATCTAAATCTTCAAACGGTTGCAACCAAGTTGTATAAGTAGTTTGTAGATCAAGAATGTGCTCATAAAATTCGGACTGTCGAACGCGTGCAAGTTTGTCGAGTCGATTTTGGTGACACGACAACCACGATACAGCTTCGAATCGAAGTAGAGGGTCACTTCCGGTATCTCGGAGAAAGCCGCCAATTGAAGTGCACCACATAAATTCGAGCCTTAGACCGTTTTGGACTAGGATAGGATAGGATAGGTTAGGATAGGTTAGGATAGGTTAGGATAGGTTTGGATAGGTTAGGATAGGTTAGGATAGGTTAGGATAGGTTAGGATAGGTTAGGATAGGTTAGGATAGGTTAGGATAGGTTAGGATAGGTTAGGATAGGTTAGGATAGGTTAGGATAGGTTAGGATAGGTTAGGATAGGTTAGGATAGGTTAGGATAGGTTAGGATAGGTTAGGATAGGTTAGGATAGGTTAGGATAGGTTAGGATAGGTTAGGATAGGTTAGGATAGGTTAGGATAGGTTAGGATAGGTTAGGATAGGTTAGGATAGGTTAGGATAGGTTAGGATAGGTTAGGATAGGTTAGGATAGGTTAGGATAGGTTAGGATAGGTTAGGATAGGTTAGGATAGGTTAGGATAGGTTAGGATAGGTTAGGATAGGTTAGGATAGGTTAGGATAGGTTAGGATAGGTTAGGATAGGTTAGGATAGGTTAGGATAGGTTAGGATAGGTTAGGATAGGTTAGGATAGGTTAGGATAGGTTAGGATAGGTTAGGATAGGTTAGGATAGGTTAGGATAGGTTAGGATAGGTTAGGATAGGTTAGGATAGGTTAGGATAGGTTAGGATAGGTTAGGATAGGTTAGGATAGGTTAGGATAGGTTAGGATAGGTTAGGATAGGTTAGGATAGGTTAGGATAGGTTAGGATAGGTTAGGATAGGTTAGGATAGGTTAGGATAGGTTAGGATAGGTTAGGATAGGTTAGGATAGGTTAGGATAGGTTAGGATAGGTTAGGATAGGTTAGGATAGGTTAGGATAGGTTAGGATAGGTTAGGATAGGTTAGGATAGGTTAGGATAGGTTAGGATAGGTTAGGATAGGGCGCCTTTGCTAAGTCTACACGCGAGGTGCCGACAAGTCGCGGCGTTCCACTTGTAGTTACACTTTCACAGTTCAGGAATTGGAAAGTAAGAGGTGTAACTCTAAAGGTTTGTTATTGTTTCTTATACTTGTACTTGGTTCTTTCCATATTCGATCTAGAAAAATGAAACTGCATGGCAGCTACGGGCTCCTTCTCTTCCTATGTTATTTTTTCACGATTTCTCCCACTTCTGGTCGTCAGTCTGAAAAAATGAAATAACCACAAGCACAAACACTAAACAGCAGCACAAGCACATCTACGTCTCCTACCCACCACCACCATAAAGAGTTTAGAACTAGATGAAGTGTTGAGCTCAGTTGATGACATCTGACGACCAGCCATAAATCAATCCATCATTCCTGAGTTGCTCCATAGGGATTTGGCTACCTGTGAAAACCACAGGCTTGGAAAGATTTTCGAAGAAGAAGGAGAGCGCACTAGCAGAGTAAGCCATTGTGTCCGTTCCGTGGACGATGCGGCAATTAGATGCACCACTTTGACCACCCGAAGCACCTTGGCATGGTGATGGACGATGCTGGCGAAACTATTTCTGGTGCAAGAATGTATGTTAAACAAGTTGTTCCAAAGACCCTTGAGCATCACCAGAAGATGAAAATGAAAGTCAATTCCTTCCTCATCTTGAGAATGAGAAGGTCACCGCCCCCGTTGGCCACCTTCCCTATTCTTCTAGTTCCACATAAGATTAGATACTCAACTCAAATACCATCCTCGCCATAAAGAATCCATCAAAGTTATCGTAATTTCTTGCAACATCTTTCGCCATTCTTAGCCAGTCGTGGTGTGTCATGTTCGAACTATCCAATAGTTTTGGATACTCTACAATCGTCACCTGCATCCGTGCGCCAACTAAAACTTCTGGCGACACAAGATGCGTCACTAGATCTTGAGACGTTCTTTCGTGATGTTGATGCTCTGGATGTTCTACTTGTTCCGGACCAGTGTAGGTTCGCTTCCTGATTAGACTAGACAAAGGCAAAGCAAGATAGCAAATTTTCAGTCACTGTAGTGGTGAAAATCCATTCCTCTACTTGAACTCGCCGTCCACTCTGCTGGCTTACTCTTGTTCTATCAAATCTACAATAATATATGCCACAAGTCTCCACTTCATCTTCAGTAGGAGACAAGAGAAAGCCGGGTCCTCTACTCCATGTTGCAATGCCATCTATCCTATCCTTAATTACCTCTTTTTTTCCCAACATCAACAAGAACAACATGATCATATCACTTAATACTACAAACTCTACTTAATACAGACTCCTCTTACTACAAACTCCTCCGTCTCGCACTCCGGATCATTCAGCATTGGAAGACGCTTCAGCATCGCTGGAAAATAATGCGCCACGGGATGGTTAACGCCGGTGTCTGCATCCTTGCGCATGCCAATAGTCCCTCCAGTGTAGAGACACAACACGGATCTTGAAGAAGTAGGTGAAAGGCGTGTCCTCCTGCTCGTGCTAGATGAAGCAGGGATTATGAAGCGAAGAAGTGCACTCACACTCAAGAAATTGGCTAGGATTTAAGTAGGAAAATAGCCACTTTTTTTGAGTGTGAGGGCACTTTTTTCTTTCATAGGGATTGTTGTACTAGTACTAGCATTGCTTGTATTAGTGTTGCTTGATGTCGTGGAAGTCGAAGACGCTGAAGTGGCAGAAGGGAGGACTGTTCTTGGAGCAGAAGAAGAAGAAGAAGAAGAAGCTGCTGCTGTAGCATGATCGAGGATTGTTGTTGCTCCACCACCGAAACTGGACACAACATGTATTTAGACTTAATAAATAGCGAACTCCTGAGGACCAAAAATTTTTATGTAAACGAGGAAAATGTCCAGGTTGTGTTTGATAGATTAATCTACTTTGGCCTTGAGGAGCATTCCATCTTCATGATCACTCCTTTGTCTTTGATAGATGATCCGACTTGTAACGAACAAGTGTAGGAGACGAGCAAGCGCATCGATATTACTCCATGATCCAGTTGATGCGTCACATCCAGATACTTATAATGCAACAATGCGATCAAGATGACCACGCTTCAAATTAGATTTTTTTTCAGCTTCTTAGATTCTTCGCCTTAATCCCGTGGACCTGCTGCATGTGGTGCTGAAGAGCGTGACATCTTACCCTGTGTAACCCTAGCTCTGGGACTGGGTCTGGCTGCTCCTGCCACTATGATAGTTAGAGGTTGAAACAATTCATTTCTTGCCTCCATTTCTCCCAATCCTAACAAGAAGGGAATAGGGGAAAATGACTTGTAAAAATGAAATGTTTCAACCCTTAAGATAGTAGTAGTAGTAGAAGTAGTAGTATACCCATTCGAGAGGTAAAAAAGGTGTTTATTTAATTGTTGCACTACTTGCTTTAGTGGTTCTCTACTTTTGTCTTCTCCTCCTTCTCTTTCACTTTTTGGTTCCCGATTAGGATCACCGGCGTCTTCTATTCTTGGGTGGTTCTGATGCTCCGGATGAACCTCACGGATCCTAGATCATAGACTTTTATTGATCCTTGAGAATTCTGAATTTGATAAGGTAGAAGTAGACTACGACACTACGACAAGAATAGGAATAGGATTCGTCTCTCGTGAAATTTTCGCTCACAGACATCAGAGCTCATCTTCTGAAATAAGATTCTAATATAATAACTATATTTGTACATCGTGACCAAATGCCCTCGTCTGTTAATACGCAACTGCTTCGCGCGATTCCGAAATAAAAGCGTTGTAACATCACCTGGCGTCAATGCTGCATCACAAGACTGTGCTTCCACTGGTCGATTGTGCTACCAGCATAATGTTCACGTTCAGAATCAGAATCTTCAGAATCAGATGAAATTTAAACCAATGAATAGTTAGAAGCGGTAGAGGACACTCATCTTCTTCATCTTGGAATCATTTCATTCAATTTTTTCACTCATCACGGGTATGGTGCATTTCCCTACATTTGGCTCTAGTCCTCGTCTACATGGAGTCCCGCTTTCCTTCATATTCATTCTAAATAAATATGTGGGTAAGAAAATCGCCATCATGGAATCACTTGCTCGTACTCCTTATAGGAGTCGTGACACTCCTTCTCACACTCCTTACTAGAATTCTATGGACCTGTGACACTGTGTGTTTTTATAGATACCTGAAGAAATCGTAATCGAACTTCTTATTTTTCTCGCATTGTACAACCCGCCAGAGGTAGCCTTGTCTTGTCTTTGTATCTTCGCGCCTTGTCTTTCTATTTGTACACGACAAGTTAAGAAAAATGATAGCATTAATGATGATCTTCGACTTCGTTCTGAAGCTTTGAAGAGCATGAAGAGCTTGATGGTTCTCTTTTTTTTTCGTTGTCGTACACTACAATTCTAGGGAGAGGACAGTGTTGCACATCAGTAGAACTTTTGAATTTCACAACAAGAATATTTGAGGTGTCATACTCATAAACAGAAAAATTGTAATTCTAGTCGTCTGATAAGTAAACAAGAATTTTTGAGTTTCACAAACAGAAAAAATCTAATCCTAATCGTTTGATGGGTGAAAAATGATTTTTCAGTTTCCTAAACAGAAAGATTGTAGTCGTCTAATGTTGACTGCCATCGATTTAGATTTAGCGGTTTCTGTTTCATGTATGCAGGAAAGACATTTACATGCAAAACGTCGTTTCTTGGCAGAGAAGAGTACTTCTACGCGCCGTGGGTTGTTGCTCGACGAGGAGAAGATCGCTCTTAACTAAAAAACGCTTCGACTTCCTGCTTGGTGCTTCTACTGAGTAATTGGTTCTTCAACTTACATTCTCTCCTGAAAAATTCGTCTCACTATCCGCATCCGCTCCTTTTTTTCGTGGAAATATTTGGAGTTGTACAGGGCCCACTACAAGGAGAAGGACGGGATTCGACTCGACACGCTGTGAATATTCGATGGTGCCATATGAATATTCCTAGGATTTCTCAATATCAAAACTATAGCTTCCGCATACAATCCCAAAACTACATCTTCTTCTCTTGAAAAATTATTTGACCTCCTGCTGAATATATTGCCAATCTAGTATCTTCATGTGACTAGTCCATTTGTTCATCATCTCATGTATCTTCATTTTTACTCCCTATTGGAGTAACAATAAGAACATCACAACTACGACCACAAACCGAAGCCTGCTAAGCCTAAACCTGCTAACCCAACACCGAAGGCCCTACCCTGACTAGGACCCCCTCCAACTACCTGACTAGCACCGCCTCCAACCTGACTGGGACCCTCTTCAGCCTGACTAGCACCCCTCCAACCTGACTAGGACCCCCTTCAGCCTGACTAGGTCCCCTCGAACCTGACTAGGACCCCCTTCAGCCTGACTAGCACCCCTCCAACCTCACTAGGACCCCCTTCAGCCTGACTAGGTCCCCTCGAACCTGACTAGGACCCCCTTCAGCCTGACTAGGTCCCCTCTAACCTGACTATCACCTTCGACATAACCTAGCGAATACCACCCTTGACACAGCCCGACAATCATCACCTAATGAATACAACCACCCCTTCTTTCAGTCTGATTTTTCTCCTTCGCTAGTCCACCTCTAAGTCCAACCCTTGATTTCCACTATCACTGATACCGACTGCACAGTGAAGTTGTCACTGATCACTGATACGTAGTCCAGCCCGACCATCAGTGATACCCATTGGGCAATGAAGTTGTCACTGATCACTGAAACGTAGCTGCCCAAACCGATTATCACTGACTCAGTCATACCCTAAGTCCAAGGCGACTATCAGATGTGCTTTGTTGTCCGACTACGGCTCTCCATACTCGCTACTGCTCTATCGTCGTCCACCTTCCTCGTGCCCTGCACCTTTCTACCCTATCAGCGATAGTCCACCTTCCTACCCTATCAGCGATAGTCCACCTTCCTACCCTCCACACCTTCCTACCCCATCAGCGATACTAGTTCACCCCTTCACCTTCCTCCTACCCTCCCTACTTCGGTGATAGTCCACCTACCTACCTTCCACCTCCCTAGCGCTAGTCACCTACCTACCTTCCACCCGTCCACCTCCCCTCACCTCCCTAGTCCCCCATCCACCTCCCTTCACCTCCCTCCATCTTACTCCACCCCTCCACCATCCTCCTCGATTTATCCTCTTATCGATCCACCGGAGGCTTCTATTAGAGCACGGAACGGAGATGATAGGACTAAAAAGTAATCGTCACTATGACTATGTCATAGCAATAGTCTGCTGAGATTTATTAATGTTAAAAAGCAAAAATAGTGCCCTCCACTATGTCTATGTTAACATCTCCAGTATGCTTGTTCTCGCTGTTCTCGTTTCGCTTTTGACAACAACTACGCCTCGTAGTTTGTCTTTGTGGTCAATGAATCTCATCTAGACGTACTAGTAAGACCATCACAAACAGGGACCACTAGTAATAAATCTTCAACTCGGAGTTAGTGAGCGTGACCGAAATCGAGCTAACTACCTAGGACAGGGAGGAAGAAACTAAAACTCTTCCACTTACTACATGGAAGTTGGAGAGCTTTGTTGTACAAAGAAGCTGATCTCCAACTCCTATGTGAAGTGTGAAGAAGATACTGTCATATTTATGAGATCATGAGACACGGTAACCCAATCCGGCACAAAAGCCTCAAAAAAGCCTGAGTCCATTTCTAGTGCTACGTCTCTCTCTAACATGTCCTCAAAAAAGCCTGAGTCCATTTCTAGTGCTACGTCTCTCTCTAACATGTCCTCAAAAAAGCCTGAGTCCATTTCTAGTGCTACATCTTTCTCCTCACCATCTACATCTACTACATCGTCTCTCTCTAACATGTACATCTCCATATCTCCTCACAATCTACATCTACTACATCTCCATTTCCAGTCCTCAGGAGGACCAGCACTTGCGGTAACTCATCTCCTGTTAGTTCTATAAACCACTACGTCCACATGCTCTAGTACTATGTGGACGTAGTAGTTTATGATGTGGACGTTAATCCTTAATAGTAATACTAATACTTCTAGTACGTTTATGTACTTCATTCACATGTTTTATTTACTAACGACTTTTAGCTGGTGCCGTAAGTGTTTTTGATTCCGTGCCCGTGACCCAACATGAGCCTCGCACAGTCCTGGGTGAAATGCCACACCGCTGTCATTGTTTAGAGGCCTTCTGCTTTTCAATTCATCTCCAACTACGTCTTCCCTGTAGTTCTTGGGTATTTTTAGTGTCTACTTTGTCATGTCGTGGCGCCTCTTCTCCTGTGTAGCTCCTATCAACGTGTACTTTTGAGCAGGCCAAGTTGTGCATAATTATTATAAGCGATTGAATTATACATATTTATAGATACTACACGTGGGCATGCACATGAATCACGAGCCCTCAACACAAGATTAATGAATACACAAGATGACCATGAAGACGCAGTGCAGTCGCTTTCCCGAATGCATGCCTCTTGAGTTTCACTCTAGACTCTCAGTGTAGCTTCTTTCTTCATAGAGCAAATCAGTGGCATGCATGGGGCGGCGTTTGAGTCTTCCATAGTAGGACTTCTTTCATAGAAGAGCAGATGGATTAACTTTATCAGAAGCATCCCTTGGGATCGATAATTAGGGGAATAACTACAAGCCTTAATTTGCTATCGGAGGGTCTTTACCCTTTGGATACTGTGTGACACTGAGCCCTTGTATCACCTCCTCGGGGAGAGACGAGTCCTGGTTGTGTGTACCTTCTGCAGCGTTTTCTGGCGTAACACCAAGTAAGCAATTTGTCGACAAGAAGGGAAGCTTAGAAAAAGGGCACTAGGTGGTAACCTTGCGTTAGGTTAGGTTATTAAGTCGGTCAACATGGAAAACAAAATAGGAAAATAAGAGGTTCTTAAGTTAACCGACATTATCATATCCTGCACAAGATAGGTTAGGTTAGGTTCTGAAGTTATTTTATGAACGGGCAAGTGGCGCTATTATTTCATTAGGGGTACTAAGGGTAGAACAAGGGGGGGTAAACAGGGAGATAGATCATGAAGTACAACTAGAGAAATACGGGGTGAAAACTACTGCTAAAGAAAGGAATGGGCGATGGATAGATAGATGGATCGACGGAAGCGGTGAAATTGAAAAGAGTTGTCGACTAGTACTAGCTATGATTATAATATTTTGGTCGCTGCTAACTTGGTTTTACTTTTATATTTTGAGATGAAAAACTGAAGAAATCTCAACTGACGTCCTGTCATAAGAATGCCCATTTCGCGAAATCCAGGAGTTCTCCCAAGAAGCTTCATTTTGTTCTCTTTATCACCGCCCTCGCCTGCGTTGCTTAGAGTATCTTCTATCTTCTATTGTTATATCCGATGTAGAAAGATTCTTAGAGTATCTTCTAATGTCATACTCCGTATTTACGAATACAAAAAGAGCAAGAGGAGCGAGCAGTTGTAGTTCCTGTCGTGATCATGTTAAAATTTTTAAGTAGGAAAAAATTGTAAATCTGTATATTAAGAATTAAGTGAGTCCAAGTCGTGTTCATCTCCAGTTACTGTAAATCCCGTCCACAGGTCGCGACCTCGACCGTCAGCGCGTTTTTCTAAGTCTAAAGGAGCCTTAACCACTTCGCAATTTTCCATCTAGCTTTCTGGTCGTGAGCGCGGAAGCCCTTGTCGTTTATAAAATCTCCGTACACGTCGTAGAAGGGATCCATACCAAACCAAGGCTTTTCCAGGGCCTCTTTGTATCCATGTTTTGGGTGATCGAAGTAACGGATGATCCTGGTCTTAGAAGAAGAAACATGTGTGCGTGTGTCTATGTGCCGTGTGTGTGTATGTATGTAGGTACTTATGTAGGTATGCGCGTGTGTATGTGTGTATATATGTTGGGCCGGAACTGGGAGGGTACGGCACCAGAAGGGGTAGGAATATAAAGAACCCGACAAAAAACGTAGGGACTCCGACGAAAAAGGTACAAACAAAGGGAGGCCAAAAGGCATAAGCCTACAAAAATAAATAAGAACCAAAAAAGCCGAAGAATTGCCAGAAAAGGTAGAACCTGAAGCCACGCAAGAGGAGACAAGAAAGCCCAGAAGACAGCCGCAGAAGCGAACACAGCAACGAACAGGCAGCAACCCACGAGAGAAAGAGAGAAGCACCAAGAACCACGCCAAGCCACCCGAGGGCGCCATCGGTGACGGGGCAATGACAATCCCACACGACGACACACCCAAAACCAATCCCGGCATCCCCAAGCGGGACCAGATGAGAACCGACGGGGACAGACGACGCTAACGACAGCGCGTGCGCCCAGAGCTTCGGGGTGCCACACACGCGACACACGAAGCCGCCGCACAACATCCTCGGGGAACAAGCTTCCACCACACGACGCCCGAAGGCTTTCGAAGGCCGCCGCAAAAGGCTGACGCACTTCAAAACAAAGCAGCCCGCGGAGCGAAAAAAAAGCGCAAAACCGGCGGGGGGCGGGGGGATCGCAAAAAGGAGAAGCACGCCGCGAAGCTCCTACTGCCTGGCAGCCGCCCGCGCGCCTCCATCTGGCGGGCCCAGGCACTGCGGCGACAGCAGGAGAGCAAAGGGAAACGAAAGGCGCAACAAGATGCGCCAAGCCTCAAGGACCGGCCGCGGCTTGGTGGCAATCCTGCCAAGACACTGCGCGGCCAAGCGAGCGCGGCTCCCCACCAGGTCCGGGCGCGCATAGCGCGGGGCGCTGCGCTGGCAGTGGAGTGCGGGGAGCAGCCTACAAGAAGCGCCAAGGCCAGGCCCCCTATTTTCCGGGCTCCTTCTGATACGGCAGCCCCAGCCTCTCTCGGGACCATGTTGGCCGCAGTATTTCCATTGGCCAAACCAGAATAAAAAGGGACCGACCCCGCCGGAAAACAAAGGCCCGGGACTCTTGCGGCTCCGGTCCGCTCAAAGGGGGAAAAACACCGGGACGCTTATAATACAGGGGGCCCAGTTTTTCCGGTCCATGCGTGTATGTTTGTCGGCACATACGCAAGTGTGTATGTATGTACCGCCCCCCCCCACGTGCCCCCGGTGTGTACACGCTGGGGCAAGGCGGCAGGGTCTTGCAAGCCTTTCACACTACAGTAGAGGACTACGGCCTGCGGACTTTTTACCGATTACGTGAGGGGAAACAGACTGCGAATTTAATGCAGGGGCCACATGCTGCACCTGCATGATACACACGAGAGAGAGACACCCCCTGGGCGCATCTACTTGCCGCCAGTTCTAGACCGCTGCCCTCCCAAGGAGGCACGCCGCTGCCCCCATCGCGGAGGCGCATGAAAAATCACCAGCGTGCTTTTTTTACAACACGCGCGCCCCGCCTAGGGACGAGTATCCGCATCCCGCAAGCATGCAGGGTCTAGGGGTCTCTAAATCGCGGCGCTATCACTAGACGCCTCTCAAGTGAAGTAGATGAAAGAGCAGCACGTCAGCCAATCAACCAGGTTGCCTCCGCAAGGCACCGACCTCCCCGCAGCTGCGACTGCCGCGGCTTCTAATTCTATACTTCTGGCCAGTATATACAACATGTGGAAGCCCCAGATGGAAGTTGGAGTAGGTCTCAAAAAACCAAGTAACGAGTCTCGGCCACAATCTTGATCTTCCAAGAAGTACAACAAAGCTACTCGATAAGCTGAAATAAGCGAGAAACTGATGAGAGCAACCGAGATACTGAAGGGGGAGTCACCTTTAAAAGCTACGTCCCCTCTGCCAGTCAGTAACTCGCTTACGTCCAGCCTTCGATTACACTACGCATACACTGTTAGGTCCAACCCCTTGTCTTAACCTGAGCTCCAACCTCTTGCACTAGCACGTTCGACACTGCTGTGTAAAGCAGCGGCATCCTCTTCTTTTTGCGCTCTATTTTGATCGCCTCCTCGCCTTTGATGTCCTCCGCTATGTCCTTCGTTAGAACCTAACAGGAACGAATCAGGCGGAGGTAAGGTTAATACTGTTAATTATATTCGATAAAGAGCTAGTCCTTCTAAAATAAGCTTTCAGAGAGGGTTAAAGAACTAATAAAATACCTCTAAAAAAGAATCAGCGGAGACAGTGCTTGATTGTGTGACCTCCTAACCGCACAACACCTATCAGAAAGACTTATACCGGCTGCATCCGCGGCAACATGGCATGAGGATGAGTCTCACATAGGCGCGCGCGTACTATAACTGTAGCGGAGACTAGTCAGTATGTATATTCCTAAACAAAGCCGCATCCGTTTCCGTCGTTCCCGTAGAGATACTAAGTCTTAAGGCTAAAAAGTAATGACTATGTATACGAAAAACCAATAAAAAAAGCAACAAGTACCTAACACTAAGTGCTCAAAATAGACGGACGAGATTGATAGTGAGGCGCTGCTTCATGTCTAACCCTCCCTTGCCAAGAAGTCTGAGACAAAGCTGACACAGAGCAGCGGCGACTTCTTCTCCTGCTGCAAGATAATTGGTGAAGATAATTGATGGCAAGGCTATTGCTGCAAGATAAAAATTGAAGACAGCCCTGCCAAGTGAAGAAAAACTGTACGTGTTGCCTTTCTAATATCATATCGAGAGGCCGCGTGGACGTGGGGAAGCACTATCACTGTACCCAGGACCTTCTTCAGATAAACATATGCACCAGGGGAGGAGGCCCCCCTGTGGATGGATCTGTGGTGGGTGCAGCACCGTGGTGGAAGAACGACGAGAGCAGAACGAGCCAGCGACGAGAGAAGAACGAGGGACGAGAGGAGAACGAGGAGAGCAGAACGAAGAACGAGAGAACAACGGAGAACCGAACGAGAGCAGACGAAGGACGAGAGCAGACGAAGGACGAGAGCAGAACGAGGGACGAGAGCAGAACGAAAGACGAGAGCAGAACGAGGGACGAGAGCAGAGCGGAAGACGAGAGCAGAACGGGGGACGAGAGCAGAACGAGGGACGAGAGCAGAGCGAGCGACGAGGAGCGCTCACCCGTGGCGCGGTGGCCTCTCTCTCTCTCTCTCTCTGGCGGATCACAGTGGGGGAAGATGATCGCAGTGCTTCGCCCACTATGCTGAGAACCGAACACAACAAGCCCGAGGCCCCCCCCCGCGACACTGAAATGTCAGAGACGCAACACACCGCCAAGAGCTCGGGGTCCACGCCCTAAAACCGGGCCAGAGATCGATGGGGAAAGAGAGCGGCAGAGAGAGCCCGCCGAAAGACGGGAGGCGCCCCCAGCCCAGACCTGCAGGGTACACGCAACACGCCAAAGGGGTCCAGCCTTGCCACCTTTTGCACCTTTGCCAGGTCTGTGGGGTAATTGCAACACGCCAAGGGGCTCCAGCCTTGCCGCCTCCGCCAGGTCTGTCGGGTACATGTACCCGGCCGGCCTGCGTAAGGGGGTCACCTCACGCCTTGCCACCTTTGCCACATTCAGAAGCCTTCCGCGTCCGCCCTTTAGTGCTTCAACGGCCTCCGGCAGGGTGGCGCTTTAGAGTCCAAGCAAGAAGCGGGAAGGGGTCAGAGGTGGGCGCTTCGAGGCCTTGCCGCCTGGCAGCCCCTCGAAAAAAGGGCCCGGGGCTGAAGGCCCCCCCTCAAAAAGTTAGATCGGGGGGGCCTTCAGCCCTGAGCCCTGGAACATATATAGATCGAGTGGATCGCTGTTGAGTAAACAGCCATACTATCGAAAAGGTTAACTGCAAGCAGTCTAGGGCTTATGTTTAGGATCGAGTGCAGAAATACTTATATCCACAAGAGGACTGATAAGAACTGTCAATATCTTACAAGATGAGCACTGATAACTCTTGGCTTCAGATATTACGTACTGTTGGAATAAAAGTATATACCTGTTATCACCAGAAATAATATGAACAATAACTACACCAGTGTAGATAGTTAAGTGGTGAACTTCGGTTAAAAGCCTTAACACTGGAGCTGTCGCGGCCATCATCAGCGAGGGAGAGGCGAGAGGAAGGCCAATCACAACCCATGCTTAGAGGATGCCCGCAGATAATTGATGAAGTGAAACGACCCGCAGCACGTCTACAAGGTTGTGCTTGGGGGATGGTGCAGGTTTCAGAAAGAAGCGATCTATACAGCTGCTGTGCTAACTACCCTGTACTAACTTGTTGAAGTAAGTGCTGTAGGTCGAGCACGATATTTCGCGTGAAGTTATAACCTTTCTACAGCTAGTACTACCACTAACCCTTTACTTGAAGTAAGTGTTGTAAGGAATAAAAAAAGAAAGAGGGTTCCGTCAGGGGGTTTTTTGAAGTAAGCCCTTGTTAATAAGGAGTTATCATCTGGTATGCATGATAACAAGTAGTAGACCCCTTCACCCAGTGGTTTAAGAGACACGTGCTTACGTCTCTCGTTGCCGAAACGAGAAAACTTTTCCCTCACACTCGTGCTCGTCATCGAAGGGAAGCGGGCGTTTAAAACGCAAAGCAAGAGACTCTAATTTAGTTTTAACTTATTTATTTAATAGTAAATAGATGCTAGCTCTACAACTATTAATCCTGTACTTGAAGGTTTCGTTAAAAGAGTTTCGGTCTCCTATTTTTAAAAGAACAACTTCTCTCGGTTCGGCGACGAGTCATGACATAACATTCTACCCGCGGTGGCAGAGACATTTTCGGAATGCTCAGTTTTTTCTCGTCCACTTCGTAGGCGAGACGGGGTAGCTGGAGATCAGAGTACCACTCGTCCAAGAAGGACATTAGACGGAAACTTCAGATGACCCACATAGTACCTTAAATAGTCGTGCTATAGTAGTTATATCTTCCTCCACGTGGCTGCTGGCTGAGCTTTATCATGATGAATCATGACGATGATGATGATGATGATGATGATGATGATGATGATGAGATACTTTCAATTTCATCTTACGCAGTAATTATCAATCATTAAATAATATAGGATGAGTTAGAGTTTTTAGATTGTTGTACCTCTTACTAGACGGCAGGCGATTAGTTTTACTTATCGGTTAGGTCAACTACTACATTGTTCCTTAAATCTATGACGAGCTAATAAATTCTAGTCGGTTAATTAGTCAGTTTGTCTTTGTTATAGTTTAGTTACTTACTTAGTCGGCCTTATCAATTTGTTTACTCGCTACAACTTCTCTCTGTGATGAGGTAGCCGACTCACTAGAAATCAATGGAAACTAAAAAGAAGGAAGTAAATGAGTGTCGTTCCATCCATCATGATCCACTACTTGTACTTTCGACTGCTAGAAGTAGTACAAGTAAGGGAGAAGTTCTTGATGAACTTGAAAAGTACAAGTAGATGCAACTTTTCTAAAAATAAGAAGAGCCTTCCTAGAAGAGCAACACTGGTTATGTAACAAAAAACCGCTCTCATTGATTCTCGTATTAGGGAAAATCTTCGAAATTACTAGTAGACGACTAGCGACTGAAAGAAAGCGGCTATCTAGCTAACTACAGGGGCCTAAGCCCGCGTCTCTCCTTCTCCCGCCTCACGAGTGGGTCGGCCCTCTCCCCAGACCAACCAACCAGCATACCCACCCAAGCCGCCCCGCCTCACCACTTCCCCAGCAGCTTCCGGCGATGTGACTCTTCAGCGGATAGGCCCTCTGTCCTCTTTGGTTGTGGCCAGAACACAAGCAGAAAACTGACGAAACTGCTCAGCAAGCGTCTAGATGGTCTGCCTTACCGCTCGCGGCCGCCCTCTTGTCCGTCTTTCGGTTCAGGTTGCGCCACCGGTTCCAGAACCACCTGAACAAACAAACCGGCGCGAGCCCGGTGGTGGCAACCTTGCCCGCGATCCGTTGCGCGTTTCGTATAGGCGAGGTCTAGACGCCGGCAGAGTCTTGGTCGCTGGCTAGTCGATCCAGGTGGGAAACGTGAGGCAAGGCCCACGACTTTGGAAGCGCTGGAGGGGAGTCCGGCGCTTATTTCTAGTGCGGGCAGCCGTCAGACCTTGCCGCATTTTGATCCCCGAACCCCACACACTTCGCAAGTAGAAGCCGACACTTTTGGAACCTTCTTCGAGCGTCGCGCGAGACTATGCGGGAAAGTGATCCAGCCCTCCACATGCAGATCCCAGACATTCCACGACATCCACTTCCCCCACCTGTGCCCCTACTTAAGCCCTCTGCACCTTGACCTTTGCCGCCCTCCAAAGTAGCTAGGTAAGCCAGCTAGTGAGTGTGTAGCGACTATAATGGGTGGACTCAATAAAAAAACTTTCGATGATTTTAGAATGAGCTGGGGTTTTTGTTTCATACTGATGGACGAAAGCAATTGCTGCATGCGCAGCCGCTACTGCTCATTTTTGTCAAAAAAGCAATAGAAGATGATGGCCATGAATTGCTCGCCTTAACATATCTTCTCCACTGGTCATCACCTCTATTAGCTTCTCTTCTTCCTCTGTGTCGGCCTCCCCGCCAAACTTAACGCCATGATTAAGTACACATCAGAGAAGCACCAATATTTTCTATAGCGCGCAGTTATACAATGGTCTATGCTCCTTACAGAGTGACTCTGAGAAGAAGTAAGTATTTAGAGTAGTGTGTGGTGGAGCCAGCTTATTAGGAAAAACCAAAAAAAGGACAAGGAGAAACTTGCTAACTATCCTAATCGTCATACGTCTCATCTGGTTGCCATTCTCCACCACTGACGAGACAGTGAGATACTCGTCTAGATTCGAGTTGTATATGAAGAGCTCTCTCTGTAATATGATAGAGAGTTCATATAGTATAAAAATTGTGGAGCCAGCCTAACTAGGAAAAACACAAAACCAACAAGAGAGTTCATATCCTATAAGTATAAGGTAATACGTTGTGACCCAGATGTAAAATGATAGACTGATATCTTCCTATAAGTATAATTTTCCATTGATTTATTCTAGTATTTCTTGCCTTAATATGCTTGCTCATCTGTGTGTACAACCAGTTCTCGGTTCAAGTTAGAGGGGTAGACAAGAACAAGAGGCATCTGAGGCGTCTATCATTTGCGCGACTACACCGATTGTATTTTCTAAGGTACAACCTAAGTACTTCTTGCTACCTACTACTCATGAGAAAGCACGAATGGCGCTGGTATTTGAAGATAGCCTGACTTTGATCCTAAGGGTTCTCTTCTTGTTTTCCCTTATGATCAAATTCAGGTTACCAAATACCGGAACCATTCAAAGTAGAGGTTACGATTAGTACCCCTCAGAAAATAAAATCTGCCATGAACCTCCCTGCCACCAGTGGAAAAACAAAAAAAACGGGGATCCAATTCCAAATCCAACAGGCCGTAATTGGATCAAGTGCTTCCTGCTGTTGTAGCGTTCCCATTTCACTGAGTCCTCGCCAGCTGCAGCCACTGCGCTGGCAGTGATCATCTCCCTCTGGTGTTTTTTGTAAAATTTAGAGTCAGTTAGGTCACTCTTCTCGATCGTGAAGTAGCAACATAATCTTTGCGGACGAGGAGGAGGTTGATCCATATTCTAAGATGATCTTCTTCTATCGATTTGTTGGAGTGTCCACTCCTCCACGAAAAGTAACGACGACAGCACGATTCTACAGGTTCGTTTTCCATTTCCTATAAGTAACGACTTCACTAACTATAAGTAACGACTCCACTATAAGTAACTACTTCACTGATTCTACAGGTTCGTTCTCCTCCACTTAACACTGTTGAGCTAAGTACGTTGTAGTTGAATGTCATGTCATGGTGCCTCTTTTAAAGCATTGCAAGTCTTTGTATGGGGCTACAAGCTGTTCCTCCACACTCTAACTATCCACACTGATGCCTAGCATGTGTGGCTCTTGAAGTCTTGTCACCAATTCGAAAATATTAAACTGAAATAAGCAAGTAACCCCTTAAGAAAGGAGGGAGATACAAACGAAAGAAGAGCAGCTGCAGCGTGCCAGTGACTCTTACAGATTTCAATAAGTAGCTAGTACAACTCACATATTTATTTCACTCTTCGAGTATAATTTGAAACTATACTTCTATAGTGGGGCGTCCTTAAAGGCTGCAATTCTGTGACTGACGCTCGAGCCTAAAGGCTCTCCGATATCCTTGTCGTCTCTGTCCTGTGTGTCTTATCTTAGAAGATGCGGCAAATCTTGCGCGAGCACTCGCCTGGCATGGAGTGCATGGCTCGCATGGAGTTGCATGGAGCTAAAGGGGGCGCGTCTTGCGTCCCTTAAGGATCTGCGCTCCATGCACTCCATGCTACTCCGTGCGCCATGCGTTCTATAAGCTACTCTGGGATGAGATAGGATAGGATAAGACAGGGTCGATGGCGATAGGATGCCTCGGCTTCGCTGTCACGTCATCAAGGATCTAATGCCATTCTGTAGAAGTACATGTTGATCTTCTAGATGTAGATGTACTAGAACAAGGCACTACTTCTAGATGTTGATCTTCTAGATGTACTAGAACAAGGCACTACTTCTAGATCTAGATGTTGATCTTCTAGATGTACTGATAATGGTTTAGTTGTGTAGTGATAGATGCGGAATGACCTAACTCTACGGCTTCCTCCAGTTCCTCTTGCGTGGAAGGGGAGCCCAGGAGTTGTGGGAGAGGAGCTCAGGCGTTCTGGGAGAGTCAACTTGCTCGAGAGAGCTTAGGCTTACTTAACTGTACAACTACAGGAACGAAGTCATGTCCAACAAGTTGAAGTTCTAAGTCAACTGCGCAATAAACGTAGTTCTAGTAGTTCTAAGTTCATGGCAGCTGCAGTGGGAACCCTAACTCTACCTCTTCCTCCAGCCTCTCTTGCACCTCCTCAGAGTTCTCCTCCATCGCTTCGTCCTCCGCGTCCGTGCCTTTTATCTTTAGAAGAGCGAGTTCTACTCGTACTAAATTCGAGGAGAGCAAGAACTTCTTGCAGGTCCAGGCTTCTCTTTCAGTGTGTGAAACTAATAGAGGCTTCTCTTTCAGCGTGTGAAACTAATAGAGGCTTCTCTTTCAGTGTGTGAAACTAATAGAGGCTTCTTCTCTTGCAGCTTTGAAAAATCTATAACAATGATGTTTCTCGATGTGTAGACAAGAAGGCAAGCCTTCCTGTGGTAGACTCTGACCACTCTCACTGCCTCACAATGGCCGTTCTTAGAACGTTGCTCACTTCTAAGAGGATAGGATAGGATTTGATTCACCGTCCACAGTTTGACCTGCCTCCTCGGGTGAATATGCGGCCATAACTTTTTTTTAGGCAACGTTAATGGCGTAGTTGCCGACACGAAAGCCATGCGCAGCACCAGGTTGCCAAGCAATGTCCCTCTGATATGCGAGAAGCTCACCAAATGATCCTCCTTCGGATCGTCCTCATCGGTGTCAATATCGAATGGCCTCAGATTAGAAGAACTAGATGGATAGGATAGGATAGGATAGGATAGGATATAGGATAGGAGCTGGCTCGCCTCGAGGAGGTGAGCATTCACGACTATGCTTCAGACAGTTGTACTAGAGCATCCGTCGGCCAGAAGTAGATATACGAACAACTCGCATTCATCTAAAAATATAGTTTCAATCTATAATATTTCATCGCTCCGGGACCACCATGGGTCTCCTTTTCCCGCTAAGATCTTCGTCAACTACTAGAATACGAGTAGTTCTATGTATTCACTTAGCCTACTAGAATAGTCTCTTCTTCTATGTGCTGTTCGTAGACTTAACTACTGACAAACTACTAACTGCTACATGAGCATGGTGTTCTAGAATTATTCCTAATAACTAGTATTTCTATAATAGAATTAGGTTGAGCTTGAGACGAGCACGGTAATATATTTCTGAAAATTATCTCATACTTCTACTTCTAGTAGTACACTAGTACAAGATATTATCTGATAGAAGCATCAATCCGCATCAAGCCGTAGCAACTGCTCTTGCATCCTCTTTAAGGGCCTTTCTGCCTAGCCACATCCGGCGCCACCACCCTCTGTTCGGTGGGTCCATTCCCGTCATTGCCGACCATTGATCTTGTCGCGAACTTTTTCCGCTTTTGATTAGATGAGAAATAAAACGCTCTGCACTTCTTCTAGGTGGAGTTCAAATAATCTTGCGTTATTGACGTTTTAAACACAATGTGAGAAGGATGAAGATGGAATTGTCTAGATTGAAGCGGCTTTCATTAGATAGTAATTAGTTCTTTTCTTGAGTAGAAGTCTCACGACTTCCTTTCATATCTCTCACCTTGAGCCACGATGTATAAATCTTCCAGGTGGAACATCTTGTTTGATCAGGTGGAGCATCATGTTGAAAATTCCGACTTCGCGACAACTCAAAAGAGGAAGGAGAGGAGTTTGTCTGTTAAAGTTGCAGCTGCAAGGCTGTTTTTGCAGTGGTAGTGAGGTTTTTTAGCACCCTGCGCTCCTTCTTCTGGATAAGGATATACAAATTATACATGACCACGTTGTGGTACCAGCACTTAGTGCCAGCACGTTTTTTTAGCATGGTGTTGTAGTTGTACTGCTCATGCTCGTCTGCAGCATAACTTACGAGCGTACGTGGACATCTTCAACAGGTCGTCCCTTTCTTGCCCCTGAAGCGCGCCATTTTCTGGCTTATAGTAGAAAGCTTCTTGGTTCAATCGCCAGTCCCACTCTTAGAGAAGATGGTCAAGGAGATTGATTGATTGATTTACCTAATCTTGAGGTATAGATAAGATGGAGTCAAGAATGAGAAAGATGAATCGTGGTCGAAGTTAAAAATCGATAAACTTGTGGGGTAAGCGAATGATAACTACTGAAAATATAATGGGAGATACTGAAAGGAGAGGAATTTAGTCAAGACTCTCGTACTTCTAATGCCAGCACCTTTGCCTCTTCCTCTACTCGCCTTGTCCTCGATCCTCTTAAAAAGACATCAGCTGAAGGCCTTCAATTGCGACCCTCATTAACTCGTAGGATGTTTCTTGCAACAGCCTCCAACAGGTCAAGCAGGAACAATACTGATTCTACAAGACTCCTACACTGATGGTCAAGGAACAATACTACGGGTGGAGCCAAGCTAACTAGGAAGAAAAAGTAAGGATAGGTAAAAAGTATATAGGTACAGAAGGCTCCTACACTGATTATCCATAACAGATTGCTTGCCCCTTCTTCTTTCCAGTCCACAATCGCTTCTTTAGGCTCCATGACTGCTCTCGCTGCTGATTGAGTTTGTATTTTTTACCATCGTCAGCTTCCTTCTTCACGTCTTTTAGAGGAGTTGTAAGTATTCTTATGCGCTACTGCTATAGAATTGAATAAACGTGCTTCAACTCCATCATGTGTAATGTCCGCTGACATATATTACGCGAGCAGGGGACTCTTTGTCAAGACTATGACTATCGCTATCCCCTACTATTTTAGGTCAGGTTAGGCGTGGGTCTACCACCAAGTTCACTACTATAGAACGCGGAGGCACAACATGAGGTATCCTTTACACAGAAGAGACGGAAGATCAGGGGAAGCCAAGACAATCCTACATTTTTCTTGAGCCTTAAGTTTTGTTCATCCAACATACTCTGCGCGAGCTGGCTGATCGTGGCATCACAAAATAAACGCAGACACGCAAAGAAATTAAGATTAGAAAAGGACGAGCTGCTGTATCCTAGAATAGACGGATCAACTTAATTCCTCTTCTTCTATAATTCATATTCTAGCATATATAATTCATACTCCTAAATTCATATATAATTAATGTCGAAAAGTAAGTCATCATCATGGCGTCTCAAGTAGCCCTCCTAAGCCCCACTCTAGATCCTGTGACGACAGGATAAAGCATGACTCACTCTAGATCTTCTAGTGACCACGATAGGATATAAAAAACATCTTTATATATGTGGTCTTAACGTGATGCTCCTCAGTGTCAGTCTTCCCTGTGGATACATCACTAGAATAAAACGTAGGATCTCGTAGTAAAATGTGACTCATTCGCTCAGCCACTCACCTCTAGTCCCTACTTACAAGATATCAATTAACCAAGAAACTACTAACACAGTAGGAAGATACAACTTGAATTGTCGGTGGAGAAAATCAAAATCAACATCAAGTTTTTAAGAAATATACCTTTGATTATTGGTGGAGAAAATCAACATCAAGGCTTTTGATAGGATAGGATAGGATGGAATAGGGCGCCGTTGCTAGGTCTACGCGAGTATTTTTAAAAAAACTGAAATAACCAAGTAACTCCTTAGAGTTAGAATATAGACACCGAAAGAAAAGCAACGACGTCGTCGCCCTTCAATTTACTAACTTCAGTCGCTAAAAACTCTGTTACTTTAAGACTGCGAATACATAATACAAGAATAAAAGATGTCTTCTCGTCTTCTTAGCATTGTGGTCCTCCGGATAAACGCGCGCTGCTTCAAGTTTTGCTAATTCTTGAGACGACATTCCTGACGTGTCCACGTCTAGGTCCGGGAAGATCGTATTGGGATCGTAAAAGACGAAGGTCGTGCGAGGCGCAACTGGATCCAGCCGAGTGATGTCCAAAATTAGAAGTAGAATAGATGACATTTTTCTTGTATTCGATAAACTTAAGTAAGCAAGTTAGACTTACTACTTTGAATAACCGAGATACTGAAAGAAGCAACAGTAGCCTCTCAAAGCTGCTTCCTGCCGTATTTCAGTCAGTAACTCGGTTATTTCCTGTTTTCGATTAGATGACTTTTCTGTAGAAATGTTAAATGGCTCTGGTGTTCGGGAGCCTGATTTTGATCTCCACCTTGTTTTCCCTTGTGATCAAAACCAGGCGACAAAATGTCAATCACATACAAAAACAAAAATAATGTCCAGAATTAGAAGTAGAATACATGATGGTGATATATTTTTTATTGAAGTAGATACACACTCATACTCATACATCAACTAGTATAGTTGTTTCTAACGTCCAGCTCCAGAGTTAGAAGTAGAACGGTCGGCATTTTTTGTAGAGCCAAATTATAACTTTGTAGAACAACAAGAACAACAAACCCCGTTACTAGAAGTACTGCAGTAGTTTAATTGTCACAGTCACATCAGGAACTGGAGGACAGTACACAGCTGTAGTATCAATTACTTATAAGCACACTTGTTGAAGCGTGACGTTGGCACATGTAGAAGTGTACTCATCCTCAGAAAATCAAAACGCTAAACAAAGGCTAAAGTCACCCAAGTAACGGCTAAAGGAAGCAGTTAGCTAGCTAGTGAAAAAGAGACTGGCCCGGACAGGGCTCGCGGCCCTGCCGCTACACGGTCCTTCATTGGGCACGGTGCACAGAAATAGAGGCAGAAGAATCCAGGAGAGAAAACGCGCGAGCCCAACGACCTAGTGGAAGTCTGCTGATGTCAGACTTCGTGGATCGACGAGCCGGCTATGTGCCGCAATGGAGCTCCACCAGACTCCAGCACTTTGCTCAGCACATGCCTAGTCTTTCGCCTGCACTTGCGCTGCCACGTTTCAGCGTATCACCCAACCACCCCACTCAGACAATCGAACAGAGCAGACCCCCCGAGAGGTCGGAACGAGCCATCACGAAGGGGGTCGGTCAAAAGTGTGCACAGTTGTGCGCACAGCTTTGATTGGCATCAAAGTCGAGGGCTTAGACCTTCTGGCCACATTAAGAAGAGCCAAAGCGATGAAAAAACCTTCAGGCAAAATGCGTCCGAAATGTAGTCATTGGGGGCAAGATGCGGGTGGATCCATCGCCCGCATCCTTATCTTAAAGCTTGAGGTATTACATCCTGAACCCCATCCTGAAATTTTTTGCTGACGAGTATTTTATGAACTTGAAAATCAGAATGAAACAGAACTCAGTATGCCTTGCGCACCTTTCTAGAAACACTGATCTCACCGCCACTCACAAGGAACCCTGATGGACTATCTTCTTTCATTGCTTTGAGCTCTTTTCTTTTAAGACATTCTGAGCAATCAATCAAGAGCAGGAGCGAACAGCACCGACTACAAGCGAGGCGTTTGCGCCCACAGCGGGTGTCGTTCGTGGCTGCAACATTGCGTGTCATAGTATGTGGCGTGCTGTCTCCCATATGAGTACGAGGGGCAAGTTCGGTCCTTTCTAGGAAATCGCAAGAAGTCGGTGTGGGTCATGTCCAATGGTGCTACACATCCAGGCACCCAAATAAGTGCGAAACATTTCAATACTGTAAAGCCAAGCGCGTGAAGATATGTCCATCAGAATCAAGATCAGTGCGAAATGAGGGAAACACTATATCGTAAGAAATTACTCAATGCTTCGTTTATATAGAAAGCAAAAAGAGTGAAAATACTTAGCAAAAATACTGAGTTACTAATCAAGAGGCCATCTTTATATCTGGGATAGAGAAACTCGCTGTAACCTATGCAAAATAAAAACACTTGAACTGTTCAAAAAAGACTGTACATGAGAAACGAGTATGAAGAAACTAGCTCACTAATGCTTGTCGTTAGATTTCTTCACCGCCTTCGCGCCAGTGGCGGTGTAGGTCTCACTTGGCCTCAGAAACTTGAAGCTACTGCTCTTTGCCCACTTGCCGGGTGGACATCGGCAGTAGCTGTTCGGCATCTCCCTCAGCTTTGCTAGTACATACGCCTCAGCGCATAACCATAGTCGCCTCAATGGTACGAACTTCTCCTCCCCAACGTCTGTACAGTGCAGCGTTCCTCTTCGCCAAAAACCACAAAGGCACTTCGGCCTGTTCGATGCAATGTGCGACCTTCTTATGTGGCACCTCGGTCCCAATTGCCTGGTGTGCTCCTTCTTGTCCGTAAGATGTATGAGAGTGCAGCACTAGCATGCTGTAAATGATGATATCTCTGTGGCTCTTGCGGCAACAGATATAGCCTCTATCTTTATGAGTCTCCCCACACCCTCCCGAACTCCTGTAAGATGCACATCAACCCTACACACGAGCAAAAGCCACTATTGAGCAAGATAATTAGAATCCATCCATAAAACGTCTGTAGTAGAGCGTTGGCCCATTTCCACCGGCGAGCCACGCGCGTCGCGTCGAGCCTAGGATCTGTTTGCAGCCAGGGCACATGATGTTGGCGCGCTGCTCATGCTCCATCGTATGAAGGTGCTCCAGGTCATCGAAGTCGCGATGCCAGTTGGCCTTCGCACGCGCCACCTCTTGTTTTCCCTGCTCCGTCTCAAATTGCTTCTTGATGAGCTCCTGAGCCATCTCAGTCGGTGGCGGTGGGTTGTTGAGTGCTGGCCTAACGTAGGTCTTGGCCGGTCCGTCTTTGTTGAGAGTCTCCTTCACCTCCTGGTCAGATTCGGCGCCGCTCATCAGGTCGTCCTCCTGCAATATTGATAAGGGTATTTGAATTATCAGAATCCAGCACACAGATCTACTCAGTAGAATTCCATCACCAATTACATATTTGTAGTCCTAACAAGTAAATACTTCTATCTCCTTCGGCTGTTGTCCGAATAAGTCTGTCTCAGTTGCAACGCCAACAACCCCCGCTAAACCAGGTATGTTCGCGGCAACATTCGACGCCGCCTTCTTCTGCGCTGCCCGAGTGGGCGCTCTCGCTTTCGCCTTACCTTTCGCCTGCATGACTCCCTGCCTGATCTTGTCGTCCTTCTTCGGTTGAGTAGCCTTGCTGTGGGCCTTCTCTAGATCCTGAGCCGCCCTCTGGACTGTCATACTCATGGTCGACACAGTCTGCTTTTCGCCTTTTTTATCCGTAACATCGTAGCAGCCTGCATCAATCAGGCGCCTCTCAGCAACGGTCTGCCCGTACAGCAAGCTGTGAAGCAACTCAGTCCACTGGAATGCCCGCGTAAAGTGGACCTCTGATATGAACGGCGCAAGATGTGCTAGATCGGCATAGTCTTCTGTTCCTTCGGAACGCGCCATAGCTCTGTTGAAGATATTGCTAGACCCGTTTCCCTCATCAACAGCGGCTCCAGCACGAGTTCCGGCTGCCTGCAACAATTGCGCCGTGCTAACGGTACCACCTGGGAGGACGGATTGATCCTTCTGCTGATCTGAAGTCCCAGAGGGTGCAGACTCGCCTGCCGCGTCGACACCAGCAGATGAAGAGGCTGAAGCATTCACAGCAGAAGATGACGTAGATGAAGTAGTATTCGCTGCTGTTGTGTTGGCTGCTGGTTGCTCATCAGGTCTCCAACGCCATCCCGGGCTATACACTATCTCGCTGACAGGCCTGCTCGTCGACGAAGAAGATGATGAAGCTGCAAATGGATCCAGAGGATTATCATACTCAGGTGGGAGCACTTTCGCCATTGTAATTGGGCGCTCTGTTGCCGGCTTGAATCCACGCCCACGCAAGTTGTTGATGAGGTTTGGTTCTTCTTGGAGTAGGTAAAGCGTGATTGATCTCATGTTGTTCGCAAATCCTGTGACGAAGTTCTTCACGAAGTGGCTGTTGACTAGAAAACCTGCACTCGCAGCGGCCTCGAAAATGGATGCTGCAGTTTCTGATCGATCGAAAGTAACACACGGCTTCCCAGAAATCGTAAACGTATAGCGAGCAGTACCCAAATACCCAAAACGGGTCCTGTCTACGATGTCACAATGGTCTTGGATGTATTTTGATCTCAATGAGAGGCACTTGATCATGGACTCGCCTGCTCCCTCGCTGGTTGGATATGGAATTGACCACGCCGCCCGGCCTGTGGGGAACTGAAGACTGATCATCCCCTCCGATTCCTCATCGATGCGGATGCCGCCTTTCGGTGTCGTGTACTTACCTGGGGTCAGATGTGAGAGGATGGAGAGATAAGAAAATAACGGCAACAAACAGAAAAGCTCAACAATTTCTTTCCGCGAAAGTATATAAACTGAATCATTACAACAACCGTAGTACCGAAGCGGAGACATCTTGGCTTCTCAGTGCGGTTGCCTGCGCGCCCACCCAGTGAAAGCCGAGTCGATGAGCTAGTCGTTGCTGTCGGGCCATTAGCGTTGCTGGGCACTCCAAGCGTTGGCGAGAACTGGATATCGTCTAATCCATCAGAATCGGCCTCCACATGTCCGCCCAATTCAGGATCATCCGACTCGGTGAAGAAAGGTCTATGAATGAGAAAAACACCCATGACAGCCCGAACTGCGACTATGACGTCCAGGACTAAGAACAGATCGACCACATCGTTGTCCTGCCAAATTTCTAGCAAGGTAGGGCGGTTCTTCGCTTTGTTGGATTGTAGTAGCCCAGCGAGAGCTATTGCGAGAAGCCTCGACCGGTCCCAACATAACGCGTTCGCGATGCTAGTTGTCGTAAAGAACTCCTCCTGCTCGTACAAAGCCATCTCCACGACCGACATAGTGTAAAGCAGAGAGACATCACATTTGAACTTCGACATTGCTGTCATATCCTCGCTCGACAAGCCATGATGTTGATTCTCGAGGAAGGTCAGACTCTTGATTTGTCTTGCAATCTCGTCAAGCTCTGGAATTGTATATCCTTTCGCCTGCTCCTTCACCGTCTCGAAAGCCTCTGTGCCTCTTTTCCCAGTGGCGAACACATCACTCGCGAGGTCCTGCAGTGTCTTCAAATCGCACAAACCTGTTGTAAGCTCCTCCATTGTTTCACCCCCGAATACCCTCTTCTTCAGTTGCTCCAGGTTCTGCTCCGGGTAATTTCGCAAAGAATCTCGACCGTCTAAGACGCTGAAAGATTCCTTCACGCCTATTCTCCTCTGCTTTGGAACTTGCTTCTCAGGTAGGAAACCCGGAACCCATAGCGGGTACTGCGTTTCGTGGATATACAGCGGCAGATTCTGAAGAGAGAGGTCGGCTCTGATATCAAATTCAAGAAGTTTACAAATATCAAATAAGATTTGCTATCTTGCACAAACATCTAAGCCAGAGACTAGGTTCTTTCTTCACTAGGTTAGTCTCCAACTCACATAGAAAGCCCCATCAACTAGTACCTCCACTACTGCGCCCGAGTTTCTCGCCAACTTGGCGGCGCGACTCACGCGGCCTCCCCTCGCTTCAATATCCCGCGTGTTCATAGGACAGATCCTCATCCAGGTTGTAACCAAGTCCTCCGCGCCCCTCACGTCGTTCGCAATCAAATGCTCGATGAACTTCGTGATGAGATAGTAGTTCCATTCTTCTACTAAGAGAGGAACAAGAGCTCGGCACTGCAGAGCAGCCTCCCTTCGCGCGCTTGCAACGGACACAAAAGCCGTCTTCTCGAATTCAGCAGGTGAGACAAGTTCGGACTCCCCCATGGTGGTGAAGCATCTTACCCTGGATCGCTCACTCTGGTCAAATGGGTCATCTTGCGGGGGCACCACACGCGGACTCGTAAGACTGGTTTCATAAATCGGCTCGAGCAATCCAAAAAAACCAGGCTTATCTTCTTCGCCGCTCAAGAAGCGGTCTGGCTCCTCTAGAATGTCTTCTATGCTGGAAGAAAGTGTACTGCCTCGCACGGTGTCGCGAATAGTCTGCTCGTTGAGATCAGACTCCCATGTCCGTGCGTACATTAATATTCGCGAATGCATCGCCATGCGGCCCAATGCCGAGCGATACGCCCCCAGCATCGCCTGTGACAATATAGGTGAGAGGATTGTTATCATCTACTCTTCCGATTTGTTCTCCTCGAAGACGAGAAGGCCACTCCCGTTAGGAATTTTTTCGTTCCGCTTGTAGCTTGAAAGAATGAAGAGGTTAGTTCTACTTTCCTGCGACCTTCGAAGTGCTACCCTCATATCAGAAGATCTCCTCCTCTAGTTACGAGCGACATCAGCAAAGATTGTAAAGCGCCATCACAGTGATGCATCTTGAAAGCAACGTTTCTAAGTTAGTACCTCGGTGGTCAGATGGCCGATCAACTCTGCGATCGTATCGTAAGCGATCTCGCCATGCATATCCGCGATATGATCCTCGAGAACTCCGTTGAAACCAATAGCCAACTCGCTGAGCAACGCTCCGTGTTCCATGTGGTAGACTTTCTGCGAACAGAACTGACTCCATGTTACTGCGATGCCGATGCAGTGGAAGAATAGTAGTGGACGGCAGTACTTTTCGAATATGAAAATCCGTGCTTTGCTATCAGCACTGGACAAGATAGCACGCAGTACCGACAGCAGAGACGTGTCCACGGCTGACGCCTTTGCTCGGATCTTCGTCTCCTGCTTCTTATCAGCTATAGCCTTTGCTGCTGCCTTCTTCTTTTTCCCCGCGCCATGCCCACCTAGAACTTCGGCATTACTGGCAGGGTCGCCAGCTGGTGGAGCGGCAGCTCGCTGTGCAGCCGCGGCTCTCCCCTCATCAACATCGCTATCCGACTCATCAAACAAGTTCGTGTCTTTCATACCTGTAGCGGAGGTCTAGATGAGTAATCGGTGCCAATACATGGCAACACTGAGTATACCGAGGAGTCTTGGAAAACTATCGACAGAACTTGATGGGACTACTTGCTGAGACGTTCCCACAAACTTAAACAAATACTAGAAACCACATTCAAAACAACACTCCTCAACTTCCTTTTCAATCACCCTAAAGGAAACAAGTGGTGGCACCATCACAATACGACTCATTTGCCACGACGAGTAGTACCTTCCTCTTCTTTGTCAGCCAGCCTTTCCTCGTTCAGCATGTTCCGCATAACCTGTAGATCCTTTTGGTTGTACTGCACTCGCTTGATGCCATCATCTCCATTTACCACCTCAACTCGCGCTCCGCTTGGCTGGAGTAGTTCCGGTTTTGTTTTGACTACTAAGAAGTTTACTGCAGATTTCAACAAGCTGCAGTGCTGTCGCAACCACTTTGCCGCATACAAGTCCTTCAGAAACTGCTTCGTCGAGCTAAACGAGCAGATCGTCGACTGCATCTTCTTGGCACGTGCCCGCACATCTGGCACAAAACTACTAGAGTCCAGAGGTGTGCCTATCTCACTGGCAATTGCAGGAGCGTCTGTTCCTAAGAAGTCGATAACCTGCTGGTCGTCTAGTTCTTTCACGAAGATGCTGAGGAGAGTCCCAAGCCTACAGCTATGCGTTCCGCCTGCAGTTCCTCTAAGACGCAATATCCGGCGGAAATCTTTCGGCAGGAAGCCTATTGCTACTCGGATGGCATCCCTCGATTCCCCGTGAGGGGGATCGAATCGGATATGGACCTTACGGCCCAGAACTAGGAGGCACAGCCAAAGAAGCCTTTGCGTCGACCCCTTATCTATGACGATGAATAGGGGCTTCTCGGTGGTCAGCTCGTACGCACTAGCGAAGTAGTTCACACGCTGCAGCAGCGCTGCCTGGGCCACTGATTTCCTAACCATGTTTTTCTGCTCCTCCTCGACACATACACCCGCAAGACAGTGGATGACGTACTCGACATCAGCATAGGACAGCTTCCGCATGATCATGCCCGGCAGCGTAACAGTTGTTATCACGTCATTGGCAAAGAAAGCGCCTCGAAGCTGGGACTGTTCTATCTCCATGCCACCCACTGGAACGCCGTCTGTACTGAAGCCCAGCGGCGTCTCCTTATCTTCCTCACGCGACTGCATCAACTTGATGCGCATCCACAGGCAAATATGACCCCAAGTTGCTACGGTACGCGCCCGATTCATAGCCGAATCTTCAGAATCCAGACTCGCAAGTGGCTCTATTCTCTGTTTGTAGGGCAAACGATGCGCGCCACACTCTCGAGTAGCTGGCTCTTCAAGTGCCTCACCATTCGCTGCGTCGGCGGATCCCACACGATTCCAACCTATGAAGATGAGATGAGATAAAGATACAAAATAAGACCAAATGCCGGGTTTGTAATTGGGAAGATCAAAGTATTCGATTGAGAGAAATTCAGAAAATTTTCAAGATAATCAAGCTCGAGATGAGTGCATGCTAGAGGAGGCGTGGCCAAGTCTGATGAGATAGAAGGGTCTTTAGTGAAAAAAAACTGTCCATAGATATAACAAAGTAGAAACTACCATGGACATCCACAGCATCATCCAAGGCGATCCGCTGGTAACACATCGTGAGATTCTGAGCTAGAGCCGTGAAAGGTCCGACCCAATTCTCCAGCAGCAAAGCTAAAAACTTCGGCCCAGGGATATTGCAAGGATACACGTGGGCCGGCGGAGCTGCTTGTGATGTGTGGGTTCATAGAGTGATTGATTTTAAAAAGTAAAGTTAACAGATAAAATCAAAATTTTTCATTTTTTATAAAGATTCAAGATTTCGTGCGAAGTGCTCTAATGCAGAAAAGTCCCCAACTTCTCTACCCAACATGTGTCCATAACGTGTAGGCAACTCTCTGCGGGGAGCAGGCGTTGAATCAGAGGCACCCACCTGACTTTCATCAAATATCAGTGAAATATTCATGGACACAACAACCGAGAATACAAGTGAAATACAAGTGAAATACCTTGAATATCAGTGAAATATCAGTCAGCGAAATATCAGTGAAATACTCATGACGACACACTAATAAGTTTATCTATTTCGTCCATAACTTTCAAGCGCCCCCTCGTCGCCTGTTCGTCTGCAAGAACAGTCCGTGGACTCGATCAGAAGCGTTTCGCAACGCTCACGCCGCGTTGTCATCTCTGCGAGGAGATCGGGGTCATGCGTACCAACGTTAACAACCCGATAAAACGACTCTGAGCAACCAACGCTACGCCGGATTCTACTGCTTTGAAGACACGACATGCACATGCTCGAACGGCCATGCGAAGTGAAAAGATCGCGTCTCGGTTCCACCTGTGTAGAATCAAATCCAAGGTCCCGGATGCTGGCATCGGATACTGCGCAAAGCCAACCGACACGCAGATGAGTACTCACCATGAAGTACATAGACGTGCCCATGTGCCCACCGGAACAAGCAATAGGGCTCCCAAGTATCCACATCTGCTCCGCCAGAATTAGAAGAAGAAGTATTTCACTGATATTTCTCTAATATTTCATGAGAGTCATAGATTCAAAAGTTTTTCCTTTCAAAAGCACAAAGAGAGACTGCACTTGCGCCAGGTTCCAGACTTCCTGCATTCTCGAGAGCTGCCATGAGCGTTCGATGACAACCATGCTCTGAGAATATTCCGGGTAAAAGCGGTATCTCGATGGAAGCCTCAAGAAATGGCTCAAGCAACCATCCGGAAAAAGCACACGCAATCTTCTCCCATGGTTTCGCCGGGTTCGCGTGGGACAGACGTTTCTTGTGCTGGATCTTCGCTCGAAATATCTCCAGAACTCCTTCTACTGACATGAGATCTACTTGGTCAAGAGCTGTACAACACAGATGCGCCCATGGCTTGATGGCGTCATTTCCGTCTCTGAACTTCTTAGACTGGTGCATAGAACGAAGCATGACCCTCGGTGGACCTTGGTGGCCATCAAACTTCTCCTGCAGAAAAGAGGCCGTCTCACCACGGCGTTTGTAGTTCTTGCTCTTGAATGTAGCATCGGCACCACTATCAGGGTCGAAGGTCAACAAGTGGTCCTGTGACTCGCGGCGACAATCTAAGATCTTGTCGAAAGGAATGCCGAGGAGAAAGAACGGCGCCTGGAGTAGAGTCTGGTGTCCAGCAATTGGAGGATCAACATACTCCACAACGAGAGACGTTTTGCATTGCGACTTGAAGATGATTCTGGTCATTTTCCAGTTGGGATGCTCATGGCGTCAACTTCAGCAAGGACGGCACTAGAAACAGAAGCTGTTGAAGGAGGTCTGCACTTGTAGAAGAAAATCTTGAAGAAGACCTTGCTCAGGATGCAAAAAGAGAATGCACAAGAGAGCGCGCGGCTTGGACTGTGTTTGGGTTACAACGAAGCGTACAACTTGTTTGGCAATTTTCGTCGGCTAGCAATTTCTACTACAACAAGGTAGAACAGAAGGTCGCCCGCGTCCACTCCTCTCCCCGCCCCACATGTTACATTTTATGCTCATGATGCCTCTGTGTACATCTGGAGGACTTTTGCAAAACCAATCATCATGTACATATCATGTTCATGCATGTGTGTTGCCAACATCAGGAGAATTCCAAAAAAACTTGTGCGTGGTAACAAAAACTATTAGAGCACGCAAAAAATACTATGCCTGATGCTACAACTGCAAAAACGTATGCCCTTTGAGGGATAATGGAAGCGCCACGGCATGATAAAAAGAATCCTCTGTACACATCACTTGGTGAGTGGCCCTCTTCTTCATCACACCATGCGCTTCACCCGCTTCTCCCCAGCGGCACCCAAAACACCTGTGCCGGAATGCTAAGTCGCATCCCAGCACCCACGCCGGAAGCTGAGCAGAACTGCTCAGTCTCCTCATGTGAAGCAGTTCAAAGCCTCCTGCACCTCCTCGGGCGACGGGTTGTCGTCGTCCTCTTCATCCGGCACGACAAAACTATCCTCCATGTCGTAACCGTGCTCACTTGCGAGAAGATCATCTTCCTGATCACACTCTTCTCCATTGAGCTCTTCATGCTGCTCCTCCTCATCCAGGTCGTTGTTCACGGCCTCCTCGGGGAGGGAAGGCACTGCAGCGTCAATGCTCTGCATGAAGCTGGCCGGTGGAGCCTGGACTCCTGGACCGGGCATCAACAACGGCGGAACAGCACTCGAAGATGAGGACGAAGAGGACGATGGATGCGCCGGCGCCTTGGGAACAGCGGCTGTAACCGGAGGTGAGCCGCGGGCTATAATGCGAGCAATCGCATCAGCCGGCTGTTGGGCAGTGAAGTTCTGCACAGTGTCCGCTGTCCAGCGAGTAGTTCCACCAGTACTCGCAGCTGTCGTTGATGCACCACCAGCGGAAGATGTGGACTTCGTAGTCTGCATGGTGAGTTGCTGCGCAAGCAGGAGCTGTTCGTGCATCTGCGTACTCATCGCAGACCCGTCAGCGGGAGGAACCTCACCTTTGTCGTTGATCCTGGTACGGCGAGGCATACAGAAATCCGGATCAAGCGCTGGAGCAGCTCTTGAAGAAGCTGACGGTGCTGGGGCGGAGGACTTAGCTGGCGTAGTGGTTGGTGGAGGTTGCCTCGGCGTCGCAAGAATAGGTGGACCGGCTGCTGCTGGTGGCGGTGCCGCAGCAGGAGGGACACTAGGGCCTAGATTCTCCTGCTTCACGAACGTTGGTCGTCGGTCAGCAGCCGGCACGTCCTTCTTCTCCTTGGAGGACTTGTTCTTCCTGGCCTTCTTCTCCTTTTTCTCCGTAGGGGAAGGTCTTGCGCTGCTGGATTGCGGTCCATCGCTGTTACCGTTGTTACCTGTCAATGTGAGGGAGGAAGACTGATGCGAGAGCTGAGCGATCAGAGTTCAAAGATGTTTCTGATTATCTCGTCATGAATCAGCACAACGAACGACTGAAAGGTGTAGTGCCCGTGTTTCGCTGTCGCTTTCCACCTCCACCACCAGAAACTCCAGGTCTTGCTGTGCTGCCAGCCGGTTCTGAAACTGATGGCTCCGCCGGAGCGGGATCAGGGAAGGCGCCCTTGTCAGTGTTGGTGCTCTGCTGGCTGCCAGCCGCCCCTGGTGTGTGGATCAGTTTGTTGAGGATTATACTCAAGCTCCATCTTGGTTAAAAGTACATGTCTGATGCTAGTGCTAAAGTCTAGTCCAGTAATGTCTTGAGTAAGAATCCCTTGTCGTTGGTCCTACATCACAGGAAAAATTTGTTATGAGACGATGGCTAGAAGATGAGCGATAACTCCACACAAACAGGCAGATCTGCAAAGATACACGGAAATCCACATCAACAAGCAGTTCATACGAAAGAACTTGGTCTCTATATGAGGAAAATTAATACCACTACTAGCTGCTGCGTTACCACCTGGCCGGAGTTGCTGTGCTAAAATCTTGGCCACATCCTCAGGAGAAAACGTCCGCAACAACATGGATATGACTTCCGGGGTAAGTCCATTTCCCGCCGCTGCGGCCGGCGGAGGTGGCGGTGGTGGACCGAAAAACGAATCGCTAGACGATGAACTCGAGGAGCTGGATGCGCTAAGCGATGTCCTCGTTGTTGAACACCCAGAAGACGCCTGTCGGAATGGAGACGGGGATGCGGACGAAACCGAAATCGGCGTGCTGAGGTTCAGGCGTTGCGGACGAATATCATCAGGTTGAGCCGCTGCGTCTTCACGGATTCCTCCGCCCGACCGAGGGGGCGCCGGCGTGCCTCGAAAAGCGGATCTAGGAACCTGTCTCCCCGCTGAGAAAACGCCGCGCGTCACGTATTCGAAACCTGAAGATTTATGCGAAGCAATCGTATGAACGAAGCGAAGAAGTTTCTATCTCATGGAAACACTTTCATCCACTTCAAAAGTTTCAACACCAGAAAGAATCAAAGTCAAGCACATCATCGTATTGTTTGAAAGCATCCAAAGAAGAAAACTACCTCCAGCATCTATCTCAGCCGCCCTCGCGTCCTCTCGTCCTTCTTCATTAGCTCTGTCCACAGCACCCGCCCGCCCATGACCCGGAGATACTCCGGTGAAGGTTGCCTGTGCTCTCAGCTCTCCTCTGGGATATCGTTGTAAATAGGCATCCCATGCTTCCCTTAGTTCACGCGGATCATCAAGGTCATCCCGGACATAAGCAAACCACCTCTTCCAAACAGTCTCCTCACTGCTCATTTGCAACAACTCCATTTCCTCCAGTACCTGTCGGGAGCAAGAATGTAGATCAATGAAAGAATGATGAGAACCAGTTTGGCCCCGATGTAATTCCCCCAGCAGAAACGGATGGATCCTAAAATACACCCCCACTGAAAAAATAGAGATCTCAAGTTTTTCACAGTTATACTCTTCTTAACGAATTGCAGTCTTAAAAAAGCGGAGAAATATCAGTACCTTGCTCTTTGACTCGGGGTAAGTGTCTGTCATCTGGTGTCCCGTCTGGTAGTGGATAGCGTTTAAGAGATCCTTACCCGAGCGGGGGTAAGAATCAAGGTGCAGAGCCCGCGGATAATCACTACTGATTTTGATGGCCAGGGCCTGCCTGGCCACCGAAGGACACATCGACATCAACTCGCCTTCCTGTGGTGGTGATGGAAAAGATGCTCGAGGAGGTTGTCGGTGAGAAATTCGTAGGAGTGTGGAATGTGGAATGTGGAAGAAGCACGGAGCTATCTATACAACTGAGTGTTTCTCTCTTTTCAGGAAAACAGTAGAAACCTGTATCAAATCTATAATCTAAATTATCTGAAGATGTTTTCTACTCTAATCACAACCAATCCTTTTTCAAGAGTTCAACAAAGACCGCTACCAGAGCGAGATCACAAGAAGAATACGTAAGGAACAAGACAGAACCTGTACACGAGTGGTTTCTCAAGTTCCACCAACAAATTCGAAAAAGTATTATACTTCCTCCTGTCCGACCACTTGCATGGCAACCTTGAGGGCCTTGAACATGAGGCTATCGGGGGTTTGCATCATCGATTTGGCCACTTGCCTGTTGGCCATTTGGAGCGAGGCAGCGGTTTTCCCCGCAGGGACGCTGCTCAACTCGATGCGACATCCCCGCGCAGTTCTGCCAGTTCCGACGTTAAGCATAGCGAACGAGAGGAAGGTCAAGACGCATATTGTTAGGCTTCAAGCCCTCTCTCACGATCACTCTTATCTAATATGTTTTGATTGGACAAGGAGGAGCGCGCATTGCGCTCCAGAGAATAAGCCAAATTTCTAAAAATAAATATCAATTATTCACATTTTTCATCTATACAAAAACGGAACAAGTGAAACACATAGGAAATGCAGACTGAAAAACGGAACACCTATAAGCTCACACAAATAATATCATTCAACATGACAAGCGAAGGCAAAAGGAAGCACTACTATAAAGATTCAAGTACTCAGTTTTAGTATCAAACATAGTGCATTCCATTTTTGTGAAGAGTTCGTTTTTGTTGCAGTAAGCCGTTTTCGGGGTACCTTTTCAGAGAGGGGGCGGGGTGGGTCTCTCATTTTTGTCTCTCGTCATCACTCAGAAAGATCACTCAAGAACAATCACAAAAGCACGCGCTCCGTCCTACATACCGACGTCGACTCTTCTATCCTGCTAGAGCCTGCCAAGAAAGCATACTGAGATACTCATACATTCAGCCTACATCTCATTCCGGCAATATTCAAGAGATCACAAGAAGACGCTGCTACTTCCTATCAGAGTCTGACTCTGTTTCGGATCATTCTGAGGAGCAGCATCAATCTGTCCTCCCCGCTGTAACCTGAACAGCGCCGCTTCTCCCAACAGCACGCCGCCCCAAAACGCAAAATCAAGATAAACGCCTCCACTGAAAGTCACAAACTCCAAATCTCGCTCCGCTATGAGTACCCTCATCAGGAATTTGCTAGTGCCGGTCGTAGCTGTGAGGTAGTTTATGAGGAATGGATCACAAGAGGAAGAATGGATGAACTTGGAGGAAGTATAAAGATAAGCATACTAGTGCATAGACATGGGAAGTCGTGTTAAACACAAGTTCAATGGTGGTGGAGAAGTGAGCGACTAAATGAAATAGCAAAGAGGTCTATGACGATCAGGCACATGATAGAGATTCAGGTAATGAAGCTAGCTGGTTATCTAGAGACACAGAGAGATACTATATCAAGAGCTACTTTATCCATAGCGTGAAACACCTCGGCACGCTCAATTAGATTAAGTTCAGACACACCCCGAGCGCACAGAAGCAAACGTGAGACCATGCTTAGGCCAAATGCGTCTGCTTGAACCAGGAGTGCCACACAGTGATCAACTGCAAATGAGCACCCAGGACACAGACCAACCAGCGGACCCAACACGCGCCAGACACTGCCCCACCAAGAAACCACATCTGCACCCAAAAGGACGTCGGCCCCGGTGACACCAGCGTCACCCGGTCTCGGCCCGGCAGATTCCATACGAAGGTCCGACAGGCCCGGCGGTACACAACTCTAGAGACCCACGTGACAGGCGGGCACCAGACAAAACATACCAGTTACTACATACACATCAGGAAGACGCAAGCCTGGTCCTGATACCACAGGACCTGAGTCCCCGAAAAGCTACAAGGCCCTCTAGTGAACAGCCTGCCCAGGGGAGTAGCTCAGCGAAGCACAGACGAGCTGTAACTTCTCCTGCTACATGCTTTCAGAGCGGGGTGGCGGGCTCTTGATTCCACACGAAAGTGCGCACAGCACTGCACCTCACAGTTTGTGCCGTCAAGAAGAGCCCATCACCCACGAGCACGAGCAACCCACGATGTCCGGCTTACTTGGTGGCACACTGAAGTGCGTCAGAGTGTCGGCATGAAGCCACGCATTCCGTGCAGCAGCCCGACTGGTGGTTAAACGGACCCCATACCAGTAGTGGCTGCATGCACAGAGACCACGCCAAGCTCTCCAACGACAACCAGGAACACATGAGGCGCTTCCATTGAGAATGCACTGACGCCGAACCCAGCATGCGAAAGTACCACGTAGCCGAACATTCGCAAGCAATCGCGACGCAACGGAAACCTGCCCAGACACATCGACGCCGCAGGGCACAGCTTGTGATTTACTTCTGCGGGCAATCAATTTAGGATACTACAACAGAATACTCGTAAAGCCTAATGATCATAGCCAAAAGATGCTGTATAGTAAGTCCCTTTCATTTCCACAAAAACGCTTAGCAAGAGCACTTCGGCTGCTCATCAGCTCCCATTGAAGAGCGCTCCCATATACAGCTGATCCTCTGCAGATACATGCAAGTAGACCGGACCCACAATTTCTGCAGTAAAAAAGCCCACTGCGTGACCCATCATCCAGCACTCAATCTCCGGTAAGCAGTCGTGCTGGCTGTAGCCCACGTAAGACGCTACAGGTAGCCACCGTCTCAAGGCCTTGTACTCGTCCTGTCCTTGGTCAAGATACTAAGCACCACCACCAATATGCTTCCATACGCTGCTGTCCCGTGGTTAGAATCCGTCTGCGAGTGTGTATCCTCGGGCAGAGTGATGATTTGTAAGAGGGAGTGGGTAGATATGCGTAAACAAAAAATTTCAGGATGCTTCTGAAGATGTATTCCCGGAAGCTTTAATTATCCGTGTAAAAGTTGCCTCATGGCATTTTTTCGCGACGTCCGATGAATGTCGCGAATTTGCGACCACATCGGACGCAAGAATCTTGGAACAAGATACAAGCACCCGGCCCAAGAAAATGAGCTCTCGACAGCTCTCAAGATAGAAACAGCCGAGAGAGTGCAGCACTTTGGCTACGCCCTTCCGCAGTTGTGAGCAATCCGGCTGCCTCTCGTTCGGTGTTGAGAGTTCTCACACCGTTCGGAGTGGCTTCGTCAGCCGCAGAGCGGCGCGGACTCACAGAGCAGCCGTGGCGTGGTTTTCTTCTTCGTCTTTGATTTTACACGAGTCCCGCCATCGATCTTGTCTTCCATCTATCAACCTGCCACGCCAGCCGGGCTATGGTTCAGCAAGATTGCCAGCCTTGTCCGGACCAGTCTCTTGAAACCTAGCCACTCAGCTACCTACCTGGCTACCTCATTTGCGGGCACCTGCCAAACAAATATTGACTTTCTGAGGGTGGGCACAATTGTGCGTGTGATAGATGTGAAAACTTTTCTAAAGTCGCTGCGAAAATAAGTAAGAAGGGTAATACGCCAGCACGACAGTAATGATGTTCATGCTACTCCTAGTTGAGCAAAAATGAAAAGGATTAGATCACTCACAAAATAAAGGCTCTTGCTCTTCCACTACTAGTACTACAAGATCTACTTTTACTAGTTCTTCTGTCGCAAGTGTGTTTCTAGTTATTGTCCATAACATTGTGTCACGGTTGGAGAAAAAGTGGCGTTGTTGAATAGCTCCGAATGTGAAACAGACAGTGCGCGCCACTAGTCTTTGTTTTAGAGCCCACCCTAAACACCTTCCATCTCAAGATACAGATAGTGCATAGTCCATCGTCTTGACAAGCATACTCGTGTTAGGTCACCTTTTTCCCTTGAAAAGCACACTCTTCAGTGGGTTTTTCAAAAAGAGGCCCCTTGGGGATGCTTCCGAAGGGAAGCCTTAATTGTTGTCTCGCAAGCTGGTCGTCCGCGTCCTCGTTTGTGTCTCCTGCTATCGGAGTGTCAAATTTATCATTTAGACACTTCGGCGGCCCAAAAGCTTTTTTCTGTGCAGCAGGTGTGCCTTCTTCCTCGGGCTTCCTCGACGGAAGAAGGACCAAAATGACCGTGGAGACCCGACCCATGGGGCTCAGTGTGTGTTTGTACGTGGCTGCCGCTGACATTGCAGGAATACCTGGCGAGCTCTGCGGAGAATCACATTGGTATGAAAGAGCGGCGACTATATTTTTCCATCTAGCCAGAAGAGAGACCATCACGGCCACCCTTTTCCCTCCCGCCTTAAGAAATTGCCTATGGCCTCCCGCCTTAAGAAATTACCTATGCAAATACCAGAAGCATACATAAATAAGGGGAGCCTCGATGGTCGTACGCAGATCGATGGAGTAAACATTCTCGCCCATAATTGGTGAATTCCTGGACGTCCTTGGTATTTTTCGGTGACGCCTGCCACCACCTTTTGCAGGTCATAGATGCTTTCCAGCCCCTCACAGTAATATTAGAAGACGTCGAGGTGTGGGCGAGGTGTCGATACTAGGATAGGACTTGATCCGCCTTCCACATTTGTGGGGACTCTCCTTCTTGCCGTAAAGTGTTTCAGTATGGATTATATTAGTTCTCCTGAGTGTGGATTAAGATTTTCGATTTATGTGTGGAGTATAGTCCTGGCGTCACCTGATATCGGCGATCATAGTATCATAGTCCTAGTCGTGGTTCCTTCGCCGTGATATACTTCGCTAACAAGAGGACTTTGATCATTAAACATGAGGGGAAAGCAAGAAGCGCGAATCCTTGCGACCAAAGTCAGACTATCTATTAACCGGGGGAGCCACTGCGTCAATTAATATCAGTTCGTAGAGCAGCTAGCGGGTTGCTAAACGTCGCGCAAGTTGTCAGCGAGCTGAAGAGCTGGCGAAGAAACTAAAGTGGCGGGAGGTTGTTGATGATAGATAAATTCGTGAAGAGCCCTCTCTAAGGAAAAAAGTATACAAGGCCCCATCTTCTGGAGCTCGACTGCAGCTCATGTAAGTGCCGCTGGGGGCACCTAATGTAAGAGGGCATGAGCTCTACTTTCAGGACTGTAGGTGAACTAAGGCAGGAACTGCATCTGCACCAGCTTAACCATCTGGGTGGAACATCGTGTAAGTACTATGATTTTGTTTGTGACAATATTCTTCATCATGAAAGTACGTAGTAGGCACACGTGCAGATACACAGCAACTGACTTGCTTCTATCCAGGGAAAGGCTGTCCGTAAAAATGAGAGTTCTTCTTGAGTTACTTATTAAGATGATTAGTGTACTTACTTACTTATCGCTCCCCTCAAAAGATGAGCGTGCGAGGGCTTGCACGTCCAAGGATTGACTTTTTTTGCGCGTTCAGTCCTCTTTTTGCGAGTTGATTAATTGATAAAGCAAAAAGAGAGGACGACCACGGCAGCCCTTTCTGCGATGGAGGTCGCGAAGACGGCGCCCCGCATGCCGAGCGAGGACTTCCGCGCCCGCATCGGTCTGCCTTCCCCATTTCGATGGGCCAGGCTTTTCCCGGCAACTCGTTCCAGGATTGGAGCTCTTCGCCCCGGCAACTCGAGCAACCTGTCGCAACTCCAAACCCGTTACTTTCCTTACTCTAGTATAAATATAAGGATTGGAAACAGCCTTAAGATTGGCCAGGACCAAGAAGCGAGCGTAGGCGTTTCCAGTCGGATGCAGCTTGTCGACTTAGAAGACAATGCATGCCACATGCGCAGCCTAGAATTACTACAATTCATTACAGGGTGAAGAGCGAGAGGGGCTTGCTGAGGTTACTTCAGGGCTAGCCCTCCACCCTGGTCAAGATTGAAGCAAATCTTACAGTGAGCAACGGAGGCCACCTCATGGTAAGCATTTTAAGTAGTCTCAAGGGTGGAGGGGGGCTTGCTAAGGTAGGTTAGGGTAACTTAGGGATCCTGATTATGAAGCATCAATACTGCAACGGCTGATCCACTAGATATTATATGACTCGCGGAAAACACTCGTAAGCGAGCGGGGCAGCTTGGGTAGCTCCACTGGTGAAGGAACTGGCACGAAGACAATCAACAAGAGAGCGCCGCCAACACACTCCAAAAGCCGCCCGAAGGCCTCAAGCTCCAGAGTGTGAATGGGTTTGAGGCTTTCTTTTGCATGACGCTACTCAAAAGAAGGAGCCGAAACAGTTGACTTTTGAGGCCTGAAAGCCTCACGCTTCAGCTTCGTGGCCTTTTGAGCAACGCCACTCAAAACAGGTCGCAAAAACTACTGTTTTCTGAGGCCTGAAAGTCTCAAGTTGAGTTGAGACATTTTTTGAGTAGCCTTTTTTTCTGTAGCGCTCCCCGTTGAGTAGTGGGCGGCCCTACTCAACAGTGAGTAGAGCTACAGGGAAACCAGTCGCTTTTGAAGATTGTTTGAGATGAGCGGCGCTACTCAAAAAAAGTCTCAGATTTTAGCTTGAGACTTTCAGGCGCGAAAAGGCGGTGGCCTTTCCTTTTGCGGCATGTTTTGAGTAGCGCTACGAACAGAAAGTCGCATGGTGACGCCTTTTACATGCCTCAAAGTCAGGCCTGCTTCTCGGCACAGAGGCCGGGGCCTGCCGCACTATCTCCCCCGACCAGACGCGTGAAGCAGCGCCGGAACACATCGCCCCACTATCTTCGGGAGCCTGGGCCACACTAGGTAAGCAGAGGCAAAATTTGGCCAGTGCCGCTACTCAAGTTTTTCCGCTGTAATCAACCAAGTGTAGCCAAGAATACATAGTGAGATATTGTCAAACAAAGGGTCGCAGTCGCTTTATCATCACTTTTTGCCTTAAGCGACAGAGGCATCGGCTATATTCGGAAGGGAATGACCTGGCTTATATTAGAGCCAGCCTGTGCCTGAATCCATCTCGGCCCCATCATCTCGACCCCCTTCCCATGAAATACAAGGAAAACGGGCACCGAGATGCTGAGAAAGACGGATAAGAGCTGACCGTAATTTTTCGTCGCCGAATATTTCCGGCAATGAATACAGCTTGAACTCCGCGTTCTTCATCTTATTGATCTTCTCATGCATCTCATCCACCTCGGCGGAGCAACTGTTGGAGGAGTTCTATTAAGATCAAAAAAATTAAGTATAAGTAGAACTTCTATAAAAACAAAAATTAAAATTAAAAAGAATTAGAACTACTAGCCCCTGATAGTGATACTAAATGAAGTACACGTACAGCTTCTGTCTCTTATAGAAAAACAAAAACTTCTAAGTGAGTCCGCTCTTCAGCTACAAAAACAAAAATCTTAGGGTGAGGCGTAGACGATCTAAGACGGGATAGGGTTCGGCTCACCTAGTACGGAGAGATAAGCGCTCACGACTATGAAGCTTCTGACTCGGTGCCATTAGTGGCACTAAGTACACTTCTTCTTGTGCTACGAGCGTCAGTGTCAGTAGTTGTAACTTTTACTTCATTCTTGTCGTCATATCTTTTTTTAGCCAGTAACACAAAGCCTACTAACCGATTTCCTAGGTAGTAGTTACGTACACGCCCCAGCTGCGTTAGTCGTATCAGTTTCCATAATACCATCTAGTAAGTATCAATAGTTCTTTCGAGCGGACTAATAAATATCTTCAGTTCTGCCTCCTGCTACTTACTACCTGATCATGAAGCTCATTTGGTTTAGTAAGGTAGTATGCAGCAGTGATGCTAGACTAAGTATCAGCTCTATCTCCTAGTTTCCTACTAGTACTTGAGACTCGAGACGAAGATCGTTACTATGAAGATCGTTACTCTCAAGTATCTTGAAGTTCAACTCCTACTAGCAGCTCTACGTCTACCTCCTACTAGTACTTACTAACTTCGTTTCAGTAGAAGTAGTGATACTAAACTAAGTTGCGTGGGTGCTCTCGGGTCGTCTCCGTATCATACTAAACAGGGTAGCATACGAGTGCGATCCCCTTTTGCAACGTGACGGCGAGATCCAATCTTCTGAGTGCTGGACGACAAATTACAAAAGTAGAAACATAGAGGATAAGACTTCACCTAAGTAGATCTACACTGTAATAACTACAACTCACCTAAGCAAATTTAAACTGTAACAAATGGGATTCGTGAAGACACATAGATAAGATTTCACTTAAGTAAAAAATCTAGAGACAAGTATAGTGGCTTTCATCAAATGCAAGCTCATGCTTTCATAGTAATTGCCTGGACTCGACAGTCCTGCGCTTGGTTCGGTCCAAACGAGGTGGTTTGTAGCACACCAGTTTGCATATGCTGGAGGGAAACCGTTTGCGTTTTCTCAACTGCGTTCCCCGGTGTATACATTAGAGAATGAGAAGTCACGTAAGTAAGTCATGGCGCGCCTCACGTAGAAGCCCCTTCTTCTCAACCCTCAGCGAGATGAGGCAGCTCCTGAAGCGGTCACGTCATGGCGCCTCCACTTATCTAGCAACTTTTTGAGTCTACATCTTACGTAGTGCATTTTTGTACTGAAGTAAAAGTAATCGTCAGCTATTATTATTATTGAAGTCTTTCATCATCTACGTATTGAAGTAGTACTAGAAGTACACACTAGTGGCGGCCAACCAAAAAGCAGTGCAAGAGGTCGTACTATCGACTGAAGAATTATAAGTTAATCATTGGGCCGGCGTCGAAGTTAGAGCCAAGTACATTGACTCACTCGTCTTCGAAAGGTTGTTCAGCATCAATCTTCTTGCACGACAGCACTTCTAAAATACTCTATTTTCCTTGTATAACTATAAAATACTTAAACGCAACGTTCTTACTAAAAGCAAAGCTAAAGTACATCACAGATTTAGATCATCATCTAAGATGACTTCGAGGTGATGATCTCAACAAAACTTAGGCTATCTTCAGGATAGATCTTCCAATAAAAGCTTACTTATATATGTTCCAGGGCGCGGGGCGACGGCCCCCCCCTAGCGGGGGGGAGCCGAGCGCCCGGGACCCCTTTGGGAGGCGTCTGCCGGGGGCGGAAAGCCTCAAAAGGGGGCCAAGGGGCGGCCCTCTTCTCGTTTGCGTGTACCCTACAGACTTGAGGGGCCGCCGATGGAGGGGGGAGGCTTCAAAAGGGGCCCAAGGGATCGCCTGCGCCCCCGTCCGAGGGCCTGCCTGTGACCTCAGTGCATCCGTTTGGCTTCGCCGCCGCAACAGTCCACCGGAGGGCCCCCGAAGACGGCAAAAGGCAAGGGGCTGGACCCTCGGGCCCTTGGTCATCGGCTTGGTTGCTCTCGTGACCGTGGCCGCCTCCGGCGGCCTTTTACCCCGGAGGCCTCCCGCCTGCGAGGGCCAGCAGAGGCCAGGCGGTCCTTTTGGAACACGCTGAGAGGCCCAAGGGGAGGCCCGCGCCAAGTCTTGACGCCTCTCACCACTAGAACCCGCGAAAAATCCGCGCGGAAAAGCTGGAAAAGCGCGCGGGCGCGCCACCACACAGCAGACCACATCGGGGGGGGGGGGGGGGGCGTGCGGCCCTGGATCAGGATCATATATATTTATTATAACAAGCTAGACTTTCACCACTCGTATTAATTTATTCATCTTGCTAAAGGCTTTAGATGCTTTAGATCATCATCTTCCAATTATAGGGGCTTGTGATAAGCTAGTATACTTTCATCCTCCCTCGTAAAAATATTCTTACTAAATGTTGATGACCTGGACCATAACCAAGGTTCGTTTTTGGGTGACCAAGCAAAGTTCTTCGCTCCAGGTCGATACACCACGAGCATCGCTTGCTTCGTGCGGTCTGATTCTTCGGGCTTTTTCAAGTTAGAGCCTCTCTAAGTCGTATTTTTTCCTCTCCGAGGAAGTCTTTAGCCGTGCGAAGGTTCTTAAGGCCTAACTAAAAATATGCTGTAGTTATACAATGCTTTTAGTTCGGCGTTTTTATCTTTCCCGCTCGGGATGGGTATAGGATAGGAAGTCACTCGCCGTCCACGGAAACGCGTACCCTGCGACCACAGAGGGATCGCTAAAAAACGCATCACTATATGGACCACCATCACTAACAAACACTTATAAGTGCTTAATAATATGCTAACAGTGTGAAATGGACCGAGAAAGACCAAAGTCATGCCACAGTTCCTATCATATGTGTGTGTCCCTGTCGCAGTTCCTAAAGACTACCTCGAAGACAATCATGCACAGAAGCTATCATGGGTTAGGCACCCCTTGTACAACGATCGGCCAAGCACCAGGCTAGTGTCCAAAATCCAACATGACTTCACCGAAGTTGCCAAGATGGGCGAGGTGGCTGCAGGCTATATACTGCATCCCCTCAAGTGTGCCACAGCTTATGCAGATGCATGCTGTGACACGGGGGGCCCAGAAAACCCCTGTGCTTTTTGGTCCTTGAGATCTTCTTTTTATTGTTTGGCGCGTCTTTGCATTCCCTGAAAGCAAAAACGCGCCTGGATAGCGATCGTGCTTCGGCCGCCGTTTGCCTGCGAGGTGCCTGTTGATTCTGATACTAGAAGGAGCCACCAGCTTTCCCGAACCTTATTGGCTCGAGCTCGTGAACCCTAGCAATATTTGATACAATCACACTCCAAAGGGTGAAGTAAATAACCTAACGCAAGAAACCCCGTAGCCCTCCTAAAACCCATTAATTTGAGCACGACAAACAAACAAAAGGGAAGACAACCGACACTAGGCGTAACTACCGACTCGCCAGTATCAAAAACGAAAATGCCACACGGCGAAATAGCATCAAAAGCATCGCCTCAATAATGTTCCTAGCACGATATACAAAGTCACGATATCAATCAAGAAATCTGCAAGATACTGGGTTACGTTATGTGTGGGCCTACCAGGAAAACTGGTAGACATGAGTGGCTGCTGAAGATACTGGTATTTTCTTTACAACAAATAAAAAACAGTCTGAGTTGAAGTTTTTTCCTCCAGCCCTTAACATTTTTAACTTCTCCCTTTGCCGCGGAAGGATTATTATTATTATCATTATCATTTCGCGCGCGGCCCGGATTGTAGCACCATTTATTTGCGTTCTCCCTCACCGCGTAAGCCCCTACGTAGGCCTGAACAGCCTTTTCCAGATCATCGAGACTCTTGATACGAACCCAAGTAGGGCGTTTTTTTTCTGCCGGGTTTTTGTCCGCCGTCTCCTTAGAAGAAAGAGAAGCCATCAAAGAGAAAATGAAAAACTGCTCGTTCTATAAAAAGTTAGTTGTCCTCAGTGATCGTGATTCACTTTTAAAACACGAAACTATACTGGGGAGATACTTGTAGTTGTAATAACCTGTGGCAGATAGTTGCATTGCTCTAAACTTCTACTTTGTTCTTGTCATCATGTTTTACGTTCTACTCATTTTGACCGGTAGAAAATGTAGAAGAAAGCCTACGTACTTAGTATTCCCTAGGAAAACGAAAACACCTGTAAGATGCGGCAAATAAATCAGTCTAAATTAGCTTTAGTAAAAATTCCATGTCTTTGATTATGATTGAATTTTCTGCTTGAGAGAAAGCTTTTTCCCTTAGGATCAAATTCAGGCTACCAAATACCAGAACCATACATGAAGCTGCATATGGTTTTGGTTCTTGAAGATATATTTTTTTTTCTTAGGTGAGTTAGAGTTAGAGCATGGCGGAAGAGTCTTACACCTACGATCGTCATGTCAATAATGTTACATTGGTACCTCAATGCCGGACTTCTCTTGCGATTGTAGTTAAAGACAAAAGGAATAGCCTTAGCCTTGCGCTGATTGATTGACTGACTGGCTTGTTGACGTGCCTGACTATAGCTATACGCGCGATCTATTTGCTGGTTACGGAGGTTGCTTTTGATTGATTGATTGATTGATTGACCGATAGCCTTAACATTCGTTTTGTCGGAAGTGGTATCGCTTTCGACCATATCATGCACACTAACTGTCTTCAATATTTTTTTCATTCTGTCTTAGAGGGTTCATGATGAATTATTCATCGCCTAGGCCTACCTGTTTTACTTTTCTTGACAGAAAAGTGCATTTTTCTACTTATTTCAATAACAAGTAGTTTCTAAATTTAATTCATCATCTACTTGAAGTTGTTCTCCAAATGATATACCTAGCACTTCTACCGTTAGACTGCGTAGTACTCAACATCTACTCCTCTGAACAGAATCCAAGAAGAAAACTAGATAGTACATACATGATCGAGTTCCCCTGTTCACCATCAAAATGATAAGAGCAAGAAGATGAAGACTAGTCTATTCTCCCACAAAGCCAGCGGAGGACGGAAGACGGTCAACATTTCTTGACTTCCAACTCAACAAAAGTCAACATGTAAACAGAACAAGGCTACGGTTAAGGCTGAGGGTCCACCACTCCAAACAGAACATGAACATGTGCCAGATATTATACTAAGGAAAACTATCCGCTTTCCCTGAAATCAGATCATTTACTTACACTTTCAAAATATGTCTTCTTTTTCAACTTTTCCTAAGTTTGTTAGATCCTGTTGGTTGAAACTGAAAACTAAAACATTAGCTAAGACTGAGGTAAATTTTTACCGGGTATCAGCATCAGGATCAGCTACAGTACACCATGAGCATGAGTCTATCTACCTGGCCTTAACGTTCCTTCCGAGCCTGCCTTCCTGCATTAGACCGTATAGTTCTCAACTTATTTTTCAGGATAATTTTATAAGGTACTCCAAGCCAACATCGTTATTTCAAAGGAATAGATGAAAGAATTAAAATAATAAGATGAGCCTAGGACTTTCTAAGATCAGTATTTCGGTGGAGTAAGAGTGTAGAAAGGACATCAGTCTAGTCTCTGATGAAAGAATTAAAATAATTGACAATGTCTTAGACTTTAGCCTTAACAGTCTTTTTTTCTTTGTTCTTGTCCCCAGTCGTGTCGACAACTGTTATCGAGCCGTAGTTTGGGAGCCATCCTGAATTTTTTGTAAAGCACAACTCCTCGCCTTTGTTAGAAGGTAGTGTGTGAAATATTAAAGGATTATTTAGTAGTCACCATCTATAACTAAATATCTAAGATGGTGACTAGTTGTTTTAGTGGTGATTGTGTTTTGCACGACCTTGAGTCAAGAGATTGGGACGCGAGTTGTAGTCCTGCACTTCTGACGTTAATACTTTACTCATCATCGTCAGCGCGTCTCGAGAAGTAACGGCAAGGCATTTGTATAGATGTAAGTCATGTTGTTCTACTTCTATATCATTGGTGGAGCAGACCTAATTACAATTCTATAATATTATCACTTTTGCCAATCGCTCTGCATCATTGTACTATATGACGACCACAAGTTCGCGACGTTCGCTATAGAGTAGCTCTTCTGCTACTTGTGCATTCGCTTCATTGTATCTATAGATGCTTCTATAGGTCCCATAATCTTCACAATGAGTGACGTCGGCACTTTGATCCTTCGCCAATATTAGACCTTCCCCTAGTTGTAGTTCGCCATCCCTCTGGAAATCCCTCAAGGCTATGCGTGAGCATCTCCTTTGTATAATCTTTTTGGAGGCAACATGCTCATGCTGTTCGTGAGAGGCTTAACAAGAGATGGATTAGTGAGAGCCTTAACAATAGGTCTTCGAGGCCCATCTCCCCGCGCCTTCGTCGTTGGCAGTGCGGTCCGCCTTCATCCTCCAGCGCAAAATATTGTTGCTGTTGTCATATTGTTCTTGGAACTTTTTTTAGAGGGGAGATGAACCCTAGTAGTCGTAGAACTAGTCACTCTAAGAAGTAAATTGCCCTTTAGATCGATGGATTCATCGATGGACCACTCCAAGTCTGTCATGTTGTAATCCATTGGTCCATATTCGTTACTTACCATATTCGTTACTTAGTTACTTGGGGTGGTAAAGACGAAGCCAAGAAGGAAAAGAAGCCTTAATTTTTGTCGTTGTACCCGACCCCCCTACGAATGCCACCTAGGTAGGACGTCTGGGCTACATCGATGTCGCTTCGCACACGAACGGGAAGCCCAGGTAGCAACTCCACTGATTGTACGTCGGATGTGATCAGCTCTTTCTTAAAGGAGACAAGCAGAGGCTGATGAGATTTTTAATCTTCTCAGATATGACTCGGCCACTTCAGCTAGCTACTTGGTTATCTCAGGATTTCGAATAAAAGTACTTGAAAAAAGCCGGCCCAGGAAAATGCTGTTCTTGTTTGTGGGCGGGGTGGATGATCATGTCGTGCATGTAATAATATTGAATCATGGAAACTACACTACCCGTAACTTTGTCTTTCTGCTCTGTGCTTTCTTGCTTGTCTGGTCGCTCGTCGAGCATTTGCATGGTTTTATGTGTGAGACGAGGTCGCAGCATTCTCCCAATTGAACCGCCTCTAAGATCCAAAACATACGGATGCCACATGACGAGATAGCTCCCATTAGAAAGGCCTCAAGACTGGTGACAAGATATTTCGTATTCTTGGGCACATTTCAATTTCTCCGAATCGATCCTAAGTAGAAGGAACGAGGGAGAATAATTCTCATGTAGGTTCTTCACGGAACTCGCTCTCACTACAAAAAAAAGGCTTGTAGAAGTGAACTGCTTCTAGAAATGAATTGCATTGTTGAGCCTTAATGTCAGGACTTTGCGGTCGCGGTGTCTTGTCAGCCAAGTTTTCAGCATTCATCCCCCAAACTGGGAAAGCCGGCCCCGCATTCGCAAAGGCGAAAAGACTGTAGTCTGCCTCCAGAAGTTAGAGATCTAAAAAGATAGGCAAACTCAAACTGTATGCTTAGATATTGATATAGACTGTAGTAAGCTTGCCTCCAAAAATTAGAAGAGGCAGCTAAAGTTCGTCGATCATCTTAATATTACTCTGTTAGATAGTACTATATCTGATATCAAACCTCAATATTGAGGTTGCTTCAATCAGTGACGCAGTATCAGGTTTTTTAGAAAGAGAGTGAGAGGACTGGCCAAGAAGCTTTTCCGAACTTGCCGAATCAGGTAACGTTATATCTAGTTTGCGTCTTTATGAATGACAGGGTTGCCTTATGCTACTTCTAGTTTCCTTTTGCGTCGTTGTATTAGATGATACTACAACAACACTTTTTACCTTAGTTCTTTTGTGGGGTTATGGATCCTGCAGAATGAGCCTGAGGATAAGTAATTCAGACAACAACTACTCAAAAAAGAAAGAGCTAACTACCTACCTAGGACTAGGATCATCATTCACTAGGACTACCATCATACTCGATGCCTTAAAAAAGGTGAGGCTCCCTGTTGAATAGTGTTGGTCCTGACTCGGACTTACGTTCTTTTTCCATCCACTCTTTCTAGAGGTTGCGCCATTGCATTCCTCCGATGATCCTTGAGTGACCCTTTTCCTACTTGGAAACGAGTGGAACGCTCCAAAAGAACCACAACAATACAGCAGGAACTTCAGCGGAAACGAGTGAAGGATGGTAGTGAGGAATGCAATGTCGAGACCCTTAATCTTTAGGCTTCAGCTGGGCATGTAGCTCCTCCGTTTCGGCGACACCTTCTGGTCGCACAAGTTAGAGAAACGGGCTTCTACGAACGAAGATCGCCTCGTCATGTAAGTACTTACAAAGCCTACAAAGACAGATAGACAGACGGAGACAAAGAACACGCCTCGTCCTGCAGCACAAGCAAACGGAGATTGCCTCGTCATGCACAAACAAACGGAGAGCCCCAGCCTCGGCATGTAGTTACTAGGGGACTTCTGTAGAAGCATTAGTGGTGTGCCTATAATGATTGATGAAACCGAACAAGAACAAGACCAAAACGCAGTCTTAGCACTTTCATGTTCATCTTAAACAAAAAAGTATGGTATTTTATATAGTATTTCAGAAAGCATGGCGATCGCGGTCATGCACTTCCGGACAAACAAATAAATATACATATTTCAGAACTATTAAAACATGATGAGCAGGAGCCTTTAGTGGGGGTTCTTAAGGTACGCTGTCCGCTGTACCGAGCACTTTGCCCAAATCGGCCTCGCCAAAGTGGGTGATGATGTCACCTTGCTTCAATGACGTTCCTGGGATATCTTGCAGCACAATAAGCACCATGTGACACGATTCAAGCATTCTACCGGACGGGCGAATGCCGACTTAGAGGATGCTCTACTTATGTTGAAGAGAGAAAGCGAGAGAGAGAGCGAGAGAGAGGAAAGAGAGCGCTGGCGCTCTTTCTCTTAATCTTATGTAGTTGTATAGAATTATATAGAAGGACGACTCTCGTCTTTAGGGAGCGCTCTACATCTGCTTATGTTTATGTACTGAATGTACCTAATAAGACATATTTTATAGGACGATGCGGAGCAGGTCGAGAACAATACTCCCTCATCAACAGCATATTGTTATTGGTAGATCATATTCAATTGCTGGCTTCTACCCTTTTTCTTGTACTACAGCTACTCAGAAAGTAAAGGAAATTGTAAACTACAGAAGACACTTTCAACACCTGCATATCTATAGGAAGACCTAGCACAGCACGAGGATGCTCTTGATCCGATGCCCATGATCTGCGATAAACTGAAATAAGCGAGCAGCAGACGACAATAACCGAGATACTGGTACTGCTTATGTTGATGATTGTACCTATACTAGAGGCGGCTGCATTTAGTTCTTTTCAGGTGACTGAAGGAAGAGCAGTAGCTGTAGCCTTTAAAAGCTGCTACGCCCGTTTCCCTTAATATTTCAGTGAGTTGTAACGAGACTTTGAGCAGTCTGCCCTAGTCTAGTCATACTCAATTCTACATCTACTACTAGACGAAGATTTTCTTTTTCTGTGAAGAAAAAATTTCTTATTATTAATTCTCGACACTATTAGTGTCAAGAATCATAAGCTTTGAAGTAGAGACGTCATTGCTTGAATCTGCACTAGATGTACACATATCGATATCAAGAGGACATACCATTCGCATTCGGATTGACACTAGATTAATATGTGGATTCAGCAGTGTTTGTGCTGCCGTGTAGACTGTAGTCTTCGATATGTGATAAACTTGTTGACCACGACCTTCAACTTGACCCAGTCCCACTCACATAACAGGGCTGATGTTCCGGCTTCACAGGTTCCCCAGTTTGAGGGTCTTTCTGGTTCTTACTCGGTTCCCACAGATCCAAACGGTGCAAAAATACCTCATCGGTCCAGCCTTGGTCCTGGAAGAAGCTCTCGGGAACCATTGACTCCCTAAACAGCTTGCTCAAGTACAGCTGGTCCTGCCACATGGCAAAAGAACAAAATTAGACCAGGCAGAGAACTACAGTTTACATGATCAAGATTATTTGTATCAGAAGAGGGTCAGGGTGAGAACATAAACACAAACACTAGTGCTCCACTTCTTCGAGCATCATGAGGTGAAGGTATTCACTTCTTGCGAACTTCATTACTAGAACAAGAGCCCTGACTTAGCCCTAACCCAGTAAGCCCTAGACCTAGGCTCTAGCCCTAACCGTTGTAGTTGATCTGCTGGCGGCACTCACGACAAAGCAAAAGTAAAAGAAAACAATCTTCATCAAAGAAATTATATCAAGAAGTGCTCTTCTTCTTAATCATACTTGAACCCGGGGGGCTGTGAGGGGGGGCCGTAAGGGGGGGCTGTAAGGGGGGGCTGTAAGGGTGTCGCAAGGGTCTGAAAGGGTATCCCAAGGGGGACGCGTAAGGGTCATGAGGGTCTTCGTAACGGTTCAAAGGGGGGGTCTAAGGGTGGGGCAAGGGTCTTACAACGGTTGTCAGACAAACATTGATGTTCATAATATTTAATATATATCAACTATATCAAGAAGTACTCTTCTTCTTAATCATACTTGAACCCACGAAACAGGACTTGTTCATGTCTAATCATATTTGAAATCATCTCATAAAAAAAATGATCCACCTGCTCCACCTCGAAGTCGCCATCTGCGCCAGGCCAAGGGTACAGAGCTGCTTCTGCGTGAGTTATCAACTATCGTTAGAAGAGCCAAACGAAGAACAGAAGAAACTAGTAGAAAAATGTCGACGCAGCTGTTCCTTCTCGGGAATCAAAATGGCCCTCCTTAATGTGCTGGGTTGAGTGGCTCCCTCCAAGGGCGATTCAGCTTTTTGAGATGGTATGGAGGGTCGATCGAGGACGTGTCTTCCCCTCGGAACTTCAAGAAGAAGACGTTGTCTGCGAGCCATGTCTTGATAAGCCTCTGCCGAACATTTGCAGCCCAGTTGCACAGCATATTTCCTACGAACGTTAGAGCTAGCGGCAGTCTGTTGAAACGCCTGTAGTTCATATTGAAGCCGTCTACTTACATCTTGACGCTTGTCTTGCATATTGTCGATCCCCAAATTATGAAACATCCCAAGCATGAGCATAGCCAGTACTGAAGTCAACAACTTAAAGACTTCCGAGCATCATGATCAAAGAAACAACAAGAGCAAGATAATCATAACGACACCAGAGCGAAGAGCAACAGCATCAAAACCATCAGCATCATCATCAACAGCAACACGCTCAAAGCCTTAAGGCCTTAAGCGTGTGCAGGATAGGAGTAAGCTGATGAGTGAGATAGTTGGCCCGGATCTAGTTAGCTTAGCCAGATGAAAGGCGCCAAGCTTCAGGGATCTTCGTACTTGACAACAACACAGGCCAAACGCTTTACCTTCTCACTTTTGCCCTGTGCTTGTGCAGATTAGCACTAGTCACAGGACAGGGGCGACATTGCGGAGGATGATGAAGAACATCATCCAAAACCCTAGCCATTGGGCTACCTTATGGCTAGTCTAATTTTGATGCTCTCCTGGCCGCAACACATATATATTGAGTATAGTATAATGACAGGCTATTGGTGGAGCCAACCTAACTAAAAGAAGACAGAGAAAATCAAAAAGAGAAGATGCGACTATTATTATAGGTAAAGTAGTGCCAAATAGACCGTAGTACAAGTAGGGAATATATTTTGAAATCCAAATCATGCTTCAACGACGACACTTAAGAACAAAGCGGTGCCCGCGATCAAGATACCACCAGGGACACCAAGCGAAATAGTAACCCCGAGCGCCTTGAAAAGCGCAACAAGACCCGCATGCATTACTGCGAAGCCAATCGTGTAAGCAGCCTTCGCAAAAGTGGCCTCCATAACGATTCCGAAAATGACAGCAGGAATGGCAAATCTTTTGTCGTTGGCGATCCAGTTCTGAGGCGAAGATTAGAGCTGCTCACCCTTATGTATGAAGCGCTACTGATGAGCCAAAAACACAACTACGACCTACAGCTGGTGGCGCTACGCTAACTTCTACTCTATAAGTTACACTAGACCGATCGCCGCCACTGAAGGACCGCGCAGTTCCGTGTTATATTCGATTCCAACTTCATCTACTTCCCTGGAGCAGCTTCTTTATTTCAAATGTTGGAGCCCAATGCTCTTACTGAATTCTTGCAAGTTCTTACTAGTCCTCTCGCTCTGGTTTTGTGATCTCTCATCTATAAGGCGCTAGACCTAGAAGCTGCGGTGAAACAGTTACAAGATGCTTCCATCCGAAGATGGAAGATTGGCAGCCTTAAGAAGAGAGTTGCCGTCGGTCTCGCAGGGCAGCGACCCTTGCAGCGGAGGCTACTTTTCCAGCCAATGTTCCCGGACATTGAGCCTCGCTAATGAGCTCAGGATTAGAGATAGGTGTATCGCTTTAGGCTAAGGATAGGTCCCCTCTTAAGAATAAGACAGTATCGGCGATATTAATCGCCCCTAACTAATATAATCATTATCCTGGCCAAGCAGGAGAGGCGCCCTGCTCGTATAGGGAATGGCGATATAGTGTCCGGTGTTGATCTTTGTGGTGGGCGCTGCATTATATTTTTTTCCCCTTGAAAATAAGAGAGTAGCCTCTTACACTTTCGGATGCTCCGCGAAGTAAGTAGCCTCTTACTGCAGGATCAGAATTGATTGACTGACTGATTGATAATTGCTTGATTGAGTGACGTGCCTGGCAAGAGGTCGACTATCTAACTGATTGCAAAGTTTCCTGCTTAGAAAATGGATAATCAAAAGGGGCCATGCATGGTCAGGATGTTTTCCTATTTAGAAAATAGACCTGGACCATCAGCATCACGACCATTAGGGTAAAGGTGAACCGCCCACCTACAAGGAGCCTTAACTTTAAAATATCATCGACTTTAGAACACAATACGGTAAGGCTAAGGCCATTATCCAACATTACGGTAAGGGCAAACCCTCTAAGTAGCCCAGTAGGGTAATGGGAAGCCATGATCCTATAACTATTTATAAGCACGACCTAGGAAAAAATGCTAATGATTAGCGTAAACCCTATAAGAATAAGCCTTAACATTCAGTGGTCTATTAATATCCTACCACTCAGTGGTCTATTCTATCTATTCGATAAACTAAAATAAGCGAGTAACTACTTAAAATAAGCGAGATACTGAACAAGGAAGAGTAGCCCTGTCAAAGCTACCTCCCTTATTTCAGTCAGCAACTCGGATATTTTTAGTTTTCGAGTAAATTTATTAGTATCCTCCTAACATTCAATGGTCTATCATCGTTCTCTGCACCTTTTCCTGCATCGCGGAGTTTTTTTTCGAGATCAGCCACACTTGTCATCTCGCCCTCTTCTGTCGGAGCCGCGTTTTCCAGTGCGCCTGCCGCACGTGCCATCCCTACCACGGTTCTTAGAAAATAGGCGATCAACACTGTCAGAAGGATAGAATAAGATAGGATACATAGGTGATGAACACTGTAAGATACAATAGGGTAGGATAGGTGGCGAGCACTGTCATAGAAGGATAGAAGGATAGGATCGGATAGGAGAGGCCTTGATAGGATATGATAGTATAGGAGTTGACCCGTCGTCCGTTTCACTTATTCACGCTACGAGAGAGATGACGAACAGCGTCAAGAAGAAGGGTAGGAGAGGATAGAAGGACAAGAGAGGATAGGATAGGATAGGATAGAATACAAAATAGGATAGGAGTTGACCCGCCGTCCGTTTCACTGATTGAGGCTTTAAGAAAGACGGCGAACAATTCTGTCATAGACGGACAAGCCTACTTCTACTTGGAGTTGTATTTACTTTCAACTTCAAGCCTACTTCTGCTCGACGTAGTTGTACTTACTTACGGGCCTACCTCTTCTTGTAGTTGTGCTTACTACTTGCAAGCCTACTTCTACATACTTCTGCTACTTGTAGTTGTACTTACAACTAGTACAACTCTAGTTGTACTTACTAGTGCTACTCGTGGTCTTAACTTCGATGCGAATCGTGCTGCTTGGATCAAGGTATAGATCGTCGTACGTGGCAGGTCACGGGACATACTGGACGCAATATATTTCTTCCACATTTTGTTGCCTCCCAATGATCGAGTATAGCCGACCATGCAATAAGGCTTCTCAAAAACCTTGTCGCCTTGAAGTCCATTCTTCCTCGGTTAGAGGTACCGATAACCCATAGCTTGCAGGACACATCTTCGTTTACTGTTTAGTTGCTTATTCCAAGAAGTGCATTTCGAATAAAAGATGGTGTAAAACTAACTTAAGTACTAAATAAAGATTGTGTAAGTAAAACTAAAACGAGCCATAACTTGGCCCTGCCCCAGCCGCGTCTCCCTTTGCACCGAAAAGATCCATGTAACCTGCCAGGGTTGAGGAGGTTGAGGATATTGCCGCTTCCTCCTGCTCGAAGTCTGCGTTGCCAACGTCATCGACAAACAAAAGGGTCTCCTCGATGCCAGCCGCAAGGTATTTCTCGTTTTTCGTCTCATTAGACGCATGGATCATGGCGATGTTCCACCTCGGGCATTAATTATCCTAGGCCCTTCAGTCTCTAGGACATTAGTCATGTATGTAAGAAAGTAAGTACCTAGCGTTCCTCTTCCTTCTAGGACATAAATGCATTCTAAGTATTACGGTAAAGAAAAAGATGCCGGTTATCCTTATCAAAGGGGTAAGAGTAAGTTGTACTTGTAAGTATGTAAAAAGTAAACTTTACTTTTTACATACTTAAGAAAAGTTCCGAGAGATAGGAAATCATTATGAGCCGGATGAGTGAATGCAATTAGTAAAGCAAGTTAGTATAGATATCGATATCATCAAGAGGTAGATGACTCAATGGGATATAAGAAGGTAGAAGCACTGAAGAGGCACTTACAAGCAGACAGGAGACGACGGGCCAGAGATCGAGATAGACTAGGGATAAAGATAGACATAGAGGCACAGATAGACAAGAGATGCAGATAGACATAGGGACACAGACTATACGTGACTCTTTTACTTCAGACAGTTAGCTAGAGCTCGTACGTAGTAGAAGTAGAAAGATCTAGTAGAAGTAGAAAGACGGCTTAGTTATTTTCACTTTTTGACGGCCTAGGTGTGGTAGAGAGATACATATATCACGGCCTAGTAGTAGGAAGATCATGTTTATGGCCTTAAGATTGGGCATCGCCTTCAAGTGGCTAGCGATCTGCAAGCGCACGTAGGCCATCATGAAGGACCGCGTCATTGCCAGTTGCTCTCGTTTTTCTCTTTTCTCCACATCGACGCGGCCTTGTTCAGCTTGTGGCAGTTTGTCTTCGTCTTTTACGTCTGGTCCTTCGTCGTCTTCTCGTTGGCCAAGCTCTTTTTCCTCATTTTTAGACTTACAGGGACGAGTCGTGAGTGCTACATTGAATCATTAAGATCCGTGCTTGTCCTTGTCAAATGTTGAGTTTATATGGGGGATTGTGGATGTTGACCACTTTGAGCAGGGATTCTATCCATTTTCATGGCTTCTGTGTACAAGAGAGAGGATGACTTTGACCAGCAGCTGTTCTATTTATCTTTATGGCTTCCAGATCTACTTGAGACCAGGACCACGACGGACTAACTATGCATAAAAAAAATTCCCTTGAACAAGTTATGTAAGTGGTGGATACATTGAAGTTAAATTAATATAAATTAGTGACATTGATAGTGACTGGGACCTTTCATCTTGCCTTAATACTATCATGTTGCTCACCCTCGCTCACTTTCGCTTTCGGCGGCGCTTGGAAAGCCAGATTGAAAGTGACGCGGTCGCGCGAGTTATCATTGCCACGGTTTCTTAGAGCTTCCCCCGGAAAACCATCTTGAAAGTCAGTCATCTTGGACTCGTTTCCTCTTGTTACAAGGGAGGTGGTCCAAGAAGATGCTTCTCGAAATGGGACATTTTTTCCAGACATGATCATAAGTTCCAAAGTTTGAATTTCTGATACCACTTGGAATCAGAGTTGATTGTCTTCACATACCCGTTGTCGCGTCCGTTCAGTGTGTGCATCAGCTCCGCTACAGGATAAGCAACCTGTGCAGATAAGGAGGCCAGAAATCGAGCCAGCTCACCGCTTGGTACGCTCACCGGTTGGGTTTCACCACATTAGAAGAGAAACCTCAACACGCGAAGAAATGCTGTTCTAAGTCATCTAGAAGATTCATTGATTCTGGGTGGATAAAGTTTTGGGAGAGGATAGGAATCTTGGAAACGCCTTCATCTTCCAGAATTCTATCCCTCGTCATCTTACTTGATCTTTCACTCATTCAAGTACATGATAGAAGATCACAATATAATTACGAAGACCCAAATTTTTGACTTGCAAACACATGAATTCGCATCATGTTGCCACGAGTACATGATACGAGTACATGATAGAAGACACGAGGTCGCATCATGTTGTTATCGTGTCGTGTGCAAATGATGCATCAACTTTGGGCGCCCTTGACTAAAGTAGAGTCTCAATATTCTGAAGCGAGAGCTTGTATGCTTCTGGTATTTGGTAGCCTGAAGTTGACCACATCAGGGGTCTCTTCTTGTTTTCCTTATGATCAAAATCAGGTTACCAAATACCAGAACCATTCAAAGCTGCCTTCTACAACCAAGGATAGACCACAGCCACTAAGACCAAAGTCCGAAAGTCTACTGCAGAGGACTAAGTACTTCTAACAACTATATTCATTGTTTTATATTATATGTATAACCGACACCGACATAAGGCTCCTCATCGTTCTCCGCTTCGGTCTAGACTCTCATCAAATACTGATGAGAGCCTTTCTAGGCTGAAGAAGTTAATCTTAATTGATGGATTGAATCATCATTATCTTCTAATAAATTATAAGACCTATGCAGCGATAGACTACTTCTTATCCATAAAACGGAACGGCAACGGTGAGGCAGGCCGCAAACGCGTATTGGTCATAGAGGTAGCGGTCCATCGGCAATACGGGCGATTTCGATTTCGGCGACAAGTTCGACAGTACTAGTACATGCAGAAAACGTAGTATAGCTTAGGTTAGGTGTTGGTCTACCAGTACCAATCATATTTTCTATACTTACGGATGGAGCCAAGCTAACTAGGAAAAGAATTATATTTTCTATACTTATATAATAGATACTGTAGCAAGCTCTTAATAGAATCTTCGCTCTTCTTTTCTGACTTGGCGGCGAATTTCTGAACACAAGCGTCCCACGTGGCGTGCCGCTCAATGGCGAGGCGCTTCTCCTCGTCTAAGTTGGCTTTCATGTTGTCGTTGGCACTTTCTTTCGCGAGTCCGGAGGCTACTGACTTTGCGTGTTGTCGAATTGCGTCCATTGCCACATCTGCACGCGTTAGGCCTTTGCGGTCCTTTTCTTCACTCTCACTCCGCTGCTCTTGATCTGGTTCAGGAATGGCAAACAAGAGGCTCGTATGAGAGAGCCAAAATCGCTATCAGCTTAGGCTAGGTTAGGTTGTGAATAATCCTGCACATCGAGCACCCCCGCCGCACCTATCATTCTATCATCATTATCTTCACATCACTTTTCTGATTCTGTACCTAAAAAAATTTGATTTGATAGTGGTCGAGCCAGCCTAACTTACTAGGAAAAAACACAAAATCAAAAAGAAGAAGGTGAAGAGCTGCAAGAGTGACCGAGTAAAGTACAACTATCCTCGAATTTACAACTTGCTTCATCTCATCAAATAATTTTTGAAGTACTTGTACTTGTACTATTCTCGAATAATATCTGAGACTTCGAATACTTAAGAAACTTGATAAAGATGATTATGACAGATTTTCGTTTCATAGCTCGAAATGTCCAAGTTTTCGCTCGTTTTTTTTAGAGCTCACGACCCCAATCTATCCATCCAAACAGCTTCGAGCGAGATGCTCGTGTAATGTGGATATCGATCGGATGGAGGATCGATGGATTAGGGGGACGGAAGGAGCCTTAATTTTTGAACAACGTGTCTCCAGGAGAGAAAGTCCCCCTCAGCTCGCCTGTCCCACAGGATCCAAACATGGTTTTTAGTCGGTTCCAGTATCCACGACGTGCGGCGACGGATATAGTTTTCAGGTGGTGACGGTCCCTCGCTTTTTTTCGGTTCGGTTGCTTCGGTTTCAGCACTCACACTCTCCTGAAGGAAAGAAGTGGTTGAATTCGTATCCCACGACCAGGAGCCTTCGTCATCTTCCAGTTGGTAGTTGTATTAGAGTTGTCTTTGCCAGCTTCTTTGGTCGTGATGAACAAGATTTCTACTCTGAACAAACGGCCTCTCGACTACTATTGGCACGTATCGCGGCCTGAACGCGTCCAAAAGCGGCATTTGCTCTCCTCTCTCGTAAAGTTCTCTAAGTACCGTGAACAATCCATTTGGCGGCATGTGCTTAGGTTAGGCTAGGTTGGGGCCTACCATCCGATGTGGCAGACTTTAACGGCTGCTAAAGAGCAACATGGAACAAATAATCAAGTAATAATTGTAGTTGTTATTTGTGCCTCTTGTCCATAAAAAGAAGTCGAATTATTTCCAACAGTGCCACCTTCTCCTTCTAGCTGCCAGAAAGCTGATGAACTTGTAGGAACGTCCTCGTCAGGATGTCCATACGCGTTTTTTCCCGCGTCGTTTGCTGTTTCGTCCTCCGTAATTAGAAAAAGAGAAAAGTCAATTCTCAAATTGTGTTCATCGACGTGGTCTTTGATGTGTATTGACAATATACCACTCACATCATAAAAAGCATAAAAATAGCATACAATACAACAGAGAAAAGGTCATATCATAATAAGCATCAAGAGGAAGAGCAAGAACATCTATCAGTATCAGAACTGTTCCATCGCGTGATGTTTCATCACCTAGATGAAGCAAGAAATGAAGAAACTGCCTGGTGGCTTCTTTATGTCCTCTACGAAGATCTAGCCTCCATATCACAGAGCACGAAAGTGAGCGAAGATAGGTAGGAAGATTGAAGAAATTATAAACTTCATCTTCGCATCGATTCGTCTTCCAAGCAACATGCTTGAAGAGTTAGTCACAAAGCGAAGAGTATATTAGTCACAAAGCATTACAATTATACTAATGCTGTCCCATGCAACGTATCTTTACGCTCTCCTTCTGGGATTTTAATCCAAAGACTAATTATGCTGCTTTTCCTTTTCTTGTTATAATAATCCGGAGTCAATCTGACTCAGATTATCTGAGGCAGCATAATTCGGTTGATGTCACGTGGTTCGTCAGTGCATGAATGAAGATGATCATGACTGAAACCGAAGAAGGCCAAGATCTTTGAATTCTATCTCTCAAACAAAAAAATACGTCAATAGAGAGAGAGAAAGTTGTCCAGTCGTGGTCCCTGATCTTCGATGTAGAAGAGGAATTGCAGGTCGTAGGTAAAAGCTGTAAATAGAAAAGGAATATGGCTGCAATTAAAATTATGACTCATAACATCTTGCGAACTTTTCCATTTTTTATCGCTTTCTCCCACAGCTCCTCACCCATACCTTCGGAGGAGGCGGAGAGCCCCACGCCGTCCTCGTGCAGACCCGCAACTGTTAGAGTGGGAAAGGTAGATAGATAGATAGATAGATGTACCCACTCAACACGGGGTATATTTCCTTTAATTAGGGACTTCTTCTCAACCGTATTACGGTAAACTACCCTGAAGAGCTCTGTGAGACGAGTGGGAAATAACAAGGTAAACTTCTCATCTCAACACCTAAGCCCTCACCTCAAGCTCAACCCTGATATTAATGTAAACTTAATATTATCATCCACTCTACTCTATTAGGTGAACAGTCATAAAACATTTATAAGGTGAAGAGTAAGCTTAATACCCTCTCTACTCTAATTGACTTGTTAGACCCTTTAGGTTAGGTTAGGTTGGGGCCTACCATCCGATGTGGCAGACTTTAACGGCTGCTGAAGAGCCTTTACTATTACTTAGAATGTGAAAAGATTGAGATTCTTTCTCATCCACTAGGTAAGTAGTTAGGTTAGGCGTGGGCCCAGTGGGCAAAAGGTTGTAGGTGTAGACATAGTTCGTTGGCTACTGAAGAGCCAAAGTAATCTTCTGAGAAAGTTTATGGCCGCGAGTGAACCCACGCGCCGCTGCTGCAGACGGCGAGGGGACAAAAAGGTGGTAGTAAGTATGATATACTGTTGAAGTTAATCCTCTAAAATCCAGAATTTCTGTCTGGATCTAATAGTTCTAAAGGTCCATCTGGTTGCTAGTATAATCCTGCATCTGTTCTTGCTAATACATATGATCATAGATACATAATGGTGGAGCAGACCTAACTAGAAAAACCAAAACCGAAAAAAAAAGTCTGCTGTTCAGATATATTTTATACAGGTAGAGGAAGAGTATGAGCAGTAGGTGTTCAGTTGTCACCGGCAGAGCGACGCCTACCTAGCGTAGCATTGGCGTGAACTCGCGGAGGCTAAAAGGCGCTATGTGTATGTGGTGCCATGGTCAAGCGTTTCATGTCTCACCCTCGTGTGCTATTTTTTAAGTTTGAAACAAAGCTGACACAGAACAACGGGCGCCGCCCCGTGGTAAGTATTTTACCCTCTCACTCGCTCTCGCTATGCATAATTAGTATACTGCTGCCATTTACACACAGGTTAGCAAGTGCGCAGACTTCCTTCTTCATGAGTTAGCAAGTGGGTAGATCATAATTGAGCAAGTGCGTAGGGCAGGCCGTTGGCAGTGATTTCGTGAAATTTTTGTCCATATATACGTTTACGTACACCACCATCCCCCTTGACATCAGCACTCTTTTTAGGACTCTCTCCTTCCCCTCCACGCCCACCAGTTCCTTGGCCGCCGTCCTTGATGGCAGGAGGAGGCTCATCTTAGAGTTCTTGGCTGCACGTAATCAGCGTAGAATGTTGGAGACTTGTAAAATGTTGAAACTGCATAGATTTCTTTAGGCACCATAGTCAGCAAGGAGTTGCTTTTTCAACATAGTCAGAGGACTTCCATAGGCACCATGGTCAAGATTCACAGATCATGATTGATGGACGCTGTCAAGATTGGATGAATGATGCACCGATTGGTCTCAAAAACAAGTCGTCTTTTCATAGTCAGACTTTATAGGCAGACTTCCATACTAGACACAGCGGTTAGTGGCTATAAGCGATTAGTGGTTACTGATACGGGTACAGGCAAACGCCTAAACCACTAAGCGAGCCACGCAGTTGGCTTAGTGGTTTAGGCGTTGACCTGTACACTTTTTATCTATCAGCTACAGTGGATCTTCAGCGGTAGCTCGATGAAAGGCGGCTGTGCTCATAATCTTCATGCTCCTCCTCGATGAAAGACCTTCCTCCAAATAAGCGTTTCACCCCCGCCGACAAGGACCACCCAGGTTTTTCACGCATCCTACTTTCAGCTTTCTTCAGAATCTCCACACCGTTTTAGAAACAAGAATAGGTTAGGATAGAATTTGACTCGCCGTTGGGCCTTCATCCTCCACAAAAACATCAACGTGGTCTCCATCCTCCAAGTCCAATAAATTGCTGTAGAACTATTCTTCAAATCTGTGTCTAAGGTCGTATCTTTAAATCTTCGACTTCGTTCTCATTCATGCTCATGCTTACGTAGAAGTGATCCTTAGGTTTAGGGTGGCCTATGCCCTAGCGGCCGAATTCAGCCCTAAAAAACCCTAAGCCCGTTATCATCTTTTAGGCGATAGGCATAATTTGTGGTGGGGCACCTAACTAGAAAAAACAAAAACCAGATTCTACTCTCCCTAACATACTTACAAGAAAATATTTATCGATCAAGCATATGCTAGCTCTCTAGTAACTAAGCGCCGGCGCTATCGTAGTCCTGTCTCTTAGACGATATTGTAGTTTGAGTACAACGACAAACCGCTAGATCGACATCGGAGGAGGTCAGGGAGATTGTCACTTAGGTATGTACCTTGAAAGAGTGCTTCAATGTAGTCCTTAATCTATCTGATATTTGACCTTTAGGTCAAAAAAAGAAAAACGTACAATTGTACTAGTATCCTTTAATTTATCATGCTGCAGCTGCTACCTACACCTAGAACTAAAAGAAGAAGGTCCAGAGGTCTTGAGCGGACACCTTCTACTTCTAACCTAGTAAATTATTGCAGCGTGGACGATACCGGTTTTGGAATACAGTTAGACCACCTGGAGGCTATGAAAATGTATGTAAATAAAGTTCATCTCCAGCTCCAGTCTTCGTGCTTGAGAGGCATGTTGAGAGGGAAAGAGAAGAGCAAAGGACGCTGCTTTCACGCTCAGCACTTGCATGGGTGCTAGTCATGAGAAAGGAAAAAGCCGAGCTCGCAACAAAGATAGCTAATTAGATATTTGAAATTAGAATAACTAAAAGCCCGCCAGCCGCTTCAGCCCTTGGCGTACCACCCCGCCCCAGATTCCAATGGCGGAGGTACTATGAAAATGAAATGAAAACGAAAGTATGCATGTATTAATACTCTCTGCCTATTGTGACTGCGTGTGTGACGAAACACAAACAGGGCAACTTTTATCTTCATCAGGAAGTAGGAAATTCAAACTCCGAAGCCATAAGTGGCGGCCGCTTTTTCGCTAATCTTCTCCTTCGCTTTTGCTACCAATCCCGCAGGGTGTCTAACGACATGGGCTATGTCCATAGTTAGAGCTAATTTCATAACATCGATTTTCAGGTCTAAATGTCTCAAGTCCATCTGCTTTTTGTTCTCGTTCCAAGGACTACTTCAGCAGAAAGCTACGTGCTCGACAAACTGAAACAAGCAAGGAGCTACTTAGAAGAGCCGAGAATCCTGATGAAGGGATAAGATTAAGCCCCCTCTTTTATTTCAGTAGCTAACTCGGTGGCGATGGTGACTAATGGTGGTGATGATGATGGTGATTACAGTGCCTATGCTTGGGGTGGTTGCTGTTTTTTAGTGCTCAACCTTTGCACTTTTTCATGTGCCTTCTATATATTTCAATTGTTGTCGCCCTTGCTTTTCGAGTAAATTTCAAGGCATTGCTATCACCCAACATTAACGTAAAAACCCCTCTAAAAATTAAAAAAAAGTGTAAAGATCATTCTTGAGCCTTAAGGCAGCACCACTCGCCAACGATGCAGCGCCACCGGCCGCCACATTTAGGGCCTTCCCCTCTTTATGATCTCCTCATCCTTGTGAGAATCAATGTTTACGCAAAAATAAATGGTACCCCCCGAACATCTCCAGCACTATCGATTTCTTGTTTCTGACTAAATTGCATTTAATGGCTTCAAGAATCTTATCGGTCTAAATTGCATTGCATTAGCTACTCTGGTTCCAAGTATTGGCGGGTCGCTGAGGTGCATCTCTATATTTTTTGTGGGAGTGTCATCGCCAGAGAAGAGAGGCATGTCTACCGAGATGGACTACGGGAAGCCGTAAAAGTTGCGCCACCTTTGAAACATCTTTCTCCGCTTGGGCTTTTGCCAGCTCAGTGCGGTGAACTTCGATTTCCACACCCTTCAACTTCACGAACGCGAAAGATGCTTCCACAGGTCAGCGTTAGAAGAGGAGTCCTAATGTCTTTGGTTAAGGGTTACTTAAGCTAGGCTCTGTTAGGGATCAACTGCACACCGGGCAGCGCTGCCACCTGTTCGGCTCCGAGGGTGTTGTGAATGCTGGCATTTAAGTTGAACTTCTGCCCTTAATGAAACTATCTTCAGTTCTTAGGATTTAGTAAAGCTAGCGGAAGGATGTTTCGCGAATATCTTTAGAGAGAGAAAGTAGTTCGCCCAGCCCCAGCAGGTCGTCAAGCTTGAAAAAGAGGCAGAAGCGAGCAGGTGGAAAAAGGCAAAAAAAGGAAGACGAGGCGAAAAAGAAAAAAGTGCTATCGATCTATCATGGCTTGTAGAAAAGCTACGAAAGCAAAGTAAATACATAGTTGATGCGGCTAGCAACTGCCTTAATGCTAGAGCTAGGCTTAGCGTAAAGCAAGTGTTACATGAGAATAAAAACGATTTTGACCGAGGAAGACCAAACACGCCCAGAAAGCGGGCCCATCAAGGGCCCGCTGCACTAGACAGATGAGACTACTGCGCAAACCCATAAGTCACCAAGCTAACGACACGCAGGTGGTTCAGAGAGGACTACCCTGGGCGCCCCTCATGGCTAAACAAGCAGGCTGGCTGTGGCTGTCTTGTGGCTAAGGTAGCAAGCTGACTGCGGCTAAGCTAGCGAGCTTGAGTGGCCATGGCAAAGCTAGCATGCTAGAAATGGCGGCGCTAGCAAGCTGACCAAGATTAGGCTAAGCACCTGGCTCTGGCTGCCGGGCAAAGCTAGCAGGGTGGCCATGGCCACGCTAGCGAGCAAGGTGGCTATGGCTGAGAAGAGAAAGCAGCTGCTGAGCTAGGTCTCGCAAAGGAAGCTGCTACCAAGCTATGCTAGCTATGGCCAAGCAGCTAGGAGCAAGCCAGCGATGGCCAACCAGCTAGCAAGCTAGCCATCATGACCAAGTAGCTACCTTGCTAGCTAAATAAGGCCGAGCAGCTACCTAGTTGTAAGCCCGCTAGCTATGGCGCAGCAGCTAGCAAGCTAGCTATGCCGAAGCAGCAAGCAAGCTAGCTATGGCTAAGCAGCTACCTAGACAGCTATGGCCAAGCAGCTACCTTGGTAACCTAGCCAGGCAGCTACGGGTAAGGGGTAGGCAAGCAAGCTAGCTAGCAAGGGCGAAGCAGCTAGCAAGCTGGCCATGGCTAAGCTAGCAAGCCCAAGCCCTTGCGAGGTGGCGGCGGCCCTTAGGGGAGGGCCCATTATCCGCCTAAGTTTGTGACAGCTTTGCCACAAGGAGCATTCTTAAGGAAAATCTTCCGCCTTCCAGAAAGTTATGGTAACTTTTTGTGATAGGAATTCCTTGAGGGAATCAATTGCCTTAAGGAAGGCACTTAAGGAAGACTCTTAAGGATTTGAGGGAAGTTGTTTACCTTATAGCAGAATAGTGTATAAGGTTTGGCAGCCCGCGTGGCATGGAGTGCATGGACCGCATGGACCTGCATGGAGCAGGTGCCCCATGCGTTCCATGCGTGAAAATTTTATCAGTACGCCCTTCGGGCGCTCCCTCGTCAGAGCTCACACGCCTACAGCTCGGCACTCCAGGCGGAAACTCCAAGCACCTAGACCGCCAGCCCCCGAGCCAGCTGCTACATCTCCGAGCCCACTCACCCGTGGGTCGAGGGCCTTGGGGCGCGCAAGAAATCAGCCTGCTGCAGCGCCGCCAGTTTTTACGCCACGCCCCCGCATCACGCACAAGGCAGCGCTCCCGCGGCGTCAGTCTAGCCGACCAACCGGCCCCAACTTCTACAGCCCCCGACCCACCCGCCCCCGGGTGGGCCGGGCGCTTGTTCGTGGCCCATGCACTCCATGCGTGGCGATGCTGTGTCTGCTCCATGCACTCCATGCTGCTCCATGCACCATGAGTGCTACAAGCTGCTCTGTTATAAATACTACTACGTATACTGAAGCCTTACTTCTTTGATTTATCGGAATCCCTAGTAGTACTCCTCGACTACCGGCGGCACGATACAACTCCAACAGTGTGCCCCAAGGTACAGCTTGACTTCTAAGGCCACAGACTTAACATCTTTTCAAGGAAATTGAAACGGAGCTAGTGCTAGTTCAGAGCTACTTTGTAGCTTCTCCGTCGACGGGAGCCACGCTCTTCTAGTGTTGGTCTAAGTTCAAAGGCCCCGCCACTCAGCATAGAAGCCCATACTCGGCGACCATAGTGAAAAACTGTTCTCAGGGTACTTTGTGCCCACTCTCAGACAAAGCATGAGCCAGCAAGTCGAGAGTAATATGAGACTGTCTAGTCGTAGTCTCGTTCTCTATGATATATTTTGCCCTAATCGGTGTCCGGTTTCGTGGCACCCGCCTCGGCAGAGCTGATTGCTTGAGTGCCGTCGGAAACCAAGGCCATGCAGTATTAGAGACTGCAGAATTACACTCCCCAGAGCGTCCTCCTTGGGTTTTCATCCTCTTCTAGAAGTCAAGGATGGACGTGCGGGATGTTATTCGGCCTTAATAGTAGAAGTCCATCCAATCACCTGTATCACAGGCTGATGGAAAGGGTACAGTTACTTTGCCGTTGCTTTGCCTCGCGAACAACGGCAGCTGGACGTAACACGTTACGAGCGGTTCGTCCTCCTTGCGATCCTTGCATTCCTCTCCGAGAGCGCTTTTATATCGTCCACCCAAGCGCTCGAAAAACATAGGAACAGTTCCACAACGGATCCAAATTTTCGAAAAATTCTCCTGGTATACATTAGATGCATTTGGTGAAATGGAGTAAGCAAGTAACAGACGCTGAGTAATCTTCTCAGATAGTTAGTCGGCTACTTCCGTTAGGTACGCGCTTATTTCAGGACGTCGAGTAAGTTTTCACAACGTTGGTAGTATGCCCCTATACCTAGTCCTGGCGTAGGGGGTAAGTTGTCCGCTGCCTCCCTTGGTATCGTGGGTTAGTTGATGCCCGTTGTTTTTGTTCCCTTGATATATTTTTCGTTTTCCCTTTAAATGGAAGATAGGGAAAAATTCTATTTATACAAAAATACCTGGCAACTGATATTCTTGAGGTACAATACCTGGCATTCTTGATCATTTAGTATACCAAGGCAACCAACATGTACATGAGCCTTAATTCTTGAAGAAGTGTCGACCTGTAAAAATTCGCCTTGCTGGTCTGTTGTGGTCGAGTTGTTTTGAAGATAAAGACGCGACGACCCTCTAAAGGCGTAGGCTTTTTTAGTATTAGAGGTTGCGAAATTACATTCCTCCGAGCGTCCCTGACTTCTTTCCGACAACTGAAAAAAAAGCCAGGGACGCTAGTGTAGTGACGGATGTGATGTGGGGGCCCTTAATAGTGGGCACCTCGCTGCTTTCCGTTGGGCCTTGGTGCTGGGTAAAAGGGCCTTCGTGCTGGGTAAAAGAAGAGGCGGTGACGGGCCCGTCTATATCCCCGGCAGCTTCGGTTCCTGCGGTACTTCCTGCTTGTTGTGCGATATCTTGATCAGCTCCAGATTTCCTAAGACTTAGAACTGAGTGCCAGGAAACAACTTCTACGTCCTTGGGAGCTAAGAATCTTTTGGTAAGGAGTCGATCCTTCTAAAGATTCACTCTAGAATGGTGAAGAAGAAGACGCTATAATTAATTTCTTCTACTATGTTGGGGACGAGCCTCGGAAAGATGCCTGGACTTCTTCTAGCCTTAAAGATTTTTGGTACGTAGGTAATGCGGGAACGCACTGGCCTGGGTGTAGGTTGTTACTGCTGTCAATCTGCCCAGGAATCCAAGAGTGGCTCGCTGTTAGAGCTCAAAGCGATTCACTTCTGGTTTATGCAGCGAAAATCTGTTATCACTGCCAAGCTTCATCTTACTTAGAAAAGTGCGATAATGATAATAGATTTTGGCTTCGTACGGTTGTTGCCTACATTTCGACTTCATCTTCCGAACCTAAGAAATTGTCCTAAAAACAAGGAAATAGAGAGAAATGCTGGCCGAGAAGCCCTCACGACTTCGATTGTCGTAATATTGTAGTAAGAAGAAATGATAAATAGGTGGAAATTGAAATTGAACTGACTTCCTTTTCGTAGCCATGCTGATTTACTCTCCCAATCGATAATTTGAGGGATTTCCGCTGAATACGTTGTAGTAGAAAACATAGGGCGGACGCATCTATTCTCGGAACGCATATACTGTAAGGTTTAGAGTCACAGTCCACAGCACTTAGCTCGACTCCAAGAGTTTAGTAGTAGTGGGAGTAGTAGTAGTGCTAGTAGTGTAACCAGTCGCGGGGCAGCAAAGATTCAACTAAGTCACTGCGTAGTTGTTCTTCTTTGTTCCTTCTTCTTGTAGGGGATGAAGGGAAAACCAAAACCACTCTACCATGTAATATTGAGCCTTAATGCTGGATACTCAATGGTTTCATGGTTCGCGTCAGCCTTTTTATACCAGTTGGCAACACCGATCGCGCGCTTCTTCATGTTGTGACAGGCAGCCTTAGGATTCGACTCTTCCGCTTTTTCGTCCTCATATTGGTTAGAATACCAGGCAATCTCAAAAATGCTTTGCACTCTTTCCCTAAAAATGTTATGTCTAAAATTATTACCACGCCAAGTATAAGTATCAGCAAGATGGCATGTTGGCACGAGTCTCTTCACATAGACATCATAGTTTTACACATAAGAGGACCAAGGCGGCTATTTCTAACTCGTGATGGAGCAGGTCTAACCAACAAGAAGACCACGGCTATCGAAGATACTGATCAACAGTTCTTCTAGTTCTAGTTCTACTAGGCTGTCGAAGATAATCAACTACATTTGTATTTGTTCTACTAAATCATGTGTAGTCGTGACTAGAGGCGATAGCATAGTTGTTGTAGAGCCCTAACTAGGAAAAAGGAACTCCAGAAAAGGATCTAATACAGCCGATAGTCGTTCTCTACAGCTGTCTACAGTGAACCGACAGGCGTCTTCTAGCAACAAAAATTATTATTATAGTTAGTAGTTCTCTATCTGTACCATCAGAGAGGGACAATTGAAAGATTCTTCTCTACTATCAGCAACTGAGAAGATGCCATGTGTCGTCTATGAAAAGAAAATCTGTTATCATTATCAAGTTTCTGAAGTAGAAAAGTACGATAATGATAACAGATTTTGGTTTCATGTCGTCTGCCCTACTACTAGTACTATTGTTCCCTACTTCTAATATGCATATGGTGCATTGTTCCCTACTTCAATGGTGCCCTAAAATTGTTTTTGTTCTCGAACTCTATCTCGACCAGTACTATCGAGACTTATTTAGTTATGATCTTAGCCGCTACTAACCATGAAGTCATAGATGAAGGCAGTTGCTGCAGACGCAGCCGCTACTAACCATGAAGTGATAGTAGTAGTAGTGTACCCAATCGTGGGGTGTGGAAGATAATCTAATTAGTTAGATTGTTTCTCCTCCTTTTTGCTGCACTTCCTTCTTTCCGTCACTCACTTCCTTCTTTTTGAACGTCAATCAGGATCATTGAAAAAAAGTTATACTTCAAAGGTGATTCATAACCTCGTCTCCTGACTCTTTGGATGGCATCCAATATTCCGCCAGCCCGAGTTTTGTGTAGGGCCCCGTGTTAGAGCTCCTCACCCAGATCTCCCATGTTAAGACAACTCATCTTGCAGATGATGATCTCCCATGAGTTGTTAAGACTCTTCATCTTGGAGCTGCTTTCTCCTTATTATGAGCCATCTCCCATGTTATAAGACAACTCATCTTGGAGCTGCTTTCTTCTTATGGGACAGCGAAGACGAAAAACTGAAATAGAGTTATAAGACTCTTCATCTTGGAGTGGACCTCCACCTTTCCCCTCAGAGGTATAGGACGGCTCCAAGATGATTCAGAAAGGGGGCGCCTCCTTTCCTCTATTTCTGCAGAGACCCAAGAGGGAAGCTGCGAGAAATAGAAAAGCCTCGTAGAAATGAAATATATTGAGCCTTAGCGTTAGCGTGTTCTTCTGCGACTTCGTAAAACTCAACTCCAGCCGGGTCCAGAGGATCCCTCGAGCCAACGGCTTCTGCGGCAACGGTAGATGTTAGAGATGAAGAATATCAAGAAGGAAATTGAAATGAATGATGCCAGTGCCACTAGACATAGTGCAATAGTGAAAAGGGAGGGAGAGGGACTTCGTGAGAGCTGTAAAAAATCGGGGAAAAACATATTATCAGCATAGGCATACCGAGGATCATGCGAAAAAGTTAGCAGCGTTCTCTGCAGATTTCGAAAAACTGAAATAAGCAAGGAGCTACTTAGAATAACCGAAAATCCCGAAGAGGCAATAGAATTAAGCCTCCTCTCTTATTTCAGTAACTAACTCGGTCACTTTCACTTTTCGAGTATTTTTGCCTTGGGAGCGACATATCGGCTATTTCCGTGTTCTAAATCCATGCTACCATAGATATTTAGATCAGAAAAGGAGCTCGATTGTGTACTTGTTGTAAACTACTAACAAACTACTGCAAGAGCCACCTGTAATATATCGAAGACCCTAAGATTGGAGCTTCGTCTTCAGCCGGAGTCATGTCATCATCTCCAGCAGCTTCAGGCCCCTGCTTCGCTTCCTCATCGGGCTCATCCTCAGGCTCAACTTTTTTAAGACCCTGCCCAGCTTCCTCTCCATTTTCTTGTCTCTGTTGCTTCTTCTCCTCCGCCTCTATCTTAGATCGCTTGGAGTATAGGGGCTTTCACTTTAGTTCTTGCACTTTGGATGGTGCTTTGGCGCTTTCACTTTACTTCTTGTTCATACTCTATCGAGTTCGAGACTCGGGGTATTATGCGAAGTATTTCTGTGGGGCTTGGTGGACTTGGAGGAGAGCCGCGTATAATCGATGAAAAGGGCTAAGACCACAAAGAAGACAAAGAAGATACCTCATCTGTCGTATACCTATGTATAATGGTGGAGGACAAAGAGACATCATATAGTACAAGGAATCGGGGACCTTGATGACACTAGAAAGGCTTCATCACATTCGCTGTGCTGCTCTAAGCTTCACTTATGTTGTCCTAAGCGCTTTACGAATTGCGGCAGATGCCGCTGCGTCGCTCGTCGTGGTTGAATGAGCAAGAATTTGAAGGCAATGCTCTGGACCGGATATCCTTGCCACTACCCACTCGACGGAATTTTGATCGTCGGCCTGATTTGTAATAACTTTTTTGGTCTACTTGAGGCAACTTAGTAGACTTTAGCAGACTCAGGAAAGTTAAGCTGTGTCCTTGTGTGTTTTCCTTTCCTTTAGTCACTGAGTTAAGAATATATAAAGTAGTTTGTTAGCTATAATTACGCTGTAGCTTATCTATTACGAGAGTAGTGTTAGCTATTACGCTGTCACGTGTTTGTGCTTCCTCGATAAATGAATCCATGACGAAATGTTGACCTGATAAATAGTAATAATAACCGAAGAACCGAAGTAGTTTTGTAATTGTAAAGTTTGTTACCTTGCGTTGTAAATGGTCATGGAGGTTAAGCGTACTAAGTATAATGCTCCTAATAACAATATAATAGAAGTGCACTATCACTAATCTCCGTCTCGTTCTCGTAGTCTAGTATTATTTTAAAGATGGTTAGGGGCCGCGTCGCGTAGTAGTGCTATTAACCATCTTCATATAGTACTCCTTTGGAATTGGGAAATGGGTCTGGGCGCGGTTTATTCCATCCTCGGACTGAAGACCATCATGACTTGGAATCTGAGTCGTTCTTTCCTACGGTAAAAAAACAAAAGCAAGCACCTTCAGAAGTTCTACACTTTCATCAAGGGATGCGGAGATTCTGGTCGTGCTAAGGATGACAATTATGACAAAGTTTACATACAGGAAAAAGATTAAATCTATGTATTTTTACCTTTACCGTCAGATGTAGTTGACTTATTATTTACTAGGAAAAACACAGAGCAAGCAAAGGCTGTACTTCTGTAAAGAAGAAAGTAGACTACCGCAAACCCTTCTCCATCCGATTTCAATTTGACTGCTAGGACTCTCGGAGGCTCCGCATTGGGCTGATCAGAATCCAAGCTGATGTAGCGGACGTGGTAATATTAGAAGGACCCGCATGCTTCAAATGATCTCGATCGGGCCACGACGCTATGTTCACCGACCCCACAATAGTAATAGTTACAGCGCAGATCTGCTCGGTGTCGCACTGGCGTAACGAAGTATGTCA